CGCTTTGTCTATATCCATTCAGTCCCAAGGGACGGCCGCAATTGGGAGGGGGGAGCCAGCTCCAGAACAAACCGGGGAGAGTTCGTGTTGGCCAAGCACGTGTATTTGTTGCACAGCCTCCAGCACCAACAGCGCTCCCCGATGTCCAACATGTGGCCAGATGGTTGTGCTTTGCACCGTCTTCAGTAGGCAATTGTGGCGGTGATGCACCAGCTCGTGGTCACGGCAGCGTTATGGCATGGTGTAGTGGCTGACTGCCCCGATCAGGTTTGGGTTGGGGTTGGCAGCTCAACAAGGGCACCTGTGGTTCCACCCACATGCACATGTATGGAGTCTGGTACCAGACGTTACTTAGTTGGGCAAACCAGTCGACGCGGCAGCCGGCGTCAACGTCGTCATGTCAATGGAGGAGTACTCCCGTGCTCAGCCTCCAACTTTCCAACTTGCCACTTCGTATCCTACCAAGTACCAAGATGGGCTGGAAGGATCCAGCCCGTTCTAGGACACAGACGCAAAAGCTTGAGGAGCCCCCTTGCCCTTCCAACCAATTTAAGAAGAATTGGAAAGGTTGGATGGACGATTGTCATCACCGCGCAGGATGGTGTGCGGCTTCCCCCAGCTCCAATATCTCCGATTGTCCATCGATTAGCTCTCCTGCGGGGGTTGGCCAAGGAGATTTTGCATGGCATGTTGAGCATGCCTCACATGTAACGACATTTTGCAAGGATAGGGATAACGGGATGGCAAACGGGTTGCTTCTTGACTGGACCGCGCGGGTGTGTGGGATTGCGTGTGGCTGCAAGCTTCCAAGTCGGACCTGTCCAGCTTCTCCGTCTTGAATCAGCATTCTAATGCAGCTACGACGACGATGGATGCACAGGATTGCGGCATCATTTGGATTTTATTCTGCTGCCGAGGAAAAGATGCCGCAGGAAAAAACAACTCTTTACAAGAACATGTTAACGAATCTGTCAATAGGACACGTCAAGTCTCTGCAGAGGCTGAAGGCATGATTCACTTGGATGCCGCCCATGGCCATCTTCTCTCCGTCGAGCATTCGAGGCATCACATTCCTTGTATCAAACCCGAGACGTCCTTGTACACAGGGTAGCTGATGCAACGCAGCTTTCGGTGTATTGCCCTCCCAGATGCGCCTCATGTACTTGTGCACACGCATGCTCGTTCTACGCACATTCAACATCATGGGGAATACAAACAGGACACATCGCAGCTCTTCTCCCTGGGCTGACCAGATCCACAATGCAACAAGTCCTGCTCGTCCTCCGCACACCAGAGATGTCGATATCCGTGCTAATGTCCATATATTAGCATTCAGCAAAGGTCCAAGTGCGCTTCTGCCCTAATGGCCCTCGTCTTGTTGATAGCTAATGGTTGGTATCGTTTTGAAAACAATCCGCCGTGTCCGAAGCGGGAATGGGAACGGCACATGGCAATAAAAAGCATGCCGATGCAGAACATCGGAACAGTTGTTGCGGATGTGCGACAAATCAGACAGCCCTCCAAGCCTTACCGGGGTCATCAACAAGAGGTCCAGAGATCCGGAGCATGCATCGTCTTTCTCCTTAAACTCGTCACACACTTGGGCATTGCAGGCTGGCTCATTAAAGCGCTAATGCTGTTTTGCTGCTTTTGAGTCCTTCCCACCATCTTCGAGATATCAGATCTTAACCGGGCTGCTACAGTCCATCAGCCACGGTTTGAGGACAGAACTGCCGTCCAAATTCCTCTTTCCTCCCCCTTCTACCTTGTTCTAGATTCACAAGGACATGGCGCTACTCGAATATGTATGGCTGCTGCTGCTGCTGTTGTTGTCCACCGCTTTCCGTCACCACGTCGGAGAGCAATAAGCCACCGCGCTGCGTCACTGGCGGATACTCAGCCTCCCGACAGGCGGGCGTCAAACTTGTTAGGTTTTGTCCACTGGTGAAATTTTACCGAAGTCGCGTATTCCGAGATCCTCACGCTACACAGAGCACGGAACGTCTAATAGTAGTTACAAGAAACATCCAAGTAAGGTAGGGAGAGATAGGGATGTATGTATGAGACAACTGTTCAGACTAATGGATGCTTCACAGATTTTCCACACCGGCACCGGCACAGAGTTTCTTCCTGTGGGTGCCATCTACGCCCGACGATGGGGCGTAGATAGCTCATGGTCATATGGTCATACACATCATGGATAAATCTGGTGAATTTTATTTTTGGGGGGGTGTAATTTTATCGTTTGTTGGCCGTTTGGCATCCATGCGTCATGATTCAATGCTTCCCAGGTCTTCGGCCTGATGATTCTCCAACTCAACGTGCTCGGGCTTGGGCGCCAAAGCTACTATTTTCAGTAGCAAAACCCAAGGCAACGAAAGGTGAAGATGCCGCTTAAAAATGACCCCATTTCTGTGGCACATGACTATATATTCGGGTATCATCTTGGCGCATGGCCTCCCGGACGGGAGACTCAACCCACGCGGTGCCGTGGGTTGCCCCTTGGGCGAATGACTGCGCAACGAAAAATGACTTGGGGATTTGCACATGTGCACGATTTTTTCGGGACAGACCAACTCATCTCCCACGGGGTGTTTCGCTATTCTGAGTATGTACTATGACATCACACGCACGGCTCCGAGTAATCACTTTTGCAGGACTAGGGCCACAGCTTGAGGGCCACGCTGGCAGCATTGAGAAGGGAAATGAGAGATGATGGTGGTCAGTACGACGTTGCTTACCCCGGTTTAAAGCATTGATCCGGCTCGTGGCCCCGACATTGATGTGCAGCAGACAAGGAAAGGGGATGAAAGGATGGTACTTTGGTTCTAGCCTGGTTTCCATGCATCCGAGGTTGGGCGATTCCACGAAGTGAAATGATACAGGACTCGTAACATCACGGGCGTCAGAGGTTTGATCCAATTCGCCAACGCTCACTGAAGCTTGCATTAAAAGTTGATATACGGAGTAGCTGACAGCAGGAGGGGTGGAATAATGCAACTCATATTCCAGAAGACTGCTATTATTAACACTCAGCTGCGCCGATAACATTCGTATACCACATGTACAATGAATATGACGTGACGTGTATGTTTTGATAACTGACACTCGAAACGGCATGTTCCCGTCCAACAGAATCATTTCCCTTGGATGTAGGAGGCCATCTCTCCCACGGGGGGGGCAATACCGAATCCCCCCCGAAGCTCAATGTCACCGGTACACGTGGTTAAAGGGCATAATTAACGGTTGCTGGCAAGTCCATTGTCCCCTTGCCAACGGGCAGCCGACAATGGCCCATTTGTCATATCCATAACCAACCTGGGTTCACACTTGATCCCTCAGAAACATGGCCCTGTCCGCATCGTCTTTTTTGATATTGCAGATTCATGGGCCCCTGCAAGGAAGGGCACGGTAGTCCCGCTTGGACATGATAAGTCGGTGAACGAGGTGCAGTCTCCCGATCCGCAAACCCCAGACTCCGGCCTATGATCTGGGGCGATATGTCACCGTCCTCCCTCGTTTCCCCGTAGCCAAGGACATGGGAGAAGCTCCGAACCGGAAAAAAAAATAAGAAGACAAGAAGATAAGAAGATAAGAAGAAAGTTGAGCCCCCGAAGCCGGAAGACGGGGGGGGGGGGAGTCGGTGAGGGTGGTTTTGTGAAAGAGATGATGGCTTAAGATGCGATTGGCTCGGCAGCAAGTAACTTTGCTTTCGGGCATGGGATTTCTCATTATTTTGAAAGATGGGATTCAAAGGTTGGAACGTGTTGGATCGTGTGTAGGGTAGTTGGGTCGGGAACTGGCGACGCCGGGGACAAGCGCTTTGGGGCTCGTGTGGACATGAATGAGCCATTGGCATGGTAATTCGATTTCGAAATACTCTTGTCATTTATATCGGGAGGGGTCGTGGTAGATTTTGGATGGAATTTTGGATGTGTTGAAGGAGGCATCCTTGGAACGGGGGGCGTGTATGTATTTGTACGTTGGGGAATCGAGGCGATGCAGGTCAGGATTTCCACAACAGCAATGTCAAGATAAATGTCACCTTATATCTTTACATTCCAGCACGCCCCATCACAACGTCTATTCCCCGCCAATATTTGTAAATCAATACGAACCGATGCCTGCTTATATCTCCCTGGACCGCTGGTGGAAATGTCCTGGAGGACCCCACAAGGCGCTTTCTCTTCTATTGCAACGACGGCAAAGAACAAGCACGGCAGATGAAGAAGACGAAAAGGAATGGGAAAGAGAATAAGAAAAAAAAGAACAAGAATGGCTTTTCGATATAAAATAAATCAACAAAAACAACAATAACCGATATTTGTATGTATATACATACAGCACATGCAACTTACACTCAAGCGCTGGCTCCCTCCCATGTCCTTTCCCCCACTTCTCTCCAGACCTCAAAAAAGTTGTGGAGGGGCAACGGCCAAGCTGACCAACTACAGGCCGCAGCACACTTGAGCCTCGAATCCACCCCGGGAAAGCCTCGCCCAGCCTCAGCCTTGTGTGCCGACTTGGGAAAGGCAGACATTAACAATCGGGCAAGGCGGAAAAAGGCCACGCTCGAAACAAAATCCATATTCCCATCACAGCAATCTGATCCATCTAACCCGGGCCGTTGCATTCGCCAGCTGCCAAGTGAGCTTCATCTGTCTGGTCAAGGTCCAACTTTGGCTCGTTGCCGCCATTGCACACACTTTGGTTTCCTCACGGGGCGACCAACGGGACGCAGCTTGAAGCTACGTCAATCCTCCACCACGACTCGACTTCATCGAGGGCAGCGGTACGCATCGCAATTGCAAGCGAATCGAACCCAACTTCACCCCCATCGTCGAGGTCAATTCGAATTGCCAGTCGTCGCGTGCCCCCGGACGATATTGATCTTCCCCATCCGTCCGCAGGTGCAACCCGTCGTCGTTGCCGCCACCTCATATTTCAAATTTCCGCAACCGCAGCCCTCGGTCCCGTCACAACTCTTCCTCAACCCAACCATGTCGCAACAGCCCGCAACGCCAGTCAAGGTGCCGTCCTCCGTGGCAAACAACACACCCGCAACCCTGGACCCCGACCTGCGCTCACAAATAAATACCGTGCTCCTGCGCGACGGCCATGTCACAAAGTAAGGCTATCTGCCCCCCGGCCTCCATCCACTACCGCGAGAGGACGGGAAAAAAAGTAAAGAGAAAAAAAAGACTAACTCCCCTCCCCAAAAGGATACAAGACGCTCTCGTCCACGCCCTCAACTCCAACTCATCCAACTGGCCGACACAAATCCAATCCCACGCCCTGACGCTCCTCCGCTCCGGCGAAATCACCACCTACCCAGCGCTCCTCCGCCGCATCCTCGACGACGTCCGCGAAGCCACCACATCCAGCTCCTCCTCCACAAACGGCAAAACGCCCAACGGGGACGCCAAAAAGGTCAACGGGTCAACTACCCCGTCCGCCGACAAACAAAACCTAGCCGTCCCCGCCGCCGTCGTCGAGGAAGCCCTCCGCGTAACGAGGGAAAGCCTAGAAGCAGTCTGCGAAATCGACGACCACGGAGCAAGTTGACTCGTCGCCCCGGCGCCTCACCACACCTAAAGAGAAGCTGGGACAAACTACGGATGCCAACGTCGCCCCAGACATGAAATTACCAAGAGGGCTTCACCCGCCCAGTTGGAGCAGCAAAATTCGCCACGGGACGAATCAACGCAACGGACCACAACAACACGAATGTACAAGAAGGCCCATGGCGCCGTGGGCCAAGTAGCGCGGAAAGGGAGGGTTAATAAAGTCAGCAGGATATCACATCATACCCTTTTTCTATATTGTTTTTTTTTTGTCGAAGCCAGAAAACAAGACTTGGGGCGTGGGAACAGGAAAGGGAGGGGGTACCGGGTACCGGAAAGCATTTTTTATAGACAGTTCAACAAAGGCATATCATATAAATACCACTGGGTCTCATTCAATACTCGGGATTTATCTATTACTGACCCCGCGTGCCTGACTCACCGAGGCCCCTCGGATAATCGCGGCGCGGGTATTTTCGAGTTGCCACATCTGATGCAGGAAACCTGGTAATCATGTTTGGAGAAAAGAGTATAGGTAGCCGCCCTCGACATTCTCTGACATGGCATGTTGCCAAAACGGCCGTCTGGCATCATTTCAAGTGAGCATCCCATCCCATGCACTACTGGACATGGAGCTATACCTTGCCAAGCGAGGAATACTCGTCAAGACATACCAATCAATACATAAATAAGCATGGCACAAAACAAACTTTTTTTTTTCTTTTTTAGGGTGTATCAATTAATAAACTTGCTCGTAGTCCAGTCTAGTCACACGCAAACCAAGCACTCGTTTCATCAACGAGTTACGTGTTAAAAGCAAAATATTTCGGCCTTCTAGGTGCCGTCAAGTATCAAGTCCGTCGTGTCAAAGCGTCTCCAACCACCTTCTACCATCTACCATTTCTACCAACTCCCAGAGTCCCAAAATAGCAGCGACACAACAGCCTAAGCAGCCTCAATCTCACATAATGGATATCAGTTACCCTTTGGCTGCGTGCAGTTTTTGATGCAGATGTGTGCGTGAGGAATCTAGAATACAGGGACCGGCATCGCGTCCTTAATTACATAGCCACATAGCTTAGTCATAGAGATCATCATCGTTGCCGGCGTCACCGAACCCATTCCCGCCGTTGCCAGAAGCCTGCCCGTCAGTACCGTCAGGGAACTTGAAGAAGGCACCTGGTCCAGCATTCTTCATTTGCTGGGCAAAGGCCTCGTACCGGCGGATCTCAACGTCACTAACGGACTTGCGAGCCATCTGCATAGCTTCCTCGAAGTGAGCCTTGGTCAGCTCCGGAACGGGGTCCTCACTGTCTTCGTCCATGTCCATCTCGTCACCAGCAGCCTCACGAGCCTTGGTGCGCTCGATATCAGCAGAGATGTCTTCTTTAATGGCGATCTTGACAGCACGCTGAGTGATGAATCCAAGATCAGCACCAGAGAAACCATTGGTCTTGCTGGCAATATACCCTAGGTCAATATCTGAGGCCATAGGGGTCTTGCGCAACTGAGCCTTGAGAATGCTCAGACGACCAGGCTCGTCGGGAAGAGGGACATAGATGAGCGAATCAAGACGTCCAGGACGGCACAACGCAGGGTCAAGCTGCTCGGGCCTGTTGGTGGCGCCAATAACGAAAACGTTCTTCTTTGAGGTCATGCCATCCATTTCTAAATGAGGAAGAAAATGCCGATGTTAGTCACAAAATTCATCGAATCTTAGAGGCTCTTGAGCAACTTACCCGTCAAAAGCTGGTTAACAACACGGTCGGAAGCACCACCGGCATCACCAACAGAGCCACCTCGGGCCTTGGCAATAGAATCCAGCTCATCAAGGAAGACAATGCAAGGAGCGGCAGCACGAGCCTTGTCGAAAATGTCACGAATATTACTTTCCGATTCACCAAACCACATACTGAGCAATTCGGGACCCTTGACTGAGATAAAGTTGGCAGCGCACTCGTTGGCAACAGCCTTGGCCAACATAGTTTTACCAGTACCGGGAGGGCCATAGAACAGCACACCTCGAGAGGGAGAAAGACCAAACTTGAGGAATTTCTCGGGGTGGTCGACGGGGTACTGGACCTGCTCTCGGAGGTCCTGCTTGACAGCCTCGAGGCCACCGATATCTTCCCAGCGAACGTTGGGAACCTCCACGACGGCCACCTCGCGCAAGGCAGAGGGGTTGGAAACGCCGAGGGCAAAGCGGAAATTTTCCATGGTAACACCAAGGGAATCGAGGACCTCTGCGTCGATGGTGTCCTCATCAAGATCAATGAGATCCATTTTCTCGCGAATCTGCTGCATGGCAGCCTCGGAGCAGAGGGCAGCCACATCAGAACCAACATAACCATGGGTCTCAGCGGCAATCTGCTCCAGATCAACATCATCGCCGAGCTTCATGTTCTTGGTATGAATCTGAAGAATTTCGAGACGACCAGTGGGGTCAGGAACACCAATGTCCACCTCACGGTCGAAGCGACCGAATCGTCGAAGAGCAGGGTCGATAGAGTTGGGTCGGTTGGTGGCGGCCATGACAACAACGTTGGATCGGGCCTTCATGCCGTCCATGAGGGTCAGAAGCTGAGATACGACACGTCGCTCGACTTCACCGTTGGTCTTCTCTCGTTTGGGGGCAATTGAGTCGATTTCGTCGATGAAGATGATGGCGGGCGAGTTCTTCTCAGCTTCCTCGAAAGCTTTTCGCAGATTTGATTCTGATTCACCAGCCATCTTGGACATAATCTCGGGACCATTGATGAGGAAAAAGAATGCACCAGTTTCGTTTGCGACGGCACGAGCCATGAGCGTCTTACCAGTACCAGGAGGACCGTAGAGCAAGACACCACGAGGGGGCTTGATGCCAATAGACTTGAACAACTGAGGGTGACGGAGAGGCAGCTCTACCATCTCTCTGATTTGGGCCATTTGCTTGCGGCAACCACCGATGTCGTCATAGCCAACCTCGTTCAAATTGTTCTCTTCCTCATCTCGCTCGATGGGGTCGCCTTCGCAGTGAATGACTGTGTCTTGTGCAACAATACCGTACTCTGGGGGGTCGACCTCTACCACCTTAAACTCCACTTGCCGCATACCACCACGTACAATGAAGAGATCGCCTTGCCGGACTGGTCGGTAAGCCTCACGGAAGTAAGGGGCAAGGAAGACGTCAAACAAAGAGCCAGTGATGCCCTCGACGGTATCGGCGATGGGCAATACGGCGATTCTCTTGGCCTGCTTGGTGTCAGCATTTTGTTCTTTTCTCACAAAAATGGATGTTGGTAAAAATGTTTAGACTCACGTATTTAATATCAGGGCAAGGAAGGATGGTGATCATGTCGCCGTGCTTGACACGGAGGTTGTGTCGAACAACTCGGTTAATGCGGGCGCTACCGTCATCAAGCTCCTCATCGGCCAGGACAATGAGGACGGTGTCCTTTCTCTTCTTGCCTCGGACAAGAACTGTGTCACCTCTGAATAACTGCAGGGCATCCATTGTAGCTTCGGACAAGGCAATGATGCTGTTATCATCGTTGACGGCATCGGTGACCCTGTAAAGGCGGAGTTAGCCATGACTTTGATGCTACACCAAATTGGCAGTGTGGGGAAAAGCATACATCAACTGGTTGGGCTTCTTCTTCTTCTTGAGAATCGCAGTCGCGGTATCATCCTCCTGTAAGGCAGTTAGTTGCTGCGGCGCTGGACACTTTGATGTTGGGAGGGCAGGGGGTTTCACGGACATGTTTGACATCCGCGCCGGAAGCGTCGCTACAAACGCAGGTTAGTATGATGATTCTCGCCTTCAAACGGCAGCCCAGTTGCGCGGAACGCATCGAATGAGGAGGTAAACTCACGTCAAATTGACCTTCTTCTTGTGCTCGTCATGCTGGGAGGCCATGGTGTCTGATGTGCCTCAGCGAAGTTGCTGTTCGGTTCAGAGAGGTTTGGAAACGTGGCCGCGGGCAGACGAGTGTGAGTATTGTATCTACAACTGGCTCACGTCTTTCGGGGTCTAGCTCCCAAAAACGTGAATGCGAAGAGATGAAATGGTATATGCGAGGGAGAAAACACTGGTTGAGAGATGAGAGGAGAGAATGAGGGAGAGAAGGTGTGAAGGTCGAAAGAAGTTGAAATGGCAAAGTCGAGGTCGAAGCACAACCCGCACCATTGATACGTACTAGGCCCCCGGGGAGGCGACAACACCTGGGCAAGATGGCGGAACGTGCAGGTACTGACTACCTAGTGATGCGGCGGACGAGCCACCATAGCTGCTGTATGGAGTACCCGAGTACTACCTTCTGGATTACTCACAGGCATCCAGCACAATCTATTACCAGCTGCCAGCCCAGAAGGAGCATGCCAGCAGACCAATGATATCGCTGCGCGCCCTGACCGGAGGCGGAACATTGATGATGCAGGCTCCGAGCAGGGCCAAAAAGGCGGAATACACCCCACCATGGGCCAAGGTGACTGGACGACTGCGGTGGAAAGACACAGAAGCTTCCACTTTTCGCCTCCATGTCTGCGCTTCACGAGCTTCGCAAGCGCCTGGCAGGCAGCGGGCAGTACGTCAGACGCGATTCACCTGGAGCTCACGCTGCGAGGTCGCTCGGAGCACTTAAGTAAGCGTAGAAGACGGACCCGCATTTCTGGAGTTCACACACAGGGTCTGACGGCGAAACTAAGGAATATTGAACGACCATTGATACTCTTTTCGATGTCGTTCGTTCGCGAAATTTCGAATCAAACACACACCTGTCATTTATTATTATAATTTACATCATGCATTGCTCCTGCATGCGTAAATCCTTTTCCATGATATTTTTCAGGGGTCAGTAGACCCTTGTACGCACTTAGCTTCGCCCCGCCACTTCGTTAATGAATCTTGCAAAATATTTAATTTTTTATCAGAATTGCTGGGAATCGTAAATACTGCACAGACGAAAGACTGATAATAGAAGAATGGGAAATGTTCAAAGGTGGCCCTGTTCGATGGAGTGGCGAACTATTGACAACACTCCATTTGCAAGTATGCTGCTTGGTACAGGTGCAACACTCATTTGGAAAGTCGGCTCTAGATGGATCGTCAAAGAAGTAGAAATTTTGGAGGTGAGGACGTGCCAAGGATACGTAATGCGACATAATTGTTCTCAAGGCACTTAGCTCAAATTCTGGGCCAAGTTTACTTTGCAGACATATAATTTACGGAAATTAGACACGTTGATATTCTCTTCAAGTTCTTCGAGCGTGGTATGGAGCAGTCGATATAAGACGGCTTGGTCTCAGGATGAGGCGCTATCCAACTCAACACTCCTCAACGTATACGAGACCCTGTACCGGGAGAATTTGACATGTGGATGAACGCTCATAAACGAATCTGCTAGACCAGAAAGTGTGGCCCTGGGAATCTCGTCGTTTCCGCCATCTTGGGTTTGCAGTCATGCTGGTTGGTAGGTGAGGATGGGCAGTCTTTTGGCATACCGACAAAATGATGCCTCAAGGCGGTAAAGTTTGGCACTTTTAGGTTTTACCCAATAAGCAGACGGTACTTACCCGTGAGCAACAATATAGCAAAACTTGCAGGTATGCACCCATTTCACAAGCTCAAAACTCATTCGGTTTCAAGGGTACTCTGACCAAGTATTGAGCATGAAGGGCATGATCAAGTCCCATCTGCATGGCCACCTGAAGCATCAAGCCCTGCCACAATGAACGTCAGATCGGCTGTACTGCTACTTGTCGGGAGCCGCCATGTCCACGAAGACTAGGGCCTGTACAGCTGCCAGAGAGTGTGGTATCGAACGAACAGTCTTCCATAATAGATCTGACACAGCCTCGGCCAGTCATGCTAATAGTATCTGGTCGAATTTGATAGCATCTGGCGAGAAGAATTTGTTATAACCACCCAGAAGAGCAATTCCGACAATTGATCATATTTGTGAGGCGGCCTGGTTGCATCGATAGTGGGCAGAAAGGGACTGCGAAAGGTAGCTGGATTAACACGACTTAGGTTGTCAATAGAAAATAAAGAGGCCAACGGTTCGTTCAAAACTTACGTTGTAAAAGGCTGTTTAACCTCCACGGCAGTTAGCACAGTATCATCTAACGCGTGAGGGCGTTCCGCAAGGTTAGAAACGAGCCGTTAACGGATTGGATCTCCTACGCTTGGCCTGATGATCACGGTCGCGTTGGAAGGCTCGCCAGTGGGATCAGGCAATTTTGTCTCGGCTTTAGTTGATAAATCACCAGGAGACCCTTTTTGAAGCTACTATTCTCGAGCTTTCGATTCCAGATACGCCTGGCGTCGGAGGTGCTGGGACCGGGGATGAGAATCCTCAAGTTCATGATTGTAACTCCCGTGTCAGTTCACGGACTTGCTTTTCTAAATTGGGAGAGCGCCTACGATTCTCAGCATAGCAGGAAGGGCCACGGCAAAAACAAAGGGCGAAACAACAAATCTTTTCACCCCAGTTTACCGAAAGCCAGCCTCGACTTCACACCCTACGTCAAAGCGTCGGCAGCGAAAGCATTTCTCGCGATCTGCAATTTCGATACGGGATGCTAGCAAGCTGCATCGTAGCTATGGATTTCGATCAGTATACCTAGGCACTTGGTTTCATTGTTTATCATAGTATGATAACCTTTTGGGGTTTGCATTTATTACATGCGCTTCGCCGACCGGTGTTGTCGGATGCTGGTCTTGGCCTCGTTCCGATATGCCTTACAGAAAAATATCCGATTTGGGGAATTCCTCACCGCACCATTTGTGCTGTGTAACTCACCCAATATGACTACTGTAGTATCGCAATATAAAGATACATGTTTCCCCTGTCAACCAAAATTACGAGATTGTAATCAAAATGGTGACAGCGACTTCACGAGACTGCCGTGGCTTACACCCCTCAAGATGTCATTCGAATCCACCAGACCCAATCAATCACCATGGACATTCCGGTCCGATCGGACACATGTAGACGCAAGCTGGTAGGAATGGTGCTGCATAGAACGGATTACCCGTCAGCGACCACAAACTGATCCTTCTAATGTAATGTCTGCTTCCTTCGAAGATGAGTGCCCCCGGGGTAGCCAGAAGGGGCAAATACATATAGATTTTGCCAGAGAAACTTTGCGTTCTGTGACAAATGCAACCAGACTTGCGGCCTGGAGAAGAGACCCGTTCGAATGATCATCCGAAGATGGTGTTCAATCGCTTGGACTACAACTTTCCCCGCGTTCAAGATCAGCAAGCATCGATTTGAATATCTGGCCTGCGTTTCTTCCGTGTTCTCGTTTGCGTCAACTCCGTATCGCCCACCCGAAGATCAGCTAATACTCCGTACTGAACTTGAGAAAACGAAGTTACAGCGGAAACGGGTCACTGAGATAGCCAGAAGTCACAGTCCGCGAACTTGGACTAGTCCCAGTCAGGCACGTCATTCTGTCAGCGAACCTCGTCTCATAAAACCGTCAGCAGCGTTGGCGCATTAAAAAAAACCTCCAACCGACACGCTGCCAAGGCAAAGTCACAGCCCCCAATCAAAGGTCCTCCCAATTTAGAATGGCATTAGTGTCCAGACCACTGGGGAGGACGGAAGGTGCAAGAAAAAGAACGGTATGCCACTACTAGACTTTCCGCACCTTGGCTGACATCTGGAGGCACTAGAACAGTACCCTCCGCACATGGGCAATCCAGTCTTCTCTCAAAATGCATAGGTTTAATTGCGCTCGCCCAGCGCTCGGCGGCGAAGGACCCTTGTACTGATGCAGGTTCTTCTGTGGTGCAACTTGCTGTGAATCTGTCATGAATGTAAGTTATGTATGTAAGAATGTCCGGCGCACTCCGTACGCGCTATGCTGGACTTTACGACGAGCTTTCATCGATCAGGCCATGGTTCAACACTTTTAGTGTAGCCACGAGTGGACTTGAGTTCGCATGGCGCACCGTGGACCGGGACCTCGTGGGACCTGAGAACCGCATCAGACACTTTGACTTGCACAAAAGAAACCTCGCTTGCGCCGAGCAAAGCAGCCACGTGGGAGCATTGCTCAAATCGGGCCAGGTCAGGTAGGATTGATACTAATACCATCAAGAGGAAAATCATTTGAGCACCACAGGCCTCATGTTTCCTTTGGTCACAGCCAAGGTCACGCCACTGGCACGGCCACGGCCCCAGGTTGAAGATCAGGATTCGAGATTCACGGTCCTGCATTACAGGTCCCTTGTCCACGATATGGTGGGACTTATTGGTGCCCGCCTGACTAGGGCCTTCAGGAGCGTCAGAAGCGTCAGAAGCGTCAGGAGTATCAGGAGCGACGAGTTGCGGGCACCCAGACGGCATCAGACGGGCCTCCGATGCTCGTCCGCGAAGATTAAACGAGTAATGATGAGTTATGGGCGTGTATGAATTTTTGATGAGCATGGACAGGCTCTCCTCGTTCACTTGAATCCATGCTACCCACACTCACTGATAATGGTTGCGAGTTGCACATGCCCGTACTTTAGTTGACAGGGCCTGGAATGCCGGCGTATTTGCGTGCGCAGGTATGTGGCGCACTGTACAGAATCAGGATAGTCCGCCCAAAATAACTTGGGATCCTGGCTCAAGTACCGGACAGTGCTACTGGATCATGCGAGCATGCCCATGTACCACGCCCTGGGGCCCTCTGTCCACTTAAGCAACCACCCATCCTTCCACCGTGCGCACTCTGCCCGCTCGAAGTGCTGCCTCCGCTGCGTCGTGCTGTAGACGACCAGGCCCGGAGTACTTAGTACTAGCGGCACCTGGGAGTACGAAGTGTGAGCTAGTGTGAGCGTCGTTAAACACTGGGCGGACCAGACGTTGGCGGCACCTAAGCTGGACTGAATTCTAATTTTCCGCGGTTCACAACATGAGCATTGAAGCCCCGTGGCCCAGTGGCCCAGTGGCTCAGCGGCCCAGTGGCTCAGTCCTGGCTTTTACTGGCTGTTGCTGCTACTCTACGCCGTACCGTGTGCTTTGCTAGTGCGTCAATTGTATTATTGATCGGAGCGAGTAGTTACAATCCTTCCGCACTCTGCCCACTGCCCAAATCATTCGTTTTCCGCTCTCTTCATCGTCCAGTTCGACGTCAACAAACGTTGTCCTGTTTCGCCGTCCTCACCCGCGACAACCACGTCGATTCTGAGCCCCAACCACGATATCTACCACGCGGAAATCAGTCTCGCCTTACCCTCGATTGCCGGGGGACGATCCCAAGAGGCATGTCGACGCCAACGACGGCCGTGGCCACACTCCCTCACTACCACCTCGCCCACCAGGCTCACCACCACCCATCGTCAACGACGTCAAATTATCGCACCACGGCTGCCAATTCTTTGCTGTACGCGCCAAACCCATCTGTGCCGACGTCGTCGTCGTCCAACGCGGCACGCCTTTTGCCTTTCGACCAGGCTGGCAGCCGTAATGCCGGCTACACTTCGTCGGATGCCATAACCCAGAACCTTCAGCCCCAATCGCCACCAGCACCCCCTCCCCACGACCACTATCTACCTCGCGACCACCACATTGAAACCTCAACCCCAACAACTCCGAGACATCGCATTCATCATAACTACTCATCCACCATGGGCAGTGCAGCGGCTACCGCCACGGCTCCTTCTACAGCCGCTGCCGCCGGGCCTACTGCTCACGACCATGACCCTACCTCACGGAAACGCCGTCGCTCCCGGGAACCCGACTGGAATACCTTCTATCGCAACGGTTTGCCAAAAGAAATTATCGTCATTGACGACACCCCGGAGCCGGAGGCCAACAGCAGTCGAAAATTGGCATCCTCCAACACAAATGGCGATGCACCTGCCGGTGCTGCTTCCTACGAGGCGACTGCTACCAACACTCGCCAGCCCGTGAAGCGACGACGTCGGGATGCTGCCGCTTCGGGCTATCACGTTCAATATGTGGGCTCCCGCACAAACACACCGCTGCAACACGGCACACCCATCGGCTCTACACTCTCAAGTGACCGCACCAACTCATTTCTCAACACCACCGCCCCGACTTCTCTTTCTTCCAATAGCCAGTACGATGAGGCTCCTGTTCCTTTGAAGCGCAAGCGGACTACCCGTCAACAGGCGGCCAACGAAGCGAAACGTCGGGATGTCGATGGCCTAGGGGGCCGACTTCTCACGTACAAGCCACCACCCTTCCCCCCGAAAAAGGTTGCAGATGTTCAAGTCCGGGTTGTACACGATGTGAGTCTTGCATTGCTTTTTTTTTCACCTCACCATCTCCCCGTCGATTGGTCTATGGACCTGAGTTCAGCGTCAACGCAGATATATAACGCTCCTTGTTTGTGTATAAATGTGTTGCTAACTTTTCTTCTTCAACAAAACAGCACTACTCAAAGAATGTAAAGGTTGATGATGACGACGGGCACTATATCGTTGTTCCGGATGCGGAACTCACGGAAAAATGTACGTCAAATTTCACCTGTGTTCTTCTCCTAAGTACATGCATGTCTAATCTATGCAAAGACCAAATTACGCGCCTGCTTGGCCAAGGAACTTTTGGCAAGGTTGTTCAAGCTCGTGATCAAAAGCGGAACCAAGCTGTTGCCGTCAAAATTATTCGATCAGTGCAAAAATACCGCGACGCGTCAAGAATTGAACTGCGAGTACTTGCTACTCTGAAGGCTAATGACGCCAACAATCGATATCGATGCATACACCTAACGGACTGCTTTGACTATCGAGGCCATATATGCATTGTCATGGACCTCTTGGGCCAGAGTGTCTTTGACTTCTTAAAAGGCAATGGTTTTGTACCTTTTCCTAACAGTCATATTCAAAACTTTGCTCGTCAACTCTTTACAAGTGTAGCCTGTGAGTACAAGTCGTCTCCAAGTGCTTTTAATACTCTTGCACGCCGCTGACTAGGACCAGTTCTGCACGATCTCAACTTAATTCACACCGATCTCAAGCCAGAAAACATCCTTCTCTGTGATGACTTGTACCAGACATTCACATATAACCGGAAAATTCCCTCATCCTCAACAACTATTAACAGGCAAGCCTCTCAGCGGCGGGTATTGTTAAATACGGAGATTCGGTTAATTGATTTTGGGTCGGCAACATTCCAGGATGAGTATCACTCATCTATCGTCTCAACAAGGCATTACCGAGCTCCAGAAATTATCCTGGGACTGGGATGGTCGTTTCCTTGTGACATCTGGAGCATTGGCTGTATCTTGGTCGAATTCTTCACAGGCGACGCCTTGTTCCAAACGCACGATAACCTTGAGCATCTGGCCATGATGGAAGCCGTCGTGGGTTCGAGGATAGATACTCATCTCGTGCAGTCTGTAAACAAGATGTCGACAAGGAGCGGCGGCAATCCGGCGTCCAAGTAAGTTCTCACCCTTTTCGCCTCTGAACTTTGTCCTGACCTGCATAGATACTTTAAACGTCTCAAACTTGACTATCCTACTGCAGATACAACGCGAGGTTCCAGGAGATTTGTCAAAGCGATGAAGCACCTTCACGTAGGTTCCATTTTGCCTCCTTGACACATGTACGACTGTCCTCTAACTGTCACAATAGGACATTATTCCATCGAGTAATCAATTCTTCAAGCATTTCCTTGATTTACTACAAAAAATCTTTGTATACGACCCTGCACGTCGTATTACTGCCAAGCAGGCCTTGAATCATCCCTGGTTCGATGAAATCGCCCAGCCGGATGATGGCACGGAGGCCGCGAAGATTCGACAGGAAAGAAAACGACTGGAACAGGAAAAGGCTCGAGCTCACCACCATCGTTACGTGGCCTCATGACGACTACCTACTGTAGTACAATCTCTTTGACCACGACGAAAACACGACCAGTTCCATCTTGTACGGGTCTCGTATCTATTTTCTTTTTTTTTGTTATAACGACTATATATATATCTATTTGTGAGCATGGTTATCGGAGTTCGTGGACCTCTTTTACCTCACTTGCAGCGGAGGATGGATTGAACGAACCGGGTCAAGCTTTTCCTGACAATACGTGGTTATTGGGATCCTGGCTTCCGAGGCGTTTTGTTCGGAAGACAGGCAGACTGGAGACGGTGTCTCGTATTGAATTTCTTCGTTTTGGAGCTTTCCTGGTATCAGATCTAGGACCGAGATGTTCAAGCCAGTATGGACAAGAAGCTAATGTTTCTCCCATGAACTGCACTATTCCAACTTTCGTACTAACGCCATACTCCGCCTGTCTACCTCCATGGAAGTAGCTAGACCGAGGATTGTGTCCAACCTTGATCTTTACAGCAATTGCCTCGGCGATTTTTAGAGTGCAGCCAGTTAGCGAAAGAATTTCACTTTTTATCATCATGCTGTAATCCGGTAAGGTCGAAGGGAACAGTTTTAAGTCCCAGAGGCGCTGCGGGTATCAGCTGCAGCACATAGCGTTGGATGTTCATCTTTTTAGTCAAGCCTTTTATTTTTCTTTTATTTTTGTTTTTGGCTAGCATGTACTGTAGCACACATGACCACATCATGCCTTTGTTATTCTATGAAGCATTTTCAGAAATCGGCTGCGGCCGGGTGTCGAAGACGCGTATTGGCGCCCTACTATTTTCTTTCTCTTCAGCGGTGTCTTATCCGTTCAAGATTCAATGCTGGACATTATTGATGTCGAAACCACGGCGCACCAACTAGCAATGCTTTTTGCACCAGTTGAAGGCTGCTTGTATCTATTCACATAGCCATGAGACGCGGGGCAATATTGAGCAGTATACTGTTGTTGTAAGAGCAGAGCAAGAACAATGGAAACAAGAATTGCGTGCCAAGCTTTAGCAGCAATGGAAGAAAATTTTGTTCACAATGACGGCTGTGCAGAAACACGAGACACGAGACTTGATACATGCGAGCGTTTATGTATATGATTCATTGCACGACCACATGACCGGCGCTGGACGCCTCGAGTGTCTCTATTAAAACTGAACGGCTTTCATAGCATAGGACGGTTGAAAGAGCCTACCAACTGTCAAGGGTATCCGACCACCGGGGAATTTCTTACTGTGTGTTGGTTCATCTATAGAATAGGGGCCGGCTGCACGACCAGGAGCAAACGTTGCGTTGAACAAGATGCCGCGCAGACTGAAGTAGCAGCAAGAGCGTCCTCACATGGGGATCGTGCAACGGCAAAACCCGCCGCCCGACTCATATTCCTCGGTGCTCAGACCCATCTACACGCCGTCGTATAAGCTCCCACCAGCCTCGTCCTCAACCCTCACTGCGTCCTCCAGGCCCACAATGGTAAACAGCCTCTTGGGGGTGAACTCGGGGTCTAGGCCGGTCCTCCCCGTCTCCTTGATGCGCACAAAGGCCTCCCGGATGGCGTTGTACGCGGGCGCCAGCGCGGCAAAGGGGAAGATGACAACCTTGAACCCCAGCTGCCTCGCCTCGTCGGGCGTCCACGAGGGCGTCGCCCCGTGCTCGACCATGTTGAGCAGCACGGGCACGGGGGCCAGCGCGCGACACACGTCCCTCGCTTGCTGGTCGTTCTGGATGCCCTCGAGGAAGGCTACGTCGGCACCGGCTTCGGCGGCGGCCTTGAGACGCCGGACGGCCTCGTCGAAGCCGTCTGTCTGGAGTGCATCCGTGCGGGCAATGACGACAATGTCCGAAGCCAGGCGGCGGCGGGCCTGGGCGGCGGCGCGGATCCGCTGCACAAAGGTGTCTGTGTCGACGACGGCCTTGCCGCCCAGGTGGCCGCAGCGTTTTGCCTGGATCTGGTCCTCGATGTGGAGGGCTGCCACGCCACTGCGGTGGTATTGGGCGACGGTGCGGGCAACCATGTTGGCGCCGCCGTAGCCCGTGTCTGCGTCGGCGATGAGCGGTATCTGGGGGTCAAGGTTGGCCATCATTTCGGCGTGGCTGCGCATGTCGTTGAGGGTTGCGAGGCCTAGGTCTGCTTGGCCGAGTTTGGAGGCACATGTGCCCGCGCCTGTCTGTACGCAGGTGTTAGTTGGGGCTTAGGGGAAGCGTTGGTGCAGGGAGCGTCTGCTTGCCATGTAGATGCTGTCGAAGCCGACTTCGAGGGCGATTCGCGCGCTGAAGCCGTCGTATACTCCGGGCGCTACGATGATGTCCTTGGTGGCGAGCATGTGTCGGAGCTTGGAGGCTGCGGAGGGACTGCTTGCCGCGGTGGTTTCCATTTTGTAACGAGTTTGCCGGCTTGGTATACTGGTGTGTTGATTTGTTGCTGGTGGCTGGCTTTATATGCTTGGGATGAAAAGGCCATTGGTGTTTGCATAAGTTGATATCGGCGCCGACTCTGACATCTGGAGCCACTTTGGCCACTCCGATCGGACTGGACGAGCCCGGCTTTAGCGCCGTCTTGGGAGCGAGCCATGGTGTTCAAGGACTAGTTCACGGATCTAACTCTGGGTTTTCCACCGGTCAAGACGGGGATTGAGTTGGTTGGTTGCCGGTGAGACGATGAGTAGCTTCAGTCTTCTCCATATCGTGATGGCAGGGAACTACGTCATAGACAAGATACCAATGGCGCTGTTGGAAATCGAACCCAATACCCCCCTTATAAGGCGGCAATGTATGATCGGAGGTCTGCTCATAAATTCTGTGTTATGGGCGTTAGCCTGGAATGGGAGCAAAGTTGAGTTGGACTGTCCGTACAAACCTTGGAGCAATCAGGAGAGAGATTATCCTGCTAGTCAAACGTCGCCAATCGCCATCAAGTACATTGCAGGTCTTGTTCAATATCGACTCGACACTACCCTTTTTTGTCTCGTTGCTCGTAAACCACATGCCTCGTAGACCCAGACTCCTTCAAAACGACATGTATATGCCCACCTAGATCAGCATCATTCATCCTTCTCAAATGCATCGTTCAAATAACTAACAAACAACTCCCTCATCCCATCAGCCGCCATGTTGCCCACCCTCTCCAGGCCGATGCCACCCCTGTTCAACCCGACAAACGCCCTCCTCAGCCTCTGCAGCTGCGGCAGGCCAACTTTTTTGCCCGCCGGCAAGTCTACAATCAGATCTTCCCTATCGGCGGCGGCAAGCGGTACCTTGACCTCGCCGCCACCATCGTCCCCTTGCTGCTCCAGTATTCTCTTGACAATATCCTGGGTCTCCCGCTCGAGAACATACAAGTAATCGCCGCCAGCTTCTCGGCCACGCTGAACCGTAGACTGGTTTGGCTTGACGACTTTGCGCCCCTCGCCGGCCATGGCGTCCCAGAGATCATCAAAGGTTCGTTTCGTCTGGGCCTCGTCGTCGTCCCAGAGAACCGCAAAGAGCGGAGAGTCCCAGCGTGTCATGGGGTTTGGTTCCTCGTAGCGAAAGACGAGGTTGTCCCAGTTGGCCGGCTCATAGGCCTCGGGCACAGATTCGCCATGGTGCTCGGTGGTGTCTTGTCGTCGTCGCCGCCTCTCCTCGTTGACCTGCCTCGCCTGGTCCACCGGGCACGCAACACGGAGTATGCAGTTTGGCGTCCTCATGGCCTTGGCCTCGCAGTGCAGCTGGTACCGCCACCCCTTGATGTAGTTCAGACCGTCGAGGATGACAATGTCCCTTTCGGAGAGCACGCGCTTCACGGCGCCGTACAGGGCTGCGCGGGCATCCTTCTCGGACGAGTTGGCGGACCGCGCGTGCAGTCGCACCGTGTCCGGGGAGAGGTCGTACACGGCGCGGGATATTGAGAGGGAGTCGTCGGATATGAGGTGAAGGCGGTACTTGGGGGGTTGGGTTTCTGCTATGCGCGCCGACAAGTAGTCGTGGAGTTGCTTGGCGCGGGTGGTTTTGCCGGACGTGGGGAGGCCGGAGACAATGATGAGCTGCAAATTGTGTTGGCTTTTGCGTGCGATTTGGGGTCAAATTGTGTTGGGGTGGTGGCAGCTTACCGGCATGGTGACGTTGTGTGTTGCGAGGCAGAGCCCGAGGCGGCGATCGATGGAGGGATGTTGCGATGCCATGTCAACTTTTTTTGGTGGGGTGGTTCAGACCTCTTGGTGATACTACATACATACGTACATGCATGCATTTGCATGTGGCAAGTACCTTAGGTACCTACTTGGGTACCTTTGTTATATAGAACACTTTATTCACATCTTCCCATTGCATCTCGGCATTGCATCTCGCAATTGTCTTTCGCAGTTCTTGATTTATGAAGAATACTCGCAAAGAATAACTACCTCAAAGCTTCAAAAGATGTCTCTAAAACGTAAAGTGAGTGGACCCACTCCAGATATGTTCGCTTGCTCGGTGGTGCTTGGCTTGACCTGACTCTCCCTACTTTTACAGAAACCTGTCGATGAAGACTTTGAGCAGTACGATGACGTCGATATGCTAGAAACGTCCGAGAATGAGGAGGACTTCTCCGAGGACAAGGTGCTTCGCTCGTTGCATCTCCCTCAGAAACACCATCATGCGCACCAGCAAGGAACAGAACGTCAACGGCCTACCTCAACTCACAATGGTCCTACCAATGATTTATGAGACATGTAGGGGATTTCGTGAGCTAGTGAACAGATACTGAGGCGGTCGGACAACTTTCTGGTCCAAGCAGCGGTCGTCGACTCAAATCAACGCGTAGTGTCCTCCAGTCACATCCATCATGACTGTGCAACAGTTGAGGAGCTATGGCAGCTTGCCACCGATGTGAACGGAGGGAGACTCACCAGTGTTGAATCCATAGGGCTCCGAAGAGCATTTGGATCTCCATCCATACAGCCCCCTCAGGGGTATAGCGTGGCCTGGCTCAACGAGCAGTGGAGGCTGCTTAAAGAGAAAGCTCCGGACCTACAGATTGCGGAATGGTCAATGCATCCGCATGATCGAGTGCTATACGGGAGAAACTTATCAAGGGCAGGATATAATCCTGATGATGTGCTACCGGAGACCACCAGCTAGGTCTCGCCGATGCAGTGGCTGCAGTACTCCAGTCGAAGTCTTCCCGGTTAGCAACTTGGATATGTGGGCTCGATTCGTTGGACAGCAAGAGAGGAATCATTATGCTGCTCTTTTCTGCAGACGCGGATGCAAACGAGCCCCAACGATACAAGGGACCAGCTACTACGTGCGACAAGTGTCTACTTGGTAACCGAAGGCTACTTTCGCAATCCTAAACGCATCCACGTGCGTCTCGGAGTCCCTCCTGCAGCCCTTCCTCCAGTCGTTGTGAGCCAAGCCGCCGAGAGCCTGGTTCGGCAGGCTTACCAAGACGTCAATGCGGCATCAAATGGGGTACATTTCTGGCATCAATATCGAACCAATGCACATTACCTTGCCAGATATGGCACCTACGATGGTGATGCCAAGGAGATCGACATGGCGTTGCTTGGCTTATGAGACTACCAGTTTGAAGCATTGCGACACATGCGGTACCCGGTGCATCAAGGCGAGAAACTCCCGTAAATGCAACCCCATCAAGTGAGTGTCTTGTGGCGGCAACACGCCTAGTTGGCTAAAGGAGTGTAGCCGTTGCAACGACAAGACCAAGCGGCTCCGGGGCAGGACAAGCAGTGACACCGATCAAAATCAAAATCATTGTATCGACTGTGGCGCGGTGCAGAACGGAAAGTAGCGCAGATGTCCGACTTGCTTGCTAGCCATGGAGCGTCGCATGAAGCAGGAAGACGGCTTGAACACCGATGAGGAGGGGCGGCCGCGTCGTTCTCGTCGTCCGGAGCACCAGCTAGGAGACAGACTCTGTTGCGATTGCAAGAAACCAGTACCACCCGAGCGCTGTAGGTGCCAACAATGCCAAGAAAAATTTACCAAAAGGCGGCGAGTGGAAGATTCGGAACTGAAAAAAAGCCAAGAGACTCGCTGAAGCCGAACGTTGCGGTGACTGTGGCGTCAACTTTTTGCCCTTTCCTGGAGAATCGATCCGGTGTGCCAGTAAGGGGCCAGGGAGACATAACAAACCAAAGGTGTGAGCCTTGCCAAAAAAAAGATTGAAGACGAATCGAAAGCAGCGGAGTTCCTCGAAGCCCTCGGTAGGCCAGACGCCATTTGCTGTGATTGCAGAGAGCCAGGAAGAGTCGGCAAACAAAGATGTGCTTCATGTGCGGTGAAACTTGGAAAAGACAGAAGGAGGGAACGCCAGAAAAGGAAAGGGGCCGCTCAACCGACCGTGGACAAGGCAGACTGGAACCAATCTGCTGTGATTGCAGAGGACGGGTGCAGATTGGCAGAGCACAGAACGAGAGCCACGAGACGTTACCGCGAAAAGCTCAAAGCCGCGAAAAAGAGGGAAGCTGATTGAGAGCGGCAATGGATAGAATTACGAAGCCATGGCAAGACTTGTCGCTTTATCACGCGAAATTAGCGTCAACGAGATCAAGTCTAGAGAAATGCTGATTCTTTTGCGGAATGTATTTGATTGAGGATTTTCACGAAGCTAGCCTCTGTTATCCTGCAGTGAGAAATACTTCACATTCAAGTATAGTCGTTGTTCGTTTTTGAGGGCCAAAAATGATCCCATTTGAGGTGACGTAGCCGAGCATCCGTACTCCCTCAAGACGCGTGCCGACGCTTAATCTTTCACCATCTGCCACTGTCTGTTTTGTCTTCCTCGCACGGCCGGATTCTCTCACTGTTGCTGACGAAATACCCTTTGCGTCCTCTTGCGTGAGCGCCGACGCTTCCCGTGGCCGTCCTTTGATCGTTCCCAAGGCCATGTAAGGAGAATGCTGATCTCCCTGTGCTCGCCAATCAGGCATGTCTTGAGGCCTCAAACATCTCCGGACCCTCTGCCACCAGCGCAATGGTGTGCCACGCGTTGTCGAAAGGCTGCTCCTGGTCGTGCGCAGGAACTTGTCAAGTAGGCAGAGGAAGAACAGAACAGTACCATGGCAAATCACCATCGCTGTAGTCTAGGCCCGTCCCTCGGGCCCGGGCTTGAAGGTATTTTCGGTTCATTAGGCAAGGACAGAACATGGACAGGGCCCAAGTCTAATAAACGATGTATTCTCCTAATGCTTTAGATCTTTGCGAGCACCTTGATCCTAACCGTTTCTATACTACTGGTATTCCCCCTTAGTCTCCACGTTCACTCGTAGTAAATTGAGCCCTCGTACTCCCAAATGTACTACCGTCCAGCAGCGGCAATCTTCACGCCCATCTGCCTCGCGTGCTGAGCCATGAGGGCGTCAGCAATAGTTATAGCGGCCATGGCCTCGACGATAGGAACCGCGCGAGGAGTAACATTAGGGTCGTGACGGCCCTTGGCAGCCAGGATGCCCTCGCCTGAAGCGTCGTAGCGAGCAGTAGTCTGGTCCTGGGAGATTGTAGCGGGGGGCTTGAACGCAACGCGGAAGTAGATGGGCATGCCGTTGGAGATGCCGCCCTGGATACCGCCGGAGTGGTTCGTCTTGGTCTGCAGGCGGGAGGGAGGAATGCCAGCGCCAGCGCTCGGCGTCGTATTGTTGGCAGCGGTGGTAGACACGAAGGGGTCGTTGTGGCGGGATCCGCGCATCTCGGCGCCGCTGAAGCCAGAGCCAATCTCAAAGCCCTTGGTAGCAGGAATAGACATAATAGCGTGGGCTAGGAGAGCCTCAAGCTTATCAAAGCACGGCTCGCCGAGGCCGGAGGGGCACCCGCGAATAATACAGGTTACGGTACCACCAGTAGAGTCGTGCTGATCGCGGAGCTCGGCAATCTTATCCTCCATACGCTTCGCGACGGTAGTATCAGGGCAGCGCACGGGAAGGAACTCATCTACCTTCTCGCGGGTTAGGGAGTCGATAAGGTCGAGGAACTTAGGGTTGCTACTAAGGGAGTCGATATCGTCGCTATCGGTTATAGGCCTGTCCTCAAAGAGCTTGATGTTGCCAACCGAGGAAACAAAGGCAACAATCTCGACACCGTAGGCCTCGCGCAGCCACTTCTCGGCAACAGCGCCGGCGGCGACGCGGGCAATAGTTTCGCGGGCGCTGCTCCGGCCGCCGCCAGAGGAGGCCTTGATACCATACTTCTCAAGGTAAGTCCAGTCGGCGTGGGAGGGGCGCGGGTAGAGGTCGATGGTCTTGGAGCCGTAGTCGTGAGGGCGTTGATCCTCGTTAGGCACGGTCAGGAGTATGGGTGTGCCCAATCTGCGACCCTAGGGTATTAGCATCATGGCAAACATTATGACTTCCTGTAGGGTTGTCACACGTGCGCCCAAACTCGCATCCAGATCCTATAGTCACGCGGTCCTTCTCGTCGCGCGGGGTGCTGATGGCCGACTGGCCCGGGCGCCGGCGGTTGAGCTGCGGCTGGATATCGGACTCGACGAGGGACAGGCCTGGCGGGCAGTTCTCGATGATACAGGAGACGGTCTTGCCGTGGGACTCGCCGGCGCTGTGACGATGGAGGTCAGTGGGCTGTTGTCTTGCGCTCCTGCCAGTTTAGTGGAGGGAGAGGACTCACGTCGTCACGCGAAAGTATTTGCCAAATGTCGACATGGTGTCTTTATCTATTCTGCATGTCCACTAGGCGAATTGATTGACGGAAGAGAGAGGTGTTGGCGGGGGAGGAATGTAGCGATATCGCAACGATATTTTTCTTTAGCGGTGACTAATCGTGGAGGGGCGTGTTACGATTCAACGTTTCCACACTGGCAACCCTGGTCCTGCATCAGGTGATATTGTGGGCCCCTTATTTATGTAAAGCAGTCTTGAGTCGTGAGCTGTGAGCCTTGGAGCTTGGAATAAGGCCTTGATCAGGTTTATAGCTGCTGTCGAAAAGCAGGTCTTGACTGGCGCCAAGATCAGAGTATTTCGCTCTACTACTATTTGGATAACGCCTTGGGCGTGACGAAATGTGGATGGGAAGGAGCTAACAGGTGCCCCCACCCGGCTCCGATGCCCTCCAACATGGTGATGCGTCAATTCAAACGCAACAAGCCCTTGGATGCAAAAATTGCCGCAATAACGGCCTAGACACTGACACCGAAAAGCCCTTCCGGCAAACCTTGAATCAAAGGCAGGAGGCAGCCCAAAACGCCAGCACAGCCGCGTAATGAAAAACTATACATATGCAGATACATACTCGTCAGACCGCAACCAGGGACCAAAACGGGAATAACTCCAACTCGGCCCGGGTCTCGCACCCGCATTCTCAAACAACAACAGGTCCCTTGGGGAGTAGTTGCTGACCCAAAAAAAAAACACAGCCTCACAGACCTCGAATCAATTGTAGTAAAACCTCACAGCGCCCAATGCATACTACTACTGCAAATTAAAAAAAGGGACCCTTATCGGCGCCACGGCCCCTCCGATCCGACGCCCGGCCGGCCCCCAGCCCACCAATGGCCCTCCGGCCTGCTCAGCCCGTCAGCCCTACAGAGGAAATGCTTCAGCAAATCCATTCGAGGCCACTAAGCCGCTTTAGGTAACTGTTTCGACGTCGTCGTCGTCCATCCAAGGGCTGAATTCGTCACTTGCGGCTGACAGGTTTGCCTATACCTTTCAATTTTCCTGTTTCGTGCAAGGCGAGTCTGACCCGAGCATTGGGATTGGCTCGTGGTGCCACGCGGGCTGAGGCGTCGGCGTCGGTGTGCTCCGTTGTATGTGTGCCTGCACCGTGCCGTGATCCGAGATGGCGATGGAGTCTTGACCTCGCGCGCATGTATAAGAAGGTTTGGCTGCTCTTCCAGAATGGAGGGGAGCTTGCATGGACGCTTGTTTTGCATCGAGTCGTGTACGTAGGCTTTCGCCCGCTCACATCTGAATCTGATACGATTTCCTATACCGGCTTACATCGAGGTCTGGCACACGAGCTTACACCTTGTTTTCCGGTCTCTCATACCGCCTTGCACGGATTTCACATTGTATACCCTTCTCGTCGGACATCACCTTCCGAGACCCCAGACACTCCCGTCGCAATGGCTCACTTTGACACGTACGACGTCATCTCGGTCGTCGGCATCCCCATCTACGTCGTCTTCCTCGCCGGCGCCGTCTTCCTCTCCGTCAAGCACGGCTTCAAGCAGTCCTCGGGCTGGCGGTACCTCATCGTGCTCGCCGTCGCCCGCATCATCGGCTTCTCCTTCCGCCTCGCCATCATGAACGACCCGGCAAACACGTCCCTCTGGATCGGCTGGATGACGGTCAACGGCCTGGGCCTGGGCCCCCTCGTGCTCGTGCTGCTCGGCCTCCTCAGCCGCGTCTTCGACTCGGTCAACCGCCAGGGCCACGTCGTCCTGACCCCGACGCACCAGCGCCTGGTCCAGCTGCTCGTCCTCGTCGCCATCGTCGTCACCATCGTCGGCGGCACCCAGTCCGACTTTAGCTTCCGAAACGGCGCCGTCAGCGTCGACTACGCGACCGCCAGCCGCGTCGGCGTCGGCCTCATGATTGCCGCCGTCGTCCTGCTGTGTCTCGAGGCGCTCGTCGCCTTCCGGAACCAGGGCTACGTCGCGCAGGGCGAGCACCGCATCTTGCTGGGCGTCGTTGCCTCGCTGCCGTTTGTCATTGTGCGCCTCGTGTATTCCTGCCTGACTGTCTTTGCCGGCGTCAACTCCAACGTGTGGATCTATCTGGGCATGGGTGTCCTGATGGAAATGGTGGTGGTGTTTATGCTCGAGGTTTTGGGCTTCACGCTGGACAGGGCGCCCCGAGAGGCCAAGAGTGACGATCCTGAGCTGCTAGCTCGGCGAGGCGGCCAGCAGTATACCAGACGTTAGTAGAACTTATGAGCTTCGAATTCTTGATTTTCTTTTTTTCTTCCTTGCTGCTGTTTGGGAATACTCATTTACCTTGGTTTAGTTTCACGGGTTTCGGCATAGCGGCGTTGGGTATACCCATCGTTTGGTTCATTTTTGCCTACGCGGAGGAAAAAACACACGTTGTCTCATATTTGGATTCTACATGTCTTGTATAAATGATTTTATTGATCTATTTTGAAATCGATGCCTCTCGTAGTAAGTGCAACGCCATCAGTGTATCCTCTATTATACCGTTTCTTTTCAGCATTTCATCAAGCATCGTTTGCAAAAAACGTCATTGGGAATTGCCATCCATGTCACCAACTACACAAAAACGGATTTGATTGTAATGGCTACATGACCAATATGTACACAGACGCTGAAATGTGATTCTGACCCATCGTGACATGTCCACTCGCCATGGCCAGCATCATCCTTCAGTGACATGGCAATAACCCGTTGATCCAAGCCTATTTACCCGTAGCTCCCAAAGTCTATCCCTCGCTGGGGCATCTCGAATCTTATCCAAAGCATGTAAAGCATCATCATCTAGGTACCTTTCAACCAGTCCCATATGTCCAACATCCCTATAAACATTTAACCCAATAAAGTCCTCCAAAACAAAGGTATCTAAAAATCGCAGCATCTCAGGCTGGAACTCGGCATGTCCCTCCTCACATAACCGTACAGCAAGCCTTTTCCAACTTGCGCAAAATCTTGGGCAGCAGTTTGCCAACCATCTCCTCCATCTCGTTCTGTTGCTGATTTCCATGTTGTTGCTGTGGCTGCCCACCGTGGTATTGCCCACCGTGCTGCTGCTGCTGCTGCTGCTGATGTTGCCCACCATTGCCAGTCGGTCCTCCATATCCGCCGCCGCCATGCTGGCCAGGCTTCACGGGTTCTCCGCCCTGCAGGTTGATATATATCCTGCCTGCGTTCTCTTCTGTCCTGTACTTCAAGCCCAATTCCCTGCACACCTCTTCCACCTTGGGCTTGATCTTCTGGACGTGGCCATTGGAGTGGTTTCCCTTGCCCACAATGGCATGCAAGTGCTCCTGGCCTCGTCGCTGATCGGCGCGAATACGCTCCTCCAGTATACGCTCTGCTTCCTCAACATAGAGGCCGTGAAGGTCGATTGAGTCTCCGTCGATCTTGCCCTGAGCATTGTTCTCGCGGAAGATGTAGTCGGACGCCTGGCGGTTGTAGTCGTCGCGCTTGGCATAGTGTTGCTTGGACTCCCGGGAGTACTTTTGGGAGGCATCGTGGTCGCCCGAGTGGAAGGCATCTTGAGACTAGGGCGACGCTTGATGTTAGTCGAGCCGTTGCCCACCAGATGGTTTGCTGTCTTGTGGTTGTCATACTCTCTTGGACGCCTGGTGAGCCTTGTCGTTCTCGGCGCGAGCCAAGTCGCGCAGTCTGTCATATTCGCGCTCGACATCGTCATTATCAGCCGAGTGCAGGGCTAAGGGGTCTCGATTAGCTTTCGTTCCGGATTGATGTCGTTCGTTTGCGACTGGGGAGGAGAGAGGCATACCGCGTCCGCCCAACCTTTCCATGGGAATCGCCATTGCGTCGCGTCTGATGGACCCTGGGAGATTTGTGAAGCGGAGGTTCTGATGATTGGTGAAAGGGCAGCGTTGGTAGCGGCGGCGTTTTTGCAATTGCACAGCAATTGACGTCGTCGGTGTGGGAGGCTGTACTCCGTAGGCCGTCAACGGATCGGCCAACTTGATTGACGTTGGGCTGGGCACTTTGACTGAGTAGAATGTGGCTGGTGGGGTTCAACTTGAATCAAGTCAAGTCGGTTTGTCTGCGACATCGCGCTGAGCTACGCACCCATCACCAAACGACCTACGGAGTACCTCATTTGTATCGCCCTGCTCTTGCACATGCAATGGCAAATTGATGCAAAATGTACGTAGGAGTCTAGGAGTCCAAGCACATAGCAAGTATCAAGGCAAACCAAGAAACAGAAGTATTGACCTGACCCGATGTCTAGGGGTCCACCGAGAAGCTATTTGAATATTGAAATGTGGGATGCCTACTCCGTACCTAGGCATGTACATACATAGTTGTCCTCCCAAAGGGATCCGGGCACTTGGAATTGCCGCCGGCCTTGTACCGCAAAAGATTTTGAATCCGAACGAGTCGCAGACGCTGCTGAAATCGTATTTCGTGGGTGCAGCCTACGAATCAACATCAAACACTTATTACTCGATCCAACCCCTGTACGTTGAGCCACCAGTGACTTCCAAAAAATATGGGCATGCGACTAGCTTGCTGTTCCATTTTGCTGGGTTGTTAGGTTTTTGGGTTGGGCATTACCAGGTACGGAGTACCCGAGCGCAATCGGACAGATCCCTTCTCAGAGCGAACAAGATTGATTGCCCTGATTCTGCTGCTCCAAGACCCCGGCAAGTGGAAACGCGGAATACTTCTGGAAGAGTGAAAAGCTCGTTCGCTCCCGGGTTTGCGCCGCACGTCGCTAGGCCAACTGCCACCACGGCATAAATACATATGTATGGTTTTCTGCCCCCCTCATCAATTGGCCTAACATGGAGAATACTCATGAAGCAACGACCATCCCCAATCATCTACTCGCAGCCCGCTAAGGGAGCGGCGGTGCCAGAGTTGGAAACTGCTGAGAATAGAACCATATCATCATCTGCCGTCGCTGTGAATGACCCCAAGGACTCGAGATGGAACTAGTAGTACTCCGCGACTTGTCCATAGTATTCCCGTGCGACATTCCGACACGAGACATCTGGAGGAGTCATATTGAGATGAGGTCGGATCGGATCACAGACCTTTGCGGAGAAGAGCTGGCATAAGTCGTTTCCGAGAGGAACGACGATAGATCCATCGTTTTGACTTGTCATAAATTTGCCCTTCTGATCCAATTCCAAGTCTTGCATTTTTCTGAACAGCACGATGATAGAGAATGATTGGCATATCCATGTCAAGGGATGGGTTTCTCTCATCCGATGTGCATACCCGGTCTCAAAATTGTCTCTCAACCAGAAACAGCGTTTGAGACTTATATCAGGCTCGTCCTGGTCATAAACTCTGGAAGAAGTGCAGTTGTATACTCCGTAGAAAGCCGATAATGGATTGGAGATGTTTTGGAAACAACGTATGCCAATGAGCCAGAGATGACGTCCCACTCTCAGCGTCGCCTCAAACTTACGGCTCAAGACCAGCATTTTCAATAGTACAATCCGTATGTGTACATGTACGGAGTATGTATGTACACAGCAATGATCCAAGGTGGAGTCTGCGTTCCGGAGACTCATGCAGGCCAGGGTAGGGAAATTGCACACCTGGTGCAGCCGCCGTATCTAATTTGAGCCACATTGTCAAATAGTACTGTATGTATGTACATACAATGGTACCTTCATAGAGTATTCCATCTGGATGCTAGGCGATGGGATCATCCGGTGCATGGGTTGCCATAACTGAAAGGATGACAGGTTCAAGTTGTTTCGTCAACAACAGGCTGACAGACGCGACCATCCAGGCCTCGTACAAGGAACGGTGGATCTTGTGGTTACACTTGGCGGTGGAAGTGGCCGATCTGGCGCAGGAGAGCGCTCGTCCGGCAACATGTAAAACAACGGCACGCTAGGCTGGCGCTGACGTCCGAAGCAGAATCTGAAGTTTGAGGCATGTTCATCGGCTGGGTTGCATCTGTGTGAAATCATACATAACATGCTCTTGAAGGCCGGACGCATGTGCAAACTAGTAATAACTAATGCCAATCCGATTGATGCCCCCATGGTCTAAACGAGACAGCATCGTTGATGAACGTCGTTGGTTGGCGACCCTGTCAGCAGCCAAATGGAACGCTGACCTGTGAGAAGTTTACCACCTCTTAGCAAAGACACTTTGGTTGGTTACGATGATGAGAGACGTCGTCGCCCAAGTGCCCTAATAGTAAAGAGTCTCCGTTCTCGAGAGGAAGATAACTGACCAGGATCCATTTCCCTCCGTAGAAAGTGTCTGAAAACGCCCTCATAGTGCACTAGTTGTCGTTCAGCACGAATGTTTACATAATATTCGCAATCAAGATGCTACTTCGAGGTCATATAGCGCAATCCGCGTGCCTGCTTTCCCTGCTATTACTGCACCTTATTAGACCTGGCAACGCCGCTCGGTATTGGCAGCGTTATGGGGTGCTGGTCTTGGCTGGCGATGGTTAACTGTTCGTCACAGCACTCGAGACACAGCCAAATGTCATGTCACTGTCTTGATCAGCAGGCGGAGTAATTCGCGGCTCCTCGTACGGCGCACAACACAGAGTACGGAGTAGTAGTACTCCGTACTCCCGTGCCAGCCAATTTGTGCAACAAGGCTTGATCCGCCTATAACCACAGCTCGCCAGCTAGGAGATTCCAAAACAGCGCGACGAGGGCCTTCATGCACCTGGCTCTGCCGCCTATAGCTCCGCAAGCCATCCTGGTCTTTCGTTGTTCTGGTTTCGTTTCAGCGACTCGATTGAACCAAAGCCGGCAAGTCTCGTCAAATACCTAGGCATGGGGCAATTGGTACCTAGTACTAGTAGTACTCCGTAAATACTAGGTAGTTACTCCGTACTTCGGTAGTTATGGAAAAATCTGTACCTAGTCCAAACAGACGTGAGAACAAATTACCTTAGCCTGGCCTAGACCAGGCTGTTCAGGGACATCGAAATGAGACCATGGATGGAGATGGATTTCCCCACCCCTTGCTGGGCCAGGCCAAAGATGGTGGTCCGGGGCCGACATGGCGCCCTCACATTGGTACTCTCTGGTCAGGAACGCTTGAGCTTGTCTTAGCTGAGCTGCGGACTGACGAAGTTGCAGCACGGAAGAGAGTAACCCTGTCTGGCACCCGAAGAAAAGAGAGACAGACAGAGAGAGGAGAGAATCGGCGATTTTGTCGAAGGGGCACGTAAATACGTTTCCCCCGGGCGATGGTGTTAGGTGCCTCTTCGTAGATATGTGTCTGCTGTTACAAGGTAAACGAGGACAAGATGACCATATCAAAATGGGCTCCCATCTGTACGGAGTCATTGGACATAGTGGACTGTGAAGTCGGGCTGAACTCGGAGGCCAGGACCCAGTGAGGCGAGATATCGTGCCAATGGATTTTGCGCACTGTACGAAGTATACGGCTGGTGCAGTGCCGCGCTCTTGACATCGTTTGCGAGACTTCACAGTGCGAACTGTATGACCCGCCTTGCCGCCTGGCCTTGTCATGGACTCATGGCCCAGCAGCCTTATTCATCAGCGGCGGCACAAGCAACATTGAAAGGAGTCGAAAGAAAGTGAGCCACGGGCCCTTATTAGCGACGTGCGTTCAAATGCTGGCCCTGGCCTCGGTGGCTCGAAGATCGTGTTTAGATGCAGATGCAGGCAGAGCATATGTATGTGCGAGATCAATAGCAAAGCACAATCATAATCTTCAGAAATGAAGGGTGCATTCCGGCCAGACATCTCTTCAAGTCCAGATGTCTGCAAGATTGGTCAACGGCTGGCGTCTCTGTTCGTCGCTGTTTGTCTCCTCAGCCTCTGGTTGGCTTTTGGCCCCATGGCCATGCAAGTCAGGAGCGAGTGCCCACTCTTTCCAATCTCACTTGCACCACCCCAGCCCAGCCCAGCCAGAGCCAAAGTCGAAGCCAAGCCCAGCCCGGCCCAGCCCTCTCTCTTCTCGACGGTTTCCCTCCGGTTTCCTTCCCCTTCGCAGCTTCCCAAGTTCGCGGTTCGCAGTTCCCAGCTTCCCACCAAACTGCCACCCCCGTTCTCAAGTGCTCAAGTGCCCCAATCTCTCATCTTGACTAGACCAGTTGACGCCGTCTCCTTCCCCCGATAAGCCTCTGGCTTTGCGCCCGCCCGCCGTCAGTCGCTTCTTCCCTCCTACAACCCTTTGGCGTCGCCTGTCTGCGTTCTGCAGTGTCTGCACTCAATTGGCGCTCGTTGTTGCCAGCAGACCATCCATCTCTGGTGAGTCGGTGCTGTCGATTCCTCAACTTCTCCTCAATCCCCGTTTGAGCGTTGGAACTTCTACTGTTACTGCGTTGTCGCCCTTACCCCCGACCCGTCCAGTCCCCGTCGTCGCTTACCCCTAGGAGGCGCGGACCAAGCATCCCATGCACTCGCACGACTCGTGCCCTCTCCTCAAATAATACATACGCCCCGTCGTCCCAGTCAAAGACACCAACTGCTGCCTCTCGATGCTTGCTTTTCCCCTTTCTGCATTCTCAAGTATCGCCTTTGGGTGGTGGTCGTCGACGTATTGCCCGGAGCCTCTGCGAGCGTCTTGCACTCTTATTTTTCATCTCATCTGCTAAGCCCCTTTATTTGCTAACCAGACCGCGTTTTGGGGCAGCACCGTTTCTTTCCGCCCTCGGGAGCCCGTTTCATCGCGTCAAACAGCATAAACTCCGAGTTACTCGACTTTTTTTTTCGAATTCTATCTGCAGAACAATCGTCGCGATTTCTTTAGCGCCGCCAAGATGGGTTGTGGAATGAGCACAGAGGAGAAGGAGGGCAAGGCCCGAAACGAGGAGATTGAGAATCAGCTGAAACGGGACAAGATGATGCAGCGCAACGAAATCAAGATGCTATTGCTCGGTATGTGAGCTGCAGAGAACCTACTCGGGCGACATCTGGCGACGTCATACAGAACCAGCCAAGTTCCATTCTCGAATTTTTGTGGTTACTGTTACTGGTCGCTTGGTGCTGGCGCGGTGCAAATCCCCGGTACGAAGTGTTACTAACCCATCTTCCGATAGGTGCTGGTGAATCTGGAAAGTCTACAATTCTCAAGCAGATGAAGCTTATCCATGAAGGTGGTTATTCACGTGATGAGCGGGAGTCCTTCAAGGAGATTATCTTCAGCAACACTGTTCAATCGATGCGAGTCATCCTTGAGGCCATGGAGTCCCTTGAGCTACCCCTGGAGGACCAGCGAATGGAATACCATGTCCAGACTATCTTCATGCAACCCGCCCAGATCGAAGGTGAAGTTTTGCCTCCTGAGGTTGGAGGTGCTATCGAGGCCCTATGGAAAGATCGTGGTGTTGAGGAGTGCTTCAAGAGATCACGAGAATACCAGCTCAACGACTCTGCGAGATAGTACGTCGTGCTTTCGATTGACGGAGAGCCATTACCTGGATGACTAGGCTAACTGTCAAATAGCTATTTTGATAACATTACTCGCATTGCAGCCCCGGATTATATGCCAAACGACCAGGACGTTCTGCGATCACGAGTTAAGACAACTGGTATTACCGAGACTACTTTCATCATTGGCGACTTGACCTACCGCATGTTCGATGTCGGTGGTCAACGATCAGAGCGAAAGAAGTGGATTCATTGCTTTGAGAACGTTACTACGATTCTGTTCCTGGTCGCCATTTCTGAGTATGATCAGCTGTTGTTCGAAGATGAGACCGTCAACCGTATGCAGGAGGCTTTGACACTGTTTGATTCTATCTGCAATTCGAGGTGGTTCATCAAGACGTCAATCATCTTGTTCCTCAACAAGATCGATCGTTTCAAGGAGAAGCTACCCGTCAGCCCGATGAAGAACTATTTCCCCGACTATGAGGGTGGTGACGACTATGCTGCAGCTTGCGACTACATCCTCAACCGATTCGTCAGCCTGAATCAGCATGAGACCAAGCAAATTTATACTCATTTCACCTGCGCCACCGACACTACTCAGATCCGCTTCGTGATGGCGGCTGTCAATGGTATGCCTCCGTCCAAGTAGCCACCCGTCGTCTGTGTTTATCTAAAGCTAATATTGTTCTCTAGACATCATCATCCAAGAGAACCTTAGATTGTGTGGTTTGATCTAAACAATTTGTTTCATTTCTTTGTCTTAAAACACGAATACCCTCAAGCTCAATAACGACCACCCAGGGGGCCACGGAGACACGGCTCATGATTTTTCTTTCATTGTACTCGTATCAGCGTAAAACGAGAGACTTGATGTCTCTTGTTTGTTCCCCATTGCCTACACTTCTATCACAGTTGTAAACTGCGGCGCTACGCTGTGTATGCGAACCCCAGGCGATGGTTTTTTTGGCTCTTCTGTGGGACCTGCTTGCGCCTCCATGCATACGATAGGGGTATATACGATGTATCACCGGGTGCTACAACACGATACCCTGTATCAAAATACGGCAGAAAATGGGTTCAGAAAGGAAGAGTGTGTGGACAGAACCTCGAGCGGGGAGGGAGATACTACACAGCATCGTGAGTAAGTCGGTGCATCGGCGCGGTGGTCATCTACTTTGTTTAATTACGAAAACTATTACTTTTTTTATTATTTCCTTAAATTTTTCGATGCTGTCGTCTCTTACTTGCGCGTGTCAGTTGTCTTCATCTCCTCTTCATATTTGTTTATTCTTTCAATTTTTTCATCTTACTTTGTGGGAAATGGCACCTCAAGACAGCCTATTTGGATGAAGTGGTGAGAGAGTTGGGACGTGCGATGCGGCGGTTGGAAATTATGGAACAGGAACAGGGCTTAGCTAAAGCTAGATCCAAAATTAAGATACACACATACATTAGCTGGCACGGCAGGCTCAAGTGACTGTATGTTCACTACATGCACGATGATCCATATGACGTAGACCACTGTGGTAAGTAGTCGGTACAGCAGGCAAATGGAATTCCTTGATAATGAGCTAGTTGTGTCTACTATACGTCTTAAGGATGTCCTGGCTATACACGTTCAAAAGGTGGTGAACCAGGGTAAAACCCCTTTTACAAAATGTCCAATATCGTCTCGTTTTTGTTCGTTGAGTCTGCTATAGTTCATGATATACCTGAACTGAACTCGGGGTATAAAAATTCGCAGCAAATGTCAATCACAAGCAAAGTGTAAAGTAATAACAGATGCGCGCCTCTAACGCGCAATGTGTGAACCCCCTTTCATAGTTCAACCAAATAGAGGAGTAGAGTATCGAGAATGAGGCAATAAGAATAAATCTTTCAATGCGAGTCTTTCGTTTGCTCTGATATTCTCTGCATCCTCTGCAGTCGCCTTTCTTGTTTTCGTGCATCTTGGATTGATGAGTTGATGAATGTAGGTGTATTTGATGGATAGGTCCGCTTACCTTTTCTTGTTTTCATGCCACTCGACGTCTAAATTTCAACATTCTCGCTTTGCGCAATTCCATACTTCAAAGCTTGCCGAATTATAAGCCTGTGTGCGGTGAATACTGGCTATGGTCTCGGAAGTTCGTTTTCATTACCACCAGGTCATGTCAACGGCCCGTGGGGCGAGTTATCATCCATAGGCATGTCTCCCACCTGACTCTGAGAGAGCTGATCTTGTTCCAGCCTTTGCTGCTCGGTGATTCCTTCTGTAGTTTGCAGGTACTCATCGTATTCTGCAATACGCATGCCTAATTCCTTGGCTGCGGCCTCGATTCTGGCAATATAACGTCCTCTTTTTGTCAAGTTCACGATATCTCCCATGGTCTGGCTCAGAAACTGCCTAGTTTCATCAGCCAAGGCCCATTGAAGAATCTCGGATTGCAATGACCCAGCGGGAGGTGTTGCCGCAGAAGAGAGTTGCTGGTATGCCGCTACAGGCGGCGCTACCTGGGCGGAGGCAGGACCGGCTGCAGACGAAGCAAAGTGGGATGGCTGAGGGTTATTGTTCTCTAATTTATACAGCATCTTGTTAGGACTGAGGATACATGAATTAAGGTAGAAAGGAGACTCTATTGAGTCCGATAGCAGCCACGTACCATGAAACGTACACCTCGAACCACTCGCGTTAAACCAGCAGTTAGTACAACTACCACACATTTGGCCGTCGTACACAACACATTGTGTCCATGGGCCGTGGCCTTTGTGACAATTCTTGCATGGCCGGGCAGCTACTTCACCGGTGACGTGGGCCAACAGAGCCTCGACGTTGCTACGCCTTTCAATGTTCAGCTTTTGGTCGCTCCGTCGTTGCGTTGGCTCCCGACGTGCTGCCTCTCCCGCAAGTTTCTTACAAAGTGCACTGTCAATTTTCAGGGTATCGCTGTACGCCTCCATCGCCACATCAGCCGCAGTCCGACTTGGTGCATAGCAATTACTTTTTTCAGAAATGCTCGCATTCCCCGTTGGACCCGGTGAGGGAGTATGAATACTGTCTGAGAGATTATGTTGGTCTAATTGCAGCACTTGACGATCGGCTTCCAACGCCTGCTGAAGGCTAGAAATAGAACCACCAGTGTTGCTGAGCATACCCGCGTCAGAGAGCTGTACAGAATCACTCAGATGGCTGCTCGCATCAGCCATGGATGAGTGTCCTAGATTTGCCGCATCCCTGGCGAGGCCATCATGGGAAGCTTGTTGCACCAAAGCTTCCAGCTGGTCGTGAGCTGTGCTTGGTAGTGGTGAATATCGACTGCCACGGCGAGGAGCGGTGCCCGTCTTTATGACCTTGCTAACTTTGCCTCGCGAGGGCATGTTCTTCATGGTCGCATGGGAATCGCTGAATATCAGAGATGGTTGTACCGACACAACTTCTTCTGTTGTAAAACGGCCGCCATGGTTGAACGGCGATCCGGGAACACATGGGTGTTGCTGGCCTAGGTTGCCCAGAGTCTGATCGCCGCGTTGCAGCCCATGGTAGGGCGCCCAGCGGCGATTCATGACCCGCTGTGATTGGCCCAATGGGTCTCAAGGCGTGGTATGTTTTCGGAGAACAGGGCCTTGAGGTAGCCACCGGCTTCTTGACGTACAACGAAGAAGAGAATAAAAGATATTGTACGTACGCAACAGGGAAATGAAAAGATTAAAGATTTACGAGATGCTTTAAATGTTGGGAACGGATGTTGAATGGGAAGATGTGGGTGCCTGAGGCCTAAGGAGAGGAATTCCCAATTTAGAAGCCGCAACTCACTTTCTGCTCACCTGTCCTTCACTTTGCAACAGGGGTGGTCTTGATGGTGAAAATTCCTACAAAACACAGCTCACCAGTGCCATACGCAGGGTCAATCATCACAGTTGCATTGCAATTTTTTCAATTTCAATTCACGTCCTTTACATCTGTTTCTATGAACGCTGACCAGCCTATTGACCCCATAATCCCTCTGCTCTACCCTCCGTAATCTCCTTCCACTGTTGGGCGAACTCCCGAAGGCCCCCCTCACCCGCGAGACTGGCATCTACGACCTCTTTTGGTAGCTTATGAGCAGAGTACTGCGGCGTACTGAAATTGAAAGCCGCAGGATCGTCCTTCTCAATAAGCCTCAGCTCGGGCAAGGCATTAGGTTCATAGTCGATGTTGGTATCGTCATCCGTCTCATCTGTGCCGGTCTCATCCCCACTAGCGTCTACAGCTTGGTCAGTTCCGGCCGAGCCATATAGCGGAGCCTTGACTTCCATGTCGAGGAGTTCTTGCCACGAGAAAAGCAAAGTATCCGTCCGAGGGGCCCAAGGGTTAATATCCATAAGGCGAACTTTTCCTAAACCATCGTCTGCCAAAGGATCCTCAGGCATGTAAACGTCGAATGTGAAGCAGGCATCTGGAAATGTGAGTCTCATCCTCTCTCTGAAAAATGACCTAATCTTTCTCCATATTTGTGGGCGAAGATCCTGCAAAAAGTTGTAGTAATTCAGGTCTCGCTGTGTAATGCCAATAAGTGACCGATGCTTAACAAAACAGCGGAACTCGAGAGCAACGTGCGGTGTGAAGAATGGCCTGAGGACAAGAACCGGAGAAAATGGCCGAGACGGCGGTGCAGGTGTGCAACCGTCGAACGCATGATCCAAATCGTGTGAGACGAATGACGACGACTTGAGTAAGAGGTATATATCGTTTGGCGATGTGCATTTTAACGTGTTTTGATGTGGCGACACCCATTTGGCGTCCTTGGGGGTTGACCAGTTGAGTTTGGGAGCAACGGCTCCGCCGAGTTCCTCAATGGTCTCCTTTATTTTTTTATGTGTCTCGGGAAACCTCTCATTTGGAGGTAATCTAGGTGCCTCATCTTCGTCCTCGTCGTCTGAAGAATCCATATCTCTCTTGCCTCGGGAGTCGGAGTTTGCGCCTGATGAATGCCATTCCGGATCTGCGGGTGCAACAGAGACATCTTCGTCGGCCAACAGAATTCCGTCCTCTTGTAGATATGCCACAAAAGTTTGAGGCAATGGGATGATTCTTGACTTCAAACAAGAACTCCTGTAGCTTGGGAACCATATATCGTATGAGCAGTTTTGGATATGGTCTTTCGTAACTGGAGGGAACACGAGCTCTGTAGCATGTTGTGAATTTGCGTCTGGGTCCGGCGTTAGGTGAGGCATAGTTCTAGCTAGTATTTAAACGATATCAATGAATAGGGTAGAGAAAAGTATAATATAGTCTAGCATTTATAAAGAACATGTATATTGCCTGACGATGCCTCCAGGCAGAAAGTTCTCGATCTGGTTTGACTCGCAGCATAAAATTACGTTGCATCCTCTATTGCAAGGTCACCCCCACCATCCGCCCCCGTTGATTTTGCCACCAGGCTCTTGATCGACACAGCACCAACTCACCGCTTACTAAATTTGGTATGACTGATTGGTATCCGCCTCCCCGCTACCAGGTTTCGGCAATCCTTCAACCTCACTATCTTTTTGATAATCCACCGTTCTAAATAATACGAGTCAAAAATGTCAGAAAACGTTGGTCTATCTACTCCAAGGGGCAGTGGAACCTCAGGATACGTCCAGAGGAACCTCGCTCATCTTAAGCCTCGTGACCATGGAGCTCCATACCCCCAGGATTTGGATAGCTTACGCCACAAGCAGCGACAACCCGACAAAGGCATCCTGGAACATGATCGCAAGAGACAAGTTGAAGTCAAGGTTTTTGATCTAAGAGATAAACTTGAGGAGGAGGAGTAGGCCATCACTCTATAGACTCCATTGTCATGATGCATGCTAACAGAATGCCCAGGATCGATGAAGAAGAGATTGACAAACGATGCGACGAACTGCGCGAAAAGCTCCTCGCAGAAATGGAATCGGGAAGGAGGGGGGGCTCCGGACCGAGGCGAACATTCAAAGAACATCAAGTTCACGAAATGGCTGATGCCAAGATCAAGGAAAGCGAGCGATTAAGGAAAGCACTCAAAATTAGCCCTGAATATGAGGAAGGCAGCCACTGGAAAAGACAAGAAGAACGACTACGAACTGCTCTTGAGAAAAAAGCGGATGAGAAGGAATGAGGGAGAAACCGAAGCTCGCAATAAGAGAACGAAGGCCACGCGACAATCTGCTCAAGTTCGAAGGCACTACATTCCACAGCTGCGGGTCTATTAGTAGACTGCCCAACACGTGTGTATCGGCGATTGGCTCGAAAAGTGACCTGAGACGGACCCTTTACATTCACTCTTGGTTCCGAGGAAACCATGATTCCTCCTCAATACTTCGAAGCATGTGGTGTTGAGCGTTTACCGCTCTGGAGTATCACATATCACAGAACTAGCACAAGTTGATTGGGAGGACGCGAGTGGAAATGGAGATTATGGATGAATGAGAAACACCGCCGGTTCAGAATCGGACGAATCCTTCACGCTGCGGAAACTCCACAGTTCCGAATACGACTTGCAGCTGACAAGACTGATGGGACAATTCATGAGTGAGATGAGGCGTTAATAAGGATTCATACAGTTGCGTTACATGCAGCTCTAGGATAAAATACGACCACAATGGCATTTCTCAATCCTAGAAAGCTTTATACTATGATTGTAATATCACGAGTTTTCTCAGGCCCGAGTCCTGTCGCCTTTGAGAGCGCTCCGCCACTGGTCTGATAGTTGATTGAGAAATAATGAAACGATTTCGGTGCCTGGAGGGCGGGAAGGAGTATTAGATGGCTCCTGCCATTAGTATTCCGCTTTGGGAATCAGACGAGAGGGTTAGAGTTTTGTGCATGAAATACTGTCATACGCCAAGCTTGAGTACGAGGGTTATATCTTTCATCCTGTGTGACATGTCGTCAAATTCGCTGCATTTTACGCAGTACAGCTCGGCTTGCATGTCTATCAGGCGATTACAGTCACATTCCGCCCATCATTATTTGACCCCCGCCCCGGTCACCGCCAACATGATCCTGGTAATTAATGCGCAGCTTCACCCTCTCTGGTCTGGACTCTGATGTCTGACGGCTTGGGCGAATCGCACCGACCGCCGACTTTCTTCAAGACTGTGGGGTCTCTGATGCGAAAGTAGAAAGACGAGACTACTTTTTCAAGGGCAGTTGGCATCCTCCATGAGTTCCCCCTCGATCGTCGCGACACTGAGAAGCAACAGGTGCTGACCCAGCGCCGTTCAAGCCTTTTACATGATGCTATCGACGCTATCTGTTGTGCTGTTCCTTGCAGCTGTGAGTTGGGTGACTGATGCTGGACGTTCAGGACAGACTGGCTTTGAAACCCGTTGCTTGTCTTTTGAGCCAGAGAAGCTGGTTGAGAACTCAAAGCGCATGCGCCTCGAGTATGTCACCAATGGCACGACTCTGGAATTTCCAGACAATGACCCGTCGTGCAACAGGGCCTCGCAGCTCGTTGCCGCCAATCTATGCCGGGTAGCGCTTTACATTGAAACATCGAAGCGGTCTGGCATTACCTTCGAGCTCTGGTTACCCGACAAATGGACCGAGGCAAGATACATAGCAACTGGCAACGGCGGCGTGGATGGATGTAAGTTTGCCTTCAGTCTCCCAATTCCGCATGGGCAATTCAGATCAACTAAACCTCGAAAGGCGTCAAGTATGAGGATTTGGCATATACAACTGCCAATGGCTTTGCGGCCATGGGAACGAATAATGGCCATAATGGCACTACGGGCGTGTCATTCCTGAATAATCCTGATGTCATCGAGGACTTCTCGTATAGAGCGTAGGCCACACTCCCACAACCATTGATATTGCCTCTAGTGACTAATTACCGGTTGAATTGTTCTCATTTAGCCTCCACACCGGCACAGTAGCAGGCAAGTTGTTAACCAGCCAATTCTACAACAAAACTCCCGCTCATTCATACTACATTGGATGCTCTCTGGGTGGTCGTATGGGCGTCAAAGCTGCTGAAGCCTTTCCAGGTGATTATGATGGAATTGTTGCCGGATGTCCTGCCGTTGACTTCCTTCATCTACAAGGCGCGAGAGCCATGTTTTATCCCATTACCGGTCCCGCTGGCCCGTCCAACTTTATTCGCCCAGAGTTGTGGACTGGCTTAATCCACGATGAGGTTCTCAACCAGTGCGACCTTCTCGATGGCGTGAAGGATGGTATCATTGAAGTACCAGACAAGTGTTACTTCGACCCCGAAACCTTGCAGTGCCCGATGCCCTGGTGGCCATTCGGCAACAAGGACAAGTGCCTCAACTCTCAGCAAGTACTGCAGCTAAGGAAGATTTACGCCACCTACAAGTACCCCAATGGCACGCTCATATTCCCTCGCATGAATCCGGGTAACGAGGAGCAAGCGATAAAGAAACTTTTTGCCGGGGCACCTTTCAGCTATTCTCAAGTAAGCACTTATCCCCATAGCAAAGGCCATTGGCACTCACTGAGTAAATTAGGACTGGTTCCGATATGTTGTCCTCAACGACTCAACATGGGATGCTATAAACTATGACTCCTCCCTCGTAGCCATAGCCGACGCCCAGAACCCCTTCGATATCAGAACTTTTCCTGATAGTCTTCCCGCATTCAAAGCAAGAGGCGGCAAGATGATTAGTTACCACGGTGGCCAAGATAACCAAATCACGATGTTTAACACAGAGCGTTTTTGGGACCACATGGCCAAAGAGGATCGCCACTTGCACGATTATTACCGGTTTTTCCGAGTCTCTGGCATGTTCCACTGCAATGCTGGTCCTGGGGCTTGGGCATTCGGACAAGGTGGTGGTGCTCCGGCAGCGGGGATCCCCTTCGATCCCGAAAAGAATGTGCTTGCTGCTATTGTTGCGTGGGTTGAAGGAGGGAGCGCACCGGAGACTTTGACGGGGACAAAGTTTGTCAATGATACAGTGGCTTTGGGTGTTGATTTCCACCGTAGGCACTGCTTGTAAGTTTCATGCTGGAAGCTGGGGAGATATATCGCTGACCTGTGCAGATATCCAAAAACGCAGACTTACATTGGTGGAAATCATAAGCATGCTTCAAGCTGGAAGTGTGTGTAGTACGGCTCCACTAAGAGTTAGTATAAATATAATGTAATCAAAGTTTCATCTCATCACCTCATCATCTCATCATGCTCTTTCCTATTGCCTTGGCGCTATTATTCCAACGCTATATTTAGGTATCCGCCATACCCGTGATCCTCGTGAATTTACCCAAGTAAGGGTCGTGGAGTGGCTCGGTGAAGGTCGATCGAGGCTTTCTCCATTTTCGCGTAGCCAAATCGTGGCCTACCCTATTGAACTAAAAGGCATATGAAGTTTCAGCAAACCTCCTCTTGCGCCATGAAGAAACGAGACGAGAATCAACATACGCAAAAGGAGGTTGTGTGGGAAAGGCAAAATTATTTCGCAGGTAAAGGTAAGTTAGAAGGAGTGTCCGAAGGGGGCCCAGTGTCGAAGACTGAGGATGATTGATTTTCCATTAAGTAGAGAGGCTCGAGGCTTGTGTACGGTAAAGGAGTGAACATGCATTGGGGACCATACACGAAAGCGGAATCCTCGCGCAGCATTTGTTTTATCTCTTTGGCTGTGTCAAGGTGCATTTGTTGCATCAGATTACTCCGCATAGTTCTAGCTAATAAGAAATCTTCACTTTAAAAAGGTATAAAGTCTTCGGAAAAATAATATAAGATTCAAAGTATTGATAATACAACAAAAAGCAACTATCAATCGCCGTGGCTGGGGCTATTGCGGGCAGCCTTTCCCGGTACGCGGCGATGAATCACTTATCCTCTGACTACATGTCGCTTTTGACGCATCGTGATAAAAGACGGTTCTCTGGCGGTATTACCTTACTGAGCCTTACCTGATGCAGCGCTTGCACGATTATTCAGATAGACCAAATAAAATAAAAAGTTTCATAAAAAAAGATATGCGCTCGTCCTGTTACTAGAAAGGTGTCTATAAAGTATCAATCGCTACAAAGTCAATGGCGTCGTTGCATTAAAGGCACCTTAGCACACATGCCGCCAAATTGATTGGTCTCAGTCCCCCTCAGTGCTGCTCTAAAAGGACAAGCGACCAGATCTGGACATCTGGACGCCCCACTGATGCCCCATGCAAGCTTCCTGGACGTCACACGTCACTACTTAAAGTAGAGGTCAACTTGGTTCGCAACATCCAACCACCCGGCGATGTCCAGTTCCCAATCTGCTTCCGCATCGCGCTCAAAATGGCACTTCTGTCACAGGATCCCCTGATCCCAGGCACCGCATCTGCACCCCCCGACACCGCTCTTGCGGAATTGACACAGCTGCTTTTACGGTTGCAGAACAACCTTCTACATCCAACTCCAGAACGAGAAAAACGGCTACGAACGAGCGAGTACGAAAGGGCGAAAGCAGAGGCGGTAAGACAGGCTGAAAGCCTAGATATGGTGCGATGACTGACGAGCCGCGGTGCAGAACCTGGAATACGCACGGAATGTCTTGACGAAGCTCGAACAGGATGCCCTCCGTGTCAAGGCACCGACGAGGAGGGTGGAGACGCAGAGCCTCTTGAATGTGAACCGAGATCGACTAGAGACGCTCCTTGATCGACTAGAAGACTTGCGACATGTTAGGACAATATATCCGCTCCATGATCCGATTGTTGCTGACCCACGTGCAGATGGCGATAGACGAAGACGACAGCTCAGATGGGGAGGATCTCTTGGGCCATATAATCCCTACGCCCAGCGAAAGCATGGACTCAAGATCCTCAGACACGAGAGACGAACACAGCGCGCTCGAGACACCGCCCAACTCTTCAACTCCAGAACCCATTCCTCAAGAACCCATCCGACGTACACCATCACCAACTCCAGCCGGCTCTTCACAGCCAGCTACGCAAACCACACAAACTCTACGATCGCGCTCATCTGCCCAACCGACCGCAGCATCACACACCACCGCTAGAGCAGCCCTCTTTGCGAATCGTCCCAAGCCACCCGAACCACAAACAACCACGGCCACAGCCGAGGCCATTCTCGAGAACCAAAAAGCTGAGCAAGACGACCTGTCACGTTCCATTCTTCAGCTGGCAAGCGCACTAAAACACAGCTCAAAACGATTCGCGGTAACGCTAGAAGCTGACAAGGATGTACTCGAGAAGACGGGCGAGGGCATAAATAAGGCGGAACAGAGCATGCGGTCGGCTGCTGGAAGAATGGGCAAGCTGCGGCAGATGACGGAGGGAAAGGGCTGGTGGGGACGGATGATTCTGTATGCGTGGGTGTATGGCCTGATGCTGGGTTTGGTGTTGTTGGTGTTTCTAATGCCCAAGTTGAGATTTTAATGTATTATGGGCTATGAATAAAGGGCGTAACCCGGCGGACTGAGATATCACTGCGTATGGCCCGGGTTTGAAATTGTATTACTCTATGATATCATAAGCAAGGTTGTTTTGCCTATGGCAGGTATGTGATGTAGCGAGTGATTTGCAAGTTTTGCATGCCCTGCTCCTAGCTCTGCTTTCATTTTGACGGTGTTGGTCGTCGTCTGCCTGCCGATTCTCCCTCTGTATATATCCCTTCGTTCAGCCGAAACTGCTCTTTCGTCATCCGTAGACATTATATTAAGCCCTTCCAAGTATGCTAGATGAAAATTCTCCGCTTCGTCTATTATTGCGCTCCATTACCGCCAAACTCACGAAAAGTCTCGCCAGACTGCCCACCCACATGTTTATCTCGTTGGCGACGTCGTCTACCGCTGGGTCCCAGTCCAATATAGCTTTGCCTCAATTGTCACAAGGATCTCGATCCGCGTCGTTGGAGTCAATATCCATGTCACGGCCGAACAGCCCTTCAGAATCGCCGCTCTGAGAACTGCGTGCATCCTGATCACCCTCTGTACCAGGCACACCTTGTTCCTGGACCTCACTCGTGTCAATCTCGTCCAGGGATGGCCCCCTTATCGCCCTATTCAACTCGAAGCAAAAGTAGCGGGACCATAGCTTGTCCCGTCCGGTGGATTTGCCACCCGTCTATTCATGATCAGCAATCACCACGAGTCTCGCTGACAGCAAGAGCACATAACGTACCGGGGCCGTGTACTGAAAATATTCAGCCGGCATCGTGGCCTGTCTAATGATTCGTTCCGACCAAGGAACACCCGTCTTGAGTTTGAAAAAGGCTCTAAACGCGTCCATCTGCGTGTGCTGCAAGGTGGGAAAGTCCGTCTCGCGATAGTAGTGCGGCTGGTTGTCGCCTTTGGACTTGGAATACTTGGCTGCGAACCAGTAGAGATGCGGCTTGGCCCTGGACTTGTAGAGCTATATATCCGGGTTAGGCACTCGACGCAACGACCTGCATGCTGGATGGGAAGGGCTCACGCAGAGTGTATACTTCTCCAGCTGCTCTCTTTCTGGGCCTGCCTCGGGGCCATGGACCGTAAGACGAGTCAACTCGACCTTGTACGGGAATAGCAGGTCATCGTCGAAGATTTGGTAAAGGTCTGGCGTTGTCAGTCACAGCCGGCGATGGAATAGACAAGTAAACAGGGTACGAACTAGGGTCGATAAACCGCTCGGCCAGTCGTTTCCCCCTCTCAAGTCTAGTCGCTCTTCGCTCCTTTTCCTTCTTCTTGTTGTACTTGGCGCGGAGGTCGTAGTCTTGTTCGGGTTGTCGCGCTTCCCTGCCGCCCATGGACAGGAGGAACCATTCGTAGCGGACGATGTGGCACTTGAGCCTGAGTGCTTTTTTGACTATCGGTAGTTAGTAGGCTCTTGCTTTTGGCTAACATGGCTGGAGCTTGGGTCGGAGGCATGAAACCAATTGCATTATCCGCGTTGAACTGTTCCTCGGAGCAGAGAAGGTGAGTGACACTCTCGTCGAAAGTGGTTCTGAACTCGCCCTTGCGTAGCTTGGTCCAGTTTTTGAAGTTTTCTACTGTGTTTTTGTCTGGGAGAGGACCGGCTGCAGCTATAACCCTGCCTCTGAAGATGGGCTTTGGGCTTGAGAATGAATTGCGCGGCATGGCAAAGGAAGGATGAAGTAAGTGGTGATGCAGAATATGTGGGAAGCAGCTCAAACCAAGCTGCTTACAGATATTCGAGAAATAGTGAGAGCCAAAATTTTGGTTTCAGATGCAGATATATCATTGAATTCTCTGGTGAGGACTTGGTTCTTGGTAGTTGTTGAAACAGCGAATAGAAGGTATGTGAAGTTGGAGGTTGTTTTATACTACGCAGACGGTCAACTCGGTAGTGAGTCTGCAACTCGGAAAATAAAAAATAAAAAATAGAAGGGTATTAAGAAATGAATATAATAATATGAGCCAAGTGCTGAATTCCAATTGCTAAGAAATTCAAAGGGACCGGAAGGAAATAGACGGCTTAGATGGATGGCCCCGTGGTTGTTCGTGTAAGTGCTCCGTTTGTGTTCAGGGCGATACTTACACGCGCGGCGAATCTGAGCTCATGGGACAGATGCACCGTCTCGCGGAACAAATAGTCGACAGTAAGTCCATGGCGCCTATAGTAAATTAAGTATTCTATTCCACGTAATGCCATTGCATCCTATTATTTCGAGCAGATATTGCCTTTGTTGTAACTCTGCTTGGATACACACTGGTTGAATATCCCGAAGCTTGATCACGGAAAGTAAGCAAGTGTGGACAAGACGTTGACAGCAGCCCAGAGGTGCAGTAGCAAAAACGGGGTGAACCTCAGAAGTAATCCGGTACAGAAATAGAACCAACTGACATCCATGTCATACTTTATTTTCTTTCGCAGACCTATAATAAATTATCGAATCGCCTTGCCGACCCTGACAAAAGCATCGATTTTCTCAAGACTCTGTTTGCCACCTTCCTCGACGCCACTGCTAACATCCACACCTATTACACGATCACTGAGGTCTCCCAGTGCCTTAACAGCCTCGGTAACGTTTTCTGGGTTCAAACCTCCAGCAAGAAATATCCGCAGATCAGGGTCCCTTTCCAGAGCCGCCTTGACTTTCGAAACATCCAGCAGCTTTCCAGATCCAGCGCCCGAGTCGAGCAAAGGAATGGTGTGATAGCCACGCAGTCCGATTCCGACATTGTCTGGCTTGAATGATCGGATGACTGGGACGGGGATAATCTTGGCCCACTCGATGGGTTCCTCTCCGTGAAGCTGTACCATGTCCAGTTTATACAGTCTCTGCTTCTCCAAGACTTCACTTAGAGGCTGGTTCATGAACACACCTACCAACCGCGTCCTCGAGCTCTGCAGACGATCTGCTGCGGCGGCGAAGAAATCAGCAGCTCCGCTCTTGGGAACCGGCTCTTCTTTTCTGTCTGCCAGATTGTCCCCTGATGCATGAACGGCTTCTGAGATGGCCAAAGCAGTCTCGTGTGAGACACATCGTTTTGTACCGGGCACCAGGATGATCCCAACGAAGTCAGCTTTGGATTCCACGGCCTGTTTCGCTGCCTCGGGACTTCGAGTTCCACAAACTTTGACAAAGAGGGGCTTTGGCTGTCGTTTCTTCTCCGTAGGCTTGGATCCTGAGCATAATTCCGTAATGAAGGAAGTGGCGTCTGGCGCTCGCATGATTGACTCGCCAACAAGAATCGCGTTGACACCATCATTCTTGCATGCAAGCACATCTTTGTGGCTGTTGATACCTGAAAGTGCACATATCACTGTGCTTTCGGGAACCATTTTCCGCAGTCGGCCGGTTGTGTCCATGTCCACTTCAAAGCTCTCCAAGTTTCGATTGTTGACACCGATGACTTTTGAGCCGAGCTTTACAGCAATCTCCATTTCTTCAGCGGTTTGGACCTCTACTAAAGGCTCCATTCCCAATGAAAGGGAGTACTTGTACAATCGCTCAAGGAGCTCGGTCTCGAGCATCTTGACAATCAGAAGCACAGTATCTGCACCGGCTAGTCTTGCTTCCAAAATTTGATACTCGTCAAAAATAAACTCCTTTCGTAGAATGGCAGGCCTGTTTGGCATACCATCAAGCACCTGTCGAACGGCACGGAGGTCCTCGATACTACCCTTGAACCACTCAGGTTCGGTAAGCACTGAGATGACACTTGCACCAGCCAACGCGTACTTTCTGGCCTGCACCGGTGCGTTTATTTCAAGGGCAAAAATACCCTTCGAGGGAGACCCGCGCTTGATTTCAGCCATTAAGGCTACATCAAAAGGTGTCTGCTTAAGACGAGCCAAGAAAGGGACTTGTGGAGGGGCTGCATTCAACCCGTAAGCAGCTTCAAGATCAGACATTCTCTGAGAAGGAATCTGTTTTTGAGCTTCTACTGCAGCTCTCCGATTTGCGTAGATCCTTTGGAGAATGTTGTTCTTCTTTGGCAGTGATGCTGTGGTGGTTCCGTTGGTTGCGGCTGGCTTCTGCAGTTGGGCGTTCTCTTCCCAGGTGCCACCTTGCATGTGCAGGAAATTCTTAATGATTGTACGGCCGTGAGCTGTCAGAATGCTTTCGGGATGAAACTGTACACCTTCCATGGCGAATTTCTTATGGCGGACACCTTGAATGATGCCTTGTGAACCATCGTCTTTGGCTACCCAAGACGTCACCTCCAAACATTCGGGAAGTGTCAGGCGGGTCCCTGCCAAAGAGTGGTATCGAGTTACGGGAAGGCCTTGCTCAAGACCGGCAAAAACTCCTTTCGAGTCGTGGGTCAGTGGTGACGTCTTCCCGTGAAGCCACTCCCCGGCAGAGTCGACCTGACCACCATAGACATCAAACATGCATTGCCTAGGGAGCGTTAGTGTTATTTCCTAGCCGGGCACAAGTACAGCGTAGATAGCTACTCACAACCCCATACAGACACCAAAAATTGGAATCTTGCCGGCAAAGTGTCGAATCGCGTCTCTGCTGACACCAGAGTCGGTGGTGGGATGGCCAGGACCAGGGCTGATGATGATCTGAGTTGGGTTCTTTTTTACCAGCTCTTCAACGGTGATTTGGTCATTTCGGAAAACATGAACTGTGGCACCCTCAAGAACCAGGTATTGATAAATATTCCAGGTGAAAGAGTCGTAGTTATCAATGAGAATAAGATTAGATGCCGTTGCTACCGGTGGTGAGGGCTCAGGCTGGTGGGGTGAGTGGTCAATGAGGGCTGGCGTTGTCATCTTGACAAAATGTACATGAGAGTTAAGAAGAAGGTGAAGTTGGGCTGTTGGAATTCCAGACGATTCTGGCTACCTTTGCTGATGGAGAGAGGATGCGCCAGCTTATCATTGACGTGAGTCAATGGTTGTACGAGAAATAAATTGGCAGCCCTTGCAACGAAAAAACGCCGATATCGTATAAAGTTATGCACTGTATATGCACACAAATCGGATGTGATTTGTCACGGTGCGTAATCAGTGCGTAATCACAGTGCGTCTATCTTAATGCTGCCTCCGATGAGTCCCCCGCAGTCGCCAAGGTGCAGTGCATCGTTGTTTCCCGAGCATCATTGATGGTTTGGGCCTATCCGGTACCTGGCCGGTTGAACATCGGCAGCGCCGTTGAGCTCCAGCCCAAAAAAAAAGTTGACGCTGAAGCGGCCTGCAGGAGAGCTCTGTTAGGTCCATATCGATTGCTGGGCTCGCGACAGCAGCGCGTCAACACCATTCTTTTTGTCACCAATCCCTCCTGGGTGATGCATCGTGTGCCACTGCCACTTTAGTGACGCTCGTGGCAATGGCGCCGGTGTCTGATAGCAAATATTTTCCCTCCCTGGGAGAGTGCTTGTCTGGGGAGCGAGTGCTTTTGTGAGTCTCAGCACGCTGAAGTTGAAGGTTGGGATCTGCCTCTTACTGACAATTGCTTTTCTCGCAGATCTTGGAGGCATGTTGCTACAGCTTTAGCCGACGACTCCGGAAGAAGGCAAAGAAGCACCGAGGTCGTTAATTTCTTGTCCGATGATTATGTCCACGCGCTCTTGAAAGATCCCTCTGCTGCGTTTGCGCCACCCAGTGAGGCTGCAAGGAAGGACTTCGAAACAAAAACGGCGCCAATCAACGTGACTTCAGCGTCGACAGAACGATACGACATCAATTTGCTCAAGCAAGATGCGGAATGGCTGAGCAGGAGCGCAAAACTTAATTTGGTTGCTTCATTGCGAATTGCTGCACTAGAAGTGCAATCGAGACCCAATCGCCATCTTCTTGGACCTTTGTCATCTCAGGACGCAACAAATCTTCAGGAAGCCGCAGGCCTTCAGAATGGACGAGGTGCAACCTTCATGTCAGACTTTGGAGCTGGCAACGCTCAAGATGCTGATGAGATATCCGCCGAATTTGATGCCGCCGAATCGAGAAAGCGCCGGCTTTTCAGCATGTTCCTGACTGAGCGAAGATATTTCATCATGACTATGGACTATTTGCAATCAATTAGACTGTATGGAAGACTACCGATCTTCACCCCTGTCAGCGACAAATTGGCAGCACTCTACAAGCTAAAGGCTTCGCCAAATACCAAGGACGAGAGCGTATCATTCCTGTCCGCATATCTCAAAGTCATCACATCCAGCATGACCAGCTTAGAGGCTGGTCTCAAGTCAGTGACCGACGAATCTATCTTGATGAAAGAAGATATTGAACTGGATTGGCTGGGAACCTTACTCACCGAAATCATCCATTCTCAATCTGTGGTATTCCAACTGGTGGATAGCCTTGGCAATGACTTCCCGCCCTCCAGTGTTATCAATCAGTGGTTTTCATTGATGGACTTGTACAATTTCTTTGATACCCTTCAACCTGTCCGTAAATATGGCCCGCGCTGCTTTCTACAACTAGAAGCTAACCAATAAACTAGATAAATCAAACGATCGGCGAATTGGTTCTGCCACTGAAGACAATTGCTGTTGCCGTCTCTATCAGCCTTCTTAAACCCGCCCGATCCTTGACATTTTTAGCCGAGAGAGAAGAGGACCCGACGCCGTCCGATGATATGTACGATTCGTACTTGATATTGTCAGACATCTTGGAGCAGGTACATAAAAGTGTTCTCAATGCGGCCGGGATGGATTGCGAAAGCGCTACTCCTGTCATCTTTGCTTGGACCCTTATTCTCCATCGTATGAACGTGTCATACCAGAACCGGACCGAGAAAAGGGATAATTTGCTGCAACAGAATGCACGCGAGACTTTCGAATCCGGTGGTGTCGTGCGGCCCATGGTCAGACGTAACTCCGCCGGTAGTATATTTTCCATTGAGTCTTCCAAGTTCGATGGCTTTCTTGAGAATACGACAACAGCTAAAGATCTACAAGTTGTAGAACAACTGGCCTCGGGCGCTACGGCACATGGAAAGGTTTTCGAAATCATATCAAACATGGCAAACTGCCTCGGCCCCTCGCCTGGAGGTAGCATGACACCTTTGCTCAGTTCTCGCATGCGAAATGCATTCCTTGAACTTCTGAAGGTGTCGTATCCCATTGTTGGATACCAGTCGGAGCCGGTCAGCGCTCTGCTTTCTCTACTCTCTCCTGGACGGGAATACTGGCAATTGTTGCCAGATCAAGATCTTGACGTTGGCCAAGATGTCATGACAAGCATGCTCCAAGACGACTATACCATGGAATTCTACTTCCAGCAAGCTCTTGACCGGTATCCATATGAATTCGTGCCTTTCATCAGCATGTGCAGGGCACTTTGCACTGCGTCTAGCGATTCAAGTGACAAGGACCGCTCTGACTTTATTCTGTCTCTATTGAGGAAAACGCCAACCATCAGTTTTACTCTCCCGGATGCTTTCCAGTCATACGAACTGGTCCAGGAGGACGAAAACACCAATTCTTTTTGTCTGTTAGAAGAGTTACCACTGATATCGCTGTCGTCTTCATGGAGCAGACGATATATTGAGGACGATGCCTACAGGCTCCCGGTTGGGAGCTATGGGCGATTTATTACCGATACTGGCAGAGTGGTGCTCATGGACTACAGTCACTCGTCACTCTCACTTCTTGGACGACAATTGGAAATCAACCTGATGAAAGAGGGATATCGCTGTGAGTTGGGGATGTTGCAGCCTGATGAGATTGCCGAGGTTATATCCCTATTTGCAACTCTCCTCCGCATGGAATATCTTCATACTGGAACAGCTTCTAGCACCGCTCTCGTGCATAGCGAAAGTGACCTCCTGGCTGAGATTAGCAAACATATCAGTGGCGGTAAAGACATCGTGGCGGTCGTTTGCGAAACCATGGATTATTACATGCAGGATGAACTCGCTGTGAGCGAAGAAGCCGCGATAAATGTATTGACGGCATGTGTGAAGTTTTTGCATGCTATCCTACCATGCCGGCCAAGCCGAGTCTGGTCTTACTTGGCTAGAGGCGAGCTGCTCGACTCCGACTCTAGAGCAGGAAAATTGTCCAAAATCACTGGTAACCTGGATTTGGTTTCAGAGAGATTTGAATTTCTAAATTCTTCACTCCTCTTATTCTCTGGGCTGATTGATACGGCAATGACCTCAGCTGTTCAGCGTCGTGCTGGAAACAAAATGGCCTCGAGGCAAAAGACGGATCTAAATCCCTGGCTGGGAACTGCTGACAAAGTGCTGACCAAGGTGAGTCTGTCCGTTGCGCATGCATCAGTAGATGCTTTTGAAAGCACATCTACTTGGAGGTTCGACAACGCAATAAGCCGCACACTGTTACTAGACAGTGTCGTGCCTGTCCTGAATAAGCTGGTTACATATAGCTACAGCATGGGAGAATCACCGACATCCGACAGTCTGACTGCCTGCCTACGGCCGGCTGCCTCGTATGTCATCGATTGTTTCATGACTCCAGCAAGCGGAACACTTCGATTCCAGCCAATTCTTTCATCGTTGGTCGATGCCTTCAGAATGCCCGAGGCCACGTTATATTCAACGCGAAATACTATTGCTCGACGCCAAGCCAATTCTATTTTACACTTCTCCACAACTCTCCTGAGGGCAGCTAATTATCTTGAGAGGTCCTCCACGATGATCGAAACCTACCTTTTTAAGAGCTCCACACTCCTGGCCCGACTTTGTGCAGTCTCTGATGTCTTTCGAGCAGGGGCTATTGGCCTCCTCGAGTCCCTCGTCGTTAACGCCGCGTCCGCTGCTTCTGAGCCGCCATCTCTTCTTGGGTATCTGGGGCCTCAGATTTCCAAATCTTTTCTTCAGGTCTTAGCGCACCTCGGACGGCCGTTCAATCTTACTCTGGAGGTCGGCACTATTTGGAGATTTTTCTCATCCATCCTTCGTAATAGACAGCAGTGGATGTCAAACTGCCTTCTCACAGGACAGACGCCGAGAGAGGCTATGAAACAGGAGACCAAGAAAGGCGATCTCTCATCCGATTCGGTATTTGCAACTGCCCTTGGAAGGTTGAAGAAGCTGAAGGAACTCGAGTCAGAGGAGGCTCTCGCCATTTTAGATTTCGTCGCCTCCGCGCAAAATTATTGGCCGTGGACGGTTTTCAGCCTCCTCAAAGACACCACCTATACCGATGGTCTCAGGGCATATGTGCGAGACCTGAGGCCGTCTCATCTAACAGTTAAGTCTGATGCTCTTCAGACAGCCGTCGATGCTAGAGTGGCAGCATACGTCGCTGAGACCTTGGCCATGCAACTTTATCATTTACGGCATCAAGGCGCCCCTGATACTCTTGCAAAGAGTCTGGTTGCTGACATGGACTATTACATTCGAGATGGTGTGGAAGTGTCTGGCTACAATAAGTCCCTGCACAACAACTTTGCCAAGAACTTTGCCAACAAGTACTCTGGTTGTTCGCTGGACAACTTCAAAAGGACCGTCCTTGAGCCTCGTGAATTAGGCAAGAATTACTATTACGACTTAGATCGTGCCACTGACATGTTAAGCTTTGATCCTGGGTGGCTAGGGCGAAAAGACAACGGATTCAAGAATGAAATGGAGCTAGCAAACGCGAATCTGTCACTAGTTGACGCTCAAATAGTAAGCGCAAACTTATGGGTACATGAATCACGAACAGGAATGCAACGCTAACATAACCAAAAGGCTCTATTCCATGCTTGGGAGTTCTTATTGGTAGAGTTGAGTACCAGCCTACCAAACGACAAGACGGTAGCGAAACAGATGCTGCAAGTCGCCCAACAATGTTTGAATGCGAATCAAGGTGCGCCTGGACCTGAAAGCATCTTTGTCAAGCTCATCGATGCCAGGGCAAGCTTGGCACTGGTCTTGGTCCAACGACTTGCCAAGTTATCCGTCCCGGTCCAGGATGTCAATCAGCTTCTAGGTACTCTCACAGGCACTATCCATGGTGTTGAAGAGCCGTTTGCCAAGGAGTCGATTGCCTACTACCGTACGCTGTTGAAAGCCCTATTTGTCACTCTGCGCTCATACCATCTTTCCGATACCAAGGGACTGTCCGAGTCTTCTGTCAACCTGGGTAGTTCAACTGTCACAGTCACGCAAACGGTACTTAATTTGTTGGACCACATTGTCGGCAAAGGGTTCAGGTCACTTGTCAGCCTCATCCATGACAACGATTCGGACATGTCCCCCGAGGACCTTGGCTTGTTGACCGCAATTCTTCAAGCCTGCTTAAGTATGCCCAACATGGACCAATCACAGACGCAGATCCTCAACATTATGGCAGCACACGATGTGGTCAATGCTGCTACGTCATTATTTTCCTGGGCAGATAAACTGGCACATCAGGGCGACCCAGTATATGGCGAGCTGAGCATATTGTTCTTGCTTGAGCTGTCCACTCTGCCTCTTTTGGCAGAACAACTAGCCTGCGACGGTATTCTTGGCAGTCTCCTCTCCGCCAACCTGTCAAAGTACATGCTCAGATCTACAATCTCGCCCTATGCAGACGCACCCTTCGCCCAGCGATGCTATGCTATATGGGCGAAGGGCTTCCTTCCTTTAATGCTAAACATGCTAGCATCGCTTGGCTCTACACTTGCTCCCGAAATCACATATGTGCTGAACCAATTCTCGCATCTGCTCGAGGCTAGCGTGGACCGATTCGAGGCACCGGGAGCCTCTCGAACAAAATCGAAGTCTACGCCACAATATCTCACGTTGCTGGCGACATCCGAGATTCACTCTCTGGCGCTCCTCACAAGAGTCTTGTCTGCCCTACGAGCTAATAATAACCGGGATATCCCTGCAGTCGAATGGGATGCGGCTGGTCTCTTGGAAAATGTTGAATTCTGGCTCTCAAGCAAGCGATTACTTAAAGAACGACTCCTTCCTTTGGGATCTCGCGAAACCGAATGGAAGAATATTCGGAAGGAAGCAGGAATTGCTGGCGGCAGCGAAAGCCTCTTGGAGGAAAAGATTGTTTCGCAGCTCGAGACTGTGCGTGACGTCTTGAGCGAGGAGTTGGAGAGCTAGAAGTTGAAAAAGCAATTCTTGTTTGGATTGATTTTCGACACGTTGGCTCTTTCGTAGCATTTTTCTTTTATTCTGCCTAGTGGATATTATGATTAAATATAGCAGCTGAGAGAGTATTTTGATAGATAGCGGGACGTGCTGGGACCAGGCGTTGGGATAAAACGGGCCGCATTTCTCACTCGTAGGGCAAAGGTTGGGTTGTGTGGACATGTACCATTCGAAAGATAGTCAGTAGCAGGATATAGAGCATACTGGTTACAACTAATTTCTTTTGATGGCTCTGGTGATTCATTTGATTATTTCAACAAGAAACACACGATACTACAACAACCCTCGTGTCTCCGATTAATTTTTTCCTGTATCCTGTTCCTGGATGCCCTCCGTACTAATACATGCAATCCATTTCAACGAATGCCCCTCGGCGTACCCGGCGCATTCATTCCCAATCACGGACGCCTAGTTCCTCATATCATACACTGGCAAGGGTTGGACCCGTCTCTTTCAACGAGATGTGATAACGTCCAACGCAGCCACACCTGTCCTTTACCATATGCAATAGTGCTGCCATGATGCTTCCATTTACTTATTCTGCATCTGCTGCGTGAGCTGTGCGTTATGCTCCTGGAAACGGTCGCTGACACGCTGCTGCGTGGCCATCCACTTCATAACACAGCGGTTGATGCAGCCGTTTTCGCGGGTCGACACGGCCTTGGAGGTGAAGTCGTCGACGCATGACGTAAAGCAGTGCTCTACGAGGCCGCCAAAGGCCTTTGCCTCGCGTTAGTTTCTTTGGAATGGCTTGCTGCGGCTTGTGGAAGCGGAGAACATACCCCCATGAACTCCTTGACTTGGCGCTTCTGCATGCGCTGCTCCAGCATGCGCTGCTCGGCCTGTGTTAACCTAGATGGCGGTCAGGGCAGCTCTTGGCAATTGATATGGAGAGGAGAATGGCCGGGATTCGTACATGTCCATGATGGGCGGGCGGTGTCGGTGGATGGAATTGGATGTTTTTGTATGAGATGGATGGAGAGAGGTGTGGTCGTCGGGAGGCTCCTGATGACGCTGGATGAAATTTTGGTATGGGCTGGCTTAGGCTTGCCGATAAGGCTGGTTTATCTTATCGGTGGGTCCGCGTCTTATCGCCTCGGAGGTTAAACTACCTAGGTAGGTGCTTCGGCAGTGTGATTTTGGACTACGTACTTCTGTCAAAAAGTATAAAGAATAATGATAAGAATCAAGATTGTGGTAGTTGGCCTTTTTTTACTGCTCTGTCTCTCTTTTTTTCTCCATACTTCAGGATGGTGATCAAAAACAAATTACCATCACCGTTCCCGAGTGTGATGTGAACGGCTTGTCTGTGCTTGAGTGGCGCACTCTACTCTGGCGTTGATACAATTGAGTTCGGATCGAGCTAGGTACGGAGTACGTATGCTCATATTACTGTGTAAGCAATATACGGCACCACCAAGATCGTTGCCTATCTTTTTGCCCCACGGCAGACGAGCGACAATCTCCTCCGTGTGGCAAGACAGATGACCATGTGGCCAGATGTGCGTAGTCAGACTGAGCAGACCCGGTTGGTTGCCTGGTGAGGCCCGTATAGACGCTTCTTGGAGTGCTTTCCCCCAAGGAGCTGGGAGCCTTCGGGTACCTCAAACACCTAGGGCATCCTCAAGATGGCTGCAGAAATCTCAAACAAACACGGGGGACAATCCATACGATCTTCAGGGTTCCTGCCCATTCGTTTGGATCTGCGAGAGCTGTGGGCGGGGACTGCCGCAAGGTGACGTGTGAGCTAGATCCCGGATGATCCAAATTTGGAACAGATGGGTGATGCTGACTCTGGGGTGAGATTGTCAGCTGGCGGCGAACCCCCGCTGTCGAATACCAAGCATTCCAAGAATATGTGCTACGAACTAACGATATCGCAGTTGCTGGTACTAAGACCTTGTGGCTGAGTGGCCAGTCCGTAACTTAGGTGAGCCAAAGCTGTGGGTGCTCCCGGAGGTGGCCTGCGCAAAACCCGGCAAGTTAGCAAGATTCCACATTGCATCGCAGGCTGGACGGACTCCAGGCGGCTTCATTTAGAAGTTATCGGCAGGCGCCAATTTGGGCTCGGCCTCGAGGTTGTTTGAGCTTCCCTCGTGTGAATGCTGGGTCCAGGGAATGCATACAGTCTTGAGGCCTAAAGCTAAGGCGGTTTGTTCACAGCCACAATTATATGACTGCATGGTGTGAGTTTGGTGGCGGGCCGGGTCCCATCTGCCTCATGTCGCGATTCGACGAGGCCGTCAAATAGACAATGAATGGGTCGACAACCATCTAGTGGTGTCTCAAAGGTATCATAGGCGTCGAAACGGCACATGCGCTTGTAGGGCGACTCAAGTGACTGAAACATTGGACATAGCAGCAGCAGCAAAGATGCGTGGTTGTTCCTTCCCAAAGTCAGGGCCGCCAGCCTTGTTCTCGTGCCCCTCCGCCATCAAAGAAACGGAGACCAAAACATCACACAATTGAGGCTGCGTCCTCTCTGCAGTGCATTCTGCCAAGCTGCGATACGATTGCACAGCTCCCTGCATCAGTCAAATCTCAGGGCCACGTATGACGAGTTCAAAGCCTTGCGCGCCCTCTTGGCTCACCTTGCCACGGCCCACTTCCGAGCCAGACCTTGGCGCACCTTGGGTTCTGAGCTTCTTGGACTGCCACCCAGCTCTACCAGCCCACAGCCAAACCCACAGCCAACCCACGGTGGTCCGTACTCCGTACTCCGTACTTCGTAACTTACTCGGTAGCTCAGTCCGTCCTTTGTGGTGACGTCCACTTGGCTGATGCCGTCGACGCCAGATTGCTGCTTCTCCACAGCAAATCCAAGCTTTCTGCTTTCTACTTAAGTACCAAGTACTAGATTGACGCCGGCAACTGGCTGATGGTTCCTTTGCCGCCTGCCCGCCGCCCATCTACTTGGTATATTGCATCTGCTGGCCCGCATCCTGGAGGCCAGACCTGGGGTTCTCTCGTCGGTGCCTACTCCCGCCCGTCATAACGCCTGTGAGTACTCCATTACAACACATGTTTGCTATTGTTGGCCCAACATCAAACCCGGCCTTGAGAGTCTCCCTGGCTTACATGTCCATGCCCAGCATTGTTGTGGCCGAGCAGTGTACAACTGACCTGCACCACGACACTAGTACCACCACCCACATCAGCCAACATTGAACCGCCCGCCTCGCACTTGTTTCATCACCACTCCCACTCCCATCAATAGCTTCCGCGCGCCAAACATCTCATGCTCCTCCCGCTCTTGCCTCCAACTATCGCTCACGCTCTCGGCGTCGCACGCTTCTGCTTCCTCATGTCTCTGACGACTCCATCGGACGCTCGACCACTCGTTCGACCGTAGACGGTTTCGCCCGATCCGTTTGAAACTCTTGCAGCGTTACAGGCCTGTTGGAATTTAAGCTCTCCATCACCTCGAGTCAGATTGACCGCTTACACTTGCCGTCGCAAGGACAAGACGAAGTCGCGACGTCGCTACAGCCAATTATACTTACCGTCATCAAGAACTCCGTCATCACTATATCTCCCAGTGTCCAACGACTCACCATTAACGCTGCCGCTGTCGCTCGCCGTGACGGAATCGCTTCGCCTCGGTCGCCCGCCAATTCGGCGTTGTGCTGCCGAAGTTAGATTCGAGCACATCTAGCGACGCAGTTGCACAACTGTATTCACTCAACCTGTTCTCGCCATAGCTCTTTGGTGTTCATTGAGCGCTCTCCTTTTACCATGACCTCGCCGATACCGACTACGAACCAAGCGAACTCGTCGCACCACCCTTCACCACCGGGGGCCACACCTGCTTCGCCGCCCAACAAGCGCGACTTGAAATCATGGTGGAAAGGCTTTAAATTGCCATCTAAGCAGCCAGATCCTCCAGGTACGATTTTTTTTGTTAATCTTTTTTCTCCTCTTCCCGAGTCATGTCATGGAAAACGTATTTCCTGGCTTGTTGCCTCCTTGCTTGATTCCAGACTTTTGTTGCGCAGTCGTCCATCCGTGTGGTGGCCGGTCCATCAAGCTGGACGTGGCAGCAAAGTTTCTGACAGCCACACTATTCTGCAATGGCTCCTACCCTGCCAAAATCACATCTTTTCCGCTCTTCTTTCTTGTGTATTGTAGAGGTCTAATATATTATGCTTCAGAAACCAAAGCACCTGGCATCTTTGGTATTCCGCTGCGGCAGAGCATCACATACGCCAATGTTGCTATATCCCTCATTGACGAAAATGGAAAAAGCTACATCTATGGATATGTGCCTATAGTGGTTGCCAAGTGCGGCGTATTTCTGAAAGAAAAAGGTATGTTTGGAAGCCTAAGCTTAGCCCAAAAAAAGGAATGTCACTGAATACTGTTGTAGCCACCGGAATTGAGGGTATTTTCCGATTGAGCGGCTCTGAAAAACGAATCAAGGAACTTAAGCACATCTTCGACTCGCCGGACAGATATGGCAAAGGGCTTGTTTGGGATGGATATACCGTCCATGATGCCGCCAACGTTCTCCGCCGTTATCTGAACGATTTACCTGAACCCGTAGTGCCTTTAGCCCTGTACGAGAAATTCCGTGAACCTTTGCGCGGAGCCACCAAACAACCAACTTCAGATGGCGAGGGACCAGAGTTTGTTGACAACTTTGACGAACAAGCCGCAATCAAGAAATATCAGCAACTTATTACAGAGTTGCCGCCTTTGAATCGACAGCTCCTCCTGTATATCCTAGACCTACTGGCGGTCTTTGCCGCAAAGTCCGATGAAAATCGAATGAACTCGCAGAATTTGGCCGCCATTTTCCAACCTGGCATGCTTTCACACCCCAATCACGCAATGGCCCCAGAAGAATATCGCCTCAATCAATGCGTGTTGATCTTTTTGATCGAGAATCAAGATCATTTCCTCATTGGCATGCAAGGCACCGCTGCTGATGAAAACACAAAGAAGGAAGTAGAATCAGGGACTCCTACCACACCAAACGCTGGGGGAGTCAATAGGTCTGCATCCACTGCAAGTGCTGGTGCCAACAGTGTTCGCAAGGAAGGCCAGTTGCGCCGTAACCGGTCTGTGTCTTCACGACACTCGAGAGGGGAGGGCAGTGTTGGCTCCCACAGCCCAGCCCTCGCCACGAATACCACAGGGGGGCTTGGTCGGAGCAATACAGTACCGTCGAAGAAATCTCCAGGCTTGGCAGGGGGGAAGTTCAGGAAAGCTGACAGCCCTGGCCACCAATCTCCAGCCCGCCTCGAACCTATGACTCCTGTGAGACCAGCCATGGCGTTTGATGAATCACGGGAGCCAAGCCTTACTCCCCCAGTGGCGGGGATAACACATCTATCTACTAGCACTGCTCAGGCGTTGGCCCCCAGCCAGGAAAGGCTGTTGGAGGTTCCCCAGGATTCTCTAACACCCCCTGTCAAGGAGCGAAACCTCCAAAACCTATTCCAGCGATTGCCAGCAGACGGCAGCGACAAACGTCAACCAAACAAGCTGAAGAAGAAGAGGATCCCAGGCAGTATGAACATCAGTGCCCAAAGCTCCAATGCTTCTCTGACACATTCAAATGCGGCCTCGCCAGCCTGGGAATCACCAAATCCAATGGAATCGATTCTGCATGTCTCTGAGAATGTTACTTCTGATCCGGCGAAGACGTCGCCTAGAGAAACACCCGTCAAAACACCTCAGGCCGGGGCTCAGAATCCTATTAACTCTAGCGAACCCCAGGTAACACAATCCAAACCTTCATTGCCAAATCAGGCAAGCGATATGTCTTCCGAACCGACACCACGAGCATCCCAGATTGCCTCGAGCAGTAGTTTGCACCCTGACAATAATTTCACCGGCAAGAAGTCTCCGCCAACATCGATTCACTCATCTTTCAATGATGGCTCTGACCTGGATCAGGCCCTTGAAGGCCAGACTGCTCCACAGATTGAGAATCCCGACAAAGAAAAAAAGAGGCGATGGAGACTGTCGAGAAGCAGAAAAGACGACAATGACGGCTCTTCTGGGTCTTTGGTGACTCCATCACCTGGAAATCTAGGATCTAATACTGGCGCCGAAACGAGCACAACGACCATTGGCAGCGGAGGTGGCAAAACTCGCAAGAGCTTCCAACACGATGGATCAGAATCGCATCTCTTCGATTTGCATGGTGGGCATGATGGTGAGAGGGAGAACGGAAAAGATGACCCAAAAGGCCCCATCGGTTGGATAAAAAACAAATATCGCGAGGCCAAGGAGAATGCTGAACAACGCCGAAATAAGTCACCGCCAGCAGACCGCCATGGAGATCGACAGGCGCTTGGTGCAGCCCTGACCTCCCGTGGGAAGAGCTTGGACATGAACAGAGAGAAACAGGAGGACGACAAAGTAGCAGAAAAGCCCGTCGAGAAGCCCGCCGAGAAGCCCACTGAGAAGCCTGTCGAGAAGCCTGTCGAGAAAGAAGCTCGTGAACCAATGGCCGTCGCACCTATGCACCACGACAACCCTAAGTTTACCGAGGAACTCAGGCCATCAATTACAACTGTACCTTTAGAATCTGTTCCCGAGGTGTCTAAGGAAACGCCAACAGAACAGATCCACACTATGACTGAAATGCCCCCAGCAGAGTTATCAGGGGGCCAGGCTGACCAGCCCGAAATAGAAGCTCCGTCTGCGCCTGTCCCTGTGCTTCCAACTACAGGAGAAACGACATCTGCTGAGACACCTGCTGAACTCCCCAAACAGGCATAATTCTGCTCCATCCCGCTATCTTGGATGAAATTATGCGATATTAACACGGCGTTCTTGGATATGGCGATGAGCATAATCGCTTTGTGCCTTATGCCTCCCTATGCTTAATTGTTGAATCTACATGCCTTTTAGTACCATTTTACCATTTTGTTTACGAAGAAGGCTTTCTGGTCTCTGGCGTTCGAGGCTTACCTAGCAACCATCGGCCTCTGCTGATACTATTTTTTATTTTATTTTTTTACAAAAGAAATCTTCCTACTTTACTCCCTGGTTTGGCCACCGTACGCCATTCCTTTTCGACTTCACTCACAATGCAACACAACACAACACAGTCACATATGTTAACGGTATTCTACACACCCCGGACCCGACTTGATGGATCCGTACTCGTTTGATCACTAGGCTGGATGCAGAGGATGATATTTGGATGATGACGTTTCTATGTAATGCATCGGAAACCAAAAGAGTTGGAGGTTTCTTTTTAAGTGTGGTTTCTTAGTGGTTTTATTTGCAACCCCCCTTTTTCCCTGCGTCCACAACACCTGTTCATTTCGTGAGCGAAGGAAGGGACAAGGAAGAGCTGGCTTGTTTTTTACATGGAAGTGAATAGAGCCGCCTCTCTACCAATGATATCCCAGGATAGTTTTGCTACTATTTTATTTATTCCCAATTCAATAATATATACACTATATATTACATACGACATTTTTCTCTGTAAATGTGTTTCTGGACACTAATGGATCCATCTGGCTATGCACGGTCTCAAGCTTGAAGTAATACGTCAAGGCTGATGTTTGTCGTGCGGAGCATCAAGATATACGCCGGTATCCCAAACTAGCATCCGGCCTGACCTTCGCCAGTCTTCGTTGAAGAAGCCGTTGAATCCACCCCAGACACGACGAGGCTTGATGCCAAGTGCCTTGCCGGCCGGAGTGTCTAGAAACGTAAGCAACCAAGGCTCGATTCCCTCAAACCCGACAATATAGCGAGGAATGCCAATTTTAGGCTGTGGTCCAAACAGCTCATTAGTTAGAAAGCCTATAGGGTCGTCGTAGAATCTATCCGCCTCATCGCGGTAATTGTCCCTCGCAGGTGTATTGGGCTGAGTATCCAGCGGCGGCTCACAAGTCAGCGCGTATGCATCCAGGCCAGGGTAGTATAGGTGGGATCGCCACGGCGTAGAATGGCATGGCATGAGGAACAGGGCGAATAGTTCATCGCGAGGTGTCGGAGGTTGATGGGCTTCGTGGGCGAGTCGAACAGAGGTCGGGTGGACGCGTTCGTATTCTTTCCGAAGGTACGATAGGACGTTTAGCGGGGCCGGTTGGTGGAGGAAGGAGAGGTAACCGGCGAGAATGAGATTGACACCGAGAGCAGCGATGAGATAGGGCTTGTTGCGGAGGCGGGGACGGGAGGTGGCTGCTTTGGATGATGGCGGCGAGGTGAAGAAGGAGGCGGCCCATGGAGCGGCCACGATGTTCAGTATGGGGAGGAGGGGGTAGATGAAGCGGACTTCTTTGTGTGAGATGAGGGATAGAGCAACGACTGTGGTGAAGACGGCAGAGGACAAGACACGCAGAATGTTTCTCTCGTTTGTTGATGAGGAGCCTGGTTTGTATAGACCCCAGAGGGCGAACGGTAAGCTGGTAGTGCAGAGGAGAGGCGCGCCCTGAGATAGGTAGTAGTGCCAGGGATTTCGGCCGTAGAAGACAGCTAGCGATTTCGAAATGTTGAAGTTGAGCCAGTTGTAAGGGGGGAAGGTCCAGAACCCAAAGTAGAAGTAGTCAGACGCGACAGATGTGCCGAGTATTAATGAGCCGCATAGGAAAGCCTCCCTAGCAAGAAGCAGGATCATGGACCAGGTCAAGGGAGATGAGCCCTTCAGGGACGCTCTGGTCAAGGCCATGCCTGAAATGGTGGCCCAAATGAGAAGATTTGTAGGCCGAAGCACCACGGCAAACGCAGCCAAACAGAGAGATAGCCGGAGACCCCATATGTTTCCAAGAATGTTGGCTGGCTTAGGGTTCTCTTTTGTCGAGACGGCCGCACTAAATATTCGCCACGGCCAGTAATAAAGGGCCATGACAGTAAGGGTTGTTTCCAAAGAATTAGAAAAGGTGCGGGTAGAGCAGTACCATTGCCAGGCGCTGAAAAGCTGGAGAAAGAGCTAAAGTGGTGTTAGATAGATTTACGAGGACGGGGATCGACATATGGCAGCTGTGAAGACGTACTGCAAAGAAGGAAGCATTGCTGTCTGGGCCAAAGATGTTGACAGCGAGTTGCCAAGTATACCAATCACCCAGGCTAGCAATCATGGCCTGCAAAACTTTTGGCGAGCCAACTACAATGGCAGATCGCAGCATATTGCCGGCTGGGATTAGCTTTGATATCCCATCCGCAACAAGGTAGCCTCCTGAGAAGATGGCCGGGTGAAGTGAGGACCTCAGTTGATGTTGCCATTCCTATATCGCGCTTTGTTAGTAATTAAGAACATGATACGACAGCAATGGAATGGTGACGGGGAAGCTGACCCAGGTCAGCCATGCACCGCTGTTGGGACCAAAAGCCAGACGCCATGCCGGCTCAAGAGACTGGAAGTATTCATCCGGCTGGAAGAAGGTAGCAATCCACCAGGCATTAATCAGGCGAATAATGATTATATCGCGAAGGAAGTTGGGACGGTTGCGCTCATTGCGGCGAATATGAGCGGGAGATATGGCCATGGCTGGCTCGTTGAAGCCTGCACACGCGCCAACGCGCTCAAGATGTGTCCGGGACCACGCCAAGGGAGGGAACCATTGATAGGGCGAGCTCGGAGTTCTGGAACAAGAGATCCGGGCACCAAGCGTCGCTCCTGGACGTGAGATTGCCGAGCCAGGCTAACGCCGTCAAGTGCTGGATTCCCCAGGTTGCTCTTTGATATCGAGGCGAAGGCAGATCTGGGGGGACGAGGTGCGTCTGGCTGGGTCGACATGGCACGAGTGGAGGCGGCCAATCATCAAGCGCCTGCCCCACCCCAGCTGGTTCTGGTTGGCTGACTGACTGATGTCAGCAGACACCGGGTGTCGGCGGTGGGACCTCCCGCCGCTAGAGCCGGTCTCGGGGGTTGTGTAGAGACTGGCTGGTCGCACCTGCCGCCATGCAACGCCCGTGGCCCCCCGGCGTTGGCTCCCCATCATCTTCTGACCGTCTTCAATTGACGACTTGGATAGTGACAAGTTTCACGTCGTCTATGCAAGGCGATGGGCCCGGCTGGAGACTGACGCACGTGCAGCAATACAAGGCGACATCCACGAGGCACATTCACGTCCGCATAAACGGCCAACCAACCGTAGTCTCCGGTGGGGGCGCCGCCTACGGCATGCTACTGCCTTGCAGCACTCATGGTTTCCACGACGGCAGATCCGACGTAGCATGTCTGCCTTGCTCGATCCGGACCACAGACAAGTCTCTCCAGATGTTCAAACGACTCTGGGGTCTGGGGAGGCGTACATGACAGCGTACATGACATGGCCTGGGCTGGTGGTCACGTAATGCTTGCCTCTCTATTGGGCCGCTGCTTCACGGAGGTGCATCCCTGCCCCGTACGCCATTCCGGGGTCGACAGCCACAATGGAGCAGGGCCGGAGCGCACACAAGAGTCAGCTTCCTCCGTCTTCAGCTCCTCAGCTCCTCGGTGTGGTACAAGGTCGTTCAGCGCAGAGGCTCAAACCGTGGTGAGACTGGCCGTTGCCCGTGAGACTGGGTCAACGAACTCGGGCGCCCGTCAACAGTCATCTCGGCCAACATCTACAGAGCAGACATGCCACACGGGAGGACTTTAGGCGGCCCAAGGCTAACGGTGGCCAGCGGACGATAGATAGATGCCACCAGCATCGATTGGGACAACGGGGGCATGTCACAACACAACGGCGCCCGTGTGGGCCGGTTGGCTTCGGCATTCCTCTGGCTCATTTTGCCAACCTCTGCGGCGAACGACGACATCATCTCCACGCAGGAGCCAGGCATGGACCGCCGAAGCCAGGCGAGGCCTCAAGCGCCAGCAGAACCCCCCGTGTCCGCCAAGGTGGTGGCACCACAGATGTTCCGGTCCAGCCAACCTTCAGCCAACGCCTTGTCTCCTTCACGACGCCGGGCCTCCGCTCTGAGCGTCCACTTGCACTTAGGGGTATAGCGGCGGACAAACTTCGTCGGAGGCAAATGATGGGTTTTCTCGTCTCGTGCCACGTATAAATTGGAAGGGGGAATACCTTTGGGCCACCCCGCCCAGAGAAAACTCTGTCTTGCCGATATTCTGTTGCGACCGTCCAGCATCGCCTTACCGGAAGTCATCACCTTGAGCTGTCTCCGACTCTCCGTTGACCAAGGCAGCCCTTTGCCCAAACAAGCAACCGCCTTTTATCAAGGTACGCAGCCTAGCTCTTAGCACGAACCGCCCCGAGGTTCCGAGTCCCCCAAGTTGCTCAAACCCCGGACCACTGCAGGTGCCTACCTCTCGTGTTCCGCTGTCGGCTACTCGAGGGGTCTGGTAGTTTCGCCAGCGGGCGGGCATTGTACCAGACATTATGTACGGGCATGGAGTAACACTTGATTCAATGTTGACTTGAGTTGCCTCTTTTTCTTTTTGCCTTGTGCCCAGCCTGTGCGCAACAACCTGTCTGGTGGCTTCTCTACTTCAATTACGTTACGGATGTGGTCCTTGGCAGCCTTCAGTGCTCACTCCGTACTGGCGGTGTCGGTGGCTGCCGCTCCATAAAACCCAGACATCGTTTGCTGTTCCACCATTGATTGCCATTCTCGCCGTCCTCATTCACCGTTTTCTCTTCCTTGCTTTACTAATGCCCCAGTCGCTGCAGCTGTCCATCTAGCGCTCTTGGAGTCCCAAATTGACCCCTGTCCGCGTACATCGCAAAAGGTCGTCCAACTATTTTACACATTTCTTCGATTGGGATCCTGTTCTCCTTTCAAAATGGCTCCCCATGCAGAGGCCGGTACCCCCGCCGTCTCGGGCACCACCAGCGCCCGGTATCACGCCGCTTCGACGGAGGCTGCAATCAAGGCCGAGAACGAGTTCGCCGCCCACAACTACCACCCTCTGCCCGTCGTCTTCTCCAAGGCCCGGGGCGTAAATGTCTGGGACCCCGAGGGTCGCCAGTACCTTGATTTTCTTTCTGCCTACAGTGCCGTGAACCAGGGCCATTGCCACCCGGAACTGGTCAAGGCTTTGACTGAGCAGGCCAGCCGCCTGACCCTGTCCTCGCGAGCCTTCTACAACGATGTGTTCCCCAAGTGGGCTGAGAAGATCCGCAAGGTCTTTGGCTACGAAATGGTCTTGCCAATGAACACTGGCGTTGAAGCTACCGAGACCGCTGTCAAGATTGCCCGGAAGTGGGCTTATAAAGTGAAGGGAGTTGAGAAGGACAAGGCTCTTGTCTTCTGTGTCACTGACAACTTCCACGGCCGATCGGTACGTTACCGCCGCCGCCGCCATCCAATTCGTACCGCCCGCTGCTATTCAATCATATCAGTGCGTAACTATATCTGCTAACTGTAATCCGTGGTTGCAGATGACTGCTATCACCCTGTCCACCGACCCCGAGTCCAAGGACAACTACGGCCCTTATATTCCCAATATCGGCGCCGCTAGCCCGTCCACCGGCAAGCCCATTCGGTTCAACAATGTTGCAGACCTCGAAGAAGTGCTTGAAGCTCACGGGAAGCAGACTGCTGCCTTCCTAGTCGAGCCCATTCAGGGTGAGGCTGGTGTCGTGGTTCCGGACGAGGACTACCTTGTCAAGGTTCACGCGCTCTGCAAGAAGCACAACGTTCTCCTCATCTGCGACGAGATCCAGACTGGTATCGGCCGGACTGGCCGCATGCTTGCCTCTGAGTGGTCTGGCATTAAGCCTGATATGGTTACCCTAGGCAAGGCCATCTCTGGTGGCATGTATCCGGTGAGCGCCGTCATGAGCTCCAAAGAAGTTATGCTCGTCGTTGAGCCTGGCACTCACGGTTCCACGTACGGTGGTAACCCACTTGGATGCGCCGTCTCTATCCGAGCTCTGGAGCTCATTGAGGAGGAGAACATGATTGCAAATGCCGAGCGCCTCGGCAAACTCTTCCGCGACAGTCTTGCCGCCCTCAACAACCCCATTATCAAGACCATCCGCGGCAAGGGTCTCTTGAATGCCATCATCATTGACGAGGCTGCTGCATCTGGCCGCACTGCTTGGGACCTCTGCATTCTCCTCAAGAACAAAGGCCTACTGGTCAGTTGATACACAAACCAGCCACTGGCGACGACCAGCACACGTGAACGCTAACAGTTTTCCCCTTAGGCCAAGCCAACTCACGGAGACATAATCCGCTTCGCCCCTCCCCTGGTCATCAACGAGGCTGAGCTTCGCAAGGGTCTGGGCATCATCACTGCGGCCATCAATGAGCTTCCTACCGTTGAGAAATCTCATGGTCACTAATATCAAGTCGAAAGTAGATGCCACTTACCCGGTAGCATGAAGTGCAAGCTCAAGATTTTGAGTGACATGGTTTTGAGAAATGGATGACACGCATGCTTATGACTTTTTTTTTTTAGTATTATTTGCTTTGTCGTACCACAGATACCCCCCCTGGCTCGAGAAAATGGGGTCAGGGCTTACGGCCGCCTTCATAGATAGCCGGCCATTGGCATCATGAAGGCGCAATGGGAAACGGAATACGCGATATTTGGATGTACCATTGACATGAAACACCGGCTCTGTTCGAACATCGGAGGAGTAATAGAGGTCTCCAGACTGGCGCGAATGGTGTTATTTTTCTGTTTTGGGATGTGGTATTGGGACCATTATATAGCGTGGAAATTCACTTACAACGACGGGATATGTGCCGTGTCTTTCTCACTCTAGATGCGTGCGTAGACACCCGGTTGCGTCAAACATATCAAGATGCCAAGTAGCCTAGGAATAAGGGAAAGGCCACACATGAAGTATCGGTGACAGCAAGCCCGGCTGGCAGGTTTGCATGGTCACTATCTACCTGCGATGGCCAGTGCAACTAACTGTTCAGGGCTTCGTCATACAAGTCTTGAAATTCGGTTGCAAAGATGCTCGATGCTTTCCTTATCATTATGACTGGTCATCCCCAAGCCGCTGCAAGCACAGATCGAAATGGAGACATGATCTTGACCCTGTGTTTGTTGTCGTGCTGCTTCTTGCCAAAGGTAAGAAGAGTGTTGCATGCATGGCGTAGGGAAACACGAGAGGTGAGATTATAGCTGTTTGCAATGAGACAGAGTCGACCAGGTTGGTATTTACCATGCAAAGAAGAAGAGGTAAAGGCGCATAGAGACGAGGAGACTTATACACGGCACTGGCGGCCATTCATGCCCAGCGACAACCCGACAAGCGGCCACCACCTTGTGACCCGGTGCATTTCCGCATCGAGCGCAGCAACGTAGTACAAGGATAGTTCAATCTACGACGACATACGGCACAGGCGCTGCCATTGGAGGGAATCTACGTGAGTTCCGGCCATCCAATATTTGGGGTGCGGAGTGTCGGCTTCGGTGTCCCAATTAGACGGAGCCATGTATCCCGTCATATATCACCGTTGGCAGCAGAACAAGATAAACCAAACGCATTGTTTAGCGGCCATCCATTATTGCGAGTGAGCTGGCGATGCACCTGATAGCTTGCTGCCAATACTCCATACTCCGTACACATTAGCAAATCGCCCAGGGCATGACATGCCATAGCTTTCACTCTGGTTTTGCACGTGGCCAGGGAATGGAACCAGGTGGATCCTCTTTGAAAAGACGAATAGACAGCTTGTGCTCCGTACATGAAATCCCATCATCATCAGGATCAGGTGATGTGGCTTTCCAAACCTTAGCTTCGTTCGGGGTGTTTGGTAAGTAGTGATGTCAATAGGAGGCGGGATGGCGCCAAAGTTGTGGCGGATCGGAAAGTTGTCGCGTTGCGGTGTGAGTGTGGTGGATGACGCACATCATGATGCTTTGCCAGCGCGAGCTGGCGATGAAGCGAATCACAGCAACGCGTTGTTTGTTTTTGTGTTGTTGATTGACAGCCAAATCATAACTAGAGCGTGAACATGAGCTTGGCCAGCCGTTGTGGAACTTTAAACCGTCGACTTCACCAAAGTAAGGAACTAGTGATAGGTTCGTCGCTCGTACACAAGCTCACAAGAATCACCGAAGAGTAACGAACGTGGCTGGCTGGCTGAAGACAATTTTACCTTGGTACTCCATAGCCGCTCAGTAGACGCAGCGATACGGACATTCTGACACTCCAAGTTAAATGAGGAACGACGACTCTGTACTCCCTACGTCGGCGGTTCGTACCAATGGACAGCAGAATGTCTTGGCCGTAAAGGGAGGCGCTCACGGCGCGGAACAAACTGGCATGTGGCTGGGGTGTAGGCTGAGTGAGGTGAGTGTCTGAGATCTCGGTTTATTTGGGTTGAAACTTGAGATACTGTACTTGGGCTCGATTGGTCTAGCTCATTCGCTTGAAGCATCAAGTCTATAATGAGGCGACTTGCATATGTACGTATGCCAGCGGGTAACCGGGTCGCATCCGTCTGTTCAAAATTCGGGGGAAACCAAAGCAATGGATGCAATGAATGAATGCAAACTTGGTGCTCCTGGTATGCTACTGGTGGATGTTCCGTCTGTGCAGTTGAAGCTGTGGCCAAGCGAGAGACATGTTGAGCGTCGGTGTGTGCATTCTTTATCCAACGGTAACCAGCCCAAGACGGCCATGGGTTGTTTGACTCCATGTTAAGCTGCAGTAGCTTTATCCTCCTGCATCTTGCATGAGGCACAGCGATAAGGTACTCAAACTTTCAGTTCTTGTTGTCTGCCAAACCCGCTAGCAGGACGACCATAGCCAAGTCAGCCGGCCACACGTTGGAATTACATGGGAGCTAGTACATACAGATACCTTCGGGCTCTGTTCTTCAGGTACCCACCTCTAAAGCCTTCAATCAGTCCGTCATGTTGTTTGTTTTGATGTTCCATGTGTGACGGGTCGCTAAGGGGGGCGTCTTTCGCAATGATGCGCGGGAAAGTTGCATGAATGGCTGGTGCATGGCGAAGTCGAAAAGGGATATCCCGAAGACAGAGCATCCAATGCGAGCTAGGCATCTAGACAGGAGAACTAGTTTGTCCAGTTCAAAACGACCATCGGAGTCGGGGGATCCTTGGGTAGCAAAAATAAAAGCTGTGACGGGTGCCTACATACATTATTGGTTTGACTGGACGTGTCTGATCTGGAACCACACCCATTGGCAGCTTGGACAATACCCATTGTAGGAAGTCATTACGGGTGAACTGTGGTGATTCCACAAAAGCGCCTGGAACTCCGCCCAGTTGGTCAAGATGCCTGGTCTGACTCAGGTTATGCTTCATCATTGCCGATGCTGGTGTTTTGTTCTAAGTGTTAGACTCTCCGTGGTATGGTTTGAATTGACGAACACGCAGGGTCGAGTCCACGCCCATGGTAATAAGTTGGCAAGCTGCTGGTTGGCCTTGTGCCTGTGCTATTCTGCCGATGCATTGCTCGAGTCAGGCAATCAGGGTCCGCCCACCACCACCTGCATCGAGAAGTTTCCCGACACACCCTGCATTCTGTTAGTTCGTTTGGCGCTAGAGCCTGAGATCGCTGAACAAAAGAGCACGACACGGGAGGCGACCGGCTTGTTATTCAGGAAAGAATTACCGTAATGGACATGGGGGCTAGTAAGACAACGAACGGGGATCAGGACTTCTGGTCGTGATAGTGTGTACCCGGTACACTCTGTTGGCACGCTGGGATGTGTAAGAGTCATGGCTCTGTTGCCTTGATTCTAGGCCGCCTATGGATGCACGAGCAGCAGGCTGCAGTTACGGAGACGACGGGTGACGTCCAAGGATGGAGTGAGTGATGACGAGAAGACTGCAAAGGATGATGTGAACCAACGATGGAAAGTCAGACGCTGGCGTGCTCATGCTCGTCTTCAAGTTGCGACTTTGCGATAGATCTGGAAGGAGCGAGCCATCTGCTTATTAGCGATTGCATGTTCAGTGCCCACTATGTTGCGATGCTGCTTGAGTTGCAACTGGGAGGCGATTTGCCGGCTGCGACGCCCCTGCGCAATTCCGCCTTTCCTCCAGAATTGAGCCTCAACTTCAGTCATGCTAGTGTATATAGGGTACCTCTCAGTCGCTCGTAGATGGATAGGTTAGTAGCAAGTAGGCACTCGAGCAGGAAGAACAATGGGCATTGGGCATTAAAGACTGGCTGACTGCTGACTTGCAAACTGGACGCCTAGTTCGATAGTCTGCTGGGAACGTCTAGACACTTGCATCTGGCAGGTCTTTGATGCTGGGGGTGTTGGTGGATCCGGGACGCCCAATGCAGTGTTTTGGTGAGTACAGCATTGGGAGGACATATGATAAGTACCTAGGTACTTAAGTACTTGATAGATTGTAGTGCTCAAGAGATGAGCGGTGTCAGCCGGCCTCAAGAGTATCAGCCTTGTATTTGGATATCGAAGTTACATGATGACCAGGTCAGGTTGTGCTAGTACGCAACCCGAGGGCACATGCTAAAGCCCTCGACGTTTGAATGACGTGGGCTAGCTCGTTTCAGTATGCTCTTCCAGCATTGCTGAGTGCTGCTAGACGCTGATGGGCCAGGTGCCATTCCAAGTTGTAGCACGACAAGGTTGTTAGGAACTTAGGAGCCAGGCATTTTGTTGGTGTGCATTAAAGTCTATCATTAATAAAGTCTGGACTGGCCCCTCTGACACGCAGGCGGACGCACAGGGCGCTGCGCCTGGCTGGCACTGGGACATGGCTGAGAGGCTCCAGCATTGAATTGGCCCCAGCGTGACTGCTCTCAGGTGCTCCGTCCACTGCGCCCGTTGTCCAAACGCCCCAGCCAGTGCCATGTTGCCGATGTCTAGTACTGAAGTATTGCACACTAGTACTTGCATGTGAGTACTCGGTACTTGAGTACTTAAGGCTGCACTAACCCGGATGGAACCTGTCACGAGCCCACAGGCCCACGGGCTCGGCGTCACGCCCTCGTCCTTGCACCAGACGACACGGAGCAGTGACAGCTGGGCGCTGGACATGTATGTAGACATACTTGTACTTAGTACCGAGAGCAGACGCATCAATTGGTGGCTACAGGTACCTGGTACAAGTAGGTAGTTGCATGTATGTGGAATTCCTCACCCACGTCTTCACCGTTTACACCAGCGCGGACACTTCATAGACATCTCCTAGGCTACGAGGAAAATGGTCACATAGCTGGTCGAGCATCGTCCATTGTCTGCGGTGCCTCAGTCTCCACGTTTCGTGTCCTTTGATGTCGTGCTGTGCTCCCTCATCACGCTTCTTCTTCGTCCCGTGTCTCCCATCTCCATCCGTCTATCTCTATCCCGCTCCCTCGCTAATGCTGCTTTTTCCCTTTGCTTTTATCCACAGGCAGCCAGCATACCCAACTTGTTGTCTTTGCCTTGTAGTTTCGGCAGTGCCTCGGCTTTGGCCCAAGACCATTTCACAGACGCATCCGCCCCCACTGCCCATGGCCATCGCCCATCACCCACCATCCATCCGCCATCCATCCGCCATCCGCCACAGCTTGAGCCTGAGCCAGCCTGAGCCAGCCAGAACATCGATTGAGAATACCAAAGCAATCAACCACACGCCCGCCAGACATTCTTTGCAGCCAGCCCCAACCCCGGCACCCTCAGGCGCCCACCCCATCCGATCCAGTCGTTCATTCATCCATTCCCTCATCCATCGTTCTGGTCTGTTTGTCTGTTCCTCTAACGAGCGAAAGTGGGTCGGCCTTCTGCGGCAGGAGCAACGAGCACCGGAGGGAGAGCCCCAGACCACCACACCGCAGCACCACCACACAGCCTGCCTGCGTCTTCACGCCTGGAGCCTCCAGCTTGCAGTCCGGTACCGAGTACCATCTGCCAGGTACTTCAGTACTTAGGTACGTGGGTACTTTACTTGGCAACTTCTGCCAGCACGCGCTCGACTGGCATCCTCGTTCTAGTCCGCAGAAGACGTCTGGGACCCATCCGGCCTGGCTTGGCTTGGCTTGTCTTGTCTTATCTGCCATTGCTGCCAGATTAGGACCCCTCGTCCGTCCTATCTGTCACTCCTTCCCAGGCTCACCATCTTGGACCTCACCATCCTTTGTCGTCCATCAAGGTGTGCTTTTTGCAACTGAGTACTCCGAACAGCCAGTATTACTTCATAATACCACCCTGTTCCCTGCCTATCGCTGCCGCGAACCGTTTCGAATCGCTGCCACGTTCCGCATAGCTCTCGTTGTCGTTGAACTGCCCGTGTCTCACTCAGTGTTAGTCATTTCGCCCCCCACACACCGAGCTTGGTCTCTACGTCCTTCAACATCACGGCAACGTCCCCGGCACGTCTTCCAAAAAGCAAAGGCGTCATCCCATCTTGTTGCGCCGTTGCGCCTCTACACTTCGCCCCTATGCAACGCCGCGCTTCCTACCTAGTCTGCAAGCGTTTTCTTCATCTCAACATACTGACTGCAAGTTGCATTGTAGCCTTTGTCTTTGCCTGACCTATCGGCTACCCACCGCCAATTCGGCAGCGTCTACGCATCCTGGACTGCTTTCTTCACATCGACTGACTCATCTCGTTGCCCTCGCTCCCGTGTCTGCCTTAGTCTTGTCGACCTCTGCGCCTCCTCTCTCTCCAGCGGACGGATTCCTCAAACTCCCAGGACGTTCTCCCATCATCTTTTTTATCCTTAGCAAGCTTCACATCGAGTACATGACGACCACAATTTTGGCAATCGATTTTCAAGTCTTGTAGGCCCACGGGCTCCCACAGACATCGACTGTCTTCCTGTCATCGACAAGCTCATCAGGAAGCCATGGCAAGTCGTCAAGATGGGCCGTCCTTCGGCTCGAGGAGGCTGAACGGACGGGCTATCGGCCAATTCGTTATCGACAAAGAGATTGGCAAGGGTAGCTTTGCACAGGTGTATGTGGGCTGGCATAAGGTGTGTTACGAGCTCCTGGGGTTAACAACGAGATCATAGCGATTGGATGAACGGGCCTCAACCTGCTTGCCTTATTCCCCAGTTGCGACTCGTTACTCCGCCAAATTCGCGAATTACCCCGTCCCTCTTACCGTTACCAGTACTGACTTGCGATGTGCTCTGACACAGGAGTCGAAAGCCGCCGTTGCCGTCAAGTCTGTTGAGCTCGAACGACTAAATAAGAAGCTAAAAGAGAACCTCTACGGGGAGATCCAGATTCTCAAAACATTACGGCACCCTCACATTGTTGCACTTCATGATTGCCTTGAATCATCTACCCATATCAACTTGATTATGGAATACTGCGAACTAGGAGACCTGTCGCTTTTTATCAAAAAGCGAGACAAGCTGTCTACACATCCTGCCACCCACGATATGGCTCGAAAGTACCCTAGCGCACCAAACTCGGGTCTTCACGAAGTCGTCATTCGTCACTTCCTGAAACAACTGGCGAGTGCACTGGAGTTTCTTCGCAGCAAGAATTACGTCCACAGAGATGTGAAACCCCAGAACCTGCTCTTGCTTCCATCACAAGCTTTTAGAGCCCAGAGAGCCCTCCCCATCATGTCCGCTAGCCAAGACTCATTAATACCCGTTGCCGGTCTGGCTTCACTGCCGATGCTCAAGCTTGCAGACTTTGGTTTTGCCAGAGTCCTTCCATCAACATCTCTGGCCGACACACTGTGCGGCTCTCCTTTGTACATGGCTCCTGAGATTCTCCGCTATGAGCGATACGACGCCAAGGCCGATCTTTGGTCTGTAGGCACGGTCCTGTACGAAATGATGACCGGTCGGCCGCCTTTCCGGGCACGAAATCACGTTGAACTCCTTCGCAAGATAGAAGCCGCTGAGGATGTCATCAAATTCCCAAGGGAAGTCTTTGTCAGCCCTGAAATGAAGGCCCTTGTCCGAAACCTACTCAAGCGAAGCCCTGTGGAGCGTCTAAGCTTTGAGAATTTCTTTTCCCACCCAACAGTTACGGGTGAGATCCCTGGATTAGTGGAAGACGATATTCCAAAACCTCCCAAACGAGAACTACAGCCGATTCCCCAGGGAGAAGAATACCCTCCATCCCCTCGAGCACCCTCTGCTCGCCACTCAGGTTCAGACAACCCACGGGAACAAGTAGCATCGCAATCCTCCCGGGAAGCCGCACCTCGATCGCCGCCACAGGGAAGCCATGGCGATGGTCGAACCAGACGTCAGTCTACCGATTTGCAACGGCCTGGGAACTCCCCTCGCGATGCGGGAGCTGGTCTGGGTATCCATCGACCATCACCCCAGCACATGACATCTTCACCCAATCAACCTCGTGTCTCTGATAGATCATCTCGAGAGCAACCAACCTCACGAAGCAACCCATCCCACGAATCGTCTCCCAGGTTGTTGAGGCAGTCATCCACTGGCAAGAAGATCACCGAAGAGGAGAAGGCAGCGCAGGATGTGATGTTTGAAAGAGATTATGTCGTGGTCGAGCGTAGACATGTTGAAGTCAATGCTTTGGCCGATGAACTGGCTGCAAATGAAAGGTTGTCTGGCCAAGGCTCCGACCCCCGTTCCGCGCAGATGGTACGGCGAAGCACGCAACAAGGGGCACCGACATCAACAACTGGTGCAATCCCGGCACCGTCCTCTCGCACCGCCCTTGTAGCCCAGGGTCGCACAATTCACGACCGCAGGTCATCCTACGAGCAGGCGTTGTCTGCTAGTCCTGGCTCTGCCTCTAGTGCCATTTCCAAGGCTATTCAGGATGCCAGTCTGAGGCTGTTTGGCTTCAAAGTCGCTCCAGTTCGTGGTCAGGGCCACTCACCTCCCATGTACCACCCGTTCCCAGCATACCCAACGCCGTCTTCTCCCGGTGGTCTGATTGGAGATGGGAAGAGCTCGCCATCAGCAGATGAAGACGTGAGAACTAAGGATGCCATGACGGAATATGCTGAACGAAGCGACTGTGTATATGGGTTCGCTGAAGTCAAATACAAGCAGCTTGTTCCCATGGCACCTTCAATGGATCATGGTCTCGGCGGCGTTGGTGTCGACCAACTCTCCCAAGATGAAGATGGCCTCACCATTGAAGCTGTTGTTGCGTTATCTGAAGAGGCCTTGGTGCTGTATGTCAAGTCCCTTACCTTGCTCGCTCGGGCAATGGATCTTGCCAGTGTTTGGTGGTCCAAGAAGGGTCGAGGTGACGGTGGCGGAGGTGTATCTGCCGCGGCTACGGAAAACATCGCGCAAAGCATCAATGCTATCGTGCAATGGGTTCGACAGCGCTTCAACGAGGTATTGGAGAAATCGGAGATCGTGCGATTCAAGTTGATGGAAGCTCAAAAGATGCTACCAGAGGATCACCCCAATCATCCATCGAACCAGGGCGCGGACTCCTTGATCTCGTCATCCGGATCAACAGCGAAGCAGGTGTATCTGACTCCAGGCATCAGCGCAGAAAAGCTTATGTACGATCGTGCGCTGGAGATGAGTCGTGCGGCTGCGATTGACGAGGTGACAAATGACAATCTTCCTGGCTGCAAGATTTCCTACAGAACTGCGATTCGCATGCTTGAGGCAGTTCTGGACAATGACGATGATGAAGTATCTCGAAAACTATCTTCTGGCAAAGAGCCGACCAGAAGCTTACCCAAAGAGGCTAGCAGTGAGCTAGACAGCGATGAAGAGGCTCATGTACGAAAGAGTAAGTATTTTCTAGCTCAGGTCAGAGGTCTGCGGGCAGGACGCTAACTTGGAGGCTAGTGATCCAGATGATTAAGGGCCGCCTTGCAGCGGTTGTCAAGAAGCAGCAAATGATTGCCGACGCCAACACCAAGGAACAACAAGCACAGCTGCAAGCTGCACGTCGACGCAGTGGCGACGTAACACCGCGCAGCGTGCCATCGCATGGCTCGGCATGAAATGGAGAACCCGCATCGAGGACCAAGTTGGCCAGATCTCAAAATGAAAACCGGACGCAAAACAATACAGAGACGAAACAAAATAACAGTTGAACAGCCCCGCGGCTAGAAGATATTACACTTTGATTTTCTCGTCGTCTTTTTTTTTTCCTTAAATCGATACCAGATTTTTTTTTCTATCTTTTTAACACTGGCCTGGAATTTTTCCATTTTCCTTCAATACGTTTGTGGTGGCGTTTGGACCTTTGGCTGCAAAGACTATGCATTAAACAGCCTTGGCATATTCCTTGCTCAGTACCACTAGCGCGTATGTCGATATAAGATTTGGAGATTGTGTTTGGACTTGTGATAGGGAACAAAGGCTCGACGGTCATGGATTGGCGTTAGGGAATTGGATCTGAATTTGATTGTTTTTTCCAAGTATAGTGTGGGAAATCACTCAGAGAGCTGATGATGGCAGATGTTTGCATGCATTATGTTGGCAAAGGAAGCCCGTGGGCGTTTGTTGCCGTGTATAGCGGGCGGTATACAAGGATATACTGGAATCCCGAGTTGCACATGTCTTTCCCTTTGGTATGCATTCAGTCTGGAGGCCCTCTGGCAAAGGTCTGGCAGTGCCAGCAAGGCATTTTGTATTTCTTAACACATAACTCTGAATAGCAGATGACGTGGCGGGTTGGCCCGTGCAATCTATCACTGCTCTGGTGTAATACTCTGCCGTTGTTGTTGGACATGCTCTTTTCACCGTGAGAATCATTGGGTGTATAATGTCTCTCCTTGAGGGCAGCTGCCTCTACGACTCCTCATCCGTGGCGAAGGAATATGAAGCGCATACATGTTGAGTCTACTATGGCGAGGTTTATGACATGAAGTCGGGGTTATGGCCAGCTAGTTCCGAGACACCCAGCATGAACAAACGTCTAATTTGCATCGTAGCAGTACCTATAGATGAGGACAAGGTATTGCTGTGGACGGAAGTTGAGCACGTCTCCGGCCGTCGACGGGATGTCTGTGAACAGTGTCCTAGCTGCGTCCCTGGCCCTGGGTGGGTATTCGGTATTCAAACGAGCGTTCCGTGAAAATCGTACCAAAGAGCATTACGTTCGCTCAGGGCATCGGGTGTAACACCGTGTCCGCAGAACTGTTTGTGTCAGCGGCTTATGCATTTCCCGGCGGAGGCAGAAGTGCAGCTGTGAGCGGGAGTTGTCCAGGCTGATATATAACACGACAGTCACATGTATGGGAATTTCGACAATCTGACATTTTACCATCTAGGCTTGAGACGGTAGTACCACTGCTCTTTCTCCCTCTCTTTCTCTCTTTCGTTTATTTTATTCCCAGCATTCATTTTAAGCATCTACGGAGTACCTCATGGGCAATGCTGCCCAGGGCTCCGGTTCGCGGCCGGCTCGCAGAGGATAGTGAAGATGTCGACGCGGCCGTCCAACAGGCAGGACTGGAACTTTACACCAACGCGCTGGACCTGGCGTCCGACTTTGGAACGTACATTTCCTCTCTGGGCCGGACGCGCCAGCGCCTCCTCGCCGCGGTGCACTCGCGCCAACTGGCTTTCGTGGCTGGGCGCGAGTCCGAAACTGCCGCCGGCGCGGCCCTTTACCGATCCTTCTTTGAGGAGCGGCGGGAGCAGCTGGAGCAATGTGTTCTTCGGGCTCGCTAGGCGCGGGAACGGGAACGGAGAAAGGAGGCTTGTGAGAGGCGGAGAGCGCTGCGGGTGTCGGGGGACTTTGTGCTGGGCAGGATATGGGCCTTGATTGACGATGTCGATGGATTTTACGGGAGGGAGGAGGAGAGACGCTGGGTTGAGAGGCTGGAGAGGGCGAACAGGGAGATTGAGAAGGTGTGGGAGGAGAATAGGAGCGTGGTGGAAGGGGCAGTGCCGAGGTATTTGGAGGGCATTCCGGTTAGGATGATGATTCGACCGCCGGTTGCGAGGGGCCCTTTGAGGAGCGCGGCTGGGAGGGGGGAGCGAGGGAAGCCCGGTTTGATCTGTTTGCAATGTATGGCGAAGGGGCTGAGGTGTTCGTTGGGGGGGTGTGCTGTGAGGGCTTGCTCGCGGTGTGTTCGGCACGGGGATACGTGTTTGGTCAACGAGGGCGGCTGGGTGGTGCTGGGAGAAGATGGGAAGCTAGAGGACGCAGCGGAAGACGATATATCGGCTGCGAGCTTGGAGGAAGAAAGGGGGATGGTTTCGGCATGTTTAAGGGATGTGGTGTCGGTTGGTACGGCTTGCTTTGCTCCGCGACGGCCGCCAGAGAGAGAGATGGAGTCGGTGCTTGGACGGATATTAGGTGTGACTCCGTGTGAGGGGTTTGGGGAGTGGACGGGAAGGAATGCTTGTTGATGTCGACTCAGAACTGATTTTGGAGTTTTGGGGCCTGGTAAGAGGACGACGGCATGCGAAGGGCAGCATTGCTAGCATAAATCGCCGAGTATTGAACTTTTGCGACGTCGTCTCATCGTCAACAGCAAGTACCGTCTCGATTCTCGATTCGGCATGGATCAATCAGCCTCCGACTTTGTCAAGTCATACATGACGCCTTCATTTCGGTGCTCAAAGTATTCAAGCTGGCACTTCATTGCACACATGCCTGCCTGCCACTGGCATCTGTTGCGAGACACGGGTCACCTCTACCGTGTTGTGCAATAAAGATGCCGCCTCTTAAATACACACAGTCGCCTCCCTTGCATCCCTTCATTTGAGCTCCTGGAAAATACCAACATCTGTTTTTTAATATAGTCTCGTCTGTCCATTTACGGAGACTTTTCATCCGTTGCCTTGAGCATATTACATGTTAATTACACTTGAAAGTTGACACTCATCCTGCCCCGCTGCCCAACTACTCCATCATCTCATCTCAACATCATCATGCCTCCACCACCAGATCTGTCATCCTACCGTCTCTCAGACCAAGACTCCCAACACATCTTTGCCAGCGAAATCCTCCCCGCCGAATTCGACCACCTCCCTTCTCACCATGGCCCCCAAACGTCGCCGCCCCTCGCCGTCCTAGCTGTTGGCCAAACAGGCTCAGGCAAGACTCGTCTCTCACCCGCCATCCTCTCGGCATTCCATCTCGTCCGTGGCGCTCCTGCAACTGGCCCCGTGCATCTCATCGCCGACACATACAAGACATACCATCCCGAATACACGCGCCTGATGCTGTCCACGCCAAACCTGGCCTCGCCCGCCACGGGGCCCGACGCGAGGAAATGGCTTGCAATGGCGTCCGAGGAGGTCGTTCGACGAAAGTTAGATGTCCTTTTAGAGAGCGCATGTCGGCATCCCGATGATTTTGTGCAATTGGCTCGTGTTTTCAGCACGGCAGGATACCGCGTAGAAGTGGTGCTGTTGGCGGTGCCAGCCGCGCTCAGTAGATTGGGCATCTTGGTGAGGTTCTACGAGAAGTTGCCCGAGGGCCAGTCGAGGAATTTACCTGTGAGGCTGACGCCCACCAAAGTCCACGATGATTCGTATGCCGGACTGTTGGACGCAGCGAGGTTTTTGGACGAGACCTCTACGGCGGATCAGGTGCTTGTGGTCAGGAGAGGGAATCTCGTGGCATATGGCACCACGAAGAGTGCCAATGGGAACATGGTGAATCGAAGAGGCGTCGAAGAGGCGTTGAAGAGGGAAAGGGGGCGGCCATTGACCGCACAGGAGATGAAGACCGCTCTGGATGACGTTCAAAAGATGAGTACGCATGAGGATGCCAGTGAGCAGGTGGAACACATAAGAGGTATGTTGAAGCCGCTGATTAAGGACAGCTCCCAGGATGGTTGGCCGGAATTAAAGCCCTTGAATTTTGGGAAGGTTAACGAAGAGGCTGGCGGGACCTATAATGTTCTTCGATTAGGACAATTGTGAGCACTGAAGTGAAAACTTGGTTTTTACAGCATTATATCAGATAATGATAGCAGTGTCTCTTAGATACTCGCCCCAGGATCATATCAAGGTTTTGTAATCAGCGGTTCAAGCAAAGCAAATAGGCACATGCCACCGGTACTCATACAGCGGCACCTTCAGTTGAAGCCTGCAAGTTTGCCAACTTTTGGCCATACCAGCCCCTTGCATCATCTTGTAAATTCGCATCAGGCACCCGTTTTTCGTCCGGGCACAGTTTGCCGTTTCATATCGCGGTGTAGAGCTTCATCGTTCTTTCGCTTCGGAGATATCACGAAAATACTCTTCTTATGGGTATCAGTTGTTTCTCGAGAAAATAATGCCGATCCTGTTCCTGAACTTCCTGGAACGTCTGAGCTTGCGGCCGTGGCTTGGGATTCCCTCGGTTGGCCAAACTCCGCTTTTGTGGAGAGCTTCCTTTCACCCACAACTTCTTTCAAATTGTTCTTCAGAGTCGCCTTGCCAAAGTATTTTGAGAACTCTGTTTGTAGCAGAGGATAGTGTCGGGAGAGATCAGAATATGCCTTGAACAACTCTTCTTGGCCTCGCGCTTGAGCCAAGGCCCCCATTAAGACGCTAGGAAGCTGTAGCGGCAGCGGGTTCAACTTGACTGGAGCTTTCCAGCTGCCTAAGATTTTATGATCTAGCTGTTGAAAGAAGAGCAAGTGCTTCTCCGGAGTGCATAGCCAATCATGACATATGGCTTCGAGACCCGAAATTCTGGCCTTTGGAGAAATTTGAAGGCATTGCCATACAAATGTCTTGCTGTTCTTGGACAGCTTCAGGGATGGCTGGAAAATGTCCTGTTTCAAAGTCCTGTTCAATACAGTCTGAGTGTACCGGTTGAACTTGGGCATTGTGTTCTCTATACCCAAGCCCGCTGTCAGCATTATAATAGCAACTATACCCAACGACCAAATGTCAATGGCTGGGGTTTGTGCAGACTGGCTGTCATACAGCTCCCTGTGTTCGATAGTTAGATATATTGGCAAGCAGCCAGGAGTGCGAAGCTTCTCACGGTGCTTGATAGTTGGCTGTACCAACTAGTGTCTTCATTCTGCTTCTGCGTGGCACCGCGCTGGTGGCGAAGTCTGATAGCATAACTCGATGGTACGCAATTTTTGGCGAGTATGCTAACAGAATATTTTCCGGTTTCAGATCACGATGAATGATGCCTTTGGTGTGGAGGTAATTCAGTCCCCTTATGACTTGTCTAATTATAATCCTGGTGTCAAATTCTTTCACCCCATTGTGTCTGTTAATGAAAGACATCAAGTCGCCCCCCGAAGCTAGCTCCGTAAAAATGAAGCTACAATTGTTAGCACGTGCCGGGTTGTGGCAGCAGAAAATACTTGCAGGGAATGGGGAGAAGAAATAGATTCGATATATGGCAGGATATTCGGCTAACGCCATTTAGCAGTCAGTTTTCTAGACGGTGGCATGGGCACCTACGTGTCGTAGTTGGCGAAGGATATCGGCCTCTTGTAATTTTCTGGTTGAACCATGACGGTCAAATCGATTTTGAAGCTCGTCAAGATTCACCACCTTGCATACAACCTGTCTTTTTGATATAACATCTTGTGCCAAGTAAACATTAGCATCTGTACCTTGGCCAATGCAACGCTCTGATATTAAATATTTATCGGAAAAAAACTGGCAAAACAGTCAGCGCTTGAGATTCGCGAAGCAGTCAGTATACTTACCCTAGACTCTGCCAGCTGTATTTTATTCATTTTAACTCGTGGAAGGCCATTATCTTGCCGAAACATGAATTTCCAATAAGGCAGGATCTCGACAATATCGCCATCTTCAAGGAGGTATCCAGAGGAGATGTCGCGCCCTTTGCCAATCAAGATCCCGTTAACGAACGTGCCATTGAATGATTTGCGATCCCGGACGTAGACGAGATTGACGCCAGGCTCATACACCACTGTATATATTTCGCAATGATTTCTGGAAATCAGGCTCTCATGATCGCCGTGGATGGAAAAATTGCTGCAAAATGAGCACCAAGCCTGTTCTGGTATTGAGGGGTTGACGTACTTTGACCTAGGATCCCTTCCGATCTTGAAAATGTCGTCTTCCCAGATGGATATCAAACCTCGTAAGGAATTAGCCCAACTGCACAAGGCGCGGATCGACAGGAAGAGCTGGACATAGTGGCACCTTTCTGGACCTGGTCGCCTTGAACAAAAGTATACTCGAGACTCGCGACAGGAAATTGGGATGAGGGATCGCTGGCACGTGGTGTAGGTGATGAGACTCTCATGATGCTTCTGTGGGCGACTGAAAATGCGTATCTTGATGTCTTCTTAGGAGTTCCTAACCAAGTTTAAATCTACTGATGAAATAAAAGCACCGTCTCTTTCCTTCCGACCTACCATCCTCGTCCTTAGGCTCTGAAGTTGTCATGGCAATTACACCAAAGTTGTTCCTTCCAGTATAGTTCAGTTGACGTACAGTACAGAGCGAACTAACCACACTACGCACTGTGTAGGACCAGGCCTGGACCCGAACTTGACGTACTTGACACACGTGACCTGTGGGGGTTTCTTGCCCTACATAGAACTTTCCTAAAAGCTTTGGAAATTCCCCCGCCCTTCTTCTGTTGCAACTCATCCAAACACGATTCTCATCCACGAACAAGTAAGTTTCCCTCAATGGTACATCTCAGGGACATGTATGGGCATTTCCACCATGCATGAAGCATTAACTGCCACCCCCAATCTTCTGAGTGCCACTATCGACTGGTTTCACCACCGTTGCTAACTACGTTCTAGTCCATCGTTCAAGATGAGAGCTAAATGGAGGAAGAAGCGCGTTCGTCGCCTTAAGCGAAAGAGAAGAAAGATGAGAGCGCGATCGTGAGTGACGCCAGCTAATTTTCCGAGTCGAAATCAATTGGACCATTTTCTCTAACAACCACACAGCAAGTAAACGCCTCGCACCTCTACCTGACTTGACGCATCTTTCATGAAGTAACGAATCCCTTGCGCCTGTGGGACATGTACAAACGAAGCTGGAGATGGGCTTGGTATCAGTAATGACGATGGGGTTTTGCCTTTTGGGATTACGTCAACGGCGTCTGGTTCCACCAACCCGAGCTACGATGTTTTGACGGGCGTGATGAGAGATGGGTGAATGGACAAGGAAACGGTCGGGTACAAGGACGGCGTTCAGGGGTCGCCAAAGAGAAGCAAGCTGTCATAAAAAGACACCTGCAGGAACACGTTTGGCACATTGCTTTGACAAATGAAACACAGAATTTGCTTCTTGAACCGTAACATTCGTGGTCTCGTGATGTGTGCTGATGTTAAAGTGCGATAGTGTCTTTATGGATAATATGGTAATGGCGACAATTTTACACATTACTTGCCATTTGCAATACTATGATATGATGTAAAGCTCTTCCAAGCCGGATGTGACAAACAAAGCTTCTGCACAAGCTCTCGGACGTCCTTTACTACAAGGCACTTCAGCATTATGCAATAAACTACTCATTAGTGTACATGGCGATATTCTCCGGACACCCGTCGCCATGTGCACCGATGGGTAGCTTATTGCGTAGCGCTCAAAGTGCCTTGTAGTAAACAACATCCGAGAGCTTGTGCAGAAAGAGCTCCTTGTACTCCATATGGCTGGTTTTCGCTCAATTGAGCTCCTGTCATTGTGATGGTGCTCCAATCTCGCCTAGCTGAGCTCCAGGGCAGCTATGGAGCGAACTTGCCTTTTTTTAGTGGAGATGGAAGCTGCGCCAGCTGCCAACCAGTTTGAAATTTCATAAGTGGGTTATGCTGTTGAGTTTACAACAGCAATTTGTGGAAATGACGATATTTGAGAGGCTTTGTAGGGCCTCAATTGATAGCCTGTACTCCGTATTTTCGTGATTGATGAAGGGTCTGAGTTGTGTGATGAAAAACTCTGCAAATTTGACCGCTTTTATGGCCGGCCGGGGGCCCCTGCAAGCCCTTGGGGGCTGGGGATAACCCTCAAATTCATCACTTTTTGACTGAACATGTGCACAAATTTGTATTGGTGGCTCGGTGAACTACAGACGTGAACTACAGTCTACGGAGTGCCAATCATGTTTTCTTTTAGTTCTCCTAACATTCACATAGCTTCAATCAAAATTATTGGCTATATGGAATAAACAACTACGTAGTCTACTCCGTAATATATTGTCGCTTTTGGTATGAATAAGCTATCCTTTGCTTTTATTGTCGCCGCCTTGCGGCTTCAATTTCATACGGGGCATTATTAAAGCATTGCTCTTCAAGGAAAAAAAAAGTAATACGCTGGATGCGTCGTAACATAAAATTGTCTTCTAAAAGCCTCCGCAGCCTTTATCAATGGAAGTAATACTCAGGGTCGGCATCGACTTATGTTAGTGCAAAAACTTGTCCTTCAGCAGACTATTTTGCTGTATCAGACGTCATCAATTGAATCAATTCTAAAGGTCACAAGTCCTTGGCGATGAAGTACATACTAGGCACTAGTACTAGTATAAATCCACTGGTAGTGTTGGTGGGGCCTAAAGTCTCACCGCCCCCGGCTAATTGGCGGATTACTGTTTTGTGCCGCTCTTCAGATGTTGGCCGACCAAAATTTTTTGGAGATGTTTAGGGCATTCGAGAAGACCAGCCCAACCTTGGCCCAGATCACCATCCACAATGGCAGATATCAGCAGCAAGAAGCGGAAGAGAGGTGGTGAATCCTCTGGAAAACCTAAAAAGAAAGTTGTGCTGGACGTGCCAGCATCTACCGCCTCGGTCTCATCAGTCCTTCGACCCAAGCACTGCCCACCAGTTATTGGTAAGGAATTGACGTGTTGGCTGTATAGTAAATTCCTACTAACTTGCAGCTTTGTAGCTACGACTCCCGGTGTCGAAATTTCTGAGAATGTTGCGTTTTACCCATATCAACCTCGAGAGGGCTCACGATCAAAGTCGACCAAATCGAAACATGCGGGCGACAAGGAATTGCTGCTGCACTCAACCTCTCACCGAAGCCTAGATTATACTGCAAGAGAGGAAGGCAAAAGAGGGCTGAATCAACTAGTTAATCACTATGTTGGCATTTATGACCCTAAAACTGGAAATCTCGAGGTAGTGGAGGCCAAGAAGATGGTTGTCCGAGGCATGGTTCGCGCTAAGCAAGCACCGGCCTCTTCCATGGGAGAGGATCTGGCCAAACGGGTAAGATCAATTTCTTTGCATGAGGTTCATTTCTCAATGGGAAGTCAACGATGCTAACAGCACGTGTAGAATATGATGGAGCGCAAAACGGATCTGGGACAAACATTTGGTACCAAGAAAGCCAAGAAGGTTATCCGCGAAACTGTACTCAATGCCATTACTCCACAGGGGAAACCTGGCGACTCTCCCACGAAGATTGATAATGCTGGCAAAGCAATTCTGAGCTCAGTCGGCGAGGTCACGACAAATATGGCAACAAGAGAGGAGTTGCAGGCTGCCGTCGACGAGGCCAAGCCAGTGCCCCGGGCCAACTTGGATGCGCTGGATATCCAGGATGTATACGATCCAAACGTCATCGTTGGCGCAGATATCTTGAATCTCGTGCCCATCAGAGAATGGCAAGAAAAGGTTCGACACAACGAAGGCGTCCAAACAATATCTCGGTTCGTAGCAGCCCGAGTCAATGCCGTTGCTTCCAACGACGCCGCCATCACCCGTCTGCGTGTGCTTCGATACTTGAGCTTTGTCCTCTTGTTCTACCTGAAAACCACACCTGGAAAACAGCGGGGCACAAGACAGGTGCCCCCGCGCGAAAAGTTGCGTGAGCTCCTATCGCCGGCTCCTGAGGCTGTCATCGAAAGCATTCGTCGAAAATTCTCCGATGCGGGCGTTGTGAGAAAGTTCCATATCGATCTCCTCATGGCGTACTGCTGTGTCCTTGCATGCATCGTCGACAACTTCGAAGTCGACACGCAGAATCTCAGAGATGATTTGAGACTGGACCAGAAGACGATGAACCAGTACTTTCACGAGATTGGCGGCCGTGTCAGGCCTGTTAGCAGAAAGGCCGAGGGCGGACGGGCCATATACGTGGCCAGACTAACATTGCCTTTAGACTTTCCTAAGCAGAGGCAGATTCCTCAGCGTCGCAAGTAACGGGGTTGAAGTTGTTATGATTCAACACCAAAAATTGTATGTAGATATGCATAGAACGGCGTTTGGGATGCCCTATCAAGGAAAATTTTCATTGTATCGATGATACTGCTGGCGCAATGTATCTACATGGCGAGTACAAAAGTATAGTGCCTTGCTTTCGTAAACAAGTCTTCTGACATGAATGTTCCAAAATTTGGTACTGTCAGCTGTAATAAGTGATGGCGACTGTCTAAGCTCCATGTCCATCAAACTCACATGTATGGACAGTCATCAGACCCAACCCACGAGCACTGCTACACTCACATAATTCGAGAAACAGAAGCTACTGAGACCCCTACAACAATCCAAGTAGTAATGCAGTAATGCACCGTCTCCCCCTTTCCGAATCCGTACACCCCATCCAATCGGTTGATGCCAAAACCCCTCCATAGCCGGACCATTGACTCCCCGCATCGCCAACGGACCGAGGCATCTTACTACTAGTAGTACTCCGTAATCCCATCCAGGTGGGGCATTTCAACCCCAACCCCGGATCGCCCGCAGGACTTGGGAGCAAACCTGCCAAAACTCCGTCCAGGGTGCATCAAAACCAGCGCCGTTTCCTTGTCGTTATTGCTTTCCTGTCTGTTATTTTGTATTACCATCATTGCCATCATAGATCTTGTCCTCAATTGGCTGCGTCATTATCGATAGACTGCTCAACGCCCATTTGGCCATTGACTTCTGACTCTGCTGATAGCTTGATTGCTTTAACACGCCGTGAGGATTAACATAGAATAGAAGAAAGGCTAAAAAACAAAACACTAGAGCAAAAAAGATGGCTACCGAATCCGTCATCAGCGTCGAGTACCGCGGCCGCGTCGCCGTCATTACCATCGACAATGCGAGCAAGCTGGGTGCCTTGTCGCAACCGCAGTACTACGAGCTCGCGACCAAGATGAACGAGGTGGCGGGCCACGATGAAGTGTTTGTGACCGTGTTAACCGGCACAGGACGCTTCTTTTCCGCGTAAGTCCCCCCCCGGCCACTACCACCCTGGAGACGTTGCAACAGCAGGACATGCGTCCCGTCCCGCGTCAACACCAAGCAAAAAAAGACCACCATCACCAGACGACCAAGAGACCAGACTAACACGCGCAACAGAGGCGCGGACGTGTCCATCTCCCGCGAAGCCCCGGCGGTCCCCTCGGACGCCCACAAGCTCTGGCTCCAGACGTTTGTCGCCTTCAACCTCAACATCGCGTACACGTTTGCCAACCACCCCAAGGTGCTGGTCGTCGGGCTCAACGGCCCCGTGGTCGGGCTGTCGGCGGCCCTGGTCGGCTGGGCCGACTTTGTGTACTGCACGCCGCACGCATTCCTGCTCACGCCCTTCTCGTCGCTGGGCCTCGTCGCCGAGGGCGGTGCCTCGCGCGCCCTCGCGTCCCGGCTGGGCCCTGCGCGCGCCAACGAGGCCCTCATCATGAGCAAGCGCATCCCCGCCGACCAGCTGAAGCAGTGCGGCTTCGTCAACGAGATCTTCGACTTTGGCAAGGCCGACGACGCCAAGTTTCGCGCCAGGGTGCTGGAGGAGGTGGACGAGCGGCTGGGCGACCATTTGAACGGCGAGAGCTTGGTCGGCATCAAGAAGCTGTTGAGGAGGCCCGAGTTGGACGTGCATAATTCGCAGAATGTGCACGAGGTTTTTGCCGGCTTGGATCGCTTTGTGAGGGGCATTCCGCAGGAGGAGTTTCGCAAGCTGGCGAGTGGCGAGAAGAGACATAAGCTCTAGGCTGGCCTAAAATTTGCCGTGATATTGTTCGCAGCGGCATCATGTTATGGAACTTGGGGAATGCGTAAATTTGTAATGATCCATTTCGAGGACCAGTCTATGCCAAGAGCCCAAACAGCAAGTTGACGCGTCCCCAAAAGTCTTGCGCCGTCTTATGAATCTTCTTCCTCGCCGCTTCGTCGAGTCCACTCTTGTTATATACCTCCCCATCCAGCCTTTCAAACTCTTGTGCCCCTTCACCCTTGGCAATACAGCATCGCAGAAGCGCAATATCAAACAGCCACTGCGTACAAATGGCCATGGTGTCCGCCTCAGGCCCCTTGGAATTTTCTTCCTCATTCAAGTCGGCCCTCTCCTCATCGCCATTGTCATCCTTCTCACTCCGTCCACCCTCTGTTGATAATCCACTAAGCTCCTTGTGCCACGCCTTACAAAGCTTTATCCCCAGCAAATTCTTCATTACCGCCATCGCCACAGGAGTCCACAGATCAACCCCAAAATCCGTCATTGACAGCGACAAGTCTCTCAGCAACCGGAAAACAGCTGGCGAAGGCTGATTTGGCAGTGCTGGCTCTCCTTCCCAAAGCGGTTTCATGGACACGCTCTTATCCAACAGACCAGAGGAGACAAACTCTTCCGTCGCGGCCTTGGAAGCCATGACGGCAATCTGGTTGTGAAGGCTGGGAACCATAGATAGTCCAAAGTCCTTGACGGCCGGGCGATCTGGGAGCTGTGTGCGGATATCACGTACCACGCGGATGAGGTAGATGGCTATGGCGCCGCTAGATGTGTGTTCAGAGTACTGTTTCCACAAGCCTTTGAGCTGGTCCTCGAGGTCTTGAAATGACTTGTCTAGGGTTGTGTCCAGCTTCTCTTGCAACTTTTTGGGATCCTCCTTACTAAGGGCCTTCTGTCTTGCTTCAATGGTCTCTTCGTCCTCGATCTCGTCGTAATCGTTGTCCCAGCGCTGTCTTCGCAACTGCTCCACGACGGTCTTTACATCGTCAATAATATGGAACCATGAACTGTAACTGTGGGTTGCCCTTGAAACTGCGTCGTTACGGCCGTATAGCCGGGAGACAACCTCCTGAATAAATGGCGCGGCTCCATGTGACAAGGCGACATCGTAGCCCTCATCGTCCCAGAGGCTCATATGCGTATCTGAAATGCTGCTTTGCCACATTTCAAGGGTGGCCTTGACTTCAGATCCAACGAGCCGCAGCTTGGTGGCTTTGATTTCGACGACGGCTAGCAGCCGGGCATTGATGGCCTCGCGCAACTCGTCTTGCAAGTCTTGCGGGTCGAAACCCTTGGCCCGGCCGCCGTCTCTAATCCAAAGCTGCAGTACCTGGGTTCGCAGGTCAGTAATTGACTTGAAGTCCACCATGTGATCGAGCGTCTTTTGCAGTCCAGCAATGACGATCTGCCCGCCCTTTTCGGCAAACGCGCCCAGCATTTCTCTTGCCTGCTTGCCATCAAGGTCGTCATGTTTGATGAATGGCGTGAAATCTTGAATATCATCGCTACACCAGCGTTCATAAATGTCCAATCGCAAGCCTTCAAGTTTTTTGAGAGAAGCGTCTGCCAACAGGGTGTGATTCTTCAGTGCGGACAGGGCTTGTGACAGCTTGACTGGAACCAAGGCCTGCACATCAAGAAGGGTCTTGGTGTATAGCCTCAAGCTACGAACCACATCCTCCGTAGTAGTCGTGCGCTCACTCTCCTCCAAGTCCAACGCAGTCTCCATAGCCCGCTGTCTCACTCGAATGAAGAGCCAGATAGCATGCTTGGCCCCAGAGCTATTGGCAAGACTATGAGCGCACAATACCTTGATCACATCCTCCGTGTCTGTCGCATCACCCGCATTCTCGAGTAATCGCTCGATGCTCCGTTGAATTCGGCGACGTAGCGACTCCAACGTCTTACCAGCAGCGTCAACCATGTGCTGGGCGTGCTCCGACGACACATCCTCCTTCAAGCTCTTGATCAACAACCGTCCGATTACAAAGACCTTTGTGGCCAGGACCAATCTATCGCCCTTCCTCATGTGCTCATCTACTCCCGCACCGCCTTTCAATATCCTGGCTATCATGAGCCCACATGAATCAAGTAGCTTTAGCGTCGCCGTCTCGATCGCTTTCGGATCTCTATCCCTGGTGACAAATTTCCCAAGCCCAGCCGCCTTGGAAGAAATGACTGTTCGTCCGCACCGGGCCCCCATGTTGCCTAGAAGGTCCTGCACTCGACTATTATCGCCACGCATTTGAACGATCGTGTCGGCCGTGCCTAAAAGTTCGCGGTACGAACCGCCGACCTGCGTCCGTAGACGGGCCGCCTTCTCCTCAATCTGGACATGGAGTGATTTGTGAATGGATCGAATCTGCGGGAGGGTATGACTTCCGGAAAAGATGTCGGCACAAGAGGTGAGCGTCGCTGGGTCGGGGACGGAGGCCATTGCGACGATTGGCGCCTTGAAGGCAGAAAAGTATGGACGACTACTATATTGGACGGGCCATCAGCGCACCATCAAAGCTTCATGCAATCAACAAAGCGCACGATGCGCGCAGTTTTCAAGGTACTGTGTAGATAGTAGAAGTTGAGGAGCAGAGCCAGGACAGCTTGTTCGAAGTGATCTCACAGTTTCTCAGCTGGCCTAGGTGGGGCAACCCGCTCAACGCATCCCACCAATTGCTTCGGCCATGCACATAATAATGCAGCAGCACATTCGAGAACAAGACACGGACATTGGATGTAACCACATTCCTTGATCGAGGTATGATGCACCCCATGCATACGATTTGATTGACACCAGTATTCTACAATTTGATGCTCTTGACGACACCGACATTAATACCAGATGTTTCTCCTTGGTAGCCGCCCTTGGGCTCACCACCCTTCCAAACAGGTTTCATGCTCTTCAACTTCTTCTGCTTGGCCTCGTACTGCTTTCTCCTCTTCACTCTTGGGTTTCGGACATCCTTATTTCTCTTGGGTGCCAAGCCCTTGTTTTTCTCAATGGCATATGTGATCTTCCTCTTGCCATCCTCTCCCACCTCTTCATTCTCCACCACTCTATCTGCCTTGCTTGCTGCAGCATAGGCAGCATAACGAGCGGCCTTTTCTTCTCGCTTGTTCTTTGACTTATTGGCCACCATGTCATAGTATTCGTCCTCGTCATTCCGAAGAGCGTTGGCAGCAGTGTTGTCGTCGTCATCGCTGTCATCGCCAAGATCAGCACCATGTTTGGAATCTCGCTTGCCTCGCTTCTCCGCCTCTGCAAGGAGACGGGCTTGTCTGTCTCGAAGTCGTTCGCGATGCGGAATGTCCATGTCTCCTCCAGCATCGCGTCCGGCGCCGGCACGCTTGTTGGCCTTTTGTGTAATTTGTGACGTGTAGAATTTGAGACTCTTTTTCCGGGCAGCCTTGTCTGCGGCAGCTCGCGCGTCCAGGGTGTCTTCTTCGCCAAAGTCTGAGTTATTGTCTTCCTTCGAAGCTGAAGACGACTTCGACTTTCGTTTTGACTTTCCAGAGCCAATCGGTAAGCTGTAAAGGTCGGAAACGGTGTTTTCAATGGCTCTGGCCTTTTCGAGCTTCTTCGCTTCCTTGGCCACTGAAACCTTGTCTTTCTTCACGGATTTCTTCTTCTTGGTAGTGTCGAGTGCGGTCGGGTCATCATTCAATGCATATTGACCATCGAGGTCCGCAGATAGTGACAAGGACGTCTCATCGGGGTTGCTCGCTGCCGTCAGGTTCTTTACTCGATCCCAGGCCTCGCGGCAACTGAGCAATGCCTCCATGACTTCGTGGTCCCGTAAGTCAGTTGCTGACAAGGGCTTTTGCAGTTTTCCAGCGTCTCGTGCAGGTGATGTAAGAATGGCAAAATAGCTGGCCAGGGTGGCAACATAGCACCCCAACACACAGTACTTGATGGCCGCGATTGATGTGTCTGGTTGATTGGCAGCATCTTCCTTGAGACCGAGGTATACGGGGTGCAGCTCCTCCAGCTCACTTGCCAAGTGCTCGAACTCAGGGTATCTTGTTGACAAGAGCCGCGATCGCTCCTCTATGCTCATTTCCGGGGTGACTTCGATATCCTTGAGAACCTCAACAACCTTCCCTTCGCCTTCCTCGAGTTCAGGCTCTCCGGTTAGCCATTCGTCGCCGTCGAACACGAAATCTTCCTCCCTCATTTTGGAGAGTTTCTTTTGCTGCAATCGCTTGGCTTCGGCTTCTTCCTCTAATGCATCGGCCTCGGTCTCAATGTTATCAGCGTCATAGTACTCCTGTTTTGAAGATCCCCACCAGCCAGAGTCCCCTTCGTCGTCTTCTTCACCGCCATCTTCGAGATCACCCTGGGCATCATCCTGCTTCGTTGTAGATTTCTTTGACTTTGTCTGGGGCTTTGCATCGGGCTTGTCATCCTGCTCATCAGAGTCGGAGTCCTCGTAGCCAAGGATCTCTTCGTCTGAAAATTCCATATCTTCATCCTCTTGTCTCCTGCGTTTTGAATTCGGCTCGTCATCCAGCATTATTGTGTCTTTGTTGAGAAAGTATTCGTCTTCCGAATCGGCGACATCTTGGTAAGTGGTGATGGGGCCAAGTCTAGCCTCACTGGGATCGAGTTCCTTTGGGCCTTTCGGGCCGGCATTGCGGCTACCAGCCTTTCTTTTCTTTGCCATGACGATGCAGTTGATTCTCCGCGGTTCGGAGGAATGCGTGCAACGGATGCGGCTTGCTGATGTGACAAGCGAGTTGACCAAGTTGCGACGGACGACTTTTTCTGCCGCTTTTGACCAATGTTGGGTCAGAAAATTAATTTTGAGGCGACTGATAAGATAAGAGGCGTCGAGTGGCTCAGCTTGCACATGTGCCGTTGGGGCCCAGACAGGGGTCACCCGCGCCACTTGACCGGACATTATTGGCGCGTTTAGCGCACCAGCCAGAGCCTGAGTAGCTCCAAGTACTTAGGTACAAAATACTTACATACAGCGACCTCAACAGCGGGACAGGCATCGTAAAGTAGCATTGAGCTTTTATTGTTGTATTACTTCGTATCCGTTATCTCCCTCATATCTCCCCCAAGTAAAAGGCCGATGGTGGGCACCTCCACGTGATGACGCCTTGCAGCATGCCGAGACGTAGATACGAAGTAGTCTGCTGTTATACAAAATACTTCCAAGTCCTGCCGCTGCTGGGGTAGGACGGCATGCCGAACTTGATAGTACTTCTAAGTAAGTACTCCGTACTCATCCCATCTACTCATCTACTGCGGCATCTTGCCCATGCTGCCCAGTGCAGCGAAGCGAAGACGTCGTGCATCAACATTTAAAAGTTGAGGCTGCATGCCCACCCTCCGACCCGACGCCATTTGTACCATTTGTGCTCAAGTGGGCCTCGCCTGACAAGTGACGGATGACACAACATGACTAGGATCGTCACGAACCATTGCACCATGACGGCGGTGTGTGGCTTGCTCCAATGATTAGGGACGCTCCCTGGCAGAACCTTGGGCCAACTTTGAAGCACAGGGGCACAGTCGGGCTGAAGGTCTGGGGCAGGGCATAGACAGCACTTGCAGTTCAGACACCACGTGAAGCCTGTGCAGGGAGGCGAGAGGCAACCCTTGCGGCCGTACGAAATGGTGCTACTTTGGCCGTGCAAGCTGGCAGATATTTGAGTTGAAACATTGCCATCAGCGGCGCACCCGTTCATCCATCTTGGATTCCAGGCCGGGCCTGGTGCTTCGAACCACGGCACGGGCTGTCACACTCGCAACGACACTCGGTCACTCGACTTCCATCTCGAATCTCTGCTGCCAATGCTGCCCTGCGAGCTTCCTCGCATCGCGTCGCCACGACTCTAGCCCGCCGCCGAATTTCCCGTCTTGCATGCAACGCGAAGGCATGGACGGCACTCGTCCTTCCCCGGTCATTCTGCAATATTTTGTTTCCGTCTCATAGCTGCTGCTTCTCGGATCTTGTTGCCGATTCTCTCTGTCGACCTGCTTTTCTTCACCGGCTACGTCGACAAGCGTAGCTTTTTGGCGTGGCTTTCGCAGCATTACACAACATAAATCTGCTCGTCCTACCCGATCTAGACAACCATGGCGGACCGGGAGTCGTCTAATACCAGCTCCCAGCCGTCGTCGCCTCGTGCGAGTCGTCGACCACATGCTCCTAATAGGAGTCATTCTAATATGGAGCCTAACGAGCGCTCACCATTATTATTGAATAATTCCCGATCTAGAATAAGAATAGATGGCGGTGCGCTGTCCCCTCGAATTCCCCAAATGTCCCGAAACCACAGTTATACAGGTATGACTACAACGCTCGAGTCAAATACATCGGATACAATCATGCCCTGCTTTTGCCAAATTTTGAGCGCTGACAACTGTTTCCTTCCAGGTAGCGTACGGCAAACCAGACACCACAGCAGGCAAGGGTCATGGGGGCAGAGACTGATGCAGTCCCTGGCCGACCGGAATACCTCAATGTCAGACACCAAAGCATCTACCGTTCCTGACGAGAGAGTGTGGTATGATCAGTTCACCAGTACTGATTGGGTGCACGATACCATCGCAGATTCTCATCGCGTCAAAGCTTTGAGAAGCCGAAAAGACTTCTGGGGTCGGGTTCGTGTTATGCTCGACGGCTGCCAGGGCTGGATTCTCAGTGCCGTATGTGGACTTGTCATTGCCATCATTGCGTATGCCATCGATGTTGCCGAAGTCACCATCTTCGACTTCAAGGATGGTTACTGCTCAACAGCGTGGTACTTGAACGAAAAGGTGCGGCGCCAGTATCGCATGTTGTCGTTGAAAGCCTGTCAACTAATGAGCGTGTGCACAGAAATGTTGCCGACGAGGTCCATGCGATGACTGGAGAAGCTGGTCGCAAGCCTTCAACTATCACCCATTTGGCGAGAAGTGGACCGATTTCACAATATATCTAACATGCGTCGTTGGCCTAGCGCTCCTCTCATGTTGGATTGCGCTTGGAACAAAGACCGTAGTTCCGTCGGCATATCAACTTACTACCTTGGACGAGAATCTGGCCGCGCTGCCTCGAGAAGTCGGTCAACCTGCCGACGGAAACTCGACTGACGATAGTGCAAGTCCTCGCCAGCAAGATGAGCCGCAGCAGGCAAGCCCTCCCATGATCTATTACTCTGCTGCTGGCAGCGGGGTTGCTGAAGTTCGTGTGATTCTCAGTGGATTTGTCCTACATGGCTTCCTAGGTTTTCAAACCCTTATTATCAAGTCTGTTGCACTTGTCCTCAGTGTCGCGTCTGGTCTCAGCCTGGGAAAGGAAGGGCCGTACGTTCATATTGCAGCTTGCGTCGGCAATATTGCCTGTCGGTTATTTGCCAAATACGACCGAAACGATGCCAAACGTCGAGAGGTACTCTCCGCTGCAGCCGCGGCAGGTGTTGCAGTTGCTTTTGGTGCTCCTTTGGGCGGAGTATTATTCGGGCTGGAAGAGGTCGCCTATTTCTTCCCTGCTAAAACTCTGTTCAGGACCTTCTTTTGCTGTATTATTGCGGCTTTGTCCTTGAAGTTTTTAAATCCGTATGGTACTCACAAGATCGTCATGTTCCAAGTCCGGTATCTCATTGACTGGGAGTTCTTTGAGCTTGTTAGTTTTGTTTTTGTTGGCGTTCTTGGCGGTGCACTCGGTGCACTGTTCATAAAAGCCTCTAAATACTGGGCTCAGACCTTCCGTCGTATTCCAGCCATAAAAGCATATCCTTTGCTGGAGGTCTTCTTGGTGGCTCTTGTAACTGGTCTGATGAGTTACTGGAATGCCTTGGTGAAGGAGCCGGTTGCAAAATTACTGCTCAACTTGGCATCACCTTGCGACGGCAATGATGAAAATACAGATGAGCTCGGCCTCTGTCCCGGCTCTGTGAACGATATTCCTCCCATTCTCCTCACGCTTTTCATCGCCTTTCTCATCAAGGGATTCCTCACCGTCATTACTTTTGGTATTGTAAGTGTCCATCATCATAGGCTACCACCTAGGCTACCTGTTAACTTGTTTGAAACAGAAAGTACCGGCAGGAATCTATATTCCATCCATGGTTGTTGGCGGTTTGATGGGGCGGATCGTGGGACATCTTATGCAATGGTTTGTCCTCTCAGTTCCTCAGTGGTCCATCTTTGGCAACTGCGCAACCGCTGCGGATGGATCGTGCATCCAGCCAGGTGTATATGGCCTCATCGCAGCCGGGGCCACCATGTGTGGCGTGACGAGACTTTCATTGACTTTGGCGGTTATTTTATTTGAACTGACTGGCAGCTTGGACTATGTACTTCCATTTTCACTGACCATCTTGGTTGCCAAATGGACAGCTGATGCAATCGAGCCCAGCAGTATCTATGTATGTGTCTACGTTGGGCTCCAAGGAGAGATGCGCCGTAACTGACAAATGCCCAGGACCTCTTGACAAACATGAATGCATATCCATTTCTAGACAACAAACATAAGCCAGTCTTCACCAGCAATTTGGCGGACATCGTTACCCGCACTCGTCGGGAGAGAGTCATTGACATCACCAACTCACCACTCGTGTCAGCCGTGAGTCTTCGGTCTAAACTTGAGCTTCTTCATAGGGCCGGGGAGCTTGATGGCGGGCTCCCCATCATCAGGCATGAGGTCTTGGTGGGACTCATCCCTGCTCCAGATCTGGAATTTGCCTTGGATCAGCTCGAAGACGAGCAGACAAACCTGTGCTTGATGGATAGAGTGCCAAGCATCGACGAGGATGATGAAGATGACGCGGATCCCACCGACTTCACACAATATATCGACCCAGTGAGTCATTTCAATTTACAATTTAGAGCTGCTTGACTGACCATGCCGTAGGCCCCGGTTGCTTTGGACATCCGATCACCGATGGACCTGGTGTACGAATGCTTCGTGAAACTGGGTCTGCGATATGTCTGCGCCCTGAAAGATGGCAAATACAGGGGAATGGTGAGAAATTTTGTTATGTCCTCTCTGCACCATATTCATAGGCCTCAACTAACAGCTTCTGCGCCCTAGATTCACAAGAAAACTTTCGTGAGGTATATACGACAACTTGAAGAGGAGGGCGAATAGACGTGCTCATAGGGATGAGCGACGGGATGAGCGACGGTTGGCACATTGACGGTCAGCGTTTTGTTACTGCGTCACGACTGTCGTTTAGACTCATCTAAACTGGTGCGGTTATCTATTTGTTTGTTTTAGAGCGCTTGTAACCCACTCCCTCGGTTTCTCATTGGAGACCATTCCATGGCATTAGCATTGGCATATTTTGTTTGGCATTGTACAAAGACCAGGTACCATCTTGGGTAGAAACTGCATGCTGGAGCATCATTACTCTAGGGCATTAGGTTGGTTGATCTTGCGACATGGGACACTCCGTCGATGTGAATTACAGACGGGATTCTTCTAATTGTTCTCGTTTATGCCATTCCACGTAGCTCTGGTGAATTGTGCATCATGTAACCCAACTTTATGTGACGATGTCAAAACTTGGCGTGTGCCCCAATTGACCGAGGCAAAGTTCCAGACATGACATGGCTTAGCCGCAATGAACAACAGTCACGCCAACACCTCGGGGAGTGTCCCGTTCATCGACAAATTCGTGATGCGAATGAGAAGACACATGTAAGTTGGTGAACCTCTACGGCGCCACCCGGAGCCCGGGTCCGAAGCAAAACCGGAATCCACGGGACCCGGGAAAAGCACCCACCAAGAGTACTCCGATAAGTTAGATTGGTTACTTGTTTGGCCATTGGCGTCTGGTGGCACCAGGTGGCCGGCCCGGGGCATTTGATAGGGGGGAAAGTGATGCGAGTGGACGCGCTGCATGACTAGTGGCAGTCTCGAGTCTTAAATCAATCAGGTGGGACGGGCCCTGGCCCACGTAAAGTGAGAATCATTGATCTCATGTGAGGTACTCCGTACTGAGCAGGTGCCATTGCCAAAGAGGCTCACAGTCTTGCTGCTGAGATCACATCGTTGAAGTGAAGCTTGATATTCTCCGACGAGTGAAAATTAACCCAGACAGGTACTGATTATAGCTGATAGCCTGTATCTATGCGGCATTTGCTATCGTACCGGGTGTACACAGTCGATGGGAAGCAAATATCTGCGAGACTCCGATTTTGGAACCAGCAAGTGGTGTGGCAGTGGAGACGGGGCCCGAGCCGGGCGGTTGGTTGCTGGGAGGATCTGCGCCGTCGAGAGTCGAAGCCGGAGGGGGGACCGGCTGGTTATTAAATAATTATTAGACCTTTGAATTAGACCTCGAAACCTCATATTGGTGCTTGGGAGGGCCACACCCCGGGTAGTGCGCAAGAAGGCGCAAATATTGTATGTATGCATGTTTTGATTCCGAGCTTGGATGTCCCAAAGGCCTTTTTGTTGTTCCACATGTGATTTGCCAGCTATGTGCTCACCGTCCTCCATGGCATGTTGGTTGTGCTGATGTATGGGTGTAAGACGGGGTATCGGAGAGGTGTCGTGTAAGCCGCTGGCCGGGACGCAACTGAACAGTGTGCTACCAGCGTAGTTAGTCATCAATTAGATAGAAGATGGGAATATGGAGTCTTATTGTAGCCATGATGAAATAAATGTGCACATTTGAAGTACCTAGTACCACTTGTCTCACCCCAAGCGGCAAAAAAGCCATCACCTGAGCATGACCAGATTCACACAAGCTGCTGCACGCCGAGCGCCGACGTCGGTGCTCCTGACGCCCTCCCGAAAGGCGTGGTCGGTGTGTTGCCGTGGCACATCTGTCTCATTCCGTACGGCGCAAGGAGCTGGCATCGGTGTCTGCGCCCACGCTGCAGCGGGCAGTTCTGTACCGGAGAGTCACACTCTGGCTTGGCTGGCAGCTGGGTTCTAGTACTCCGTACTAGTTCTGGACAAGCCGGAATGTCGGAAAGCCCACCGAAGTACGTAACAACGATGTGCGGTAGCCAATGGGTTCCAGACGATGCGGGGGATCCTTGGAGCTGTGGTCAGGGATAGAGGGTGGATGCGATGTCGGTGGCTTCAAGGTCCGACTTTTGTGCGCAGAGTACTAGTGTAGGGACAGTGCAAAGCAATGGCTATGAGCTATTTGACGAGCTAGTACAGAGTAGGATGGCCATTGCGCAATTACAGCGATGTATTGGGCGTGTGGTAGGCTGATTGGCGTAGGTAGAAGAAGACCGAAGATGGAAAAAAAAGTGTCATGGAGAAATGGTGTTTCACAATCTCGATCAAAGTGGCTGGAACGGCTACAAAGGCTGGAACGGCCAGTGGGTTCGGGGTCCGTCGCTAGTCTGCACAGTGCTGGCCAGCCGCCAAGTTAGGCAGGGGCGCCCAGAGCTCCCCGCATAATTTCCCCATAGGTACAACCCACTGTGCATGTACATGTAGGCCGCTGTATACCGACGATAACAGATAAAAGGCATTGAAGCTCCGACGGCTCTTTCCAGCCTTGCTTCTTCCACCACACCCTTCAACATTTCTCGTGATCCTTCCTGCCAATTGAAGATCTGGGAACCTGCTTGACTACCCGCACCCAGATCTCGAGTCCATCTCGAGCTTCTGCATCCAAGTGCTCATACGTCGACACTGACTACAAACGCTTTCTCCCACTTACACAACTCTCTTGCACTTTCGCCACTCTCATCCACGCCCACATACGCCAACATGTCGGCCCTTCGTGCTGCTGGCGCGTCCCGGCCTGGCATGGTCCAGACGCTCCGGGCTGCCATGACCAAGCGTTCCTTTAACACCGCCGGTGCCATGCGCATGGGTGCTGCCAAGTCATTCCACAAGGACGAACCCGCTGCCCCCATCCTAAAGACCAGTATTCCAGGCCCCAAGGCTGCCGAGGCCGTCAAGGAGCTCGACGAAGTCTTCGAGACTCGCAGCATCAACATGATGACCGACTACACTCAGAGTGTGGGCAACTACATTGCCGATCCTGACGGCAACATGCTTCTGGATGTGTAAGTTACATTGCTCTGTTACTTGACCAGCTTGGGCTTTCCCGCTGCCGGTGACTTGTGCTGATGCTGCCGTTATCCAGTTATGCTCAGATTGCCTCCATTCCAGTGGGGTACAACAATCCCGAGCTCCGAAAGGTTGCTCAGACCCCGGAGATGGTTGATGCCATCATCAATCGTCCCGCGTTGGGTAACTTTCCCTCCCACACATGGGCCAACATCTTGAAGACTGGTATCCTGAAGGTTGCTCCCAAGGGCCTTAACAACGTCTACACCGCCATGGCCGGTTCCGATGCCAACGAAATTGCCTACAAGGCTGCCTTCATGTATAAGCGACAAGTGGAACGAGGTGGCCCTGAAGTTGACTTCACTCCCCAAGAAATTGAGAGTGCAATGAAGAACCAGGCCCCCGGCTCCGCGCAGCTTTCTATCTTGTCTTTCAAGACTAGCTTTCACGGCCGTTTGTTTGGTTGCCTGTCTACCACTCGCTCCAAGGCCATCCACAAGCTTGACATTCCTGCCTTTGACTGGCCCCAGGCGACTTTCCCCCAGCTCAAGTACCCACTTGACCAGCACGCCGAGGAGAACGCAAGGGCTGAACAGGCCAGCCTTGAAGAGGTTGAGCACTTGATCAAGACCTGGCACCTGCCTCCGGCTGCCGTTGTTATTGAGCCTATTCAGAGTGAGGGCGGCGACAACCACGCCAGTCCGGAATTTTTCCAGAAGCTCCGCGCCTTGACCCGCAAGCACAACGTTCTGCTCATTGTCGATGAGGTCCAGACTGGCGTCGGTGCTACCGGTAAGTTCTGGGCTCATGAGCACTGGAACCTCCAGGACCCTCCCGACATGGTTACCTTCTCCAAGAAGGCCCAGACTGCTGGTTACTACTACCGGTCCAAGGACTTGCGCCCCAACAAGCCTTACCGCCAGTTCAACACCTGGATGGGTGATCCATCCAAGGCCTTGCTTTTCCGTGGCATCATCAGCGAAATTGAGCGCCTCGATCTCGTGAACCATACCGCCAAGGTCGGCAACTATTTATACGGCAAGCTTGAGGGTCTTGCTAGCAAGTACCCCGATCAATTCCAGAACCTCCGCGGTAAGGGCCAGGGTACCTTCATCGCTTTCGACAACCCCAAACGCGATGAGTTCCTCGTCAAGGCCAAGAGCTTTGGAATCAACATTGGTGGCAGCGGTGCCAATGCCGTTCGTCTTCGCCCCATGCTGACCTTCCAGGAACATCATGCCGATATTCTCATTGAGGCTCTTGAGAAGATTGTCAAGGCTTTGTAAGGCCCGAGGCAATGATTGACATATGGGTAACTTAATTATGGGCAATGCATAGCGGAACGAAAGGACTTGGAGAGCTTGGTCCTTTCAAACAGAAATAGCCACAGGGAAATGAAGGCATGAGGATTTGGTTGACTTAAAAATATCCAATTATGGAGTACTTAACGGGAGTGAAACGCAACTCGGGAGTCTTGTGTGATCTTGTACTACTTGGTTAGGGCTGTGCAACGAAAGTTTTGGCCTTTAACTGAGATAAGGGAGCGATTTGGAATGCAAAATTTAAACAAGGTCCCACGACATCGATTAACATAATATCATGTTCTGGGAGTTTAATATAGCGTGTCATGTAATGCTTTTAGTCAAACCGACTCCCTGGCTAGGATAAATGATAGCAACAATTGGTGTTCGGAGTGGATTTTGACGTTCTCTTCTCGTGCGTATGGTTCTGCCAAAGTCCACAAATGCCACTCCTCGTTCCACTTGGCTCATCGACATCGTATCGTACATGCCACCGTGATTGAACAACCACAATCAACACTGCAGTCTTTCACACTCAAAAGCATAATGCTTAAGGTCAATAAGTCAACAGCCGTTCAATTTCGCTCCGAAACATAAACAGAATTTTGAGGAAATTCACACAAAACTTAAAGAATTGAAAGCCACAATGCCAAGGCATATTGTACATAGGAACCGTACGCTACTGTATGGCAAACACGTCATAGCACCGGTTCTGTGCCGTCAAATATGAGCCAGAGAACCAAAATCAATCCGGCATGTGAATGGAATGAAGGTCGTGCTCAAGTCTCAGACTAAGCCGCTATACACACGAGGCCATAGTTAATGTGCCTCCGTATTCGCAATGGGAATTCACCGTATGGTTGGCCGCTCCAGGCAGGTAGGTAGCCACACTCAGAAGAGTTTTGAAATAGAAAACAGAAAATGATTATTCAAAGCCGACGTCATAACGGTCTTGGACAACGTTGTTGGCGGTGTCGGCTGTCAAGGACGTCAGGGGAGTCCGTCTTGTTGCCTATCACTAAAATCGCACATCATGTTGGGATCAATGACGTCCTGATATTGATCCTCGAGAATGGTGGGCTCATAGCAAGTTTGTAAGCTTGGGAATCCATCCCCCTCTTGCATATTGCTCAAGTTCCAGGGCTGTGTGTCTTGCACTGTGGTACTGCCTGGGTTATCCAAAACATGCTTGTCCGCTGGTCTTCGATGGCTCTCGGATGGCGTCTTCGCAGGCATCTCATCAAGACTGACAGAACGCCAACGACTCATGAGCGACAAGATCCGAGCTGCTGTCGGCATCTCATGTGCGAAATCCTATGTCGCGGAACTTGATACGACAGAGCTTGTAGAAAGAGTACTGGGGTTGGCTGGCTGAGGTTGCCCAAGAGGCGTGACCATCTTTCGCTTCTTCGCCTTTCTTGTATCGACGGTCGCAAATAGTGACAACCCTGGCTGAGCTGGATTGTTGAGTGGATGTGGAATGGCAGGCAGAATTGGTCTGTGTCCAGTGCCGTGTTGCATACGAGGAGCTATGTGTGGTGGAAGATTTGGACGAAGATCTCTCTTGGCTTTATCAGCCCGAGACGGACGGCCTCGTTTCTTGGGTTTTGTTGTTGATTGCGGCGGAGGCATGGCAACTTGATTCTGCTCAAGTCCCTTTGATGGTCGAGGGAGGATCGGAACGGGTACATTTGAAACGGGAGGTGATAAATGCTGGGTATTCAAGCTAGTTGTGTCGCCCGCGACGCTAGAATCGGCTTCTTTCAGAACAGGCTCGCCTTGGCTGCTTGTTGATAGCCTTTTGGAATTCGAAGAAGGGCCGCCCATATGCTCTACAACTTGCATACACTGATTCATATTGCGACCTATCGAAACATTAGATATTGTTTAGAAAAAAATGTTGACGGTTGTTGGATGATAAGGGTAATTCGCATACCAAGCGGGAGCTGCATCCTCATCCAATCAGGGTCAACACGATTGGTGTTTATGAAGGCCAGCAAAAGGTCGATTTTGACAGTACTGGATTTTATAATCTCAGCGAGAACAAATCGCTGCAAGACGAATATTAATATCGGAACTTCCCATCGTTCGATCCTCAAAATCACTACCAGACATACCTTTTCATCCTGCGTAAAGGAGAGCTCCATGGTTCTATATGAGTTGTCTAATAGAAACGAAACAATTCGCCAGGAAGACTAGAAGAAGAAAAAACCACAAAGCAAACTGTACCCGGACCCTGACAACTCTCGGATACGCATCGGTGGTATTGCTGTTGGGCTCATGAAGTGAAGTGAAGGTGACCCGGGCAGGAGAAGAATAGGAGTGTTGTCGCTATTTCCCCACCATTGAAGACATTATTGTTTTGGCGTTTCTTTGACCGTAGATGACTTTGACGAACCACAGAATCATCTATAGTTAACAAAAGTCCAAACAATCAGATTCGCTAAACAAACGATACCGCAGCTCCTGCCCGTTTCTTACTATTATGCGAAAGGTTGGTTGTTGGGCAGAGCTTCCTTCGACCCCTCCCCCCTTTTCACATGGAAACGGTTGGAGCTGACTTTGGAAAAATTAGACAATACAAGGCTGCAGCTGTGCGGCTTTTCAACAGACACCCTGGGGGAAAGGGTCGGTCGTCGAGTTTGTGACACCCAGCAAGATGTCTCTCTGTGCGCTGAGAGCAGACAGACAATGGGTAGAAGGAGTAGGGGTGAGGCGGCAAATGGGTCGTGTAATGCTGATCCGCGACATGCAGGCGATAGTAGCGCTAATACGAAGCACAGATCAAGGGATGTTGCGTGTCTGCGAGACCGTAGAAGCGCGGGACAAGGTACTTGAAATATGTAGTGTTAACCGGTTCATTTCTGGTCGGTTGCAAACGAGACACGCAAGTATTGGGAGGCGAGCTCTATCTTTGGGTAGGGGACCACGGTTCCTTCGCGACGTATAGCTTGACCAGCCCCGCGGCTCATGGATACCACCTCGCTATTCTTGATGGCGCGGCACTCTGAACGGTGACGGTGGTGGTGCGGACGAAGAATGACCAGGGTCACAGCGAGCATGGGTCAAGAGGCGACAAGATGGAGGAGCAGCGATGGAGAGAACAGATAATGTGGAAGCTCTCCCAGTTGGATGCCACACTACTTCTGTCGCCGTCGAGCCCAGATACAGACGAGTATTCATGTATCGGAGAGACGAGTCCTCATGACGGAACCATGCAGCGGTATATGGACTGTTCCGAGATCCTACACTTCAATGGCGGCCTCTTATGCGCTGAATAAAGGTCAGCTGGTTGCCACACTTGGTAACCACGACTAGGCCAGCTTTGCCCAACTGTGTAAAGGAGTTTGCTGTCCGTACGTCAGCAGCTGTGGCCAAGCTAAGCAAAGTGCCGGGGACACCTGTGAGTCTTCCGGTGGCGAGTAACTATTTATGACAAAAGTTAACTTCAGCCTAACTCTACTGGCCAAAGATGGCTTCGGTGCGGACCGATTGGTATCTCGGCCAACAAACGGCCCCCCCGGTTGTCCAGTGTCAAGGGCATGTCCAGGAAGTCTCAAGTCGCTTAAAGACTCGTGGAGTCTTTTTTTTAGTCTGTTCAAGGCGCCAGGGACCCATGGCTTCTGTGGTGTGCGTATGTATGTTTATCTTGTGCAAATCCCACGTCGCATAATTGTCATTTGATAATAGCAGACTCCCAGTCGATCTATGCTTGCCCTTGGTCGAAGTGGGGATGGTTCAAGAGATTTTGCCAACTCTATTGAGGAGTTGGCTTTGTTCAGGACTTCAAGGCCACTTTGGTCGTCAATACCTAGAAAAGCGTCGGCTTGTGAACAAAGAAATGCACAAAGAAAAAGAGAATATGACATGGCCGTCTGCCACACTCGATGCAGCCGTGGTGACACTCGACCCACCGTCGTCGTTCTGTACAAGGTGTATGGAGTCCACGCACACGGTCGACGCTATGCAAGTCGATTGTGCGGAATTCCAGGTGTCTAGATCCCGTCCGAAGTCACCTACATTACACCTGCCTTGCGGTGACTTGCAGTCTGCAGCTTAACGGGGAAAGTCTCTATGTTGACCAAGGCATGGCCAATCCCACGATCAATCTGGAGCGCCTGACATGTCTCGGTCCCCCTCCCACCCTGTCCATGGCAATCATGGTAGACGCCAACTTGGCTCGTGTCTCGCCGCAGCTGGGCTGCATCGCCGCGCTTCTCGCGCTCACACCATGGATGTGCTTTTGAATGCCCAACCCTTGTCGAGGACGCGAGTTGATGACCTGGGGCGTTTCCTCCGGGCAGATGTGGTGTCAAATGTGGTGTCAAAATCGGTGTGAGTGTTGCTACAGAAGGTGTCGTGGGAGACGCGGCGAGAGACCCCGTTCGTGTAAGTGACCGCGTGACTGTTTTGCTGTGATCAAATGGGATCCGTGACTCAATCGAAGAGCGTTCACGTTCACCCCCAGTTGATCCGCCTGACCGTACCAATCAGAGTCTCCTTGCATCTAGCGGTCTCAGCACAATCCACATGTTCATTCAGAAGGGTTGTTGACTGCACATGGCAGGCTGTCGTTGCCAGTCGATGTAGGCAAGCTTACCGTAACTATTTTGTAGGCATCGGCGGCCGCTTTGAGAGGCCCCCCATTTTGGATGCATAGGGAACATGCGACTCGTCGGCATGTACGACCTAGGTAGGGTGATGTCAAAAATCACACCTCCTCCGGTTTGGATAGCACCTCCATTACAAAAGATGAAGAAAGTCGGGGACATGACGACCACTTTGAGATTTGAGGGGATTCGAGAAGAAAACCCGAGTTGTTGGCAAGCTCTGCAGCCCGACCGCCTTTTATAACATTTCGGTCGCTCCTTCTCAGCGAAGCCTGGTACACCAAGCACGCCTAATCGCCCATGCAAAGTGAGTTGGCAAATCTTGAAAGACCCACCCAAGCCAATTCGAAGGAGTCTTCTCTCCTCCTTCACGGTTGCAATGGCTCAAACCTGTCTAGACGTTTGATTCCTGCAAGGTTTGTGTCGTTCTGAAACCTACTGCCCACTATGGCCCAATGGCCTGGTTCAATTGCTCTTGCATATTGCATGCTGCTTCTTTACATGCAGGTCAACGATTGCGACCTGCCAGGAACCCTTGATGGACAGCTGGGGATCGAGATGACAGTTGACAGTTCCGAAAACTACCAATTGTTACACAGCGCCATAAGATGGGGTGACGCAGAAGTGTTATTCGATGCGGCATTCTGCGGCTTCACATCAATTGCCCGATGGAGAAGTCCTTGTTCCCGGCCGACGCGGTACGCAAGGTACTTTGATCCGATCTCGATACTACCTTTCTGGACTACCAGAATTGAGCCGCCATATTACCGCATGGCTTTTGGCTTGTCATTCATTGCCTTGGATCACTACGCAAACTCAACTTGCGGGAATAGTTTTTCATTCGAGAGCTTTGCGACTGTTGCAGGAAACTTACTAGAGCTGAGGACGTGAATGTGACAACGTCACCCGGGCGAGATGTTGACTCTACAGAACTTAATACTAGTAAAAAGATGGCTAGTATCGAATCTCGAACCACTCCATTGTCTAGTCATGATACTGGGACCAGACACAGAGGCTGTGCAGAGGCGTCAGAGGCTTACGACACAGATGATTCTGCCACTTACAACTAACTCGTCGCGTGTGCTACCATGGCTTGTAGATTTAATATTTGTTAGATATAATTGCTTTCTCCTGATTGGAAAGGGTTTCTTGCTGACTAGCATGTACATGGTATATTGGTCTGGTGCTAACTACGGTATGCTCACGATATCTGAGCCGAAGGCGGAGCCTACTTCGTGAAATGCTGCAACTGGCAAGATATTGCAGCATCGCCGCACTCGCAATGAGAAAAATATAACATTTTGCTGTTAGTCCCTCATGCTCTGGCCCAGTGCCGTCTGCGAATGCGAATTGATTTTGCTCTAGGCAGGATTTGGGAGTGCCCAACGTCGTGGGTTGAAGAAGTCACTTGGTATTCCAATCATGGTACACAACCAACGCCACATAATACAGCTGAAGGCGCCAACTAATTGCCATTGGACCTTGGCTCTGTCACATCGCTATGTTTTGTGCTTGTTGCCTAACCCCTAACCAATCGCACCAGAATTAACGGCAGCATGCAAGTTGCCTTGAAGAAACACGCAAGAAATAAACGCAGCTAGGGCCAATCTGTTACCCATGGCGGATGTGTAAGTGAAACGCCTCTCATAAATAAGCAGTCGGCACGCTATGTTGAATCTATAAATTGCCTCCATTTCTCCTCATTGGGGTTTGGAACCTCGTCCAGCAATCTCAATTTGAGCAACAAAGCTCACTCGATTGACGTCGCAAGCAGGCATCTATACTGCACCCACATCGACGTTGTGTCTGCGTATTGTAGCAAACTTTGCCAACTTCGAATCTAAACAGAACTACCAACGATGCCTCGGTTTGCCTTCCTCGTCGTTGCTGACGCCATGAGCGATCAACCAAATCTCGAAATCCCCACAGAGATGTTGGATGCCATGACCACTTTCAATGAGAAGATGGCTGATGAGGGCGTGCTTCTCCATGCTGATGGCTTCACACCCTCATCTGACGGGGGCTATCGGCTCAAGTTTGGTGGTTCGTCTGGGCCAGAAGTCATCCCTGGTCCCTTTGATCTGTCAAAAGAAGACCACGTTTGCGGATACTGGATTGTCAATGTAAAGAACGCTGAGGAGGCGCTAGACTGGGCCAAGCGAGTTCCTTTCCCGGAGGGACAACTGCTTGTCCGTAAGCTCTCTGATGGATGTGATTTGGGGAAGAGTTTCACGCCTGAGTTGATGGAGCGCGAGAAAAAGCTGAAGCTGAAGATGCTGGAGAACCTAAAGAAGGCGGCCAATGAGTAACACAAAGGTATTCACAGGGTCTGAAATTGGTGCATATGTTCGTTTGGAAGGCTGTGGCTAAGCGATAAAATTGTGAACATAATCCAGGCTTGAGTGGTTTGTCTAGCTTACTATTCACGTGTATGGTAGCAGTCGTTCAAGAATACCATTGTGAATATTTATAGCTTAATCCGCATACTTGAAGTCTTACGCTACTTTCAGGCCATGTCCAATTTGAATGAATGCGCAAGCAAAAGAAGTCAAAATAAGGAGGTTGCATTAAGAAACTACGTATCATAAGTTAAAACTACATGCCCGTGACATAACTGATTGATTGACTGAATTATTTTACGTCTTGGAGGGCCCGTCAAGGGGGGAAGAGACATACTAGGTTAGCTACCGAGATCTAGATGAGCTGCTCTATTCTAAAATAGCCCAACAGCAATATTGTATAATTAACTAGGTAGTACAGTATTCTTGGGCTAGTAAAATTTAGCTGAAGACCAGGTTACTTGTGAATACATGTAAGAAGGCGCAATCAGTCAGACCATTGAATCGGATCCAAAGCCTTTCACTGCTGGATTTTTTAAACATACCCGAGATAGCCTCGCGTCTTGCCGAGTTGCATTTAACCTTCAAACATGAAATTCCTCACTGCTTCCCCCTCGCCGCTCTCCACAAACGTCTTAACATGCCTTTTCACATTATGATTCCCGCACCGCATAAGACAGATTGCTCCCTGACCTTCTGAAGCAAGATATGAGATGTAATGGCGAGAGCAACCTGGCTCCGCTCTATTCGACTGATTTCATACATCCCGCAGGGTGTTTGGGCTTCCCTCCACCACGCTTGCCTAATAATGGACCTGCTTTGTGTTCCCATAGCTAAACAGGCGGAGAAATTACAATACCCTATAGAGCGTAGTGTATTGTAGCATTTGCGTTATTAGAAATTGGCTTGAAAAGATTAATATTAGAAGAGATGGAAAGAATTCAAGTACATTCTTTGAAGTAATGATATTTCCTCTTATCCAGCTTGGGCAAGACTGGACAGTATGACGTTGACGAATACGAGGAACCGAGGACAATAGTGACGTTGCATTGAACCCTAGCAAACTGACGGCTCCGAAGCACCAAGCCTGATTCCCGGTCGGGCATCATGTACCGCGGTGCCGAGAGATCAATTGATGGCCTGCGGCTAACTTGGAGGGTTGAGGACGGAACGGATTGGCAGACGTCGCTTCGGATGGGTTTGGGTGTGTTGCGCGGGTATTGCGACGTTGATCCGGGCCGTGGAGTTGCAGATGGCGTGGTAGTGACCCGCGAACCGCGCATTGAGACGTGATGTGATATGACATAGGTGCCGCTGGCTGAATGTTGTGGCGGCCGGTTTTCACCAGAAAGAGTGAAGATGTGGTCAAGTGCGTCGCACATCAGTGCTTCTGAGAAGTGGCTGGTTTTTGACGAGGGTGAGACAGCAGCAATACGATGATGATTCAAGGTGGCCGAGATGCCGGTCATTGCTGGGAGCACTGTCTCTATCTCCCTTTGTTCTTGTTGCTCTCTTTCTTCGCGCCCTTGGCCTCTCGAAAAAAACATGTGCTTTTGAGTTGAGTTTGTTGGATACAATTTCGGACGGCATGCGGAGTACGCTGCTACGGGGTGCCGACTGTCCGCGAGCAGTTGCTGGGAGGCCTTTGAATTGGATGGACTGCTTGTGATGAAACAGTTGGTTGATACTAGGAGAAAAAAAAGATTGACCAGACACGTGAAAAAAAAAGGCTCTGATAAAGTAGGAAGGAAGGGACCACGATGCTGTGGTTGCGAATATTGGGTTGAACTTATGCGACTATGTACCTGTACCTAGACAGTTTATGATTGGATTGGACGAATTGGCGCAAGCAAAGGTGACCTGGGGATTCATCTCTCTAGTTGTCAATGCCGTGGCTTATTATACGATTATTTCCATATCGATACTGCTCGCTACTTCACACGATGTCTGAACAGTCAGCTCATGGCCCCTCGCCTTGTCGGTAATAGAGGCGCCTCTAGGTACTCCGTGCGGGAGTTTTTAAAATAGAATGCGGAAAGCTGCTGGGAGGAAGCTGTGGGTGGATCCCGTGCTGGGGCCTCAGGAACTTTAAGATCTAAAACTCCGGGGGGAGCTCACAGGGCAGTTTGCAGTTGGCCAACGCCGAGACGCTGGTTCACTCCAGGTACCCAGGTACTCAAGTACAGACGTGCAGTGCTAGAGCCATCTGTTGCGCGCTGCAGGACCCTTGCGCTGGAGATTGTTGCCAACATTTGAACTTAGAACATTGACAGCATTTGAAGGCCCCACGCCCTGGCCCAGATGTGGCCTAGTGCCAAAGTCTAGCGATCAAGAGCGCCAGGCTCGCGCCAATGGTTCCAGCAACCAGTCAACCACTTGACCAACCTGCCCTTGACTACTTGACTCGACATTTTCAACTCTCTCAGCACTTGAGCCCAATGCTCTCAATTCCTCTCTTCACCTCGCTCAAGGTGCAAGGCCATATGCATCGCAATCAATCCCGACCACGCCGCAGCTGAGCACGTTGGCCTCTCCGCTCCGCCCTACTCTCCCTCTGCCGTGTCTCTTTCTCGCTCTGCCTTGCCGTCGGCGCACGCGATCCACCGCGAATCGCTGACCGTGCAGCTTGAGGCTTCCATCTTCCGGCTTCCTGCTTCGGCTTCCGCCCACACACTTTGCAGCCTCCCACGCGCGTCCCTGTCGCTTTCTGCCACCAACCCGTCGCGGCCTTCATTGCTTGATCCCGGATTGCTAGTCGAGCCGACTGAGGCCGCCGTGTTGGCGTTGACGCTTCATACCGCAGTCACTTTTTTTTTAATGTGGTAATGGAGGATGATGAGCATGCAGCCAGAAGCATGAGTAGGATCAAGCTGGAAGACGGAATCGCGAATGGGCAACCTGAAGCCATGGACACGGCCGAGTCTACGCCAACGCACGGCATCAAGGGTGGTGCATCGCCTGCATCCATCAATGGGATCAAATCAGAGAGCGACGGGGTGAATACGCCCGCCTCGGGAAAGCCACGCCTATCGCGAAGATCTTCACAAAAACCCGCCGAGCCCGAACCACGACTATTCAACCACCTCCCAAACGTTACCGAGGAGTCTTGCAAGTCCTTCCAGGTCATTCGAGACTGTCTCTACGGATCAAAACACCTCGGTTCTACCGACAATGACGCTTTGGACTGTGACTGTGCCGAGGAATTTCGTACGTGCCAGTTTTTTTTTTTTTAGTTTTTTTTTGGACCGCTCCCCGTCCCTCTTGTTGTTCGTACAGCTCGTTGCGCCTTGAACGCCGTGTCGTGCTCAAAAGTTTTCGTAACTAACCCGTGGACTGCAGAAGATGGGGAGAATTTTGCTTGTGGCGAGGATTCCGACTGCATCAACCGCGCTACAAAAATGGAGTGTGTCGCCAGCGGCAGCAATTGCGGCGGTGGTTGCCAGAATCAACGCTTTCAGCGCAAGCTCTGGGCTGATGTTGCTGTCATCAAGACTGACAAGAAAGGGTATGGTCTTCGAACCGAATCTCCTCTACAACCGAACGACTTTATTTACGAGTATATTGGTGAGGTTATCAACGAACCTACGTTTCGACGACGTATGCTGCAGTACGATGAGGAGGGCATCAAGCATTTCTATTTCATGTCCCTGAGCAAGAGTGAATTTGTTGACGCAACCAGAAAAGGTAACCTCGGTCGCTTCTGTAACCACTCATGCAATCCCAATTGCTACGTGGACAAGTGGGTTGTTGGGGACAAGCTGCGCATGGGCATCTTTGCATTGCGCAAGATCCAAGCCGGTGAGGAACTGGTATTCAACTACAATGTTGACCGGTACGGTGCCGAACCCCAGCCATGCTACTGCGGCGAGTCAAACTGCGTTGGATTCATCGGAGGAAAGACTCAGACTGAGCGCGCCACCAAGTTACCGACCACTGTTGTTGATGCACTTGGCATTCATGACGCCGATGGTTGGGATACCGCCGTTGCCAAGAAACCACGCCGCAAGCGACCCGAGGAAGATGATGAAGAGTATGTCAACAGCCTGCCAGCCCGGAGCTTGGATGAAGACGGTTCGAGAAAGGTCATGGCCGCGCTTGTGCAATGCAAGGAAAAATGGATTGCCGTCAAACTTCTTGAGCGTATCCAGCGCTCCGATGATGACCGAGTCATCCACTCCGTCATGCGTATGCACGCCTACCAAATTCTCAAAACCACCCTCAACACGTTCATCGACGACCACAATGTTGTGTTGCAGGTACTGGATATCCTTGACAAATTCCCACGCATGACGAGAAACAAGATTCAAGACTCCAATATCGAAGCAACAATACAACACTTGACAAATTCGGAACACGAGGATGTATCAGCGAAATCAAAGAAACTGCTGGACGACTGGAGTAAACTGGAAGTGGCATATCGCATTCGAAGGAGGAAGGTTGACCCCAATGCACCAGTTCAGAATCTTTTTGACGACCGCAGAGGACAAGCTCGCGAGGAAGAAACGGCTCAGTCAACACCAAAAACAGCATCGCCGCGGCCCATTGACGCTCCAAAGGGCCCCAAGAGCAGTATTCCCCAGCGTAGTGTATCGTTTCAGCATAACAACGTCAATCGACCACCTCGACGCTTCGGACCACTCCCGGAGGGCTGGTTTACAGCCAAGGACGGCAAAGGTCACACCTATTACTACAACAAACTAGGCAAAACCACTTGGAGCAGACCAACTCAGCCCGCAAACGACGGACCAAAGGCACCGTCCAAGGCCATACAGGAACAGCTGGCTATCCAAAGTATTATTGATCGCGTGACCAAGGAAGGGACACCGAAGCAGACTCTGCCCCAGCCAACTCCATCACATGTCAGCGACTCATCATCCAAGGAATCCAGGAGGAGCAAGTGGAAGGCACTGCCTATTGAGAAGCAGATGAAGATTTATGAAAATACGGTACGCCACTTTACTGGTCCTCGATTCACATGTGTTGAGTGAACTAATCATCAAATAGGTCTTCCCGCCAGTCAAGCACATGCTAGACAAATTTCGTCACAGACTTCCGAAAGAAGAACTCAAGCGACTAGGTAAAGATATTGCCAAGAAGCTGGTAGCATCTGATTACAAGAACAACAGGGTGGAGGATCCAACAGCAGCCCTCAGCGAGAAACAGACTCTAAAAATAAAGAAGCATGTTAAGGACTTTTTAACACGGGCAGTCGAGAAGTACGAGGTGCACCAGCAGAAACAGGCCCCGAAGGATACCAAGTCAGGGAACGCCGATGGCAAAACTGCCACTGCCAGCGACGCATCGCAGAGCGTTGGAGCCGAGATGGCAGACGACATGGCGCTCAGTGACATGGAAGAAAATGACTCCCCTAGTAGCCAAGAGCGCAAACGCAAAAGAGAGGCAGATGCGGCAGACTCGGCCGTCGCAACACCCTCCGAGGGACCAGAGACGAAAAGACCACGAGCCGAAGACGGGACCGAGCCATCTCCTCCGCCTCCTCCGCCTCCTCCACCGGACTCTAGCTCAGACGACACCCTAACGGAAGAGCAAAACGCGGAGCAAAGGGCCTTCAAGGAACAGGAAGAGGCGCTCATGCGAGAAAATGAGGAAGCGCAACGGCTAGAAGATGAGGCCAACAAGACCAAGGACATGGAAGAAAAGGCTGAAGAGATACGGAAGGATATAGTTCTTGCGGCATGATTATCTTTTTATTAGTATCAGGTGAGGTTACATCTTTTTTACAAAAGGGAGGGGGTTTGATACCAGAGCAGGGATCTTATGGCATAATTGGAGTCAAGCTAGGCATTGTACTATTACCTGATTTATTGCGTTGCAGAAGGCGGGGTGAAGTGTGAGCCGGGGCCGCATGTATTATTGGAGAAAACGGGGTGAGCCGAGCGAGTCTCTTTACGTGGCAGAGGGGACAAGAGAGACAAAGTGGTAGCTTGGAGAAATGGTCGGGAACTGATAGATGAGATACCATGTTTCAATACCTGGATGTGCTAATACTATATCAAAACGCTATGCCATGCAGAACACCACGTCCGCCCCCCATGTCCCAAGTTTCTCCCTCTCCATGTCATCCAGAGAATGTCAATCATCATCATCTGACGAATCGTCGCCCCCTCTCCTCCTCTTCTTCTTCTGCTCCACGACCTCGCCCTTTCTCCTAAACACGTAGCTCCTCGCGCTCCTCTCCTCGCCCTTCCACCCGCCGCCCACGTCGCCCCTTTTGTTGCGCACGGCGCCCAGGGTGCGCGCGTGCCTGTAGCCCGGGTACGCGGCGGCCTGGAAGCGGAAGCTGCGCTCCACCTGCAGGCCCGAGTGGCGCGCGAGGTCGCGGATGTTCCAGAGCGTGTAGGGCTCGCCCTCGAACAGCGTGACGACGATGCTGCCGCCGGGCCGGAGGGCGCGCGTGGCCCCCCCGAAGAAGGACACCAGCAGCTCCTGGTTGTACCGGACCTGGCGGTTCACGTCGGTCGACTTGCCGCCCACGTGGGGGAAGTTGAAGAGGATGGTAGAGTATACTGGGCGGGTGAGCGAGGCGGGAAGCTTGGTTGCGTCGATGTTGTACAGGAGTCTGTTGTTGCTGTGGGATGCTGAGGGGAAGCCTGTGTCTTTGGGCGCCTCGCCGTGTGAGTCGGTGCTCTTGTCGTCGTCGTCATCGTCGTCGGCGTCGGCATTTCCCGCTTCATCGGCCTCCTTGTCCTGTTGGGCTTTGCGGCGCCCTGTTATGACGGATATGTTGTCGTCTACGGACGGGTACTTGCCCGCCAGCTCTTGATGGTCCTGCTCCAGCACGGTGGCGGTGACGTCGCCGCAGCCGTGGTGTTGGATTATAGAGGCCGCGAAGCTCAGGTCCCCCTCGCCAATGAGCAGGATCTTGTCCTCTGGGTGGAAGGGAATGACGGGCGCCTCGTGCTGTTGCTGCTGCTGCTGCTGCTGGCGCGGCTTTTTGGGGGTTTGCTTGCTGGAAGTGGTGTTGGGTCGGGCGTGCAGGGTTGGTTTGGGCTTTTGCGCCTTGGGGTGTTGGCGCTGCAGCTTGCGGCGCTTCGCGTTGGCCATGGGTCAATTGGTGTCTGGGGAATACCACGAGGTTCGAGCGTATGGTGTTGCGACAAGTTTTTGGTTTTCCCCACGTGTTGTTGGTAGGAATCGAAGCCGTCGTTGGGTGTGTCGGTCGGGATGAGGTCACTTTTTTTTTTGTTTTTGGGGGGCGCCGACTTACAATGCTCGGTACGGCGACTAATTAATTGGCGGCGGTCCCCTGTTGACGGGTGATAGGTGGGCGCCGGAGCGGATCTCACGTGCGCTGCGGGACGATCCAATCTGCTTGCTCCGTCTGCCTGTCCAATAGAGAGCGGCGGCGGGAGTTTAAAAAAGACTGGAAGAAAGGAACTTCGGCTTCGGGCCATGGGCGTTGCCGCTTTGGGATGCGTGTATATTGTCCTTTGGTCAGAGTTGGAAATGAAATCGCGAGTATAGTAAGAAGGCGTTATTATTTATATGTGTGAAGTAGTGCATTGGATTTTTCTCTTCTTCTTCTTATTTTTTCATCTTTGTTTTTTTTTAATGAAATTATTGAATCGTTTGTGCTTGTCGTGGCTGGCTTACATACATCTTAGCGGGTCTATCAGTGTGTGACATGGCATGACAGTGACAACAGAACGACAGACCACGCAATAGCGATTGAATCCGGTTGAGCAGTGAAAGGCTTGTCCCATCACTCAAGAAATTATATTTCAAACCAAAGATGGAGCAATATCTTTGATATTGATGAAGCCGCATCTCGAGTCCTGCAACACCCACGTAACGTCCGGAGTACTTTGTAGCTTAGCCAACAGCAGCCCCGGTTAAAACACAGACGAATGGGGGCCCCACGCAGGCGACTCCCGCATACCTTGATTGGCTGCTGAGCCTGCCGCTCGCGGGCACTAAACTGATTCGGTAGGAGGTGACTCGGGTTCCGTATCATTGATTGGCCCGGAAAAGAGGATACTCCGGGGGCCGCAAAGTTCTGTCGTAGTACCCCTAAATTGCGTTGTGGCTCCGGAAGGAAGGCGCAAGTGACAGTGACACGAGTGAAGCGTCCTAAGAGGCTCTCGGGTGCGACACGAGGGAAGGGAGGGAAAGCATAGCAGTACTTTATAAATCCAGCAACTCCATGAGTTTGGTTTCCTTTTAACGTTTGATACAGACAGCGTAATATGCTCGCAGGACGTGATGGCAAAACCTTGAGTGCGTGGTGTGATGCTCGTACAACTCTGGTGATGAAGACGGCTAGACTGCGAGGCTGTATGCAATATAATAAGTACATATGCCGGCATCCTAAATCGTGACATCTGCGCAGGCGGCGGCCGTACGTCTGTGTGGTGACATGTATGGGCAAATCCTATTTTTTAACCGTGGGCACGGAGCCACTCCATTGTCAAGCAGCCTTTGTGCGACGACTCTCAACAAGTTCGGAATCTGCTTTGTACTTGGATACCGGCGTTTCAACACATGATGCGGTACCTGCATCAGGTCCAAGACCAAAGAGCCCGCGCCTGCTCCCCCCCTGGCGACAACCCGTTTGACGAACAGTCTCACAGCATTGAAATTGCTCTGGTGCAAAGGGGTAGGATTTGCTGCTTTGCGTCTGTCCAAAATCCGTCCATGTGCTGTGTTGCGCGAGGCGGGAGTTGTCAGATGTACAGCAAAATGGTTCGTTCGAATAGCGCCACTGCGTCTCAGATCAGCCCTGCTGCGCGAGCGCTTGTTCCAAGGACGTCCTACAATACTCCGTAGACTACATGTATGTACATTCATGATGGCGCTAGCAAATTAGAGTTTCCCTTCTTCCATTTCCTTCGCCGTGGTGCTGGTCGAACAGGGCGGATCGTTTGTTATGCAAAAGGCTCCTTCGGTCCCGGCATCAGGGTTTTTTTGCCTCGCCGCGAGACAACAGCCGCATCAGGCGTCCCAGGCCGCAGATATTCACTGCGGACTCCTCAATGACACAGTGACATGATTGCAGGCTCTTCTGCCTTTTTCTTCACATCGGGCTGCTTGTTGCGTAGCCTCGCTGTGATTCAGGGTGGCGAGCAAACATGCAAAGCGTAGACAAACGCTCCCGCTCCCGTGGCCTCGACGAAAGCCGGGCTGCACCCAAAACCCCTTGGACCGGACGCTAGTAAACATGTAGCAGCGACCACGGAAGTATATGTCCATGTGCTAAAGAAGAAACGGATATATACTTTATATAGCTCGGGCTTTATTCGCCCTGGCAGAGGCCAGTCTGCGTTCTTGCGACATGAGCTTTGTATTCAACAATCGGCTCCCGCGCTGCGGTATCCCCTAGCGGCCCGATACACGACGATTGGTGCGGCGCCCCATGCAGCAGCAGGTACCCCGGCCGCCCCCGGTACCTCGTCGAGTCCCGCAGACGAGGCCCAGTTGCACGCGTCGAGCGACGCAGCCAAACACAGCAGACGCAGCCGGATCCTCGTCCGTACTGGCCGCCAGCCCAAGAGAGCGCCGCCGCCAAAAAAAGGTCCCCGAAAAGGTCACACCTCATCGTTTTCTTCTAATCATCTATTCTTGCAAGTCACCGCCATCCACGCCCGCCGCGTCTCGCATCACCAGTGCACTCGGCAGAGTCCTGATCGGCAGTGCATCGAGACGGCTCTCTATTTCTTTTAATCATCTGCCTTGGCGCTGATTGACGGTCGGCGCTGTGTGTTTTTGGCTCACTTGCACCCGGTTGGCTGGGGCAAGGCTTTTGCTCTGCCTGGGCCCTTTGGGAGACGCCAACTGGTTCGCCAACTGGTTCCCTCTTACACTTTCCACTTTGGCAACTTCTTTGGCCGCACCTGCACTTGGAGCGGACGGACATTGTACACACACACGCACACACACACACATCCGCATCCACATCCACATACACATACACTCACATACCTCGTCCACTCACACACACACACACACATACACCACACATCGCTCATGACCTCACCACCCGCATCCTCTTTTTTTTAAAAAAAAATAAAAAACTGGTTTCCCATACGCCCGTTTAATATCCCTCCGCATCATCGTCTCCTTCTCCTCCTGCCTCCTCTTTCTTCTGTCCCTGCCTCCCACTACCTCAAATACATGATCCGGCTCCGCTGCTTCCGCCATGGCAGCTGAGACTTCGTCGCCCGCGCGCGAGCCCGCCACATCAACCCGTGGCCGTGGCAGAGGCGGGCGAGGTGGCCGTGGTCGAGGTCGAGGAGGTGGCAGAGGCGCCTCAAATGCTGCCTTGTCAAAATCTACTACTGCCTCTCGTGGTCGAGGTGGCACGCGCAGGGGGAGAGTAAAGAACTTCTCCGACTCGCGTGTACAGGCCGCTTATGAGCGCCAGCGCGACCTCAAGGCTACCTATCAGGCTGTTGCTTTTGCCCTCAAGCCTGCCCTGCAGGAGCTTGCCGAGCGTAGTGTCGAAGAGATGCTGCAGAAGCCAGACTGTTACAAGCAGGCCGAGGAGTATCAGCCCATTATCCAGCAGCTCAAGGACAAGCTTGATAATAAGCTGTGCGCCTGTGACCGTCGTCTCGAGTGCGATCTCAACCTCGCCGAACACAGCTTCAATGCCGACAAATATGTTGCCGAACAAGAATTCAAGGTTCGTTTTCCCTCTTCAACAGCGTTTTCTATCCGTTTGGCGCGCTGGCCATGCTAACACGCACCTTGCAGAATGCTCTCAGTGACGTGCTGGAGCAATTTTACGAGAGCCAGGAGAATCGCTTGCGCATCCTCGCCGCCCTTCATTCCAAGGATCTACCTGTCGATGTAAGTTGTCATTCTATCAATTGTTTATTATATACATATACATTCAATGCCCCCCCTCGTTTTATTCAGTCATCTGCCTCCCCATATGCTACGTCAACATCATCGCTGACGCCACTCCCCCTCCTTAGGTTGAGGATGACCAATATGATTATCGCGTTATTAGTGACGCTGAGCTTGACAACGACTTTGGCATTTATGAATGCTACAAGAATGGCCACCTCGTTCCCTATCCCTCCCGTGTCGCTGGCACTGAAATGTGGAGAAAGGCCCGCGACCCCGAGGCCTCTGTTGCTACACCCAGAGAATCGTCAGCAGCTCCCACAAGAGGCAGAGGCCGTGGTCGTGGCGGCGCTGCCAGTGGCATTAAGCGCAGAGCTGTTGACCAGCCAGATGGCCAGTCAACACCCAAGAGATCGACTCGCAATGTTGATGATAGTCAACTGCTTGCTCCCGCACCCAATGCCCCAGCCCCCATGAAGGGTTTGCTCGCCTCGGCTGCCAATGTCGACAAGGATCCGGAAGGTACGCCGGGAGAAGAAGAATCTGTTCCCGCTTCACCGGAACCGCCCCTGCTCAATGGCAACGGGTCTTTTACTAGCCGTGCTCTCAGCAGGCAGCAGGCTCGAGAAAAGAGCCCACCGTTACCCAAGAATATTGGGGAGCCGGATGAGCACGGCGTGCGTACTTACAGCCAACGACCGTCAATGCGGGAGAAAGGCATTAACAGTCGAATTCTCGCACCCCACGTTGTTTGGTTTGAGGACTGGGAAATTGGGTTCAAAGACACGTCCAATGATTCCACAAAGGGCCACACTCGCGCCAAACGAGGCAAATATCTCGACACCCCCAACAGCAACGGAATTCACTTCGACCATTGGTGCAACGCATACGATTACTCCACCACGACTCCCGAGGACTTTGACCAGGAACTGGTTAAACGATACGGTGTACATCCGAAATATGGCATCTTTCTTCCCACGAGTACAAACGGCTTTGAGGAACCACAGCCTTACGTCATGCCAGGCAAGCCCGTGGTATACATCGCTAACCCATCTGGTCGGATATCACACGCCTCTAGGGGATTCCAATCAACAACGAATCAACGTCGATCGGAAGAGTTGCCGTTGAGGGAGAAGATGAGGGCCAATCTGCGTCGATTTTGCAAAATGGCCGAGGTCGACTCTGAGGACATTGACATTGCCGAGTTTGTTCGATCCAATGATTCACTTCGAGCCAAGTCTCTGGGGACAGCCGAAAAGGAGTTCAACTCACGACCTCAATTATCCGAGACGACATCCGAGGCAGATGAAGGCGAATCTACTCCGCCACAGGAACCCGAAAAAACCGACGATGGCGTCGCGGACCTGTCCGTGTTGGTTTACGCTTCAGCCTATGTCGCGGCTAAGGATGTCACCCGAGCCGCTCCGCCCACACCCAAGCCGGCACGTTACGATGCAATTCGCGACGTCTTCACCGACTCGAAGCCGGACCCTGCTCCCGCTCCCGCAAACACCGGTCTGGGTCTCAATCTTCTTGCAGAATTATGCGACTTTGAGTTACGCCCTCCCGGCTGGGACGGTCACGTGGAACGAACGTCGGGTGTTTCAGTCGCAGACTCGGATTTGCGGACCACGATAAAGCATGAGGAACCGCCTCCCATCTCCTCATTCTCTCATGCACCCATGAATCCAAGACTCAGCCAGGAACCGTCTGCACCGTACACACACAACCAGCAGTCAGACCGTGTGACGCTGCCCCCAGTCAAGTCTGTTCATGATCGTTCTGTTCATGATCGTTCAGCATATCCTATTCCCATACCACAAGGGGCCAGTCACAGAACAGACTACAAGCCCTCTGCTCCGGCTCCCCCGGCACCGCCTATTTCTGATTATGGAAGTTATTATCCGCCTCCAGGGGGCTCTTATCCACCCGGCCCTCGTGAACCCCACGTATCAAGTGGTCGACCTATAGAACCAGGCTATAATCCTCGTCGATTGAGTAGCTACGGATCCGAAACTAATCAACAGCCGGCGTACGGCAGCGCGTATTGGACTCAACAACCTTCCTCTGCTGGACTAGCAGGACCTCCACCGGTTCTCCCTCTAGCTGGTGTCTCTGCTCCTCCTCCGGCTCATCAAGGGTACTCGCTGCCTCCGCCTCCGCCGAGTTCGAGAATGCCTTTCTCCCAGTCTGTAGGTGCAGAACCTCTCCCGCCTTTGCGACCGCCGCGTCCGGAGGAATCGCCTTATGAGTCGAATACGCGTAGGGACACTCATAACTCTTACTATCCGCCTCCACGATCCTACCAAAGAGGATACCCCTTGCTGGAAGCCCATCAGCCTCTACTGTCCCTGCAGCCCATACATGGAGAGAGGATTCTTCCAAACCCACAACAGAGCAATGCTCCCTACATGGGTTCTCCTCCGCCGCCAGCGGGCTACGCGTCTCAGATCATGTCGCCGACATTCGCCAACGCCCAGGGGCTGCCGGGACCGCTGGGTCAAAGCCCACCGGGAACACCTCATGGTGGACCTCCCAGCTCGATACATCGACACAGATCGACGCCTTCCGGCTCTTCAGATGCGGGATCGAACAAATATCGCAAGCTACAACCGGCTCCGGTACCGGCTCACCGAGTATGGTCTAATAAGCCGGAGTTGAAAACGATCCCTTACGACCACAAGGAGACTGGCTCTTCAGCTGCGCTACCCAGTTCTGGTCCCACCCAGATCAGAGGGTGGAATGTGAATCAGCATCGCAAACGAAGCAAGCAGGACAAAGGAGACCTTTCTAACGACCGAGACGAATCCAGATAGGATCCGGGTCGTCCACAGGTGTCCAATGCTGCGTCAAATCAACCCAAGTATACATCTATTCGGTTCCTGACGCCGCAGGTGTTACGGAAGACATTACCAGCCCTGTGCCCTCGAAACGAGCCTGCACACCAGCCGCGACCTGAAGCCAAAATGGTGACGGCCCCGATGCCCGCCGACCCTGCTGAGCTGAAAAACGTGTCTATGTATGGCTTCGGCGCGATACCAAATCTAGAGGCGTCGGCGACTCCGGAAGAGCCTCTTAAACGTCGTCTCCGACCACGAAAAGAGAGAATCGAGTGCATAGAAGCACCCGATGCAGACGTCTTCATTGTTAATGTTAGACACAGAAGCAACGGCGGCCAGCGGTCGTCGTCCATCAAACTCAAACCAAAGCCACGAAGAACTCCTAACCGCGACCATAGATCGGTTAAGGCGAAACCTGGCTCCAAGTTTTTACCCATCGAGATACTTGACAGCGAAAAGAAGGCTGCCAGTTCTGATACATAATCTCGGTCAAAGGCTTTAGGCTCAAAAAGGCAAAAAGCCGCATCTTGACCCATGTACTATTTTATTAAACCAGCACACATTGCTGGTTTCTTTCGCATTCCATCTACAGCCATATGTTTCATTATTCTCGGCCACGATACCCTCCGTGTCTTTTCTAGTTCTTTTGAGGAAGAACAAAGGAGTACCTAATTCTACCGTTTTTTTTTTCAAATGCTCTTTGGTCTTGTGGCATACAACGGCGTGGGGTAATATTCTTTTTTTTCATCATTTTCTATGTTATTTATGCTTATAGTCATTCCTGCTCGTCGTTTTTATATCCTTTTATAGCCAACTTGTATAAATATATCTGTTGCGTATGCCTCGTCTACGGAGGTGGATGGGACTGCATAGGGTATAGGTGCATTGTCATGTGCGTTGATAGATGAGCCCCTGATAATGAACGAATAAAAGTTTTTTTTTTGACACATGATATATTCTTTCTCTGTTGGAGTGTGTGAATGCTGTGTGAATACGATGATGATGAATGTCGTGATGCCACCATGCCTTGTTGTCTATGCAATGTTTGCAAATGGGACTATCATACGAAAAGACATTCTTTCTGGTCACTCTAATAGAGCAAGAGGTGTTGCGTCTAGTTTTGTAAAGCGAACAAGTGCAGTCAAGTGTTGACACCATTAAGGCTAATCTACTTGCCGAAGCACGGTGCTATCCTTTTCATTAAGCCAGTTATTTATACAAGGTATTCATTCTTTCTCATTTCACCCCGCAGATGCATGCACCCATTTTTTTCCCCCCGAAACAAACAACATCATGATGAAATCTCCTCCTCCTATTATCCACGCCCTATGCAGAGGTGTTTTCTTTGGGAGCTTCGTTTGACGTCTGCTTTTCCATGTCCGGCGCGCCTTGGGTCTGTAGGGGTTGCGTGTGGGCGGCCTGTGCAGCATCAACAGGCTGCGTTTCTGCACTCACGGCGCCCATGCCATCCATCACAGGCCCGGCCACGTCGGCATTGGGCATCGGTACGGAGGCAGCGGGAAACGCAACGTCCCCCGCGCCAAACATGTGTATATCCCCGGGCACCATGGGGTTTGCGGCGGCGGACGCGGCATCGGCGTTGGGCACGGATAGCAGGCTTGCGCCGAGCTCGAGCTCCGGGTGCAGGGGGTACATGGGGGCCTCCATGGTGTTGCCGTCGAGGATGACCATGTTCTGGATCGGCTGCTGCGACTGGCCGAGCACGTTGATGACGTCCTGGGCCAGCTGGCCGCCGAGGATGGCCGTGACGGGCGCGATCTCGCTGCCCAGGTTCTGGAGGAAGCTGCGCAGGAACTCGGGCCGCAGCGTCTCGCTGGGCAGGCTGAGCGCCTTGTGCTTCTGGGTGGCGATCTGGGTGAAGAGTTTCAGGTCCTCCCTGTTGCTCGGGAGGCGGTTGCCCTGGAGCTGCTTGAATTCCCAGAGGGCGCGGAGGCAGGACAGCGCCGGCGTGACGGATTTCAAGCGCCGCTTGGAGGAGGTGTACTCGCGCGGGAGGACGGCCACGTCACTGGCGAGGAACCACGTCGAGTAGAGCTCGCGCTTGCTGACGGATTCGATGGTTTTGCCACCGTCCCGCTTGGTCTTGACGTCGGTGATGGAGCGGGTGCGCGATTCCTGCTTGGGCGTCGTGGAGACGTTGCCGGCCTCGCGGGAGATGATGTAGTCGTGCTCGATGAGGTCGCTGAAGATGAAGCCGTACATGCCATGCGTGCCGGCGGCGTAGAACGGCCGCCCGTTGATTCGCGTGGCCGTGTTGATGATGTTGAATGTGCCCGGGTCCAGGTCGGTTGCGATGACAACGTCGTAAGCAGCAAAGTAGCTGGGGCCCTTTGCCGTGACGCTTTCGGGGTCTACGTGTACCTGGACTCGGGGGTTGAGCTTGCGGAGTGCGTGACTGGCTGCCTCGGCGCGGTTCTGGCCGACGAGGCCCTCGCCGCCTTCGGAGAGGAAGAATTGGCAGCCTAGGTCGGCTTCCGTGACGGATGAGCCGTCGAGCAGGGTGATGGAGCCGACGCCTGCGAGGACGAGGTTCTTGGCGATTTCGTGGGCGAGGCCACGCATGGTTATGAGGAGGATGTGGGCGTTTTGAATCTTTTCCTGGGCAGCGATACCCCAGAGACGGATCTGTCTGTCATACAGGGCGATGTCATCTGTTCCCTTTGTTAGCAGATGTTTATTGTATTTGGTAGATTGGCAGCTGTTTTCTATAGAAAAATCAAGACGGAAGGACGAGAAGGGAGAATATCTCGTACCAGCAGACACTGTGTTTGTTGGCAGTTGCATCGGCAGGCCATTCGGCATCATCATGGGTAACATAAATGTCCCATCTGCCATGGGGACGCTGCCCAAGCTCGGATCTGGGATGAACGGCTGGCCGGCCATCAAAGCTGCCACGGCCTCGGGATTTGCCTGGCCCAGCATCTGATGGTCAAACACGGGCATGCCTCCGTTTGGTTCCATGTTTTGCAGCGCCCCAGCATCAGCATCTGCGCCGCTACCAGCGTGGTTCTGGTGCTCCATCTAGCCTTGCCTCGACGTGATGGATACGTGTGATGTAGAGTGTAGAGCCTTCTTGTCTATATGATATTTTCTCCTCTTCTTCTAAAGAGCAATGTAGTGAGTTATATATTGGAAAATAAAAAGGTGACATGTGCTATGCGCACAGCGATTATGATAGTTATTTGTGATGGTGCGTGAAGGATGAGTGAGAGCAAGGTGAGGATGAGATGACGTTGGGCTGAGATGTTTGGCACCACCAAGGTGCGCAGTGGAATATACAGCTGACTGCAGCGCCACAGATGCCGTGGATTGATGAACGTAGGCGAATTCAATTGCTGCTGGGCCTGCGCAAGCTGTCAACGGACACGCGGCGTTGCGAGCTCATTCATTTTGGAGACTGAAATGCGACGATTTGGCGGTTGAAACTTTGGACCCTGGCAACTCACGACACTTATTATGGCAGTGTTCTGGCAAGTGCAAAGTGCAAAGTCCGTCGTTTGGTTGGCTGTTGTGCTGACGTAAGAGGACTGGCTGTGATTGGCGGGTTCATGAGTCGTTTCTAACCTGCATGAGCTCGTTAATTTGTGCATGTATGTATGTAAGTAATTGGGCTTTGATGAGCATGGATACATATGCTTCATTGATCAAGTTGGGGGAACAAGACACAAATTGATGCATGGAGGATCTTGGCGATTCTCCAGACGTTCATTGGAGTCGGCCTCTCTTGGGCCCCGGCTACTTCTTCTCGCCGCTTCTCATCCTTGAGTACCAGACGCTTTGCTACTGCCCCTCGCCACGCACAAATGCACAGATGCACTACTGATGCACCACTGATGCACAAATGCATATCCATGTTCCATTGCGACGTCCTACGGTTTGTGCCTTGGTATGTACAAAGTCTGGTATGTAGATATCCTCGTTAGGGATCAAGGATTTGTCGTTTGGAGCCGATTGCAGAGCCAAGACTTGACTCATTTCTGCCCACAGACAATAAATTGATTGCGCCCTTTGTCCATTTCTGGCCCAGTCCATCCGTCCATTAATGATGCTCAGCCCGTGAAACAGCCGGGTGCCGCCTTAGCCAACTGAAGGCCAGCGGCCGACGCTCTGGCCTCTGTTCTTCTCTTCGTCTGCTCTTCTGTTCGTCTGCTCTTCTGTTCTCGTTTCGACGTTTGCGTGACGTCTCGTTCCTCGACCTTGCTTGGCCTGGCTGCTGGCTGCTCCCCCCTCTTACTATCAAGAAGCAGACTTTGAGCAGACTCAAGAGTCAAGACCAGCTTGACCCCAACTCTAGACCCCTCAACTCCACCGGTTGTTGCGACACGGACTTTCCGAAGTGGATTAACTCTGGTCCTGTACGGAGTATGACGGCTGATTTGATTGATGATCCCTGACAGACAAGTCGCTGTCCTTCTGGCCACACACTTCGGCCACCAGTTGACCACCTCTCACCTGACTTGGCCGCCTTTGGATCATCGTGGCTTCGTAACCAGACCTGGCCATATTGTTTCACGCCCCTTGCCTGCCTTGTCATTCCTGGCCTTGCATCGACATTTCGACTGAGACCAGGTCACCGGCCTTGTCCCGTACCGTTGCCTCATCCGTGGCCGTGGCCCATCATCTCCTTTGCATCGCTCTTCTCCGCCCGCGCCCGTTGTCGGATCCAAGAAAAGCCATTGACCACCAAGTAGCCGCGACGTCATTTATTATTAATTGATGGATGGTTGACCCTGGCGCCAGCTAGAGCACCATTAAGCACCACGGTCACCAGTTGACCACAATCCGCCCAGCCCGACCATTTTGATCTTTGGTACCGACTTGACCCGTCGACGGTTGGCCATCCCACTCGAGACCCGACGACGACGGCTTCAACATTCCGAACCACCACCACCACCACGAGCATCATAGCCCTGATAAAGCGCCCTCGCCATGGCCTCCAGATCGGGGGCCGGTTCTGGCGGACACCGTGCAAACCCAACCCCCCCTCGAGACTCCCAGGAAGACTTCCCGCCGCTTCCTCTTCCCCGCCTACCGTCGTTGCGGACGTTGAGTGGCGAGCGGGAACGATCTCGACCGGCTTCACCACCAAGTGCCGCCGTCAGCGCCAGTGCTACTGCCGCCACTGCCGGTCTCAACGGTCGACAGCCCGCCAGATACTGGTCGGCGGCGGCCAGGAGAGCCGAGCGCATCCGCAACCTTGACGACAGAGCCCCCAGCCTGGATGACTTGGAATCCAACTCCATGGACCAGTCGTGGTCCTCGACGTCCCGTCGCCAGCCAAGACTACGCCCTCTCGATACCGCTTCGCACCATCGACGACCCAACCTGGACGAGCTGGACCAGACTCTCGACGAGGCCAACTCGCAGCTTCGCACGCTTCTCGACATGACAAACCGTATCGATCTCATGCCGCCTTTTCTCCGGTCAACCCAGTCGCCGCCCACTATTCGTCCCCACGACTTTCCCGACGACAATGTCCGAAGCAAGCGTCGGAAAATCGATTCAAGCAGACTAGTGCCGAGCTTGAAGGGCTTCCGGTATGGCAAATACGGCCAGGTTGAACCGGGCCAGCTGCAAATGGAGATTGTAAGCTGCGACGGCGGCATGTTCTCCAACGAGTCGTCCTACGCCGCCGAGAACATCCTCAAGGACGACAGTTCGGTGTACTGCACCAAGGGCAATAGATGTAATATTGTGCTGCGACACCAAGGCGCAACCGTCTTCACCCTCGAAGAACTCGTAATCAAGGCTCCTGCTTCCATGAACTATTCCCATCCGTAAGGACATGCCCCTCCCCATCCTTCCATTGCGCGGTTGCCTTGGCATTTACTGACACATCAGTTAGGGTACGCGAAGGCATGGTCTTCATCTCCATGAACCAAGACGAAATCCTAAGCCGCACAGCCCAATACCAAATCCAATACGTCTCCTCCAACCGCATCACCTACGACGACCCAACGCCCCGACACATCGTCTCCATCCGCCACCACAACGACGGCACAACCTCCACCCGCGTTCGTCGCTCCCTCTATCCCTCCCACTCTTACTCCCACGACCACGATGAGGACGACCACCGCACCCCCGAAATGCCCCAGGAGTTTTCCACAAACCAGCCCGACTTCCGCATTACCACCGAATGCACCTCGGACGAAGAAGACTACTCCATGCCTCATATCCTCCGCCGCACACCCAACCGCATCGGCTTCTTGCCCTTTGAAACAGAAACCTCTGATTCCGAAGACGGCCCCTTTACGGATGACTTTACCGAATCCTTCCACCGCCAAATCCACCCCCCGTCGGGGTCCTCGACATCGCATCCGTCCCGCCCGACCCACTCTCACAACGAACGTCTCTCCGTCTCTTTGGCAGAAGCATGGGACGCCCACGCCTCGGCTACGCAAGAAGCCATTCGCGCGGTAGGCGGCGAACTGCTCGTCCCCCACGCCAAATTCTTCATCGAGAAGAAGAAGTCCAAGTGCACCATCCGGTTCGACCCCCCTGTTTCGGGACGCTTCATCCTCCTCAAGATGTGGAGCTCGCACCATGACGTGGCGAGCAACATTGATATTCAGAGCGTCATGGCAAAGGGGTACGCTGGACCGCGGTACTTTCCGTCGGTGGAGCTGAGTTAACAACATTGGCCGTGACCATGACGAAGAAACGGCTACCGGTGGGCTGGACGCCTTTGGGGAATTCTTTTTGACTTATATATTTTTCGCCTTTTGACCTTGGGAGCATTTGAAAATATGGGTTCTTATAGATGAGACTTATGAGCGGATATGGCGTTTGAGCTTCTGGCATTGAATGATTGTGTATTTGGGTACATTATAAAATTCTGCGACGAACCGGCCTGGTAGACTCGTCTGTTTGCAGGCAAGGACATGGGGCAGGTATATATGTACATGTTGTGTGGGCTGCATGTGGGAAATACACACATCTTATGAGCTTGACCACGTTTAACACCGTGCCGTAATCTATTGATGATGACTGTTACCAAGGATACAGACCAAGAGCTATGAAACAAAGTAGTGAACCATCATTGCCAATCCACCAAAGCTACGTCTCCAAACACTGCATATTGACCCAGTTCACAAAAGGGCCCCTCTCCGAAGCAAGACAAGACAAATATTTTGCCGTCTTTACAGTCAGACAGAACCATGACCTGCACGATGCACACCAACCAAAACGCTCGTTGGCGGCGCCAGGGCGACTGCCAATCCACAAATAACAGCACCAAACATGCTGTGAGAAGGCATTAGCATCGAAACCAGCTTGTACTCAGACAGTTCCACTAACATGTTGATATGTACCATTGCAATGGCGAAAGCCGTCCCGGAAACGTGCGTTAGCGTCGAGAGAATGAATGCACCGCCCATTTCTACAAACCGAAAGGAGGATGTATTTCCGTTTCCGAAGTCCCCTGGGGTGACCTCAAAGTGAGGATACCGATTCCCTCTGGTATCGACCAGGTCTCCGAAGCTAAAAAGTTCTTCTTCGTCGCCGTGGTAAATGTAGTGTGAGCTTGACCAGCCAACGACAACGATTGGCACCAGAAGTATCAAGGTGAAAAAGACGCCACGAAACACATACAGCGGATCCAGACGAGCCCTCATTGTGCGCAAAAGACCATGAGTGAACATCAGAATTGCCACGAAACTAGAGGTCAGGCCGGCAGCCGCCTGAAAGGGGTAAATGGCCCAGGCGGAGATTCCGCAGGAAATGCGTTGAATGCTGCAACGTCCACCACGTGCCTGGCCCTCGGCCTTCTTCCACGCGACCAACGATCCCACGAAGAGGACAAAGTTTGCTAGGCTGTACATTGCGAGGAGAATAAGGAGTGAGTGTGTGGTTGAGCCCCCCTTGCCTGACGGCGAAGACATTCTGGGGGTTGGGCGGTAGAATGGATGGGGGGCCAAGAACAAGAGAACAAAGGTTCCCGGGAAGCGGCCGATCACGATGGGGGAATGAATGGTGTATTGATGCTGTAGCTAATGCAGCCTAAAAATTCGAGATGTGGTCAAGTAGCGGGGGTTGCTGTCGAAGAAGATGAGAGGGCGGGAAAAAGAAGAAGAAAGAGAGGAAACCTTGATTCAAAAGTTACGACGGAATTTGGTTTTGTAAATAGCTTTGTGAGTCGTGGTTCCTTCTGGTAACTCGCCATCTGGACATGGTTGGAAGGAGCCATATAGATACGGAAGGGGCACACCTTATCCTCGTCCTTCAAGTATAAAGTTTGGTACAGATATTAGCACCCCCTCATTACTTGATTCGATTTTGCATTTCGGAAAGTGATATCATCGTAGCAATGTACATTCCTGCTACAACAGCTTCGTCACGGGCAGATGGCAAGGTGTGGATAACCAGCACTGGCCTGCGTGTAAGTCGAACCTGACCAACACCGCCCCTGCTGGGTTCCCTGTCCTGCCAAGAAAATGAGCCACTTGCTCAAAACGGCAATATCAAAAGCAAAGTCTTGGCATTTTCCCCATCACCGTCCCGAAGGACATCAACGCGGAGAACCACGGGCATGGTTTGGTATCACGCTTATAATGTTCGTCTTGATCTAATCTGTGGAAGAACTTATTTGCCTGCAAAGAAGTACGCATCAATGTACCGTCGTATTATAATATAGAGCGCGATAGCCAGGTACCTGATCTGGTCAAGTACTTTTGGCCTCCCCCTCTATTCGATAAAGAAATAGAGTTGCATACCCTTCTACTTGAACAGCTTGGTATAGATTTCTATCAAAATTATGTATAACCTGTTTTAAAGGTCTTTACTTGAACTGCGTTGTTAATGAAGTAATTCCGGCATCATATGTTTAAATTAGCTCTGAAAAATGACCTACAGGATGACTTCCAAGTATTTCGCGTTCGTCATGGTATCTAAGGGTTCTCTGCTGCGCCTTCACCCGGTGAATACAGCTCCCACTCTGAGACACTAATTGCTAAAAAACAAAACTGAAGCTTATGTATTCTAGCTGTAAACATTATTTATTTACAAAGAAGCCCTAGAGGCCCTCTACATCATCGCAGCAACGCCGGCAACCAGCGCTCCAGCATGCCAAATATTGAAACTACCCGTCGCGGCGGCGGCGGCGCCCCTGCTCGCCGATGTCGTGGCAGTCGAGTCGGCTCCAACAGTAGCCGTGGTCACTAGCGTCGTAGTAGCAGTGGTGGTGAATGTCTGTCCATTGCTCGTCCAAATAGAGGTGTACGGCTTGGTGGTGTAAGCCCAAGTCGTCTGTTCAGGGGCCGGGCCGCCAGCGAAAACGGTAGTCGTCGCAGTGGTGGTGAATGTCTGGCCGTTGCTCGTCCAGGTGGATGTGTACGGCTTCGTAGTAACAGCCGTGGTCTGGGTAGCAGAGGTTGAATCAGACTGGGAGCCGCCGTTGCTCAAGACGCCGCCGACAGGGCCGCCAGGGGGAGAAGTGCTATTGGAAGCCTTCACTGCAAGCGCAGAGAAAGCCTCAAATGTGTTGCCCGTCTGGGGGGCATTGACAGCGCCAATCATGCCTAGAACAAAATTAGCCTGACTGCTGAAAAACTTCAGGGCTGGTCAACAGGCTTATGCAAGAGACGTACCCTTTTGGCAGTGGTTAGCCTGGCCACAGTAGAACCAGATGGGCTTCGTGTCCTTGACCTCAATGGTGAAGGTGGTTTTGGAGGGAGACTCGGTAGTAGGCACGAAGCCGGAGAAGAAGCCTCCTTCGAGGGGGTGGCAGGGATCATTGAAGGACGACTGAGTGACGGTGTGGTTTTTGGGGAAGTAGTGAAACTCGATCTTGGTGCCGACGGTGGCTTCAAAGTTGGACGGGTTGTATAGGAGTTTGCCGTCTGCGCCGACTTCTACTTTGACGGTTTTTGCCTCCTGGCCGGCGATGGGGGAAGCTGCCAACGCGAGGCCGATGATGGGCGAAGAGAACCGCATGTTGATAACAATATTGGACGGGAAGTGTGTGAGAAGGAGGTATATGGGTAGGTCTGGGCGGCTTTTTCTTGGTCGTGATTGAGAACAACAGAAGAAAGAAAGAACAGAGGGTATTTCAGTTCTTTATATGCCAACCCTGACATCTATCTATATCAACAGAGCTCAAAGCCACTTCACCCCGTGATGTTGAGCTTGCTTGCGTAGATTTGTCTGGGCAAACGCCACCACCGCGACACCCGGCTCCAAACATCAACCACGTCTGTCAGCCCAACCAGGCACTTGAACTCTTCTATTTGCAGCTATTCCGGAAGACGGCATTGCCGCCACCAGTTGAATGTGGATACAAGTCTGGTTGCTCGCCGGGTCAGCAAGCAAGTGTTTATTCGGCTCAGCCACCGGTTGTTGAGCTTCCGGACGACAGACCAACACGGCCTGGCCTGGCCGCAATCAGAGCGTCATTAAACAACAGGAGCATGACCGGCAAAAGTTTCCCCAGGTGGGCCGGAAGACATTTATCCGTAAATTGTTTGGATTGTGAGAAGCCAGGTCTCTGACAAACGAGGCGTGGATTCTGCATACGCCAACCGACACCACGCCCAAGAGGAAACACCCGAAACCGCCTTTCGCTCCAAGGAAACCAATCGATAATTTCTACTAGGATGAGGCGCCGTGTCGGAAAAAGAGACAGTTCGAGAATGCGCGTTATTGACCAGGGCAAATTTACCCCTGATGTGGGTGGCGCTGCGCCTCTCGGCACAGTCACCAGCCGCGCCATGAAATGATGCCAGGAGGACGGAGCTTGAGAGGCGGCAAATTAGGCGCGGAGAACAAGGGCGATTCTAGAAAATGACAATACAGCCTTGTTCGTTATTGTCTGTCACATTCGGGCGCTATAGATCGGCGCAGGGGCCGCTCGTCCCGACTTGGGCGTGACAACAATCTTCAAATGTTGCGATGAACTGACGGCGGGAGGATTAGAAAAAAGTATCGTGAGAAGATGGACGAGGAGTTTTCATTGTGCGTCTTTTCTAGAGGTGCTTCGTAAAAAAGGATCACAGTTCACGAGCTGGGAATGGCGTCAAGCGTCACGGCAGCACCCCTGGGCCCGGGAGACACCTCATTTCTTCCATTTGGATACCAGATATCGTGGAGTCTTGGATAAGTTCAGTCTAGGCCAAGCCAGTCAGCGCCGTCATCCATCCGTATGGACAGCCCCTGCTTGCTATAAGGCTGAGGGACCAGCGTTGCCAGTCTGCACCCGTCGCCGTGGGACCGCCAGTTTCAGACCCGGTAACGGCTGTTATTTATAGACGAGAAAATCTCCACCGCATGATTTTATTGGCCACTGATTTTGTGGCGGTGGTATATCAGGGACGTGGGTGGATGTTGTTGGTTGGACAGACTGGGAGGTTTGCGTACTTCTCATGTAGACCAAGAAAGAAAAAAACAGTAATCTCCATGGCCCTTGCATATCTAGCATCGCGCGTCGCCTTAGTTCTTTTCTTTTCTTTTCTTATCGTTATGCCTCGTTCTCGTTTTCGTTCCCAGTGCTTGGGGTGGCAACGGTGACAACCCGCATCCATCTGAGCTTGTTGATCCAACTGTTCTTGCCGGTACACAACTGATGAGAAACCTTGGGTTCGCGAGGACCGGAGCTATGTATTATTGCTTTGGATCAAATGTGAATAGATTTATCTACTCCCTCTTTTCTACCCTTGTATACTGGGAACCGTTTTTGGCTTTGCAAACTGCAATCGTATGTCGTTCGTCACTGTGCCAGTAGTATCGGCTATGCCTATATCGCCCACCGATTTGGTCTCGAGGAAAAAGAGCTCTCTGCCATGTCCGGTCCTATCTCCATAGTTGCTGCAGAGAATGATCCTGAATTTATCGTAGAGGAGAACTACACGGCGGAGGATATCCTGCGCAAGTCAAATAGGCCCTTCCAGATCAATGGCTTCTCAGGCGTGGATCATGGGTTTGCACTCTGCAGAAATCCTATGAAACAGCTCACATAGCCCAGCATTTGGGCATCCCGATGCGGTTGCTTTGCAGTTAACAGCTCATTCTTTTTACATCGAGGTGTCCTTGTAGATGACGGGACCCCAGAGTTCTTTCGAGTGTTAATGCTGGGTAGCAATTACTGGATAAAGTCAAAAGGACCATAACAGTAGTGGTCACCTCTTTAAGACTCTGTATCGTTTCGTCCGCTTTCGCGCTTTCCAAAACACTTCTCTTCGATTTTTCCATCTTGTTGTCGACAGATACCTCCATGGCATCTCTCTTCACTTCACCCAGGAACTTGACGCTTGTTCTCAGAGGCCTCTTGTCCAAATACCTCCTTACCTCCGAGTGATCGCCCAGCCATATAATTTGCACCCTCACATGGCTTCCGTGTGAGAAATCTGGTAGGTGTGCTCCAACGGTGCTGTAGCAGCCTGGCTCCAATCGACGGCATCAGTCAGTTTATACTAGTCGTCGAATAAGAGGTTTCTATAGTAAAAGTTAAAGTGGTAAAGGGGAAAAGGTCTATAAACCCTGTCCTTAATAATAATATGCGAGATAGCTGTCTTTAAAACTCAGCAGGCGGCCCTCCGCTTGGCATTATGGGCATGTTTTTTAAGAGCCTGCTGGTTTTAGTCTTGTCTGAAGTCGTAGAATCACTCTAGAGATATCTGGGTGCGTGGCGTGGCCAATGGTTTAGTATTCCACTCGTATGGGATGATTTGTGGTGGCTTATCGTAGGTTTTACCGCACTATATTCGCCCAGGCTTGTTAAGGTCAGGTTATGTAACTGGAACAAGACGTTTGATAATTGGCGTACGATATGTGATCTGTATTCAGGCAGCACTTTGCTCGCAATGGTTGAGCTGAGGATACGACCAATCGACATTGTCGGAGAAGGCGACTCGTTAAACAAGGTTGTTCGTCCCTGTGTATAACAAGCCTTGTGTCGATGGAGCAAAGTGATTTCCCGATCTAGACCTTTATCTTGAGCCTTGCCAGCAAGAAGGGCCACCTCTTGAAGATATGCAAAGTTGGCCGTGGCCAAGATGGTGAGAATTTGGTCATAAATGTGTCTCGACGAGATCAGGAGGGAAGAGTGTTACACGGAAAAGGCCCAACAGATCGTGAAGCCCAACAAAGGGGCTTCACGCCGATGTAGGACTTGTTGGTTACACGGCTAGAACACGTGCCCGGGCAAGGACCCTAGGCCCGGGCGTTCCTTTTATGTATATAAAGCAGTCACCCTTTCTCTTCCTTCCTCTTAGCAACTCAGGACCTTTGACATCCTACGAGATTATTATTGAATTGAGCCCCTTATCGCTCCAAGCCCTCTTTCCGAGCCCTTGTCACAAAGAGAGTCAGCCTAGACATCATGGAACAAAGAATACGCCTCGCCAAGAAGACTGTGGGTTGTAAGTTGATGCAACCTTTCCAAGTCTGCCCTGGTGGTGAACGTTGATAGATGTAAAATCTAAGCCACTATCTTGGTCCCGCCGCCTCAACCTTGAACCGACTCCATCTCCATCACATGGCCGAGATTGTGCCTGAAAAATGTTGGCTCCTCATGAAAAAACTCTCCGCCTTGCCGTACTTGGATTCGCAAAACATACAAGTCAGGACAGAATATCGGGATGCTAGTGACTAGACTCGATACATATCTATCTAGAGAAACGAGGCGACCCCAAAATCCTGCGCTCTGGTTCTCTTCGTCATCAGCCATAGACAAATCTACGCAGCGACATGCCTAGAAGCAGCCAATTTCTCCTGGCAACTATTCATATAGTTCAGTGCCCTCGAGGTCATCTCGTGGAGGATAGGACAACAAGCGTTAGCATGCCAAACGGTGTCTTCCCGCTCTTCAGCTGTGAAGATGAATCACTGAATTGCTCGGGGCCCGGTCAATTCACATGAATCGTATGCTCTACGTACCCGAATAGTAAACCGTTTGCACAAATGACAAACGGGTCTTGCTAAAAGCTCTACTCCGCCCCCCGTATGCGTATGCTCGCGTTTGTCACCGAGGACGACCCCAGATATTTGCAAACGCGGAAGAATTAAACCTTTTTCACAATATTTAAATCATCCCGAGTCTCACATTGAATCCCGTCTATACGTTCCCAGTCGTTTGATACCCCCGGGACCAATATGCACACCACATCAGAGAACCTCAAAGAGACAGAAGATTAGCAATGTATTCAGCGTACGTAACTCTTCTGTCTCTGAATGAGACTTTTAGAACCTGCTCGTGTGTCTGACTAATAATAATACGATAGAATTGCTAGTTCCAAGCCTTATCGGTTCATTATTGGCCCTCAGAGGCGCAAGTTCACGATTCATTCTGCAATCGTGGCCAGACAATCTGACTATCTCGACAAACTAGTCAATGGTGATTTCAAAGAAGGAAATGAAAAGACAGTGCACTGGGAGAATGTGGATGAAGAGACTTTCGTGTGCTTCTGGCAATATGCCTACACGGGCTCCTATGATATTCCTAGGGAGGAGCCCAAAACAACACAATCAGTACCGGAGGAGGGAGCTGAAGATGGGGACGAGATGGAAAGCTCTGGATATGCAAGTGAAAATCCCGACGATACCGTCAAATATTGGCCACACGAAGAAGGGAGGGATGAAAGTGCCTGGCCTGAAGATAGTCTCACGAATTATGCAGCAGAAGAACGCCCCAAGGAGCCATCAAACCGAGGACAATTGTGGAAACTATTCACTACGCTCCAGTCCACCGGCGGGAACGAGGACGAGGTCGAACCTGAACAGGGGAATGAGGGATGCGACGTCGACGCTGGCGATTTACTCTGTCACGCACGAATATACGTTTTTGCCGACTGCTACGGTATTTTCGATCTAATGGACCTGTCTTACAATTCCATTCATCGTATTCTATGCAACCTTGACCTGCGCACCAAGACCTTGGCCGATATTATAACCTTGGTGCATTACTGTTACGAAACGCCGGCACCCCCCGACTTGAAGGAGCTTGTTGTGCTTTATTCTGCGTGCAATATTGAATTACTTTGGGTTGATGAGCAGTTCCAGCATATAATCGAGACCCATGGCGATCTATCACGGGCTGTTATTGCCTCATTACTTGGCCGCCTTACCTAGATGGCCTCATGCGGCTGCCATCAGTGGCCGACTATGAGACTATAAGACTCTGGGGTCTGAAACTTGGCTAGACTATCATGTAGTTAGTTAGGTTAACTTGAAGAATAAAAGAGGAGATTTGTGAGTTTCGGCATAATGTCTAGGAATTGGGACTCAAAAAGTAATAGATAGTAATGTCTGAAGCTTAGACCTGGCTTCCAATAGCAAGTCCAAACGACTCTTGATATTGGCCAATAAGGCCCAACTATCTTTTGTAAGCAAAGGATTGATACTTTGCTTTCCATTCGCGGCAAACTCGGGGCCAAGGATGCAACTCCCCGTTCTTTGATGCTTGGCAAACCGCAATGGTGGGTATAAACATCGCAAGAGTAGCTGCATTATTTGTTAATATATATGGCAAACCATTAACCATGGTATTCTTTATACAAGACTGCTGCCTTTGAACCTCGTCCTCGTAGCTTCCCTATACGTCGACTACATTCTCGCGGCCAATCGTCCCCTTTGTGACACAATCCCCTCACATCACCAGACATCCCGATGAGTATATTTCACTCACAACTTGGCCTTTGCTTCCCTCTGTGATTCCTCCCATTGCCGATTTATCCTTACGTTCCCCCATATCCTCCACGCAGCCGCAGCCAAAGCCAACGGAGGACAGCCCAGCAACACCCACGACCACCACTCCGGGCTGCTCTCCCTGACCTTCTCCATGGCCTCGCCCAGCTTGGCCTCCAGCTCGTCCCTGGAGCCGTCATTCCACAAAACCACGCCGTTCCCCTGCCCTCGCTCAACGCACCTCCGCGCCTTGACCCTCACGTCCGCCTGGCTGCGCACCCGGTTCTCCGCGTCCTCCCTGCTCAGGTGGGCGTCCCTCTCCATGAGCCGCCTCATCTGGATCTCGGGATCCGACACGGCCACCACCACCGTCACCCCGCAGAAGCGGTCCAGCCCGCTCTCAAACAGGAGCGGGATGTCGAGCACCACCGCCCAGTGGCCGCGGAGATAGCACCCCAGGACCGTTTTGAACATTTCCCTGCGCACGGCCGGGTGCACGATGCCGTTGAGCACCGCGCGGTCCCTCTGCAGCTGCTCGCTGTCGCCAAAGACGCGCTTCCCGAGGGCGGGACGGTTGAGCGGGCGCCCCTTGCCGTCGGGGCCGTTTTCCGGCATCGAGTCCGACGGCTCGACCAGGAGATCCGGCGTCGTCGGGCCAAAGTATTTGACGATGGCGTTGTAGCCGCTTGTGCCGGGCTCGACCACCTTGCGGGCGAGGACGTCGGCGTCCACAATGGGCAGCTCATAGGGCGCAGATTTGAGGAGCGACGAGATGGTTGATTTGCCCGTTGCAATGGAGCCTGTTAGTCCGATGAGCAGCATTTTTTCTTCCTTTTTCCCCCCTGGTATACGGCACGGGGGACCACTTGGGGGCGGTGGTGTGTGAATATGTGAAGCTGTGCTGATTGATGCAGGATGCGTCGGCACCGAGGAAGCAGCTGTGAGGTTGGCAGGGCCGAGCTGTCGATTGCCTCCAGTCCTCCGAGGTTAGAGAGAGCTTCAATGTTACACAGGTGTCGGGAACTAAGAACATGGAATCCAATAGTTGGTGTCTGGTTCTGGTGCATCTGGGTTCCATGTCGATGTTATGCAACCCCCAGTGCCCTGCCGCTAGCGCCACTGGGCTGTTAGTTGGTGCGGGGTTTGGGTGAAGCTCCAGCTCTAGTCCAGCACGAGAAGAAGCCGGGCTGCCGACTGGGAAGGAACCAGACATGCAAATTGCCGACATGGAGCTGTATTACGCCACCAAGTGATTGAGCGCTGGACATGTCTCCATGTTTTTCGCATGGCAATAATATGTCCTCCGTACTTGGTATTGCATAAATACGTCGTAGAGCACTGCATGGGAAAGCCCCACGTCACACAAATCATCAGACACTTTGCCGATTATGCGGTCATCCGTGTTGTTTCGCAGGCTCATTCCATAATGACAGCAGCGTCGCATGATGCCGCTTCAACGCACGCCACAAAGTACAGCGCGTGACACGACAGCTGGATCGAGTACTACTACAACTAGAATACGTAGTTTGAAAGTGTAGAAAACGGACCCGCCTGGCAAGTTTCCTGAGTAAATCAATGACGGCCCCGCGCCGTTGAAGTATGGATGGATGGACGGGACAGTCCCACGAATCTTGCTGATCTCGGGCTGGCCAGCGCCACAGATCGAGGGATGGATGGCCTGTTGCCTGCGCCTCGGTTAAGGGTCGTCACAAGCACGGCATTCCTGGCCGCTCTGGTGGCCGTCCAGTATGAACAGTCCCGGGCAGTCGACGTCGATCTGACGCAAATACACCATTACTGGAGTGTCGGAGGGGTCGCCAGCCTGGGCGTTTCTCGACATCTGGCCGGGAGTCGAGTATTGCGCCTCGTCAACGGTTGAATCAAAGGGTCCGGTGCGAGGGGTAAGAGGGCGGGATAAGAGGACGGGAGGGAAGGGGCTGCGGAGGGATCCTGCGGCAGCCGTCCAGTGAAGGTGTGGGGATTTGTCAGTGGTTCCTTCCTCGAATGTCGAAACATCAAAATGTCAAGTTGCTTTGTTGACTGCCAGGTACTTAGACGTAGGTACAGTACCTACCGAAGTTCACTCTAAAGGATGGAGAATGACTCAACGGAGTTTGCATTCCAAGTGCTGCCCTATTAAATCGTGGCGTCTCCGCAATGCCCCGGCTGGCTTTCGCTGCGTCCCCAAGTCCCCTAAGCTCCTTGGCGCAGATGTTGACCGGGATCCATGTCCAAATAACAAAGTAGTCTGGTACTTTACAATGATCATTCCATACTTAAGTACATACCTAGGTAGTCTAGGCAGAAAGATTTGCAATATTAAGCTTCACTCTGCGCGCAACTGCTGCGTATCAGGTTGACCGTACAGTAGACTGCTGGCTTCGTATTAAGCCGGCAGAACAGGCGTCAGATGCGAGCGAGGTCAGGCTTCAAATGTTGGATGCGCCACATGGAGGACCTGCTCAAGTACTGCGTAACTACTTAAGTACGGAGTACTAGTAGTAGTCTGGTACCTCAATTATAACCGAGCACGCATGGACAGTCAAACGCTGCCAGGGATGCGCGTCAAATGTGTCTGGCGCACAGATGCTAGACAGATTTTGATGCGGGGGGTTGCAGTAGGTCAGTTACATTGGCGCCACTGCAAACATGTGAAAGCCCCGACCAGGACTCTTCAAGACCAGTTGACGCTGGACTCTTGTCTCGAGAGTCGACGCCTTCGACGCCCTCAACTTGACGCGGCGGCCGACGGGGTGGTCGACGCCCGCCACAGGCGAATATTGATGCAGACTTACGGGCGAATCACGGGCCAGGCCACGTTGGTGCCGTCGATGCGCTGCCTTTGAGTGCCGCTTCTGTGCCTGACTGCACATCAATTGTCTACAGCGGTACGGGTGCCCCCAGGCGCCGCCCACCGCCCACAACCTCATGATCCCACATGCACCCTGAAGCGCCCCACCACCCCAACGCATGTCGCCCCATAAAGAAGACGGAAACATCCTCCTTCCATCCTCCCACCAAGAATCGTTCCCCATCGTGTGTTGCTGCAGCCCCGGCTGTTCTTTTAAACGCTCCCTTGTTCCTAGTCCTCCTAAAATGCTCTATCCTCGGTTTTAATCTTGGTGTATTGGTATAGTTTTCAGCATATTAGCGACAGGCCAAATTACAACTGCTCCCTCGACTTAAATCGCCCTTCTGAGCCCGAAACAACCCTCGCCGAGAGAAAAAGGAGAGACACCAGTTGACAGCTTGTTGGCTCGCCCGGCCTTCGTTCCGGCTAAGCTCTGTTTTCAACTGGGCCATCTTCAGTGAAAGTCTTGCAGTGGTCACATTGTGCAACTCGCGCCGCCGCAGACCCTGCGCTGACCTGCATATACTTAATGCTGGCTAGCCAGTCTCGCATACTTCCTTGAGACAAGCAGCTTGGGGCACTTCGACCTCTTCGCCGCCGACGGTCGAACATCGTCCATCTTCCCGCTCTCACCTTGCAGTCCACACCTATTAGTTTGCCATTCTGCGCAGTGCCTTGAAATTGGAAGCGGTTTTCAATTGGGCTTCCGAGTATCAAATAGCCATGAGCGACGACGAGCCCCAGCTTGTGCGACCGATTCCCCGTCGACCATTCAACCTAAATTTCACGAGTGCGACACCCCCCGACGATGACCTTGCGGATCACGATGAGCCTTCTCAGGATAGCTTTGGTTCCGGCCTTGACTTTTCAAGCTCGAGATTCTTGCACCCAAGCTTTGACCGGTCCGAATCTACAGCATCGCTCAGCCGCCCGCAGTCCCTCCTGAATTTGACTTCATCGACCTTGATGGGAATATATTCAGAGGCAGCGTCCAACACTAGAGATCGCCTCTTCAATGGTTACGATGAGTCAGATACGCCATGGGGGACTGGTGCACGTACTCCTATCAGACGTCCCAGCATCGACGAAGCGACTTACGAGCTGATGCGCGACCGCTCCCACGTTCCCAGGCGAATATCTTCTTTTGGGCCCTATGCGCAGGTTGAACAGGCTGTATCGCATTCCGCTCTTGGCTCCGTTACGTCCCTCACACTTCGTGGCACGCTGTTGTTTGTACTCGGCTTGGGCTACGGCGCCCTCGTCACGCGTCTCCACAACGAGCAGAACCAATTGCCCCCGATGCCTGACGACAGCATTCTAAAACCCGGAAATAATTGGAAATACCTCACCTTCTGGGGTGTAGCTGGCATTGGATTGGGCTCCTTACTGCCATGGTTCGACAAGCTGTGGGAGGACACCTTTGGCAACGAAGGCGACGACAGTGTTGTTGACAAAGGAGCTAGCCCGGGCACGGACTGGGCTTTAGTAATGCGAGCTATTGGCGCATTTGTTGGCATCATTTTTGCCATTGTGAGTCCAAAATCCGACATCGGCTTCTCGTTCTGAAAATGAGTACTGACAAATCCTTCCAGCGCAAGCTAGCATGGGTATCTACCCTTCAAGTGTCAGCGACACTGGCATTGGTCAACCCCCTTTTATGGTGGCTCATAGATCGCAGTAAGCCTGGATTCGTGCTGTCTGCTGCAGTTGGCTTGACCGGCTCGATTCTCCTTCTCGGTGTTGATCCTGAGATAATGCCTGCGCCATCAGGATTGCCTAGCCGTAATTCTTCAAATCCTTTTAACAGCGACCCCCTTGCATTGGGTGGCTTAGCCACGCAAGAAACGGTTGAAACGGGGGTGTGGATGCTCAGCGTGCTATTCTGCAGCTGCCTCTGCTTTGGCAATATTGGTCGCAGGCTGACGTGGAACAGATCGAGCGGAAGATGGGGCGGAATCCGATAGGCCACATGGCGACCAGGCCCATGGGGGATATTAATGTTGCCTTTTTTTTTGTGTATTGTATCAGTTAATTGTGTCTTTAAGTTCATGATACCCGCATGGCTTGGTTATAAGAGAACCATGAGGAATATAGGAGCAGCCAGGCTATCAAAGCGAATATCCGACCAATATCACGATCTTTGTGATTTATTGGATTGTATGCATGTATACGATGTATCGGTGCTCTGCAGACTACGCCGGACTCGAATCAGTGATAAGCCCTCACTTCTTCTTGAGCAACCAGACAAATAGTCCCTTTCCGTCAATACGGCCGCGGTCACGTTTCCGGCGATTGCTGATATTTTAGCCTCTGTATAGCTGACCAGTTACAAGTGTGGCCTCGCGACATATCAAGACAGGCGAAAATTGTACAGGTTGTGATTCACAGCCTATTCCGGAGCTGCACACAATCCAAGACTTGGCGAATGCAGTGTGCGACGGGATACATCTCCAGGTACCGGACTTAAGTGGTCAACATGCTACTTGCAACGTTGGAGAATTGGCTGAGGGTCCACCAAATTAAGTAAGTTAAATATGTGGCTTTCAAACGATACTTGGTCTTGTAAGGAATTGAAACTCAAAATCATCGGCTTGCAACGGCCAGGCAAGTAGCCCACTGGTGCAACCCACCGCTTCAGAAATGACGCCAATGACTTTTCGCCCCAGGAACCGTTGGCGAGCAACAGAGAAAACACATGATGCTTCTCCATGCGATACAGGTAGTATGGCCACAGGGATTGGATGCCGCCACCAATCTAGAAGTTCGCGAAGATGAGGAACCCATGACTAGCGGCGATGATGAGATTGACGTCTCGTACACGGATCGTGCCCAGTCGTGGCCATCACAGGTCATTCCATCAATCACCCCCACTGCGGGCCCATGGGTTGTCCGAGACAGCTAACATTTATTCAGGGTCCAGAATGACGATTAGGAGAATGTGCCTGTCATGATGTAGGTCCTGTAAGGACGTTGAAGATGTGAGGTATTGGAACCGTCGTGAGCACTAAAATTCAAGATCAAGAACGAGTGCATGCATAATGTTTAATGTTGCAAAACACCTTGTGGACGAGCCCTTGGTTCCTGCCCATCTTTGTGTGACATGACATATGACGTAGCCTAAGCCTTCGGATAGGCTTGGTGGGAAGGTGCGAACTACCTGCTTTTCCAATCTAATAGAAGCGTTGACTGCTCGGCTTCGCATTAAGTTGGATATATAGAATCTGAATATAACCATGCATCCTCACGCCATAGCCAAAGTCGGAGCGTCATCAAAACCCAAGGGCCCCCGGCGCAAAGCAGCGGTCGGGAGAACGCCGGGCACTGGAGGCCACTCTTCGCTTGCAGTCGACACCGTCGGCGCACCCCATGCATGACGATGACTTTCCACCCCCGTAACAGTCGGGTCCTACGTCAACGGTATTTCCCCTTCCCTTCAGCTCGGCCAGTCACATTATCTCTCCATCTTCCAACATCACCTGCCGGCTTGGAATCTGGCCCGTTATTGTGGAGATATCGTGTTTTACCACCTGAGGAAGTCGGATCTCGATGATATGAGGTGAACTTCGGCAGGCATATTGTCTGTCCAACTCTCAGCCTTACTCATCTACAAGAGAGGACACCAAGAGCTCAAACGGAGAACACTATCATTTTTATCTATTTCCGCTTCCTCGCCTTCCTAGTGCCTATTTTTCTCTCTTGTAGTCGTGGCCATAAGTCTTGCGCGATCGGTGCGCAACCTTGCTTCTTTCGTTTCAAAACCGCTCAACCCAAGTTGTTATATAGGTGTCTGCATCCTCTGACTAGCAGCCTTGTCGGACTATCCTCGAGTGGCGGCGTTGTGCACAGGCGGGTATATTCATCGGTCGAAACCCTACCTGCCGATGCCTGGAGACTCCGACTTTCTCAAGACGTCAATTCTCAGATCCCTCTAGCCGACAGTAAGGCTCAGTCCTGGCTGACGACGACCACTGAGACCATATCTCCAGCACTTAAGCGACACATCTCTCTGTTTAGCTGCGTGCACCAATTCTAATGCTCATGACATCACGTCCTCCAACTTCACCGGCTGAGACTCGAGCCGATGGGAATCCAGAACATACCCAGGACCTCGGGAGTCATGTTCGACAATCAGAAGGCGCGAATAACGAAGGGCATAACATTACATATAGCGAGACGCGGGGGAATATGTCCGCACAACACAAAGATGTACATGAAAACTTGCCGGACTTCCATGACCAACGACAGGAGGATGAAGATGGTAGATACCGGAATCGAGAGCTTAAACAACAGCAAATACGAGATATCGTCCGCCTCTTCCAATGCCGGCATTGTTCGAGGCCGTTCAAAAATGCCATAACCCTACCCTGTGGCCGAAGTTTATGCAGAGCATGCGTTCCCGCAACCCATGTGCGAACTAGTATCACGTATCCCGCTATTCCGGATCGACTTCGAGGCTTCATGTGTCCTTTCGACGATTGCTCCAAGGAACATGCCCTGAGTGATTGCGGACTCGATGTAGTTCTCAACAAAATTAGCCAGCTCATAGAAGAAGAAATTCATCGAGGTCAGCGAGCTGCGACACAGGCAAACCTCTCAACAAGTATAGGCTTTCGAGATCCGTGGGGTGTTGCTGGCATGCCTTCGATGAATGATAACAGCCATGCTCCTCGGATAATTCCAGGTGGCCGGCTGGTGGCGACATGGTCTTTGGCCGCAGAAGGAGGGTTGTTAGCCGATGCCGAAGTCACCTATGAGGACGTTCCGCCGAAGGGCTCTCGGGAAGATTTCTCAGATTTCGATGTCAAATCTTTGAATCATCTGCAAACTATTACTCGCAATGAGGTAGATTGCCAAGTATGCTATGCGTTGTTTCACGACCCATTCACAACGGGCTGTGGACACACTTTCTGTCGCTCGTGCCTACATCGGACATTGGACCATTCGCACCGGTGTCCCATTTGCCGTTGCACGCTAGCTATCAACCCGCTACTAAATCCCGATCTATGCCCATCGAATGAATCCATTACTCGGCTAATTGAGCTATTTTGGCCCGATGAAAAGGCGGTTCGAGACAAAGATGTCGCGTCAGATATCGCTGCGCGGCACCAAGACCTCGACTTACCATTGTTTGTCTGCACGCTTGCATTTCCATCTATGCCTACCTTCCTCCACATCTTCGAGCCTAGGTACCGATTGATGCTTCGGCGGGTATTGGAAGGAAATAGGACCTTTGGCATGGTCTTACCAAAACGTCCCCGAGACGCTGATGACACCCATTTTTACGAACTAGGTACACTCTTGCGAATCATCAACGCTGAATTCTATCCCGATGGTCGCAGTTTGATCGAAACCGTCGGTTTAACTAGATTCAAGGTTTTGCGGCATGGAGAGCTTGATGGGTACACAATTGCAAAAACCGAACGTGTCGACGATATGTCGTTAGAAGAGGAGGAGGCTGTTGAAGCTTCTGAAGCTGTTGCAGCAACTAGGAATGCTGATGCTACCGTTTTGAACAGTGATCTCTCCGCCGGGGTAGACAGTTCTACCGAAGAAGACTCGGACGAGACCAGGCCAGAGACTGAACCAACAGGCATCCCTCCAATCCCGATGACAGCGTCAGATCTACAAGCGATGTCGACGCAGAATCTAATGAGTTATGCCACGGCTTTTGTATCTCGCATGCGTGGACAAAGTGTTCCGTGGTTAACGGCTCGAATGTTTGGCATATATGGAGAGTGTCCAAGCGACCCAGCTGTCTTCCCATGGTGGTTTGCCAGCATGTTGCCGGTAAAGGACCTCGAAAAATATAGACTATTAGGCACATCCAGTGTTCGTGAGCGACTCAAGATTTGTTGCGTTTGGATTTTGGAGTGGGAAACGACAAGATGGTAAGTCTTGTTATTACCTTTGTGTTCCGTTTTCAGCCCCCGTTGCTTTGCCTGCCGTACTCCATGCGCTAGAGTGGACAAGGGCTAAAGAATTTCAGGGCTAATCTAGTTGAGCCGCGGTTAGGTCGTTTCACAATTGCTCTATTCTCTGAGGATTGATGTCCAAGGATGTGTTCCTCAAAAAAAGTCGATTGTACAAATTGTGTCTGAAGAGGCTGGGACTGTTTGGATAGATATATCTCATTAGCATGGCTTTTCTGTTAGCATTCGCAGCCTGTATTGCTTAACGAAGAATAAATATGGAACATGATATCCCTGGGGTTGATTACCAGCAAACAGAATGAATAGTTGTAGCCCCTGTTGCAAATGTTCCGCCAAGTATCGGCTGTCTATGTTTACTCCCCCGTCAAGTGCATTCCCACTAACAAATCACTCCAACCCATCTAATCCGGCAACAACAGTTCATGGCCGTGTCATTTTCCCAAATGTATGTCACGACAACATCACCACCCGATCGCGTCTACTTTCCCATTCGTACTCGCCGCCATCGTTGCATCTCCCCATGCCGGAGCCTCAGCTGGGCCACTCCATGAACCAGGCATTACATTGTTGTGCGCCTCTGCCGAGGGGGCATTATTATCCTGTGCAGTATCACCCCATTGTACACCGTTATCATTGCTGCCATTCTGCGCATCCTGATTCTCCCAAGTAGCGTCGCCGCCGGAAGGCTGTCCCCCACTAGGCCAATCACTTCCACCGTTGTTGCCGCTGTCGTTGCCAGCATTGGCGTTGTTGTTCCAAGTTGACTCCTGGTTATCTCCGGCATTGAATCCTTGAGAACCGCTCGGCCCTCCATTGTTGTTGCTGTCCCATGCATTCTCCTGCGTCTGATTACCCCACGTGTCTGTAGCTCCTCCGTTGCCGCCTGCATTACCGTTTTCGTTGCCGTTGCCATTACCCCAGCCGCTCTGCTGCGGCTGGCCCATCTGGCCTCGATTTTCGACTCCAGAAGGACTTGGGTTCTTGGGACTAGCGTTCCGTACGGAGCCGTTGCTGCCTCCATATGCACTAAATTGGGATCTGGTCTTGTTTGGAAGATACGAATTGTGCTTCCCAGGAGGGAAGACATTATTCCCGCCAGCAACGTCCTGATCTTTACTTGATGGAACAGCGCCGACAGGGTTCGGGTTAGGGTCTAACAGACTGAATGCTCCTCTGTTCTGGTTTTGGTTCTGAGCCTGAGTTGCTGGCTCCATCTGCGGCCACGGTCCGCCTGGGAAAGGTCCCGGATACCCAGCAAATCCCATGGGAGCAAACGCATTCCAGGCCGGCATTGCCATTCCTTGTGTAATAGGCACACGCTCCATGCCGGTCTTGTCTTGGGTTCTGTCGAAACCATGGCAGTACGGGTTCTGAGTCGGATGTGGCATGCCCATCGGTAGAGGTCGAAGTGACGGATCTCGCTTGGGATAAAGAGACTGGTGATGATGACCGTACACGGGGCCATGATAGATTCTGACAATGTTGTTTTCGGCGTCGTAATATGCATTTGGGATTGGATCTTCCGGTGTTTCGACGACTCTCTCGGTGTGGACGACTTCTGCACGCATAGGGGCAATGAGGTTCGGACGGCGAGGGTGAGGCCCAGGGTATGGCGTCGGGTATCTTTTTCCTTTCTTCTGTTCGGATTCCTTTTCTTTTGGTGAGGCTTTCTGTTCAGTGGGCTCTGCTGGTGGTTTCTCAGGCTCTTTCTCCGGTTCTTTGTCCTTGGGTTTGTCGTCATTCTTATCCTTATTCTGCCCATTTTTAGCTTGGTCCTCAATTTTATTCGCCTCCTTGTTCTTATTTTTATTTTTCTTGCCCTGCTGCTTGCTTTCCTTCTTCTTTTCATCACTGGAATCATCTGTGTCCTTGGCAGATTCTTCCTGCGACTCCCCTTCCGAGCTATCTACCTTGGCTTTCTCCTTCTCCTTGGCCTTTCCCTTCTTGCCGCCGTTCTTCTGACCTTTTGCAAGCTCCTCGTCAGTCGTCACCTCTGAATCACAATCGGACTGTTTGGCTTTTTTGGAAGCTTTGCTTGCTCCCCGCTGCTGTTTCTGCCGGCCACGAGTACAATTGGAACACTCACAAGTAGGATGGGGCTCGGAGTCATCCTCGCTATCGGATGATTTAGCTGCTTCTTTCCCCTTTTCTTTATTCTTTTTGTTTTTACTCTTTGGGGGAGATGGCGGCTCGCTTGGTTTTGAGTCGCTCGACTCGGCCGAGGTGTCTGCTTCTGAGTCGGTGGGCGTGTCTTCAGACTCAGAAGCTGCTGGGGTTTTCTTCAGGGCAGATTTCTTGGGCTCTTCTTCAAAACGAACTTTTTTCACAGTTGCATCCGTTTTGGTTTCCGGCTTGGCAGACCGTCCGGAGCGAGGGTAGGTTATTTTGACGGTATCTTCTTCAGTTTCATCGTCGGTGAACACCTCCACTGTGACGACATCTCGTTTCTTGCGAGGCTTCTTGGGGATGGGGCCGAGGGCAGATTGGATGGTTGTGCCGACGATATATTCGCAAAATAGGAGAGACTTTGATGGCCACTTCTTATTGTTAGGCATTATGGGCGATAGTCTTTGGAGTTCTTGATTGGGAAAGGTTGAATTAGATTAGCTCTTGGGAGAGATACCGATAGTCCATCGACTAGGAGACTGGGTTGTGGTGGCGAATAGGCCAGCCACTTGTGCGCAGGGTGTTTTGATTAGACAAACGATACGAGTTGTCAAATTGAGATGATATGGTACAAGACAAGATGAGACGGGCAGAGCGGGACGTGGAGACAGATTCCAAGCCAAGCTGTGAAGACAGCTGACTGCCAGCTGTCGAGCATGTCGCGGACCGCCAGCGTTTGGGATTGAGGAGGACGGGCTCGATGGAGTCGAAAGAGCCATAACTACTCCCTTAAAAAACTAATATTGCCAAAAACATTTATTATTTCTCTCTTCAGATCAAGAAATGGGGGCTCCCTCTGGCGGAACAGTTGGCGGCAATGTCTCAAATAGAGTCTTGACTCTTCGGGGAGTGTCTACCGTCTGTTTGTTGGCAACATGGCACTGATAGTTCACAGTTCGCCTCTTCGCACAGCATCACAGCCAATGCTCCCGTGTCTGTGACCAGCATCTGCACTATCAAATCCAGAAAGCGTGGGTGTATAAAAATACCTGCCGGGAAGGAGACCCATTGCAATGTCGAATTTGTATGTAGACAACTTGGAGCAGCCGACTACAATGCGGAATCGGGCGTGCGCTGGCGCATGCAGAATGCAGAATGCAAAGTCATGATTTTTAATCTCAAGAAAGGCCAAGTTCATACTGCTATCGAAGAAAGAATAAAAGACAACACTGAGGCCGAAAAGTCTCACAATAAATGCGGTATAGGTGATCCTTTCTAGTGCAGTCCATTTTCGCTCCCATCCCCGAGCCTGTCCATCTTCTTAACTATCTAGTGTTGCCATCTTCAAGCACCAATACAGATGAATATGGATTAGATAATCGTCGAACCGAGCATATCTTCAGAGTTGGCATCTTGGATGATACGACGTCGTAGATCAGCTCTGGCCGATACGCAGAAAGACCAGTCTAATGCCAGGAATCACACCCCCTCAAATAGTCGCTTCATCCATAAAAATGCACCAGCAAGCGATTTCGAACGTTAAGATATATTTCATTGAATTGTCATAGCCAAGACTTCCCGTGTGTTCTAAAAAGGCCGAGACCTAAATCACAACCAGTAAGTTAAATACAGATTCATACACTCAAGATTGATCATTACGCAATGTCCGCCCATTTCACTGTAATCGATTGCTGCACAAGTCCTAACACATTCCCAGATCATACTCTCCTTCTTGTATTTGACCTCGCGCACCTAATCCCCCGCCAATATTCCTTTACAACTCTTCGCCCTTTTCGCAGTTCTTGACTTCGTAGTTGACAGTGTCATTTCCTGTCCCCCAAATCTTCGGTTTGAAGTCAAGGTACACGAGCTCGTTCTTTTCCGCCTTCCAGTCTCCATTTGTGTCTCTGTAATACACCATCTCACCACTGCCGGCGTCTCGAACCTCGACGGTTGTGTGGGAAAACGTGCCGTCCGTCGACCACTCCAGCTTGTAGCAGGAGTCCTTCTTGACGGGAAAGGGCTTAGAGCAACGGATATTTCCGTCGCTGTCGATGCATTTCTCTATAGCGTAGTCAAGCACTTCGCCCTTGGAAACGGTGTCACCAGCTAGACGGACTATACGTTAGATATTTGAGACGGAAGTTCGTTGAGCAGAGCCATCGTACTTAGTTTGAAGCTAGCAAGAGCGAGGCCTGCAGTGGCGATCTTCTGTACATCTGGGATATACATGACGAGAGTCGGAGCTTGATGGCGCAGAAAAGAGATATGTTCCGGGTAGATAAATTCGTCGTTGATAAAGAGACGAGTGGTCAACGTACTGAGAGACTCCAGAAAGCAAGGGATTTTCGCATGGAGGCAAGCAGGTATTTTAAGACAAGAAACGTTCCACCAAAGCCGGCGAGTTGGTCAAGCTTATTCGCATCATCGATGACGTTGATGCATGGAGCTATTGGTCCTTCCTGCCCCTTAAATTGCCTAATTTGGTATGTGGGGCGGTTGCCTGAATTACACCCCGTTGGATGAAGTTCCGTTGTTCGGGAGTGTTGCAAGGAAACATAGAAGATCTACCAAAATAAGATCTCCTCAAGTAGGAGGCCTCCCCTTTTGGCAGAGTCGTTGAAAACAGGGAGCAACTCCAAGTATAAGGTACTAGGTACCTACTTCTGTTGTCGCAGTTATCTCGGGTAGAGATAAGATGTGAATATGTAATAGTTAACGTTTTAAGCATAAGTGGTAAAAATATTACAAGTACTACTAGCTGGATATCTTTGCCTCCTCCCTAACTGTTTTCAATACTCGTTGGGCAGGTAAAAGAAGCAAGGCGATGTATGCTGGAAAGTTGCGCTATAGAGTGATTCGGAAGAGGCAAAAACGCTGACCAACCTAAGTACTTTACCTATAGGTACCTAGGTAGGTAGGTAGGTACCTTGCAACCTGGTGACTAAGTTAACAGCAGAGTCACAATTGCTAGTAATGCCTTGTCACTTTGATCCCTAGCTCAATCTGTCGCAGGATGTGTTAAGGCGTAGGTTCCATAACGGTCCCAACGTGTGTAGAGAAAAAACCTCCGTTTGGATGAGGCTTCTGCGCAAGTATTCATACCCCACCGAGCTCAGGAGATTCTAATTCAAGTGCCGCTGACTCAAAGTCTTAATATTCCCTCCCAAATTCAGTTGTGGCAGAGTCAGACATAGAAATAGCTACCCTGTACCTTTGTGCCTGAATTCAAGAACCCCGCACTAAAACTCTTTGGGATGGTTGCTCCGGTCCTTGCAGCCCCTCCGACTCATGGAAAAACATCAAAAACTGCCCCTCTTCTGACTCAGGAGGGCCTGTGCCGGTCAATGCGACATCACCGATTTCTTCGTCTTTTTGACACACAGGCCTGTAACTCGTTCACCCCGTCTAATCACCACAGAGACGTATCTCTCGTATTTACTCCTGTCGAGGAGCTGCAATTCTAGGGGCTGGAAGCCTCCAATTTCAGTTGTCTAAGGCAGCAACACTACATCCCGTAGGTGCGACCTCGCTCTCCATACTTCAGTCACTCTCCCTTCGTTCCTTGCCATTTAAATGCAAGGCTCCCCTCTTCTCCCTTACGACCTTAACGACCGTATGGCGGTCATGATGAATCAGAATATTCATTATTTTTCGTTTCAACCCGAGAAAACCGTTGTGTTGGACCACTGGCTGATCAAAAGACGTTACTCCGCAGGGTCACCATGGCTTCCTCGGCGGCTCCCGCACCAACCACTATTCCTGTCAGGGATGGCCCTCCGTCACAGCCTGATGGTCAGCTACCCAAATTCATCGTCGAGAGAAATCTGCTGTTTGAAGAGCTGAAGAAGAAACACGACGACGCCGTAGCCGCGAAGCCCCGAAACTCCATCACTGTGTCGCTCACAGCCGGCCCGGACAATGTCACTGAAATCTCTGCTACCGCTTGGGAGACCACCCCAGGTCAGTTGCTGAAGCACGTTGCCAAGGTTATCGCCTCGGAGGCAGTCGTTGCCAAGGTCAATGGCGAGGTCTGGGATCTGACCAGGCCTTTGGAGGCTGACTGCGCCGTCTCGTACCTATCTTCGAAGGATCCCGAGGGTCGTGCTGTATTCTGGCACTCGGCCGCACACGTGCTCGGCGAGGCTTGTGAGCACCAGTTTGGCTGCATGCTGTCCCATGGTCCCCCAACCAGTATGGGTTTCTTCTACGACATGGCCATGCGGGAGGGCGATGCTGTCAAGGAGACTGATCGCCCAGCCCTCGAGACTTTAGCAAAGAAATTCTTCAAGGAGAAGCAGCAATTTGAGCGAGTTGAGATTGCAAAAGAGGATCTGCGAAAACTGTTTGGCTACTCCAAGTACAAGATGCACTATATCGAGAAGTTCGTCCCAGATGGTGGCTCCACCACCGTGTACCGCAACGGCTCCCTCGTCGATCTCTGCACCGGCCCGCACATTCAGAATACCAAGCAGATCTCCGCCTTCAAAATCATGGGCAACAGCTCAGCTTACTTCTTGGGCGACCAGGCCAACGACTCTTTGCAACGTATCTCTGGCGTGGCTTTCCCCAAGAATGATCAAATGAAGGAATGGCTTACCTACCTGGAGGAGGCTAAAAAGCGCGACCATCAGCTTATCGGGAAAAACCAGAAATTATTCTGGTTCAGCCCGCTCTCTCCAGGCTCGCCATTCTTTCTTCCCCACGGCACTCGCATCTTCAACGCCATCCAGACAATGCTTCGAGAGCAGTACTGGATGCGTGGGTACGACGAGGTTCATTCGCCCCTCATGTACGATGTCCAGCTCTGGAAAACCTCGGGCCACTGGGATCACTATCAGGAAGATATGTTCCGAGTGCCGTTAAAGCACACTCACGGTACAGCGCCGGATGCTCCAGTAGCTTCTGGGCCAGATGCTGCCAAAGATGCCGACAAACCGGCTGGCAAAGATGGCGAGAATGCCGAGGTTGCAAAATTGGAACAGGAGAGGCTGTTCGCTCTAAAGCCAATGAATTGTCCTGGCCACGCTCTCATGTTCGCCAGCGAAGAGCGCTCCTATCGATCCCTTCCGTGGCGAGTCGCCGATTTCAGTGTTCTGCATCGCAATGAAGCTTCTGGTGCGCTTACCGGTCTTACCAGAGTCCGCAAGTTCCAGCAAGATGACGCGCATATTTTCTGCACCATCGACCAAGTCACCGACGAACTTCGAGGCTTGTTTAAATTCATGACGCACGTGTACACCATGTTCGGATTCCCATTCAAGCTTAAGCTCTCCACTCGTCCAGATTCTTACATGGGTAAGCTGTCCGACTGGGATGCTGCCGAGGATCGACTCAAGAAGGCCCTACAGGAGTTCAAGGGTGATGACTGGGTTATTAATCCTGGTGATGGCGCCTTCTATGGGCCCAAGATCGATGTCACCGTCAACGATGCCTTGGGTAGAGAATTCCAATGCGCCACTATCCAGCTGGACTTCCAGCTCCCCCAAAACTTTAACCTCCTCTATCGTACCAACGAATCTACAGCCGATCGCGCCAAGGGTGAGGGAGAGGAGGAAGGTGGTATTCCCTCTGGCATGGCAAGACCCGTCATGATCCACCGAGCCGTCATCGGCTCTTTCGACCGGTTCATGGGTATCATCATTGAACACTTTGGAGGCAAGTGGCCCTTCTGGCTGTCGCCGCGCCAAGTCATGGTCATCCCCATTATGAAGGATGCGGAGGACTATGCCAGGGAGGTGCGAGACATTTTGCACGACGCGAAGCTCTACGCGGACGTCGACGTCTCGGGCAACACCCTCCAGAAGAAGATTCGAGCCGCACAGCTGGCTCAGTACAATTTTGTCATGGTTGTGGGTGCTGAGGAGATTGAGAAGCGAGCGGTGAACATTAGAAATCGGGATGATCCCTCAAGTCAGCAAAAGGGCGCCATGATTGATCTAGATGAGGTTGTTAAGCGGCTTGTAGAGTTGAAGGCCGAGAGACGACTGGTTAACTCTATCTGATAGAGGAGGTCTTGGGGACGGCAGTGGCACTTGGGGGCCGGGGTAAAGGGGGACGTAGGGTTTCTCTCGGCGTGGATTATGAAAGGAAATAAATGACTCTGACTTATTACGTAGTGTGATTTGGTTTCTAGACTTCATAAATTTTTGCCCGCTTAGGAAAACCTTGTCGATATGCTCCCTGGTTACTTGTGTACTGCCACATGCCCTCTGACTGCAATTGACACGTACAACTCCTATAGCCACTTAACTTCATCTCGGTCACTCTTCTCATCATTGCTTGGCCATTACGGTTGTGTAGTTGAGCCTCCTCATATGGCGAGTGGAAGCTGCAACTGGAAGTGCCAATTTTGAACTTGCGAGGTGGTTTATGCAGGCTGCTAACGAGCCGATATATCGCACAGACGGACATCAAGTGTTCAATATTACCGTACTTGCAAGCAAGCTTGCCCCTCGTGCCCTACGAATGCTCCGAGCAACTTTATTTGGCCCTAGTCCGTTATGATTTCTATTCAATGTTGCTTGCAGCATACTATGTGTTGCAGGTTCTGTTTGGCTGCCGTTCTGTCTCAAAGGCGGGCAAGGAATCATGACGAAAAAAAGATGATGATACCTGGGGTGGCACGCCTCTCGTTACGCGGACTTCAACTTGCTACTATAAGAATGAAGACTTTGTGACATTCTTGTTCAAGGTGGTAACTAGCATATTGCATGCAGGAATTATTGAGAAGCATGACGGTTGCCAGCGCATTTCGTGTCATGTGCATTGCGGAGCTTGAAAGTGCGTTTCTTGGGCCCGGCGACTACACTTTACCCAGGAACCGTCATCAAAAACATTGAAGGAGAGAATTGGTCTTGCAAGTGCCGCGTAGCATATCCCAGACTCATTCCAACCTCGACGGAAGTCTGAATCTTCTGCTCACTCGAGCGCAAGAGATCGTCGTCAAACTCGATGCGCCTATGTTGAAAGGCGACAATAATAGACGAACCGCCAAACTGAAAGATGCCCAACTCGTATCTCTTGTTGATCTTTGTCCCGGCGCTGTGGTACTTTTTGTGAATGCTAAAAACAGTCAGCAGCGGCTTCAAATCATATTTTCACTCGCAGGCCCGTTGACGTACTGCACGCTTCCAAGTTCCCACGTCCGTCGCACCAACGGCCGTAAACAGGACATTTCCAAACTCTCTTGTTTCGGTGACGACGTGATCCCTTCGGTTGCGCGTCAGATTATCCACCTTGCTCTGCAGTGCTACAGGGTCGACCTGGTAGCAGTCTCCCGGCAAGCTCTGGTACGTCTTCACCTCACCCTGGACGGGGGAGTGGTATCGATGGTAGTCGGGCATTCCTCCCCCTTTGACCGCCGTCGACGGGCTTTAAAGGCTGTGGCAGGCGGCAGCCTTTCATGAACTGCATACAGTCCATCGCCATGACACTCATGGCGTACCACGCACGACGTGGTTAAGTGGCTGAGTGCGTGTAGAGATGTTGAAGTAAAGAGAGGAAGAGGGCCAGGTTCCGATGTCGACGTCCATTGGCGCTGGTCTCGACGATGGAGACTGGGAGCTTCAAAGGTTGATGCATCAAAACATTGAAGCGACATGGATTCGCGACTGTGTAGGTGTCTCGGTTCCAAGTGCCATTGACATAGGATCATGCTTTACTCCCCTAGTAGGTCATGCGTCGGCCCAGCATCTCAATCCTTCAGGGCCCACTGCAGCGGGAGCATCGGACATCAATTTCAGCTATACCGACATTCTATTCACCGTATAATAAGTAATGTTGTATGTAGATGGAATGCCACACTTAATACTCTGTTTATATTTGACAGGAAATGAGTCTTTCCATCTACCCGGTCGGTAGCCATATTAAGACACATGCAAGGGATATGCGGAAACCTGCAGGCCGGAATAGCAGGCCACATGCCAAGGGCTAGGTGCTGGTAGCATCAATTAATTCAGCCAGACAACTTAAGCTTGCTTTTACCTCTGCTGTACGTACTTCATGTATGTACTTATGTATGTACATGTAGTACCTGGGTTCAATACTGGCTGCATGTGGGCGATTTTAGCTCCCGTAGGCGCGGCTGTGGGCGCGGCACACCGCATTTATGTGCATGTGGTCAATATTTCATTTGATATTTCATAACGGCTACATATGTATACTATATTAATAGATTATGCATATCTATACTGGTATAAGTAGGGCCTTCCTTCCCTCAGGGCCCACTGGACATTCAACATTCAACCTACCAGACAGTTCAGATTTACCTTCAATCAATGTTAATATCCCACCAGACCGTTAATATCCCCCGTCGACACTTTCATCGTCCACCTGTAATACTAGACCTATTAGAACCCAGGTAGGTCCCTCTGACCAGACCCCTGCATGTGCCCGACAGCTTCCAGAATCCACACCTTGTCCTTCACATGCATTCACCACCCGCACCGCCGTTGTCGCCGTTAAGCATACTTTCAGACAACACTTCTTCTGATATCATCCATCCCCTGGGCCGTGTGTGGATATATTTCGAGGAAGAAATTTTCAAAAACTACTGCAAGGACGGAGCCGGAATATACGATGGCCCCCATCTGGAGGAAATTCGAGCCATTCATCGTCAGTTGGAGGCCAACAGAAATCAGCGTCATGGCACAATGATGGACGGCTGGATTGACGAATGGGGTCCTACCTGAATCCTTCCACATTTCTCAAAAGGGAGCCGGGTGGCCTGGACAACAGTCCTGCGCACGACACTGCCCGAGGACAACTTGATTCTTGACATCAAACGAGAGAGGTTTTCTGATAAGAACTAGCGGATAGCGAAACCTCATCTCAACGGTAAATCTGACCGCACTCAATTCCCCAAGATGACGAGGCGGATGCTGTTGACGCTCACCAAGAACCATACCCCTAGGCACCGGGGAAAACGTCGAAAGAACAGTGACATAGTTGCTTTCGACGGCCCTGTTGCGAGCGGCCCTGCGCAAAGAGTAAAAGTAGCTCCAAACGGGACAGGCAATACACCCAACGTTTGCTTCTTCTGGCTCCTAATTCATCCTATGTCAGAACCGCGAGTCGTTGCTGGTAACATGCCTGCTCTATACTACAAATTTATATACCCCGAATTATTCGGGCGTGTCGGCCAGAACGCCGTCTCGTTCGGTCCTTGTAGAAGGATCGATGCGCCAGCGTGGGCGTCTCCATTTTGGGCGTACATATATACTACCTTTAAACGGGCGCTTAAATGACGCATGGGCCCCCAGACTGTGGAAATGTCGCTTCTTGTATCCGTACGGTCTTCGTCTGTCTAGGTGAAGTGAGAGAGTAGCAAGATGGCGGTGAGATGGGGGTTTGTTTTCGAGGTTGGGAAGACGGAGAACCGACGAGGATTATACTTGCCGCGAAACATAATTTACAAATCCAAGTCGTGTGTTGGTTCTCGCGGATCGCTCAAGCACATCATCCAGGTCGAGTTAGCCACCCATCTCGTGTCGACTTTGGCTACGCCAGGTTTCGCAATGGACGCTCCGGAACTCGAGACTCATTTTCTTGACAAAAATGGGCTTGTGACGCCACCTACAGGACGAGGTGCAGATGTACGGTGGCAATTGCAGCCTTTGAACTGAGATATTGAATGCAGGCCGACCGAATCTGCTGGTAAGCCATAAAATTGATTCGTCCAAGGGGCACATGGTACACATGCCTTGTTAACAAAGCTACAAGGATGAGCGATAGTCGATTTGCTCAGCTATAAGCGGCTGGAAGTGGACATGGAACATTCGCTTCCCCAGGCACACAACCCCGAGACGTCTGCACGCGAACCAGTTTGGCCCGTGCCTTTCTTGACAGGGTCGTATTCAACCGGAGGTGGCCGAGGCGGCTCGCTTTGACTCCAATGTTACTATACTTTCCCTCCCGTACGGAGTGGATAATGCGGACTGGTACTACTCCGTACACAACTAAGAAGCTGCGATTATCATCTTGTCCGTCAAGAAACGTGGGAGGGGTTGGATTGACATATAAGACATGAGCGCGGCACCATCTCAATGTTGAGGGGCAGCTGTCCTGGAATAGATTGTCAATCTCTTCCAACTGGGTTGAGAGCGAAGCGCTGGGACAATCGAGTTGAAGCAGACGAGGTTTCTACACCACAGCCATCATGTTGAGGTCTCTCGGGCTCATCGGCAGCATTGCTGCTATCCTCCCGAGCGCATTGGCTTGTGGCTACGATGATTGCTATGGACCGATTGACAAGGTCGAGCACGTTCGTCACGTCAAGCGCATGCAGCCCGGCGCTCCTAATGCCACATACGGACCAAAGGCACCCCTTGAATGGGGCCAGGTCAATTTCCTCCATACCGTGAGTAGGCTGTCTCAGCTCTTGATTGTACGAACGTCAATTGACACCAAGTAGACCGATACCCACGGCTGGCTTCAAGGCCATTTGAAGGAGCAAAACTACGGCGCTGACTGGGGCGACTTTGTCACTTTTAGCCGTCGCATGAAGCAGACTGCCGGGAATTTGGGCGTCGACCTGCTGCTTGTTGACACTGGTGACCTGCACGATGGCACTGGACTTTCGGATGCTACAAAAGAGGATGGCACCAAGTCGATGCCCATCTTCAACGAAATCGAGTATGACTTGTTGACAATCGGTAAGCATCCCACGGCATATCCTCGTCAAAAATTGCAAAATCTCGAACCTGGGCTAAACCATACAAAGGCAATCACGAGCTCTACGTCAGCGAGGTCGCCTACCAGATGTTCAATGACTACTCCAAGAAATGGGGAGACCGATATGTCACGTCCAACGTCAAAGTTCTCAACCATAAGACCGGCGAATATGAATATGTGGGAGCCACCCATCGTTACTTCACTACCCCCAACGGGTTGCGTGTCATGGCTTTCGGTGTTCTTTTTGACTTTACTGGTACGTCCATCTCCTACATTGCCGACTTGGAACCAGGGAATTAATCCATGCTTGTTGTTGCCATGTAGGAAACTCCAACGCCTCACAAGTCATCAAAGCCAATGACATGGTAAAGGAAAGCTGGTTCACAGAGGCCCTTGCTAGCAAGAAGCAGGTCGACTTATTCGTCCTCTTTGGCCACAATCCCGTTCGCGCTACGGACAAGTACAGCACATTCAAGGTCGTATTCGACGCCATCCGCGCTTCTCATCCCCAGACCCCCGTCCAACTACTCGGTGGACACACTCATATTCGAGACTTTGCCGTCTACGACGACAACGCCGTGGGCATTGAGTCTGGCAGGTTCTGCGAGACACTAGGCTGGATGTCCATCTCTGGATTCGACCCATCCAACAGCGGATTTCACGGAGTCAGGCACCCTCAAGGTGTGCCCAACCCTACTCGGCCTGCCAGAGACGGTGCCAAATCGCCGTTTGTCTATTCCAGACGGTACTTGGACTGGAATCGAAAAACATTCCTCTACCACTCCAAGCAAACTGAGAAGACGTACGACTATCACTCTGGTCTGCGTGTTACCGGCGACATTACCAGGGATCGTGAGGAGCTCAAGCTTGGCCAGGTGTACGGATGTGCTCCACAGGACTATTGCATCGACTGCGCGCCCTTCACGGATGACAAGAAGAACATCTTCCCCGGTGTCATTCACCCTGCCGTCTCGGCCATCGTCTTGAACGAGACCCGCAAGGACAAGTCTCGTATTATTCTGGGCAACACCGGCGCTATCAGGTTCGACCTGCACAAGGGACCTTTCACGTATGATGACAACTTCATTGTGTCACCATTTAGAGATGTATTTTTTTACATTGCGGATGTTCCTTTTGACAAGGCATCCAAGGTGATTGGCCAGTACGTTTCATTGTCCCTCCAAAGAGTCGACTCGGAGGTCAAGAGAGATGGCTTTGTGCTAATTTACTTGCAGGCTCAACAATGGCGTAGTCGACAAGCGTTTTGCCTCCACGCGCATCCCAAGCGATGAATGCACCAACCCAACACTCGGCCACATGAGCCGTCGCGATATGCGTGAACCTCGAGGGATTGTTCGCCGCCAGGACGCCGTTGTTCCCGGCTACACCACCGAGGATGACTGGGGCACCGACGGTACGTTTCTCCTTTGTCGGTCGAGTCTTTGGCGCCGGTTGCTAATATACAGAGCAGGTGATGATACCCAGCACTCCGATGTTCCTAGCTTCAGTATCCCCGGGTACTGGGAGGCTCGCGCGTCATTTCCCAAGGACGGCAGCAACCCTGACAAAGTTGATCTCATCTTCTTCGATTTGTACGTGGCCAAGCATTGCGATTTGCATTTTGCCGTGTGCTAACTGTATGATAGTATTCAGAGCCATGTGCTTGCAGACCTCGGTGCAGGTTTTACAGCTGATATGGTCCATTGCTACATCAACTGTACTTTTACGTCTCAGGATTTCATGTTGCCGTATGCCAAGCTTGCATGGCAGGAGAATGTAGATAACTGCCCTATCTGAGTGACGCGATTTCTTGATATGGGTTAGCTGGTAGGGGAAACAGGAGTATAAAATCTCGCGAGTTGTGATGCGGGCGTGGCGAGCATAGGCGTACGTGAGGCGTTACACTCGAAATGACACTAGGTTTGATGTAAAACCCCATTTTCTCACTTCATTTGATCCGCACCCCCAGTAAAAATTGCCATGTTGGGTACATCTAGTAGTATACGTCGCCCTTCATCAGGACCCTCGCCGTGCGCAACAACTTGGCCGACAAGATCTTGCCGTCCTCCACCTCAGTGCCCACGTCGAGCTTGCCGCTCGGGTGCGCAATAGTCACGGCGTCGTCTCTCATCCCGCCCGGTCTCGCGGCAACCAAATCCGCAGCTAGAGTGCCGGGAATCCGCGCCGACGCCCCCAGGCACAGCGCCAAGGTCAACGGCACGGCCTTGTGCGCCTGGCCCATGGACATGGCGACGCATCGAATGTCGACGCCGTCCGGGGTATCGCCCCCGGGGAAGAGGAGGACGATCTTGGGCACGCTCTCGACGTCGGGGTCAAGGCCCATCTTGGCCGCCCCGGCGCGCCGAATCTGCTCCAGGCGCGCCTTGAGCGCGGCATCCGCCTCGATCGCCGCGGGCGTGAGCGCCGACGCGGCGGCCCGGTCGAGCCCCAGGCCGTGGGTGGACACGAAGACGCCCGGGTTGCCCACGTCCACCAGCGACGCGCGCACCCGGCTCCCACCCGGCAGCCGCAGCGTGTCGACAGGCGCGCCGGTGGGCAGCGCCCTGCCCGTCTTGGCGCCGGCCGGGTCCACGAAGCTCAAGGTGACGACGGACCCGGCGCCCGGCACGCCGTCCATGACGTACTCGCCCTCGGGGGCGTACCTGGCCGGGGAGCCGGACACTCGGAAGCGCGAGACGACGAGCTTGGACGTGTTGGTGTTGAAGACGCGCACCGTGGCCCAGCGGCGGCCGCGGCGGTCCGTCTCGACGGGGGCCGACACGGTGTCGGGCCCGACGAGGCCCTGGTCCCAGGCCGCGGGGCCGACGATGGCCGACATGTTGCCGCAGTTGCCGGCCTTGTCGAGCGCGCCGTCGCGGATCCCGACCTGCACAAAGGTATAGTCGACGTCGGCGCCGGCGCGGGACGGCGCGCCGAGCACGACCACCTTGGACGTGGACGACTGCCCGGAGCCCATGCCGTTCAGCTGGCGGCCAAAGTCGGGGTCGGGGGACCCCATGGCGGAGGGGAGGACGGAAGGCCACTCGTCCTCCGGGGGCAGGTCTTGGCGGCGGATGACGAGGCCGTTGGACGTGCCGCCGCGGACGAACCACGCGGGGAAGCTGCGGTGAGAAAATGAGGCGCTGGGAGCTGTTTGGCGCCAGGGCCTGCGGCTGCGCGGGGAGGTCGCCGGGGGCCGCGCTCTACAGAGAGTGCGCAGAGCGCGCATGTCGGAAGGCGGCATGGTTCTGGTACGCGGGTATCGCGACTCGCGAGGTTCGGCCGGAGCTTGAGGTTGAAGTTGAGGTTCGGCCGGGTGTCGGCCATGGATGGAGCCGAAGTGGGCCGCGGGTGTCGGAACCGAGTCGGTGTACGGAGTATGTGTCCGGTCACGGAGTCACGGGTGTCTAGCCTGTCGTCGCCAAACGGTAGCGTGTTCTACTATCAATGCTATGCTTTGGTGCAATAGTGCAACGATGGGTACTGCTAATGCGTAGAAGAGTATAGCCTGCCTCGGACAATTGGGTCCGTCTGCGGCGAATACAGCGAGTCATGAGTTGCGTGACGGATATTGCCCAGACGACTGGCGCCGCGGATTATTCCGCATGTCCCGGGTCACATTTATGCCGCTGCTCCGGGACACTAAGATGCGAAACGCGTGAGACGAGATGACGCTGGCATTTGGGTGAAGCACATGGAAGTTTTGACGCTTTGTGTCGCCTCTCACGCGCTGCAGTTGTGCTATTTCCAGATGAAAGAAGACAAAGATGGTGACTCGGCGCACACTTTACTTTCACGATTGGTCTAAGTACCTAGGTAGTTGATGCAGGGCATCCACAGGCAATAAAGGCCTGTAAAATTAGGGGGGGAATACATACCTAGGTAGATACTACGGAGTAACTACTCCATTAGTACCAAGTACCTAAGTACGTAACAACATGGTTACAGTGGGTGTATATTCCTAGTTCACTGGTAACCCTGTAATTTTACATTTCTTATGCAGACCAAGTGTGTAAAATTAGGGGCCCGCAGGCACAGCCTTATCAATTGATTTCAAATGTATTTCTCACACAGGACGCGGGCGCTCAAAGTGAGACATGTGCATGCAAGATATGCTTCATTCGTCGCCAATGCTCTGTTTTCGAGTTTCTCATGCAGGACTCGACCGCTGGGCGACGGATGCTGGTCAAATCAAGAAATGATGAAGGAAGGATGTCCACTCATCCGTCAATCACACACAGCCACCGACAAATTCATGCACGCTCTGTACAGAGTACATGCCCGCGAGCCCAAGACAGTCTCTAATTGAAATGAAACGCCATTAAGTCGAGCCAAGCTCTGCAGCAGACTAGTCACTTTGGTTCCGTGACAATCGACAAGATGCACGCTGCTCACGCGCTGTTGGTCAGCCCAGCAGCGCTTTCACGGCTGAGACACACACACACACACACACACAAAAAAAGACTCACTCACCATTCACTCACAGCTTACTGCTCACCATTCACCGCTTACTACTCCGTATTCACTGCTCACTGCTCACAGCCCACAGCTCACCACTCACCACTCACCACTCACCATGCGCCGCAGACGCCGAAACAAACCAGACACCCGCCTACCGCAGATGCAGCTACCATGGCACAAACACCCGACATTATACATACAAGGCGTTGCGCCAAAAATATACCCAGCAAGTCAGGTCACTTTTGACCCTTCTATTGCCATCGTAGAAGCCCATTCGCGCTTACTGTACCGAGTATTCAACTACCGCCTGCCCTTTCTGCCGAGAACAGAAAGTACTTATACAGACCAAGTTGTACATACTACTAGTATTTACCCCTACAACTAATATATACGAGACCGCATGTAGCCTGGTGTCAAATGCCGTCTGGTGCAACCCCCACATCACATGGTCGCCCCGCCGCAAGAGTCGTCAATGGGCCTCCAAAAAATCATCCAAATGTCCACTTCCCTCCATTCTCCTGTTTCATCACCTCGTCCACGCCCACAATGGTTGGTCCTCAGCTTCCACGAACCGACCCATCGTCGCATTGTTCACAAGCCCACGCCGCTCAACAGCCTTTTCACTCGCGCACAATGCTGTCCCATGTGCCAGCATGTGGTCTCTCGTCGCCCCCTTACCCATGAATGGGACGCCAAGAAGCTCAATCGGCCAAAAGCCGGATCTGCACCATGTGTACCGAGTATTCAACAAGGAAGCGCCGACGACTGCTTATTGTACAAATACGCCACGGCCTGCCTTCTTCTTTGATGTCGTCGCGTTTGAACCCTCACGCCGCCACGCCCTCCTGTCTCGTCCTTGTTTCGCGCCGTTTCTTGTTTTCTGACAACTGCAGCTTTTTGTTCAGTCTCATCGTCAAGTAGGCTTCGCTTTGCATATATACAGGACTTGAAATCCCACCAGACCCCTTCTCGGGAACCGTTCACTCTCCTTCTCTTCTTTTTACGCTCTTCCATCTTCCCAAATCCTACCCGACACTCTCTCTATATAATATACTCTTGAAAAACTTCAGCCCACGATGCGTTTCTCGGCTCCCGTCATCATGGCCCTGGCGGCCCTGGCCAACGCGGCCACCGAGGAGCCTGCCAAAATCAGCGCCGAAACCCTCACCAAGATGATGCCCAACCAAACGTGCGAAGGCAAGAGCGACGACTGCCGCACTCCCGCGCAGGCCGCTCCCTTCATCGAGAAGTCCATGGCCCGCTACCGCATCAACAACACCAACGAGATAGCCGCCATCGTATCCCTCATGGCCTTGGAGTCTGGCAACTTCACCTTCAAGCACAACGTGTTCCCCGGCCGGAAGGGACAGGGCACCGCCAACATGCAGATGGCCGAGTTCAACTTGGAGTATGCCAAGTCCATCCCCTGCCTCCAGGGCAAGGTTGCCAACATTACCACCGTCAACAACGCCACCAACGCCACCTTGGACTACATCTTGTCCCTGGTTACCGTCGACAAGTACAACTTTGGCAGCGCCGCGTGGTTCTACACCACCAAGTGCCTGCCCGATTCCAGAACCGGCCTGCAGAAGAATATCACCGAAGGCTTCGCGACGTACATGAAGTGCGTCGGCGTCGACCCCGCTGGAGAAAGGACGACCTACTTGCAACGGGCCATGGCCGCCTTTGGCTTGTCTTGAGAGCCGGTTGCTGGATACACGGTGCTTGTTTTGGTGGACCGAGCATTCGGGCCGGATCTGAATATTTGGTAGCCGAAGCGTTGGTGACGTTGACAGCGAGCTGGCGTTAAGAGGCACGGAAATTGGAATACAAGTTTTCATCTTTTAACAGCTAGGAATGAAATCTATATTTCTAGTCCCCAACGTACAATATCCGATGAGGCTCAAAGTGCGTATCTCGTAAATTGTGGGCTTCACTCGACATACATACCTAGGTACATATGCCGCGTCCCATGAAACCCAACCAACCTTTCCGTCTCATCAGTAGTACAACAATGTGCCGAACCCTGCTTCCCATGCTCCCACGTAGCACATACCAGTATCCTGAGTAGCCTTCCGCCCAGCCCAGCTTCACTTCCAGAACCTCCTCATGACGCCATCAGCATACTCCCTATCCAGGCCCCAATTGTCCACGGCATCCTCGATGCCCCTCTCCATCCTCGCGACGTACTCGTCCCTGGGCACGCTCTCCCGCACCCGGCTCTTATCCACGTACACCAACGCCCTGACGGGCTCGTCCAACACCCTGCCCTGCGCGTCCCTCACCCAGCGCGCGTCGCACGTCACCTTCTCGTACGCCCACGGCACGCCCTCGCACGCGTCGAGCCGCTCCTCGTCCTGCGGCGGCAGCAGGTACAAGAGCCCGTACACGCCGCAGCTGCCGCCGCCCGACGCCGCCCTCACGACGTTGGCGTAGCCCCTCTCGTTGACGAGCCACGTCCACCCGTCGAGGCGTCCCAGCCCTATGGGCGTCGAGTACGGGCAGCGCTGCCGCATCTGCGCCGTCGACAGGTTGCTCCCGTACGCAAAGTACAGTATCTCGTGCCGGTCTTCGGGGGTGACTGTCATCACGCTGTCCTGCGACAGCTGGCTGTCTTCCCGTTTGGGCGGCATTCCGCGCCGTGTGGTGGTGGTGTTTTTTTTATTTTTCGGCCGACGTGAAATTCAGGGTGGTTGTGCTATGCCGCCACCAGGGGGGGCCTAGGTTTGAGGCTCGGCGGCTGCCGACTTGCCAAGCGCCGGACACGAGACGTGGGGACTGGACTGTTCAGTGTTGTCTGGTACGCAGACAGCCGGACGGGGGTCCTGCGGGAAAAGGGAAATTGCTTTGATCCTTAATGACTAGTATTTGGTGAGCAAGGCTGGTGGTAGTAATATCAACCGGATGCGGAGTGCAATGTACTGTACATACCTAAGTACCTAGGTAGGTAAAGTATGTATATATATTGGCCCCCGGTTGCTGGGTTTGACTTGACGACGGCGGCGCGAGGAGAAGGGGGAAAGGAAGCGGCCTGACGAGCCCCGAGTTTAAATCATGACAGCCCAAAGGGCCAAAGTGAGGCTCACCAGACATGTGCACATGCAGGCCAGGCGCTAGGCAAGCCATCCAAGGCAGCAGACAGCTGGCCGCCGCGCCGATGGGCCACAAAATACCAATTAGTCGTTCCGGCGTGTCATAAAGTCATAAGGGCAGTGCAGTGCCCAAAGTGGATAAACTCGAGCCAAGGCAACGACTCGACATTTCACACACCACCCAGCGTCGAGCATCATTCAATCCAGACTATTGCGAAATCGAAATGCACATGTTTGTATGTACGCCCAGTAGGCTCCCCGGGCATTGAGCATAAGGCTAGGCACATTAGTTACTACGACACGGCTTGAACCCAGTCAGTTCTTGGTCGAGTCGTTGATTCATTCGCTGTTTATTCCTATTATACAAACTCTTGATATCATGAGCCAACCACCCCCCCCACCCCCCTCCCCTTCTTCCTTTTCCCTCATTAGCTATGTGTATCAAAAAACACAAAACGCCTTGCCAGACATGTCGCATGCGTCTTCAAAATGCTCCTGTAATCTCAAAATCCATGCGTCCACTTTGCCGTTCCTCCAAGATCTTTTGTATTCTATCAAACCAAACGGAAGACAGGAAAAAAAAAAAAAGACACGCGCTATGGTACCTGCCCAAGTCGGCCAATGTAAATAGTAATAAGACAATTGAGAAGTGGCAAACTGCCAGGAATTGTCGTCTAGGTCATGTGCGAGAGAAACGGACTGAGCATGAGCTCGTCAGCACTGGGTCGCAAGTCGTGATTGAGCTCGAAGGTCTGGCGAAGGAATGCCTTGGCCTCCTCGCTAGCGTGCTCGGGGATTGTCGGGGACGCTGTTCCGCCTCCAATCTTGAAAATGGCCTGCAGCTGACTGCAGTCGGGGAAAGGGTGGTTGCCCGTCATCATTTCTACAACAAGGCAGCCGAGTGACCAGATGTCAGCCTTGAGCGTATACTCTGTCTGCTTGACAACCTCGGGCGCCATCCAGAATACGGATCCCTGCAGCGATGGCCGGTGTCGATTGTTCTTGGCATTGCCCAGGATGTTGGACTGCTCTAGCTTCTTGGAAATGCCGAAATCCGATATCTTGATGGTGCCTTTGTTGTCCACCAGGATGTTCGCGCCCTTGATGTCGCGGTGAATAATGTCTCGGCCGTGGAGATACGACAAGCCCATCAAGATTTGGCGAACAAAACTGCGCACCAGGGGCTCGGGCAAGGCTCCGTATGAATTCAGCATCGTCTGAACGGAGCCGCCTGGGACGTACTCGAGGAAAATGTTAAGATGGTCCGACGACGAGCTGCAGCCGAGGTACTGCACAATGTTGGGGTGGCGCAAGTCACGAAGCAAGTTCATCTCGCGGTTGAGCGCCTCAATCATGCTCCTCTTACGAGTCTCGCTCTGTCCAGTTGCTCCCGGGGCAGGCATCTGGACTTGCTTCACAGCAAGGAGTTCACCAGTCACGGCATGGAGGGCCAGATAAACCGATCCAAATGAGCCCTTGCCGATGAGAGCTCCCTTCATCCACTGATTGTCATCCCACGAGTCCCCAGACAGAAAGCTTTCCAGCTCCTCGTCAAGTTCATCGCCGTCATTTGAAAGAGCCTGCCGAATAGACTCATTAAAGGAGCCAGACCCCGTAGATCCGTCACCTTCATAATAACTCGTAATGGCAGTGTTGCCATCAGGGTCGGTGACGCTGACGGCAGTGGAATCGACAGCAGTATCGTCTCCACTCTCGGTGAAGGATACATACGACTTTCGGTCCGGCTCCATGGGTGATTCCTCCTGGAGGGTGTCCAAGGTGGACGAGGCAAAAGAATCTCTATTGTAGATGCCGGGGATCCGTCCGTGGGAGTCGCGTGTTCGGATCTTGGCAACGTGAGCAGCACCGCTTAGCCACGAGTCGGCAATTGTCGGGATCGGAGGGGCATCTTGCACGCTCGAGGCCAAGCTGATGCTACTTGCAACACTAAGACGACTGTTGACCTTGCTCAGCCTGGTCGACCGCCTCATGGAAAGACGAGCAGTCCGGTCAATGTCCTCCCGGCGGTGATCAGGAAAGTACGAGGTCAAATCAGAGGCGATGAGTTCACTGGGAGGTCGAAGTCCACCAAACTGACGAAGGCCATCCTTGCGACGCTGTGCAGCTCGCGCATCGTCAGCTAGAGGGGTCCTGTCCGCATCTCTGTGAATCTCGTGGGGAAGGGATCGATCTTGGTGCTGGAAGAATACGGGGGATAAAGGCTGTTGTAACTGGTCGTCCCAGTTTTCCCCCAGAAGTTTCTGGACCTTGAGCTGGCTTCTCTTGTCTACTGATTCGATAGCCTTGGTATGCTTTTGCTGCTCTTCCTCCATGGCAATAGCGGCAGCGCGCTGCAGCTCCGACTCACCGGGCTCGCCAGCAGGCACTCGTCGTAGAATCAAGCGATTGCGCTCAGGTCGGCGCTGGTCCTTGATGATGCGCCACAACTCGGTATCGCCTAGCCGTCTACACTGAGTAGGATCGGGGTCAATGCCCGTCAGGACCCAGAAGCAATAGTTGCGCTCGTGATCTTCGCGGAGGGCAAACTTTCGAAGGGTAACGCGCATGACGTCTTCGCAAGTGTTGCAATCAGCAATCTTGACCACTTTGGTAACGCCGCCGGTAGAAATGACGCGGATAACATCTTGGCCCTGGGGCAACGCAGCCATCAGCGAGCCATCCATGCTGGAATTGTTTCTGGTGTGGGTAGGTACCAAGCGGGAAGTGGGAAGGTCCGAAGTCGATGCTTGGGGCCTTGAAGGCTGGCTCTGGCCAACGCTGCTGACGTAGCCTACACCAGCAGGGAATCGAGCATGCCGAGCTATGGGTGGTTTGCAGTCAGTCGGTGGGCTTGTTGGCTCATAGAGAGCGTCATCCGTCAGTCATGCTTTGTCAACTCACCAGTTTCCAAGGGAGCGGGCACATCAATCTGCCGCGAGTATCGTCGGTTGATAGATGAGGGAGCGGAGGAGCGAGGCAACGACGAGGTCTGGGCAGCAATGCTGGTGGAAGGGAAAGAAGCGTAGGCATCGAGACCGGAGAACGAGTCCTGTAAAGAAAGAAAAAAGAAGAGGGGATTGTCAGCCAGCTGGCAAAGCCGCGGCAGGCGTTTGCTTGTTTCCTTCACTTTCAACTCACCCTATTGCGCTTCTTCTGGTTCGCATATGTCTTGGTGCGCAGCTTCTTGATGCACAGGAAGAGGCGGACTCGATCGCCGACCTTGTCAATTCCCATCTCCTTCAACACTTCCTTGTCCATTTCCAAAAGATTCTCTCCATTGATGTGATTCTTGCGGAAAATCTTCTCGTAGTCCCCGCACTTGACGCTTCGGAGATATTCGCACACGTGGTCCTCGTCCCAGTGCTTCACGGAATCAGCACCGTCGGTCTCGGAGAACTCAGACTCGGTTGGGCTGGCGTAGTTCTGGGCGCTACTCGACATGGCGGGCAGTCTTCTCGAGGTGGGCAAGGCAGATTGCAGGTTGGAGCCGGGAGCAAGATTCGAGGTGCTGAGGGCGGCCGGGAAAGGCGATTTTGACGAGAGCATCGCCATGATGTAATTATTAATGCGTAAATTAAGGAGCAGCAGGGCGGGCGGGCGGTGGTAAAATACTAGATGTGTTCCGAGTGCGTGTCGATGGTTGTGCGGCCCGTCGAGCGGCGACGGCGACGTTCACGTTCACGTTCGTGGGGATGATGGCCTCAAAGACGGCGGCGGGTAACTCCACGTCGAGTCGACTGGTCCGTTGTTGCGTCTGCCCAAGCTTCTGTGCCGGCAGAGACTCGGAAACAGTGCGCACAACAGCAGATGTCTTCCCAGCACGACAAGTCGACGACTTGAAGGTGCCTGGCGATATATAACCGACTTCAGGAGGCGGTCGTCAGCACTCGAGGACGGAGCGGTTGACCTGGGCAGTCTAGTCTAGATGAGGGCGAGTGGGAGGGGGGCTCTAGCTGAATAATATTGTATTTGAAAGGACGGTGCTGCTGGAGGCGGGAAAACGGGGGTGGGCGACGGCCGACCGGGGGGGCTCCAGTCTTCTGTCGCCAGCGTTGCCCTCTTTGTCCATGTCCATGTCACTTTTCAATGTTGGTGTTTGTGACGGCAAGTGCAGCGCTGACATCAACTGATCGCCCGACCTGGAGTGACTGGAGTGACTGGAGCGCCTGAGGCGCCTGAGGAGCCTGAGGAGCCTGAGAGTCTGCTAGCCTGGCAAGCCTGGTCCACTCAGCGCTCCGGCTCATGCAGCCACGATGCTCAGATGGCCAAGAGTGCAGAGCAGCAAACATGATGCAAAACACCATGCGACAGGGGTCTGTTCCAGCAGAAAGGGTCCCGGTGTCGAGCAATTCGATTGCAGGGCCGCGCCCGAGCCCCCCGACGGGGTGGAGGCCGATAGGCGTCTGAGTGCATGTGCTGCGCGAAGTCTGGCCAGTCCTCGACGGCTCCTTGGGGGCGGCCGACAACCACGAGACACCAGGTCCGGCCCTGAAGCTCTCCATCCCTGCAATTTCACCGCTCAAGCTGCCCTGCCTGCCCTGCCTGGGCCTCCACAACCCCTGTCGCAGATGTATCAGTGGCGGCAGCTCAGACATGGAACATTGAAGCCATCGCCGTGGGCTGGCGGCAAAGTTGAAACTCGCCAGCGCGAACGGGCACCACGGCAAGACTCCAGACCTGGAATCACCTTATCATCATCATCTCTTGCCCAAAAACACGCATACATGTACAAACAAGATTTTTTCCCTCTCCGGTTAGATGAATCTTTGTGGCGTGTCGGAAGACGGTGGACAGCCAGACTCGTTCGTGCGTGGCTGCAAGCTAAAAATGTCCACGGCAACTCGGCTGAGATCTCATCGTGGCTTTCGGCTACATACATGCTTCAACCCACGCATCTCGTTACAGGTCACCAGCAAATGTCGGTGAAAAACTCCCTGTGCACATAGAATGCAAAATCTGACAGGCAACGCCATGACAGGTATCAGGCGTCTCCAGCTCAATACAACCACCTCGGCTCTCCGCGCAGCCCTTTGGCCCAGACATCCTGTTGTCGCATCCGAGCCATGCACAATGCTCATCACCATGGTTGCAATGCGCAACATCAATCCTGATGTACGGAGTACCGCCGTTATGGAATCACTGATACATATATTACGGTGCGGACCCGTTGTTCTTTGCCAGCCTGTCATTGCAATACATATGCCATCGCCCAGAGAAGGGCGCATGACGCATGAACAGCAATATCAACCTGGGCTGGTCACTTGATCCTCCACCACCAAATTGAACTCCCATCCGGCCTTGGGGATGCGCAAGCCTCGATTAGGCCAGTTTCATGAGAAGAAAAAAAGACTGCCAACTTAAATTTTGACAATACCACCGCCCATGGTTCATGCAACGTCCAAACGTCTTGCTTGGCTGCTTGGGTGCTCGTGACGCTCGTGCATTCAACAGACTTCATTTTGCCTTTACCAACCCCGGATTCGAGCAAGCTCTCCGCTTTTGGCTGCTCAGGATACAATGCCAAGGCAAAAAACAGAAGCCGCAGTGACGTGGTTGTGCCGGGAGGACCCTTGCTTGGGCTGACTGCCGTATCTGGCTCGCGAGAGAGCAATTTCAGATGAAGATACAATACGAAGGCGCTCCGTAATGCTTAAAGTGCACGAGGCTAGCCTGTGGCCATGGCCCTGCTTCAAGAAGACCGGGGTATGGCTGTTCTAAGAATAAACAACAGCCGTTCGCATCGCCAGCCTTCTCGTGGCAGTTCCCCCGGTAATGGTCACAGATGCCATGCCATGCCACACTCGTATGGGCGGTCTGTTGTACATACATACATACATACTCTGGTCTTGCGAAATAAACAGTCAATGTCATGCGGCATCACCACGCCCTCAAGCACACACAGACACGAGACGCCTCAAGTTCTGTTTCTTTGTCCAGAGGCACAGCCACTTGGTCCTGTCGCTTTGATTGCTGACATGGCCCTCTTCCCCCTCCTTTCTGACGCCTGCAGGATACCCAGGAAACTCAGCAAGTCATTGGCAACCAGTCGTTCGCAATGTGACACCATTCTTGACTGTTTTCATTTTTTCCCCTCCCCTTTGCCCCTCACCCGTGTGTGTCTGTCGACTGAGAGGATTCTTGCTCAAACTTTCGCGAAGCTGCCTTCTGCACATGGCAAAAAGGACCACCACGTTGGAAGCGCCCCACTATTATGTAGTGTCAAGACCCCTGTCCCCGCTTAAAAAGCGCCTGCCCCGCTCCGCGAGCCCGATCAGGGGCAGCTCTGCGCATGATTGGCTGCTAGCTCGGATAACATGAAACCAGCAGCGTTTCGGCATCGGGCTCATGTGGGCAGGCTGACCGAGGCTGAGGCGGTCACGGGTGACAGTTCGGACTGGTTGGTTGCTGGTGGGAGGAAGTTTGGCACGGTAAAGTAACAGCAACTAGTTTCCGTGACTGTATGTACATATCGACTACTATCTACTCTTTGTTCACTCACTCTTTGGCCTAGTTGAGATGGAGTCGTGATCCAAACACCATCGAGAACACCCCGTCGCCGCCTCAGGCCATACTCGTCTGTTACGTCCCATTGAACTTTAAAAGTAAACTTTTATTGCCTGAAACTGAAGATATTCGGATGGTTAGAATAGCCTCTGTCTGGGCAAAGTCTCCATTCACGAGACAACTTTATGCTTGAGCCGCAATATTTTATTTTTTTTCCTTTTTTTTTTTCGGAACTTACCCTGGTCTAGTTATGGTGGGCGTGACGTGAGTGGCGGTTATCGCTTCTCTTCTCAAATCACAGTTTGCGACGGAATATATTTGTCCATCAAGGAAGTATGTATGTACAGACTGATATACTGTGGTATATTGCAGCATGGAACACGATGGCCAGAGATGCCCGATTTAGTCAAATACCTTTCGCCTCTCACTGCACTCCACATAACTTACTTATACTACCCTCGCCAAAACCGCCTATTTGGAAACGGCAGTCCTTCCAAATTCCAACCTGGGCATGTAATTTTTTCTTGGACCCGTGTACGAAGACCGTTCTGGGCCTTTTTCCTAATGTTTTGTTTCCCGGCTGCCTAAACAGTCAGCGCCGGCGTCTCGCATGCACACACAGACACACTGCCCTCGTGAGGGGAGGGCGTCGATATTTTCCCTCGTCAAACACGTTAAAACTTTGTTTCCTAACCACCCGTGAACATCTGCATCTGCATCGGTGGCAGTTCCGGCAAGACGCCCTGGAAATCAAACTTTTCCGAGAACGGCCCTGGCCACCCGGCGAGCTAGTACCATGAATGTGCCGCACAGTTCGCGAGCTGCTTGGCGCCGTGTTTCAAGATCTCCCACTCAGGGCAGCCGAGCAACGTCAACATTTACGCCGACGGTCAATCCCGCCCGGCGGTTGTCCTTTTGCAGCGGCCATGGCTTTTGGCCTTTTTCTTTTTTTTTTCCCTCGTCGTTGTTGCTGTTGATTCCAGTATCTGAAACGCGCACGGCTGGTGTGATGAGGCAATATTTCGTGGCAGGGCAGTAGTTGCAGTGGCCCATTACGTCATTGTGTGTCAAATGCCCATGTTTCTCCGGTTCTCTACCAGCCTGCTTGGTGGTTCCTATGCCTTTTGCGCCTTTCCATTTGCCATGTTCCGAAATTGGGCCTCTCATGGTCCGAATTTGGACGTTGAACAAGGCTGCTCCCGAGTCATTCCCGCTCCACCATGTCTATATTGTTGCAACCACATGAAGCAGCCGATGGGGCAACGAAATCGTGAGTGGTGTAGGGTATATCGAGACAACTGGCGCGTTGGCACATGGCTCCTTTCATTTCAGTCATCAGAGTATGGCTTCCGAAGACGGGCTGTGAGAGAAGAGAGTGGCAGGAGCACAAATGGAGCATTGAATGAGGTTTGGTCTCCCCTGGCAACTCGCGCGCATGTCAGAGATGGGCATCGTGGCAGCGTTGCAGCCGACACCGAGAATGCTACCCGTCTGATTAAATTCAGCGCCCAAAGGGGACTTGAGGGGCTCAGTCGTCGGAACAAAACCGTTTGCTCATCCGCAAACCAGCGCAGGAGAATAAGGCCCTCTGATGTCAGCATCGTTGCAGTGAATGCCATCCATGCTGTGATACAACCTGTCAAATACCACTCCAAACCGCTCCCATCCGAACATGCTCCGAGGTCATGACCATCGGCTCCACATTTTGTGTTGGTGTCGTCCCCCGCTTACGCCCTACACCGTCCAGGCGGTACCTCTCTAACGGTTCGTTCGCCGGCTTCGCCCGCCCTGTTGCTAACTTAGTACCGTCCACGCAAGGCCCACTTGACGGCTGGCATCATCCATCATCCTCCACAGAGAACGGCATCGACGTGGGCATAAAGTGTGACTCAAGACGTGTGTAGTCTTGGAAAGCTCGATTGACTTCGATTGACGTCGATTGACGGGCACCTTTGCCGTTCCAACCTTCTACCGGGACTTCCTGTCATATGTGTTTCATTTGAGCTTATGCCATAAGATCCTGGGTTTCGTCTCGTCTCAAACATCAGTCGTGGGAACCTTTGCTGTCAAGGTCCATCCATCGACCACGTCGTACCATGGCATCCCACAACAAGCCCGTGGTCAGTTTTCTGGGCCCCGTGGCCTCTTACTCGCACCAGGTAGGTTTCCGGGCCCAGGGCTCAACGGAAGATCGACGTTTTGCTGACTGCTTTTTTCCTACAGGCGGTTCGGCAGGTTTTCCCAGAGGACAAATGGGACTTGAGACCTGTGAATACCATAGACGGTAAGTTTTAATGCCCGAGTGTCAATAGACTGACTCGTCATTGATCCTCTCCCCCCCCGGCGATGTGATGCAAGTTGTTCTGAACCACCCCTATAGATGTCTTTGATGAAGTCCAGGATCGTCGGGTCACTGCTGGCGTAGTGCCCTTCGAGAACTCGACCAACGGATCCGTGGTCTTCACCCTGGATAACCTGGCCGACCGGAATGGCCGATACAAGGACATCACTGTCGACGGCGAAATCTTTGTCGATGTCCATCACTGCCTGCTTGGCCGCAAGAGCCCCAACGACAAGCTAGATGAAACCCACGAAGCTTCTGGAACTTGCACGCCCACTGCTACGCATCCCAGTCCACCGAAGCCAAAGTCGAAGCCCCTCACCAGTCTCAGCCATATCAAGCGGCTTTACTCGCACCCTCAAGCATTCGGACAATGCAATGCCTTCATTTCCACTTATCTCAAGGGCGTGGAGATCATCGATGTTAGCTCCACCAGCAAAGCCGCTGAGATTGTCAGTCAAGATGAAACTGGCACGTGGGCTGCCATATCCAACCACCTGGCTTTGAGTCTGTACGGTCTCGACCTGTTGGGTAAAAACATTGAAGATCGGGAGGACAACACCACTAGGTTTCTTGTCATTGGCACGAATCCCTCAGTGCCGGATGACTGGGATCTGCAAAAGCTGTCGATTGCCAAGTCGGGAAGCAAATCACTTGTCTCTTTTACTGTTCCGCATACTTCTCCTGGTGCCCTAGCCGATGTTCTTGGCTGCTTTCGGGAATTTAATCTCAACTTGACAAGTATCAACAGCCGGCCAAGTCTGTTGGCACCCTTCCAGTATATTTTTTTCGTCGAGTTTGAAGGACACAAGTATGACGATCCTGATGGTCGGGTGAGGGGGGCACTGGAGAGGATTGGCCAAGTTGCCCAGAGCTGGCGATGGCTCGGGAGCTGGGAGAGATACAGGTAGATTGGTGATAGGCTTGAACAACAACAACTACAACAACACAAAAAAAAATGGAATCATAATGCAAAGTACGGAGGTGGGTATGCTTACGAGGCAGATTCGCCTGATGATATGTTTCTGCAGGTTCCTGGCAGCTCTCGGCAGCCCGCCATTGACTTGCAGCACAGCAGCTGGCGAGAACCGTTGGCATGTGTAGACAACTGGCAAACCAAGGGAGGCCAGTATAAAGCAATCTTCTTCGATCACTCTGACTTTTGTTTCCCTCCACTCCTCTTCATCTCACATCTCTCCTTGCTTCCTTTTTGGTCGTCACAAACGCCTCACCAACTTCCCCGGTTGGTGCACATTCCTCTGGGGAACTGTCATTTCTTCGCTATCAAGATCAACAGGCATCAGCTCTATTTGGCTTTGTCATCTTTACAAAAATGGCTGTTGTTGATTTAGAGTCTAGGGAGCACAGGGACCTTCTAGATTTGATTGATAAGCTTCGTTCAAAAGGCATCAATCAGTATGTCGCGCTTCCTGAGATCGTTGTTACAGGGGATCAATCTGCAGGGAAGAGCTCAGTCCTGGAAGCCATTTCTGGCATGTCTTTTCCTACCAAGGACAACCTGTGCACTCGGTTTGCCACTGAGCTTATCCTTAGGCGATCTTCAAGTGTCGGTGTGAAGATATCAATTCTCCCAGCAGCATGTCGACCGATGCCCGAGCAAGAAAAACTGAAACGATTCCGCCCGGTGGTGGAACAAGGCAGTCTGGAGTTGTCACATGTGGTTGAACAAGCCAAGTTGGTTATGGGCATAACCCCAACCTCTAAAGCTTTCCGAAATGATATCTTGCGAGTTGAGATTTCTGGGCCCAGCCAGCCTCATTTAACAATGGTCGACCTTCCAGGGCTTTTTCAGGCCGGCAACAGCGTGCAATCCGACGAAGACTCCGAAACTGTGACTAACATTGCGCTTCGATATATGGAACAACCAAGAAGCATTATTCTTGCGGTTGTTTCTGCCAAGAGTGACATTGCGTTGCAGCAGGTTACTCGACTTGCTCGAAGGTTGGATCCGGAGGGACGTCGCACTGTTGGCCTCATTACTAAACCGGATACATTAGACGAAGGCTCAGAGAGTGAAGCGGCGTATATTCGTCTCGCCCAAAACGAAGATGTGCGATTTAAACTGGGCTGGCATGTTTTGAAGAACCGTGATTACAAGATGACGTTGAACAAGGCAACTTCACAGGAGCGCGACGATGCGGAGAGAGAATTCTTTTCCAAAGGCCCTTGGGCAGCGCTTGATCCATCTATTGTTGGCGTCAAAGCACTAAAGCCGCGTCTAAGCCATCTTCTCAAAGACGAAATACTTCTTCAACTGCCAAACTTGGTCAAGGATGTCGAGACTGGCATCAGGAAATGCAAAAGTCGGCTCATGAGACTCGGATCGGCACGAGAGAACATATTCGAACAACGCCAATATCTTGTTCATATTAGCCAGGCATTTTCTGATCTGATGAAAGCAGCAGTCGATGGATTTTATAACGATCCATTTTTCGGTAGCTCAAAGTCTGAGGAAGGTTACCAGAAACGACTTCGAGCTGTTGTTCAAGGTTTATTGATCGATTTCAAAGATAACATGAACGAATTCGGCTGCACTAGACATATAGTCGACTCTGACGACGAGTCAGACGACGAAGGCATGACTTTGAGCGGGAACAAAGTGCTTAGATCAGCCTATGTCGAGGAAGTCGGGGAACTCATGAATCGAAACCGTGGCTGTGAGCTGCCTGGAACCTTTAATCCACTCATTGTGGGTGACCTGTTTTTTGAACAGTGCAAGCCATGGGAGGATATTACCGAAATTCTTTTCAAGAAAGTTTTAGAGTCAGTCAAACGCGTCGCTCACGAAATCATCGCCCATGTCACAGTTGAGTCCACGGCCGCAAAACTGGGACGGTTCATTAGACCAGCCATTCAAGTCCTGAGCCAAGAGCTGGAAGCATCTTTCCAGAGTTTGCTTAAACCGTATCAGAAAATACATCCAATTACATACAATGAAGCGCTCACGGAGAATGTTCAAAAAGCGCAGGCCGAAAGACGTCGTCGCAAGGTAGAGGCTAGGCTTACCAAGGCATATCCTATTGAGATGTATGGAGCCCAAAGACTGACGGTGACCCGACAAGCCATCTTGGAGATCTTCACAGCTGAGGAAGACGTGAATATGAAGTTGTATGGTAGTTCCTTGGCTGTGGATTACCTGCAAGCCTACTACAATGTAGGTGTCTTTACGTATTGGATTTTGACAAACTTCACGATTGACAATTGTTTAGGTATCACTGAAGAAGTTTATTGACGACATCAGCACCCTAGGAGTAGAATGTTGCCTGATTCAAAAACTACGAAGTCTTTTTGAACCCCGAGATATTTATAAGATGAGCGACACAGAAATACAGCATCTTGCTGAAGAAGACCCTGCGACAAAGCTAGAGCGGTCGAGATTGAGGGAGAAGCTCAACATACTTGACGGATGCTTGTATGAACTCAGGGGCTGGGACAAGTTTAATCCGAACGCAAAAGGTATATGAAGGCGGTGTTAGCGCCGTCCTGCAAGGATAACCGAAATCCTGAGGACGAGGCGACAACTAACGCATAACAGGACCAAAGTCATTCAGAATGTTGACAAACAAGCTGATAAAAAAAGAACGGCTTTGCGACTGACAGCTCGGATAGCCTTGATTTGGCTTGGCGTATTTCTGGAGTGAGGTTAACAAGGTTTGGAGAAAGCAACTAAGCTTGGCATTAGTGGAGCATCTGGACAAAGACAGGGACGTTTTGGGAGGGCACAATGCGTCCTGGAGTTGCATGTGATTGGTCTATATATACTCACAGGGTTCTGGAGACGTTCAGGGGCGGCATGGGAATTCATTCTGGGTGGTAAACATTACAAGGACATTTGGATCTATTTGGAGTTGATACACTACGTATTTGTTACCCTCGGGGCTTAGGACTTGCTATGGGCGGAGGGATAGACGCATAGACGCATAGAGACGCGACGGTACGTGGACACGCCGCTACGATAGACTCGAAAAGTGAATTTGATGCTCTTCACCATGTCGTTGACCACCCAAGTCCTAACGCTCGTGATTTTGATGTTGCCAAAGTCTAGAGTCAGTGCCAAGTGGGAATGATGCACCCTAGGTATCCCAAATCTCCGCTACCTGCGGAAGTAAACTCCCGGGCGCTACGCCAAACCGATCTATTCCGGTCGTCTTCACGATCGAGCGGATGGATCGGGTCGTCGGCCATTGTGCGAGATGTCAGTACAGCCCCTCCGACTTCCGAAACCTTGCGACTACTACTAGGGCCAGACGATGTGGGGAAGCGGTGATCGCAGACTGGATCCTGCTCCACATGGGATGGGCAGAATTTGCATACTTGATGCGTTCGGAGATTTGAGAGATATGCATTTACAACAGGAGCAACACCGTCAGACCAGCTTGTAATGGCATATTATATCTGGCCTCTCCCAAGCGTCTGGTTGTTCATGCACAACGCAGCAGCAGGCCGGGTGCGTGCGCATTTTTTAAGCAAGGTTGCGGAATACGTCGGGGTGTTCCTTCCCGTCAGCGGGCGGGAAACCTTGCGTATCGACACGTGTGGAGCCTAGACATGCAGTTGTATGTACATGCGTAGATGAGCAGGTGCCATATTTTTTCGGGTGATACTGGAAGATGGCAGGTGCACTTGATCTAGAATAGATGGGAAGGACCAATCGACAGGCACCGCGTGGCCCCAGGCGATTTGAACACCCATTTCGTAATCAATACGACAACGCAAAAGGGTCAAGATTCGGCTCAACCCCAAGGACTTCTGTACCAAGTGCCTGATAAGTGCTTCAGGGCTGTCCGCCAATGTGTCTGCCGAACCACTGACGAGCCGACGCGCCCCTCCCTCCCAGAGCCTCGACCTCCCAGATGGGGCGGCCTTGCATGGAGCCTCGCTGGATCGGTTCATCGTTTTTAGCCATTGACGTTAACACGCCCCTCCTCCAACACATGGATGTGGCTTGAAGATCCAGTATTTGATGAACTTCTTTGCGTCACGACGTTTTGATACTTTGGCAGTGCGCAAAGTTTGCAGCGACGGCCCGGTACCAACTTTGCGAACCCAGTTCAGCTCGTCTTGCCCAAAGTTGGTCACGGCCGTTCTCTTAAGAACTTAGCATCCCCCGACACTGCACCCCAAAGAAATTCCTCCCTCGCTTCCTCTTTTGCACCGTGTTGTATTCACACTCAGTATTTTCAAAGACGACACCAACCTACAAAACGCAGTATGGCACCTCGACCAATTTTCACCATTACGCACCCGCGAGCCTGCTCCACGGCTTTTGAACGTGTAGGTAATCGAAGCTGTGCGCTTCAGACAGCTCCTGTCGACGGCCGAGAGTGCCAAGATGAAAAATTCCCCTCCGCATTGTCGCACTTTTTTACTAACATGATTCTAGGTCTTCATGACCCGTAGAGACGAACTGGCTAGCCAGCATGAACCATTTGGAGACGCATACTACTTCGGCCCAGAATGCGTCAGTGAGCGCTTCAAGGACGACCCTGCTCGCCGCGAAGAAAGTGGTGTATCGGATGCCACGTTCAAGAGCGTACTAGAAGGATTTGACGAGGTGGCAAGACAGGTTCGCTTTCTCTCATATGCAAATCTGTGTTCTTCCGCCGGTGTTTCTGATTTTATTGTCGTTGGTGGCGGAGCCTCAATGTAAAGAACAAGCACGCTCTACCACTCGCGCAATGCTTGGTCTGGCCATGATGCCATCCCCAGAGAGTTATTACGAGTTAATACCTCAAGTGAGGTGGAGACTTCTCAGGAGTTCCGTTTCCGATCGGGTTGATCTGGGTCTGCAATTCCAGCCTTGGATGTACAACAAGCCCATACTTTGTGTTACGTGCAGGAACGGAACGTAGTAGTGCATTTCTATATCTGCTCACCTCAGTCCGAACTTGCATCAATGGCCTAGTCCCAACCAGGGAAGATGATTTTCCTTATCTGTATGAATCTCGCATATTGCAAGATTTGACAAGATTGTTGTTGGTTGGGCCTTTGATGATTTCGAAATAAGCGAATTTAGACTTGCCGTTACGCAACCGATCTTCGAACACAATTTCCTGGGATTGATACTTACCATTGTCATCCAGGGCAAACGCGTCTTCATCAAGGACATGGCCTACTATCTCTTCCCCGCCCCCGGTGAGAAGGCCCAAATCGCAGCGTCTCTCGGCGGCGGCGAAGAACCAAATAACCCAACCGTTATTCCTTTTGATATGCTCAAACAGTTTCACTTCACATTTCTCATTCGACATCCCCGTCGCTCTGTTCCCTCCTACTGGCGATGCTGTATCCCGCCGCTGAGAGAAGTCAGTGGTTTTGATTACTTCTTGCCCAGCGAGATGGGATACGAGGAGCTTGTCAAATTTTTAGACTGGGCCATCGAAAGGGGTCTCGTTGACAAGGACCGGTTGACAGTTGTTGATGCGGACGACCTGCTTGATAACCCTGAAGTCATGATCCGCAAGTACTGCGAGAGAACGGGTCTCGCGTTTGACCCGAGCATGCTGAAGTGGAACGATGCTGATCAGGAGCATGCTAAGAAGCTGTTTGCGAAGTGGAATGGCTTTCATGATGATGCCCTCAGTAACAGGGAACTCAAGGGCAGAACCCACGCCCAGGTACGTTATGATGTAACACAAAAAAGGGACCAGGGAATGATATTTGGTCCATTAGGCTAACTATGCTTAGAAAACACTCACTGTTGAGGCCGAAAACCAAGACTGGGAAGCCAAATACGGCAAGGAGGCCCAGAAGATCATCCGCGAGACTGTTGATGCTAATATTCCCTTCTATGAGTACCTCAAACAGTATTGCATCAAAGTATAAGCGCCAGCTGGATGTAAGGCTCAAAGGAAGGAAACGAAAGAGTCATGAAAACACCAGGATGCAAGTTGTTTCTGGTATATGCCCTGGCAGAGCTTGATTTTACATATGGTACATGGATGGCCAGTAGCCTCTATCTGTTCGTACAATTAGATTCCAGCAGCGTAGGGCTGTTGGAGTCGGACACCGTCCCGAGCCTAGACACTGGCTCTTTGTTCATTTCAGGTCGCTCTGACGACTATATTTTCTTTTCCCTTGTCTCAACGAAAGTTGGGCACTACTTTCTCCCGCACATGGACGTCTTAGATTCTGCTTTAACCCGTAGTGTAGACGTAGACCTCTCTAGGCCGTAGACTCCGCCTCCTTCCCAGAAGTGTAGGCTGGTTCGTCAAATAGCGCATGATTAACATTCTTAGACCATGCATCTGCGTACTCCTTATCCTGATCATTCGCCCACCTAATAGAAACCTGAATCGGATCAGGATGACCGTCCGTAGCCGTGCTCGCAACAGCAATTTCGTTTCCGTTTCCATGACCAGCCAAAACCGCCGCCATGTCAGCAATTGAATTCGTCTTTTGCGCATTCAGCGCAGTACCCCTTTCGGCCTTGCTTCGCACAGGCTTGTAACCATTCCCCGAGGCCTTTTCCTGTGCAATTTTCTTCTTGTCTGCGGCGGTAAACTCCTGGGGCGACTTGTATCGAAACTCGTCAGTCCAGGACACCTCGTGCAGGTGCTTCAATTCGCGTAGCTTTTGGTAGACGGAACGCCCGACAGCCCCCTGGCCCTCGGGGAATTGAATCAAAGCCATGGGCGACCAGTAGTCCTTCCGCAGCTTTGCTGGCTTTGTCTTTTTGCCGTTGAAGGGCAGCTGCTTCAGTGCGTGGAACCCCTGCGCCGAAACTGTCAGTATCTATGAATTGATAGGCTCCTTTGTAGGAATGGAAATGCTGGATTGAATGGCATACGTCCAACCTCTCGTCAAAAGAGTAGATTATTTGGTCGGATCTCCGGTGTCGAAAAACCCAGATCTTTTCTCCGTGGCCTTCCGGGCCCTGGGAGCCCTTCCCTCGACCTGTGTGCACTTGCCGCAGACATGTGCGCACTATACTTGACCATTGGCCAAGCCGGGGCCGTGATGTCGTATTCATTGTGGTCGGTTGTCGTTGAAATCGGGCTTCGAGATGGCGTCTATACAATCGGGCACCCAAGGCCAAGCTTGAAAATCGACGCCTACTTGCGCGCAGTCATGTGACCTTGGAAGCCGGAAAAAGTGGTCGGGAAGCATGGGGCCCTTACTGCGTAACGGTTGGGTGTTTCAGCGGGCCATCAGGTCATGATAAGATGGCACTGTCCAATGAGAGGGACGGCACCCCGCCTATGGAGCACTAAAAACCAGGTTTCGAGTGACATCACGCAGCGTCTCCAAGCTTCTGGTGGCTTCTGGGTAGCTTTCCAGGCCATCCGAGCAGCTTCCAGCTGTTGCTCGGCTCATCTCCCGCAACAAAGAGCTCTTCCTTCTGCCGCACAATGGGCGAGTGTATCCACCACCTCCTCGAAGATATATTTCCTCCCTTGTGGCTATTGAAGTTAATTTCTCCTTCTTCATTTTTCCTTCGTACATCAAACAAATTACCCTGGAGGCTGATATCCTTGGCCCACCAGACACCACCTGGTGCCCAACTTTTATGCGTCACTGTGAACAAGAAGCCTCACATTCTTTGAACCGAGCTTCTCTGGAAAGACCAACACACCCCGCACAATAACTGTTATCACCATACACCGTTTACACATACACGACCTACAATGACTTCCCGAATGGATTTTACAGACCGCGCTCAAAAGGCTGTCGAAGACGCTATGAGCCTGGCCGAGCAGTATGGACATTCACAGCTTCTCCCAGTCCATCTTGCCGTCTCATTACTGGAACCACCAGTCGACCTCTCAAAGGACCAACAAAATGCACCCCAAAACAGCATAATCACCCTTTTTCGACAAGTCATCGAGAAGGCTCACGGTGACCCTCAACTATTCGATCGGGCCCTGAAGAAGACTCTCGTTCGACTTCCGAGTCAAGATCCCCCGCCAGAGCAGGTTTCCTTGGCTCCCTCCTTCCACGCCGTCTTAAGGAAAGCCATGGAGTTGCAAAAGGTCCAAAAAGACTCATATATTGGTGTTGACCATCTCATTACTGCCCTGGCCGACGACCCCTCAATGCAGGCACCATTGAAAGAGGCCAGCATTCCCAAGCCCAAGCTGGTTCAAGATGCTGTCCAAGCCATTCGAGGCACCAAGCGAGTGGACAGCAAGACCGCTGACACTGAACAAGAAAACGAGAACTTGGCCAAATTCACCATCGACATGACTGCCATGGCCAGAGACAAGAAAATCGATCCCGTCATTGGGCGTGAAGAGGAGATTCGACGAGTGGTTCGAATCTTATCTCGACGCACAAAGAACAACCCTGTTCTCATCGGAGAGCCTGGTGTTGGTAAGACTACTGTTGTCGAGGGGCTTGCCCAGCGAATAGTCAACCGAGATGTGCCTGACAACCTGAAGCACTGTAAACTATTGTCTCTAGATGTCGGCGCGCTTGTTGCGGGTAGCAAGTTCCGTGGCGAATTCGAGGAGCGAATGAAGGGAGTCTTGAAAGAAATTGAGGACTCTAAAGAGATGATTGTACTCTTTGTCGACGAAATCCACCTGCTCATGGGTGCCGGTTCTTCTGGCGAAGGAGGCATGGATGCTGCCAACTTGCTCAAGCCCATGCTTGCCAGAGGACAGCTTCACTGTATTGGTGCCACCACTTTGGCCGAGTACCGAAAATATGTCGAGAAGGATGCTGCTTTCGAGCGACGATTCCAGCAAGTTATGGTCAAGGAGCCTACCATTCCCGAAACGATATCAATCTTGCGAGGCCTGAAGGAAAGATACGACAGACACCACCGTGTTACAATCCTCGACAGCGCTCTTGTTGCTGCCGCCAACCTTGCAGCTCGATACCTCACTTCCAGAAGAATGCCTGACTCCGCCATCGATCTCGTCGATGAAGCTGCCGCCGCGGTCCGCGTCGCTCGCGAGTCCCAGCCAGAAATTATTGACTCCCTTGAGCGCAAGCTCAGGCAGCTCATGATTGAGATTGCGGCATTGGAGAAGGAAAAGGACGAAGCATCTCAGATTCGTCTTCAGCAGGCCAAGAAGGATGCCAAGAACGTTGAGGAGGAGTTGGAGCCTCTACGAGAAAAGTACCAAAACGAAATCAAGCGAGGCGAGGAGATCCACCAGGCTAAGCTCAAGCTCGATGAATTGGAGAAGCGGTTGGAGGATGCCATGAACATAGGAGATAATGCAAAGGCTGCCGATATCAAGTACGGTGCTATTCCTGAGCAACAAACGACCATTAAAGAGCTCGAAGCTCGCAAGGCTGCCGCAGATGCTGCTCTAAATGCTGCCGGCGGCGAAGCTGCAACGGCCATGGTCACAGACATTGTCACCGCCGATCACATCAACGAGATCGTAGCTCGTTGGACCGGTATCCCTGTCACTCGACTTCGCACTTCCGAGAAGGAGAAGCTGATCAACATGGAGAAGGTCCTTGGAAAAGTCGTCGTTGGCCAAAAGGAGGCAGTCAATTCTGTTGCCAACGCCATTCGTTTGCAACGATCTGGACTTGCCAATCCAAACCAACCTCCCAGCTTCCTCTTCTGCGGTCCCTCTGGTACCGGTAAGACATTGCTCACCAAGGCTCTTGCCGAGTTCCTTTTCGATGATCCCAAGTCTATGATTCGGTTCGACATGTCAGAGTACCAAGAGCGACACGCACTTAGCCGCATGATTGGCGCCCCCCCTGGATATGTCGGCCATGATGCTGGTGGTCAGCTTACAGAGGCTTTGCGCCGAAAGCCATTCTCGATTCTTCTCTTCGACGAGGTCGAGAAGGCTGCCAAGGAGATCTTGACTGTACTGCTCCAACTCATGGATGACGGCAGAATTACGGATGGCCAAGGCAGAGTTGTTGACGCCAAGAACTGCATAGTGGTCATGACCTCTAACTTGGGTGCTGAGTATCTCACTCGGCCCGGCACGAAAGAAGGCAGGATTGACGGTTCAACCCGCGAACTGGTCATGAGTGCTTTGCGCAACTACTTCCTTCCTGAGTTCCTGAACAGAATCAACTCAGTTGTCATCTTCAACAGACTTACACGCAAGGAGATCCGCAAGATTGTGGATCTTCGCATCACCGAAATCCAGAAACGTCTCGAGGATAACGGACGCAAGGTCAAGATTGACGTGTCTGACGAAGCTAAGGACCACCTGGGTAACGCCGGCTACTCGCCTGCATATGGTGCTCGACCTCTTGCCCGCCTGATTGAGAAGGAAGTCCTGAACAAGCTGGCTATTCTCATTCTCCGAAACAACATTCGCGACGGTGAAATTGCTAGAGTGGAGCTTATTGACGACAAGATCACGGTTTTGTCGAACCATCCTGACAGCGAGATGAGCGATGATGATGATATGATGGAGGATGAGGAAGACGCTGTCGACGAGGTGATTGGAGACGACATGGATGAAGACATCTATGATTAATTGAGCGGCCAAAATGTGGCATGAATATCTTTAACATGATGCAGGCGTTGGGAGTGGAAACTAGTGGCTGCAAAACGGCACAGCGTTGGAAAATACTATTGAATTCAATACACTGGATGGTATAGATTCTAAAATACCGTAAGGACGAAAACATGACGTCATCCATTCCTCTCATGCCCACCACGTGAATGCAATAAATCCCAATTATAGTGCTTTTGTACATGATGTATGCGTGCATATGAATATGGCCTCAAGGCAAGCCCAACAACACAGCGTCGTCTCCGGCCCATCCAAAGTCGTCCATGAACATGGTCCAGTCTACATCTTGGATAGGATCCGAGGACAAGTTTCCAGGCTGTGGCTGGCTACTGTTAGGTTGTGTACAGGGAGTGGAATTCGCACATCGACCCTCTACACGTCAAAGTTAGCAAATTCCCTTCTTTTTGTCGTCGTCCCAGACTTTGAGAGGGGGTGGGCGGGGAGCGGTGGCTGTCGCTACTCACGCATCATCTCCAGCGCCTTGTTCACCCTGTCGGTGCTGTTCTGGGCGTCTCTCAGCGCGGTGCGAAACTTGCCCAGACACCAAAAGGTGACTCCTGCGGACGCGCGGTCGGGCCTCGCGCCGGGGGCGGCACCAAAGCTCGGCACCAGGTTGCGTATGCTCCAGAAGGTCTCCATGATGATGCTCGCGCGGTGGGCGAGGTCGGCGTCGCGCACGGAGGCGCGGAGGATGGCGCCGCAAGCCTGCTGGACGAGGAGGTCGGCGTCGGGCTCGCTCATGCCCGGCGAGCAGTCGGAGTGGAGGATGGAGATGATAATGCAGGCGGCGTCGATGTTGGTCCTGATGGCCCATTGCGGGGAGTGGGTGAGGAACTGGATGCGGGTTTCGAGGTCGAGGCTGTGCGCCACGATGGAGCGGGCTGTGTTGAAGACGCGCACGGCGTGCGACTTGATCGACGGCACGGCGGTGTTGGGCGGCCATATGAAGTAGCATAGCTGGATTTCGAGCTGTGCTGCTAGCAGGCAGAAGCGGGATATGTCTGGGGAGGGTGGGTTAGCTAGGTACGGATGGCAGCAGGGCTGGCAGGGCGAGGGGGCTTGCTATCTATATAACACGTACCCGAGTCGTATTTGGTGATGAGGGGTTTGAGAGACTCGAATTCCGTCTCCCACATTGCTACCTCGGATTCGTGGACGCCGCCGTGGGCTGTTACTTGTGTAAACATGCTTGTGTGAAAGCGGTTAAGGAACCGTTGTACATCGTGCATGACTATGAGGTCGACCCATTGCGACGCATCGAGGACTGCTTTGGTCTTGGAGTCGCTGTGTTGTATGTAAGGCGGCGGAATGCCAATACCCGCGGCGGTTCTATCACCAGTGTCAGGCGCATCGTCGTGGTTGTTCGAGACGGGGGGCAAGAGAGCGAGCATACCGTTGTGAGAGCATACAGCACGCCAACCATGTGGAAGAAGCCTCTTCGTCTGTGGCGTGAAAATTCTGGCGCAGGCCGACCAAGAATTGAGAATTCTTCCCCTGGCCTGTGTGACAACCCAGTCCCAAGGCTGTGGTTGTCGCTATGCCGGCAAAGGTTGGCGATGTATCTACGACGAAGCGAACATTCGGCATCGGCCAGGTACACAGGATTAAGAGGGCATGCACGGCGTCAAAATCCAGGGCGGGGACCGACGACATTGTCCAAATGTTCTTTTCCAGGTGGTCTGTCAGCAAGGGGAAGAGGGAACGATCTCTGGCATAGCGTCGACAGGCCACATAGATGACGAGCCAGAAGAGGGTTTGGTTTGCCTCATAGCAGTCGTCTGGGTCCTTTTTGCGTAGGACCGGCACGAATCGATGAAAGTGTTGGAGATATCTGGGCGACTTTGTGTGAGCACTTGGCGCGTGGCCATGTTCAAAGGCTTGCCCCTTACAAAGCCTGTGACGGTTGCAGAAGGGGACTTACTTGGTAAAGTACCAATCGATATCTTCACCAGACACGATGTGGTTTCCTAGGATACGAGCCTCTGTCGGGCCGGTTTTCAGACGTCGCTCGGAGCTCTGGCCCGGGTGTCCCTGGCCAATTGACGATTCCGGCTGAGGTGTTGGCGTCTGTGGTGTCGTCGTGTTGATGGCGGCAGCCGACGCGGGTTTTTGCTCTGGCAGTGCTGGGATGGCGGCGCGCGGGCTTGGCGGCGTCCAGGCGGACTGGACTGCTCCATTGGTCGCGGGCTGGACGACTTGCTTGATGCTTTTCAACTCCTGCTCGAGTTGTTCTAGCTTGCTGTGATGGTGGTGGGTAAGCCAGTGTGTCATACATGATCTGTTGCAGCCGCAGGATGAAACGAAGGTGTCGCACGGCAACAATAAGCTTAAGTCAAACGTGGCTCATCAAAATGTCGGCGTACCTTCTCTTGGTGACTCTCTTGTGAGACTTGTCAACCACGCACGATAGTTGGAGTTTGGCGCACCGTTGGCAGGGCTGGCCAGAAGCTTGATTCGCTCTGCACCGCACCTTTTACACAGCCATGAGGCACCGTGTCAGCTGTTGGCCCATTGTGTGCGGCAAAGGAGAATGGCTTTGCACCGTCAAATGTTCCAGTACTAGTATAAATAAAACAGGGTGTCTCACTTTAGAATTGCGGCAATTGACGCAGGCTATGTTGCGTCTTGTTCTGTCGTCAGGTGTTGACGAAGACACATCCACCGACGGTGGCGTAGGCGACATTCTCAGTCCGCATAGGTGTACCAACCTCCCGGCGTGGGCCCTCCCTTGGTCTGATCAATGTCCTCCAAGTCGGCCTGATCAAAAATAGTCGGAAATCATGGACGCGGGCTGTAGTTGAGCCAGACCGAACAGACTGAGCGACATGGCGCGCGGCCGCCTCTCCAACTTTTCGGTCCCAGAGAGGAGGGCGGATGGGGAGGAGGAGTGACAGAAAGACTGGAGAGAAGAACAGATGGCACACGAAAATAAATAAAGAAAAATCGATAGATCCCCTGCCGATTTCCTATCTCCTTTCCAAGCAATATTGTCTTTTTGGCTGGGTACGGTTGATTTTCCAAAAGCTTAAACGTCAAAAGACAATGGTGACTTTAAATTTATCGCCGCTAAACCCGGATGAAGATCGATCGACTCATTACGAGTCCTCCTCATCAGTCACGTGGATCCTCTCCGCAAACCGCAAAATCCACATTGCCCGTGGTGTTAGTGTTCATGCACACAGGCCTTGCTCAACCTTGTTTTGTCCATGGTAATATGTATATATGCGCTGATACATGATACTCTGCCAAGACAAAGTTGAAGCCCACGTCTTACCATTCCTGAAGCATGGATTGCGAGCGCACGGATGTGCCCTTGATGACGTGGACTCTGTAACTACTAGGTACCGGGCCAACTGCAGAGTACTGGTGCTTGTTTTGTCCACTGCGCAAGTCTCGGTCAGGTTTACAACAAAGAAAAAAAATTAATTGCTGTATTCTTGCCTTCATGTTACGAATCCGAAGGACCCCCAATTTGCACATGAGAAACCTGCGCACAGTGTTTCTATCGCTTCACTTCCTCTTCTTGCTCTCCATTTGCGTCTCGCTGCTCAGGCTCCCATACCCAGAGACCGCAAATACAGCAGCCAACTTCCATAATACCCATGCGAAACCCAGCGCCACGGCTGCTGCAGTTCCAAATCCAACCAGCCAAGCCCCATCTTCCTTCAAAACTGGTACCGAGATGGGCGTCAGGATCCTGCCTCCCGTAGCAGGCTGCGGCGTGGCATGCCAAAACACCGTATTCTCGCTAAATAGCCCATCGTAACCCAGCCGAGTCCTGTCAAAGGGATTGTTGGATAGGTCCACGTGAGCCTCAGACTCACATGCCCAGAACACAGCTGGGTAGGGAATCTCAATGTCGACTTTGCCGCTCACAGACGGTTCAAGGTAGCGAAGATGCAGAGGCACCTCGGCTGTCCAACTTTCCGGCTCATTGGAGCTGGGAGGTGCTAATTGCAGCAAGACGCTTGAGCCCCATGTTTTTGTGGTATATGCTGGTGCCTCCAAGTCAACAGGGAGGCTGGTGTACCTTGAAGCCGTCAAGTTCTTGGACGCCAAGAAAAGTTGGTCGGCGAACTGGTATCGATCTGCAAAAATTGTCCTGGGGAGAGTGAAGTATGCGTGAAGACCGCATTCATCCTCTGTGGGCGGCGGTATATTTGAGCTCAATGTCAATCGCAAAGTTGGGTGCAAGCCTGTGGGGGAGACAAAGTCGGATGAGAAATAAGCGTCGGCGACGCGATGTCGCGATGGAAAACCAAACAGTGTTCCAGAAGGCTTCTTGTTCTCGCCAAGAACAGTGAGAAACCCAGATACTCCTATTTCGTGCGGCTTTTGATTAGGCGGTGTATCCTTGGAAAAGACGCCGACCTCTGTTCGCCTAGTGGAAGAGCCGGCCACTTTGATGCTTTGCTCAGTCAACGGGAACAATGACGAGATCCTCAAAGTTCGAAGTGTCGAGTCCCACAAAATATCCAAGCTCGCGGCATCGGATAAGGCCTCGGCCCGGTTCCGACAAACAGAGTCTTCCTTGGAACATATCTCTTTGGTAACCCAGTCGATGAAGGCTGACAGATGCTCAAGTTCCTGGTGAAAGGTGGCAGCTGGAGGGTTAAAAGATTGCCCTTGGCCATGTGTTGTAAACGACTAATGATGCCATCAAGTCAGAAAACCACTAGCTCTAACAGGTCAAAGGCTGGAAAATGTTATTGACAAACCTCGGCTGACATGCAGTCTATTGAGCCAAAGGCTTGTAGAGAAGTACACAGCCTCAGCCTGCAAGCCAATCAACATTTTGCACTTGGACAAGATGCCAGATGGCTCTGTTAAAACAAGCAAGCTCTTCACTTACTGGGCATGTCCAGCGGTCTCGTTAGCTGGTGTAGAGAACACATGAAGACCTGGCGACAACCGCGAAGTAAAAGGCTCAACCGTGCCATAGGTCAACGGGCTGGCCCACCGAATGCTGATATCTCGGTAAGCTTGAAGGAGGCCAGCAAGCTCCGGTGGTAGTTCAGCTACTTCAACCGTTAGCCTGTTTTCTCGGGCCGCCTTTACCGAGGGCCCGTCAAGTTGGTTGGCGTCGACTTTGAGGAGCCCAGGGTCAACATCGACCCCTTGGGCATGGACAAATGTGACTCTCTCCTTCATGTTGCTCCGACTCGTGTCCCCCTGGGAGAGGGTGATGCGAAAGTCAGGGGGCCCGACGGGAGCGCTGGTAGCAAGGGAGCAGCAAAGAGCAACACAAAAAGAGTGCCTAAAGGCAAAAGGACCGAAACGATAGGCAGGTGTGCCAGATCCAAGCTCCAGGTACTACTAGACCGACATTCAAATCGGGAGACACAGCCGGTGGTTGAACCAGTCGACAGATAGCGCTTTGCTGCCTTGTCCTGGTTCCGTGCTTCGGTGTCGGTTTGAAGGCCAAAGGACAGGTGGAGATGGGCCCGTGTCATCGAAATGGATGATGAGGCGACACGCCTGATTGGCTGGTCGACGGGCGGGGCGCCAACCTGGTGCAGACGGCCAGATGCCACCTGCCTCGGTCATGGCTCTATGGCCCCACACTACAGTGCACTTGTGCTGCCTCCTAGTTCCTTCCAGACATGGAGGGCAGCTAAAAGGCCAGTGGCCGCAGTGGGCACGATTACAGGTTTCTGGCTGTCAATTTGGTGACACCCAGCAGTCTGGTGGGTTCACTGGGTTATGAGAATGTTGCCAGGCAAGCCAAGTACTTTAGATGTTGATTCCTAATTTGGAAACAGCAACTGGTCTACTCGGTACGGAGTACATACTCCCGTACATGTCGACAATTTAGGCCGCGTTGCGCCGTACAACATTGTATTGTCTCATCCCTCTGGTAATGGAGTTGAGTTTTCCCTATTGTGCAGGCGTACATGTCGGGCTGGCAACGAGGACGAAAGCAAATAGATAGAAATACAGCCGCTGGTGACTGGGCTAATTTTCTGTTGTTGTTCATCACGGACCAGCGTGACATGACGAAGCACCCAGGTACTCCTGAAGTAAATGGGGTTCTCACGTTCGGATGGAGTACATACGTATCCACGAAACATGCATGTACAGCCCATGCAGTGCGAAGAACTGGCGTCTGTCTGAGGGTGTAACGTGTGTGATGCAGTTTGACATGCTACATGTCTGGGAAGATGGCTCGATGTGCGGATGGATGGATGGAATCTACATCAACAGAGACGGCCAATTGGTTCTAAAATTTATTCCCCCGGCTTGTAGGATTTCCCGTCATGACCTCACACTGTTCCCCGGGTATCAATCCTGAAAGTACCATGCACCTGGTACCATTGAAGCGCCTGTCCCGTGTGCATACCAATGCCCAGGTGTGTGCTAATGTAAAGTACTCATAGCGAGCACTTTGGTTTTACACAAGTTGCAAGCCCCGCTCTAGTACTAGTTGATGCTTCAAAGTACTTAGACGTAGTACTGAAGTACTTGAGGTACCTACCAGCTGCCTCATGGACCTCATCAACTTTCATCAACCTCTTTGGGCCACCGGGTGCCCCAGTCTAACCGCTTTGGGGACCGAAGACCCCCAAAGGCCATGCGGTCTCGCCGCTTGACGACATGTCAACCGACTCATATCTCGAGCACATCGGCACTTCTGGCAGCGTTACGCCACTTGTATCTCTTTTCACAATCAATTCTGCCTCGAGTGCCCACGCGACTATAAACGGGACTGACTGTATTTACGATGAGTGTGCGTCGTCTGCCAGATATTCCTCTGCCTCGATAACAGCTCATCTGTTCGTCCCAACAGCATCACACCGTGGGGACCAGGAATCGCATATTTCAGTACCGAACCCGACAGCAGAGGCCGCAGCTGCAAGGTCCAGCACCATGGGTGACCAGCAACCGTATTATACGATCCGGTCTAGGAGACCTGCGGATGGAGATGGGACGCGGCAAGGAGGACCAGCCGTAGGTTTCTCGTAGTCTGTCTGCCGAGCGTTGTTGTTCAAGATGGCACTGACATATATCTCTTCTCCAAGCCCATGAGCGCGTCTGCTGATGGGTCCGCAAGGTCGGCGACACATGACATTAGCCGTACCAGCTTTCACGTGAAGCATATCGGCGCTTTTGCTCGGAGACTCGAAGATGTTGGTCCACTCACTCACCAACACTCCCTACTCATACACTTCAAGAGACTAATACCAGATCTCACTCAGTCAGCGGCGCGGGCCTTTCCAAATAGAGGCCGGACTTCTCAGAGATACAAAAAGGTCCAGGCTCTACTCTTACACTGGGGCTCCGACGATCTCTTTGTTCTTCCAGAATTGGAAGATCTTGAAAGGTGTCTTCGGGAGGACTACACCTTTGGAACCGATATATTTGCCATACCGTCAGAAAACTCGCATTTGGAGCTGATGATGCGCGTTGGTCAGTTGATCAGAGAACACGAATCACAAGATACCCTTTTCTTAATATACTATGGGGGTCATGCACGGATTGACGAATCGAGACAAAGCACTTGGTGCGCGTAAGTGCTGGAACCACAACTTCATGCAACGCATATTAACACGCGTGATGTAGAACCCGGGATGCAGAGTCTCCTTGGCTACAGTAAGTGCATCTTGACTTTCCTACATGGTCCGAACCGCTCTAATACCTACCTCCCAGATGGTCTGCTATTCAGACGCTTCTTGAGCGATCCAAGTCGGATGTTCTTATCCTTCTGGATTGCTGTGCCGGAGCTGCCAGCGCGACCTTCCCCAACGGCAACAGCATTACAGAGACAATCTCGGCTTCAAGTTGGGATGCTATAGCTCCAGATCCTGGGCGATACTCTTTCACAAACGCTCTGATTGAGGTTCTTCAGGAATGGCGCCTACGAAGTTTCTCGGCCGCCATGCTTCATGCAGAGGTCTTGGCGCGCCTCAAGCACCCTCGTCCCATTACGATCAACGGGAAGCATTTTGAAGCACGGTCAACCCCTGTTCACTTCATGATGACGGCCAACCACAAAGCCCCTAGCATTGAGATGACACGATTGCTTCCGCCCGAGAAGGCCCCAGAACCGATGACTTCTCATCATGCTCCGCCATTACTAACAGGACGAGCCGCAGACTCGGGAGATCCTGTCGCCAATGGTCTTGCTTCGAGCGAGCCTAATGAAGATGCACCCCACGTAATGATATCACTGGCATTGGAAGATGACCAGCGTCTAGACATCAATGCCTGGGAGCAGTGGCTGAATGCTTTTCCCGCCATGGCAAAGTACGTCAAAGTCCAGGGCGTTTTCAAGAGTCATTCGACCATGATGCTCCTTTCCATACCCGTCATGGTCTGGGATCTCTTGCCTGAAGACCCCGCCGTGTCATTTGTCGCATTCATTCGGTCCAACAATTTGGCTATCCAAAGACAACAACAACAGCCCCAGCGCATGCTCGTCCCATGTGCCGCTCAGCAGCGCCAGAGAGAACTGGCCAATGACACATATTCCTTTGTTACCGGCGTGTCAGGTACAACACTTGCTGCTACGGAACATGTGTCTCTCCAGTCTCCGTCCAGGGCAGCGGCATATGGTTCCTCCTCAAGAGAGTCTGCCTATGGTAGCTCACGCATTGCATCCGCTAGTCAACCGCCAACGCCGGCGGGGCCAGCTTCTCCCCTATCTTCATCCCCCGGCAGTCTTCAACGGTCAATGGGACCAGTGGCTTCTAGTACGTCGCTCAGCTCACTGCAGCGGCAGGCAACAGGCCCTCCCATGAGCAGTGGTAACCCTATCATTACCCGGCAAATGATTTTGAATCAGCAGCAATCCATGAGAAGAACTACATTCGGCGACAACGTCCCCGAGCCGAAGAAATTCGCATCCCATGTAGAGCAGCGGTTGGAAGAGTACTACCAAGAACAGCCTCTTCCCAACGATGCTCAGAGTGCTTTCCTAGCGTCTAATTTGGGTATTGAACTATGGCACCTCGAGGTGTGGTTCCATCATCGCCGAGAGAGGGATTTAATATCCAACAAACTGGCCAACATGAAGCTCAAGGATGTTGTATACGAAGCCACTAATGGGCCGAGAATGATCTTGGCTGCCGATCTGAGCCGGCTGTTAGAACTTTCCCTACCCGGAGATGCATTACTATTTGACCTGAGATCATCTATCGAGTATGAGCGGTCGCACATTTACGGAGCAATTCATCTTCGCACTCCAAGAAGTTTTCTCCAATCTGCGCCGTTGGATCTGATTGAGCATGCTATACCCGACGAACAAGGAAGAAAACAGTTATCACAGTGGCCCACGGCCAAGTGTATTGTCTTCTACGGTTGTGGACTGGAATCTGCATGGGAGTGTCCCGCTGCAGAACTCATCGTTCGAAAGTTGCGGGAACACGGGTGGGTGGGACAATGTTTCATCCTACGCGGCCATTACCGAGAATTCTGCCAGACTTTTGACAAGTATATTGTTGGGACTAAGATGACACAGCAAGCCAAGGATTGGGTCAGCAGCCAAGCGACAGTTCTGACGACGGAGACGGACAGACAAACGATTGAGGAGGAGTACTCGTCTTGGCTAGACCAAGTAGAGAGCGAAGACCGGGCGCGACCCTTGTCCACCTCTCCTACACAAACGCCGGAGCGATTTGAAGCGCTGGAGTCCCAGGAAAAAGATCTAGAAGCCGAGTTTAAAGCTCGCTGCGGGGCTTTATTCAGCAAAGCAATGGATATTCAACAGAGTAGTTTGGGCGCGGATGACTTCCAGGCGAAGGCCGCCCTGGTGGAATATCTTGACCGTGGCTTGGAGAAGATGCGCTCCGTGCAAGCTTTTCCGCCATTCGCATTTGCACCTGGCCATTCAAAGATGCCCTCAGAAGACTACGGCGAGGGGTTCTTGAGCAAACGACAAGAACAAGATTTCGACGCCGAGTATGTCGAAGTGACTAAAGATGGCTCGACGCAAGGAGCTTCACCGTCTCGAATCTCAGACTCCCCGGAGTCAAACGTGCCCGGGGATAACACAGGCATCCGCGGGGGCAGCCTCTTGCACAAGATGTTCCGGCGGTGAAGGTCAATATTACATTCTTACTCAGTTTCTTGGTATTCGGCCACGGTTAGGAATGGTATGTGGCTGACGATATACAAAGGCACTATGGATATGGAGTTGGTTTTGTTACTGGGGGCCATGTCATCTAGGAGAAGGTTTTATTCCTGCATGTAACGTACACGTTAATTGGGAGGGGGTGCAAAATATCAGCAGCGTCTCTGGGCTCGGGAATAGGTTAGCCTAGGGGTGATTGTATACTTTTGCAACAGTCTTATCAAGAGAGACCATCCCGCATTCACCTTGCAAAAGACATCTTCCCACTTCCCCTTAAGTTCCCGGTTATCCGCCTTGTCATATAGTAGTCAATGCCTCCATGTAGCACAGCTTCATACTGCACAACTTCTCGCCCATTTGTTATACAAGGTGTTTCTCACAACGAGGCCGCCTTCGCGCCAGCTTATTGGTTCCCGGTGCCGGGTGGTGGTACGTTGCACGCTTTTTGTGCTCGTACGACGTTATTTCCCGGGTCTCTGAGGATTCTGGGCCGTGTCAGCATTTCGAAACACGGCTTACACTATCTGGCAAGCTATATTTATCCTCGCCCGAAGTATAAGCAAGCATCTTGCAGTGCCTGTCCTGTACTTGTGATTACGGGCACCGTGGCATTGATGCTTGAGTTTTTATTCTCCCCCACCCATGCTATAGACAGCCTAAGCCGCCTGTTTCGAATTCAGGGTCACACAAGTCATATAATGAAAGGAGCCAGAGATCATGTAATAATAGCTTCTCGCTTTCCAGTCTTTGGATGAGATTTAGCCCTCATGGTTGTTGCGCCGGTTTAACAGTGCCTCCAGGCGTGGAGGTTCAGCACAGGAGCGAGGGACGCTGACGGAGAGAAGCAAGCCATGCCACAAACAATCTCGCAGCATGGCTTCGTGCATGTAGCTGACAGCAGAACATCTGGTCTGCCGTGGCAGAATTTACCGGCATCGTTAGCCCCGTTGACGTTTTATTTTGTGCGACTTTCCCGCTCCGCTCACGAGGGATGGCACATGGCACGGCGGCGCACAAGCGCAAAATCGAGAATTCCCTGTGCTTGTGGAGGCAGGGGTGGACTGTTGTGCCTGTTTTTTTCTCAAGAGGTGTGGTTACACGATGGTGATGCTGGTGTTGCGTGTGTTGATGTAAGTGCTGGCGTTGAGTTGGTCATGGATGTAGCGGAACGAAGACTTCGTATTCCAGATGTCAGAGGGATGAACTAGTTTTCTGAGGCATAGCCAGCTTGCAGATGCGTAAAGTACAGGATATTTCAGTGGAGGATTTCCAATTGAAGGGTCTTCTTCATTCACCAAGAGGTGGCGCTGGCTTGTAGAATGGAAGCAGATATGCGGTAAGCATTCTCGCTCCATCTCATACAAGACTCCAGGCCGTGGGACAGACTTTGTCGATAAATAAACGGATGGATAATGTGTTAGTGGTCTTTCGAATATCACACAGGAGTTATAGTGCCCGTCGCACAGGACATCCATTTAGATGCCAATGTCTCCCATCAGGCTTCACAAACCATGCCACCACACAACCCGTATCTGCTGCTCGGTTCCAGAGTCGTCGCACACATCCCTCCATGTCTCTCATACACGTGAGATCGATGTCAGTGAATACGTGTGACAATGCACACAGCTTGATGCTTTACGCCAGCTTGAAGGGAGGGGACGGGAGGGGACAACATTTCCATGTCTTTGTGAGACCCTGCACGGAGATAGATACCCTTGCAAAGCTTCTATGAGTGCCGGCCTACTCTTTAACGTATCGAGACTTGAATTTGATTTGAAATACATTGGGCGGACGAAGAAACACAGCCAGCTCTCACAAAATTTATGTGTCCCATGTAAACTTCGTGCGATACGGCGCAAAATACAGCCTCACATGATACCTACCCTACGATGCGCTGCAACACGGAATGCTTCGGCCGAGAAAATTTCCCGAACGGCGCAGATGTAGTGTCAAACAGCGAGGTGAGAAAACGCTCTGTGCGATTACTCGATGCCGTGCGCGTGTAAGTGTCGTCATGCCATCTACCTTCCTGGCTTCTGGTCCCGGTACCCTCTCCGTCTGCAACCTTGGGACGCTTTGTACAGCAGAGCAGCCCTTGTGGAAAAGGCTTGTTAGAGAGACGGCGACCCCGGCTTGTGCCTCTAACGTGTCGGCCTACAACGCTGCACCTCTAGTTGGGGAAACGCTGACCGAAACACGTTGCGCATCCATCGAGTCAGTTTGCGGAGACGTGGTACCAGTCCATCGGAACCGGAATCTGAACAAGGTGAGCTGGAAACAGATCTGAGTTCCGACTAGCGAACGCCACTGCGGCGTCAACTACCGTAGCATTCAGACCCTTTCCCACCGACAACCGCCACAGGTTTCAGGGCCAAGCAAACATCATTGATACTAGCGCGTACCTGATGTCATTCCGGCAACCAGTCGTAATTTTGGTTGGGATTGCCCAAACGACGCTGCCCCCTTGCCCACTTCAGTCGACCTTGCGAGCAGCTGTCAAACACACATGAGTGGAGAGGCCTTGTCCCAAATCGGCCATTATTTCCCTTGTTTAGAATTGCCGATTTCTGAAGGAGTGCTGGTCGTCGTGTGACCAATGAATGGGAAGTACCAAGCGGGACGAAATCGTAGGGAGTTGTGTTCATCTGAGCCTTCTGATCCTTCTGCACACCCCCCTCCCCCTTTTCTCTTTCTCTTTTTTCAGACGCAATATTTCATCTTTCTAGGGGGAGTGGTACATTGCAGATCGACTTGGATGCACATTCCCGAACACCGCCACGGCGGTTATGGTGGCCCTCGTGAGTTGTCCAAGTTGAAATGTGTTGTCGGGTCCAAGATGCTTGTGATACGCCACACGAAGCAATGCCGCTGAGCATCGAGCCTGCGGCCGACACGGATATGTGGCGGCATCAGCAGTTCTCTTGTCAATGCGAAGCTGGCCACGACATGTGAGATACACGTGTAGTTGAGACTTCAGCTTCCCGTGAGCCATCGTATTTATTGTTAGAAACAGCTAGTAATTACTGACAACGCTCATGTCGTGGGACACAGCGAGACGGGCGCGACATGGGTTGAGAGCGGCCGGCTTGACCTTCTTTGAAACAGTGACATACATAAGAGCTGGGGTTGGATTGGGGCAAGGGAGTCTGTTGTGCAAACATGTCGTGGGCAATAATGACAGCGCAAGAATGAATTGTACATAGGTACATAATATGTAGCACTAGCGTTATTTGTTGAGTTTGGAGGATGGGGTACCGTTGTCATCGTGTTCACTAGGATCGACTAGACCTGTCAACTTGGTTTGCAGCTTATGCCTTGCTTTGGGGGAATAGTATTTGGTTCAACCCTTGCCAGGGATAATGTGAAACAAGCATCGAAGACTTTTCTTAACACAAATCCTTTCGTGAGTCCTGTGATTCTGTGCCGTATTGTCGTACAGACGGTACCGAGGCATTCGTATGCAAGTCTCATCCGCAATCCGTTTTTTTTTGGGAAGAGTACACATGGAGTTGCCGAAAAAGCCCATAACGAGATTGAGTACTCCGTACTTGATACGGAGTACATACGGCCTTTATCGCAGCATCGCGTATAAAGACCGAAAATATGTAGCGCTTCAAGGCCGCATTTATGAGTTGGCCGTCGCAGATGAATGTTCAATATCGTGCTTGTCACATCTTACTCGGCCAATACGGGGCCGAATAGACATGGATCTTCCAGTTCGAGGCCCCAAGCACTAAGCTGCCAGCTCTTTGTGGCAGGTTCTGGCTGAAGCAGGGTTCTGATAGGAGGGATTCCCTGGTAAGCTGGCGGCCTTTGGGGTGTGTGAGGCTCGCCGAGACCAAAGATCCACAAGCAAACTGGCGGGCTGTTTGCGGGCCGGATTGCTGGCCTTGACAGTTTGACTGGCAACACTAACCGGTCGTCGAGGCCGGGTTCCACCAGATCTGGCACACAAAGATTACTGATCGAACCTATGAGGACGGGAAACTCCGTGACTCCATGCCCCATGACGAGGATTGCATTTGGTCGACAAGCCTTACAGGCGCCACGGCTTCGGATGGGGTGACATGCGTCCATCGGATGGCCCATCAGAGGGAAGTCGCTCAACACCCCCGTCGGAATCCACCGTGAAGCAAATAAAGGGGCCGGCTTGGATGGTGGTTGAACCATAGGGGACCCCTGGTTTCTTCATTAAATTATGCCAAAACGTCCCGTCAAGTTGTCGGGTAACAACCAATGGCTATTGAGTATCGACGTTGGGACGGCAGTCTCTCGAGAACGGGAATACTACTACTTGACGAACAGGAATCGCCCCCCAATGGAATTGAACGGTCGCCAGGTACGCGGATGTTTCCCACTGACCATCTCTGCTGATTTCCGTACTATTAAATTGAGCCATCTCCCTGTGAGAAGACGGCTTGTTCGTTGTATTTGATGTACTAGGGGTACAGTTCAATAGCACACTACTTCGTAGATGGCGGCATGATGCACTTGTGGTATTGCATTTGTACTCGGTACAAAATATATGCAGGAGAAGCACTCTAGTTGGCATATTTGGCCACAATTGGCTAGGATATGGTGGCAATTGTGTGGGTTCCTTTGTCGAAGAACTGGTGAGTGTAAGCTTTCATCAAGTAAGCTGACCTCTTTGGACAGTAACTGTTCCAGAGACCTGGTTCAGCTCATCGGATATCATACAGTCATGTCTGAGGTCCAAACGAGATGGTGCGCAAGCCGTAAATCATACGCAAGTTGATTTCGAGTTTGGCTGGACAAAACAGCTGTTGGCTGGGCTGATATCAAATTCTGAAGCAGAGGGTCGATGTTCCAATTGTTCATCGGAAACGGAGAGAACGTAGTAGACGCGGGCGCACTGACGCGCTGCGATGGCAGAAATGCCGATGTTTAACTGTGCTTATACGATGTGTGCAATTGATAGCATCTCTCTGATTGAGTTGGACTGAGGG